GTTTCAGTTGGCAAGATGGTTTGGAACGTTGAGCATCGTGTGTTCACTGTACGTCGGTATTTTCAAAATGGGAGTCTGTCGTTTGAACGCAACGTGAGTTTCGCGTTCACTTTCGTGTTCCACGTCGTGGGACAGTACCAGACCGTAACACCATTTTGAGATGGGTGGAAGCATTCAACATAACAGGTAATCTGATGAAGAAAAAACCGCCAGGGCCAAACCGTACGTAGACAGAGTGAGAGTTGACACGCTCGAATCATTCCATCCGTTTGCGTGCCAGTTCCCTAGAGATCCACGCGTCCTCTGTACGTCGCATCTCGAAGAAGGATTTAGTGTTCCATCCTTACAAAATCCAAGTTTGTCAACAACTGTTGCCAGGGGATTATGCACAACGTGTTAATTTTGTACAGCTCACGATTGACCAGTTGGATAACAATGACATGACGTTGTTTATGAGTGATAAAGGACATCTTCATTTACACGGATACGTCAATCAACATTATTGTCGATATTGGTCTTCAGTGAACCGCCAACAGTTGCATGAGCACCCCCTGCATACCCCGAAAGTTGCAGAAGGCCCAACGATGATTATTGGCCCTTATTTTTTGAGGATGATGGAGAAACAACTACTGTGAATGCAGAGCGTTACATCCACAAGCTGAACAACTTTTTTTCCGGAACTTCGACGTCGACGTGTCCGTCTCAGAACAGTGTGGTTCCAACACGACGGGGCAACATCTCACACAGCTCGCATTTCGATAGAACTTCTTCGACAAAAATTCCCAGGACGTCTCATTTCACGTCATGGCGATATGCCATGGCCCCCTCGCTCCCCGGACCTGGCAACGAGTGATTTTTTTTATGGGGCTACCTGAAATCAAAAGTTTACCAAAGCAAGCCTCGGATCCTCGTCGATTTAAAGGAGGAAATAAGAAGATAAGTAACCCAAATTCCTGCACGGATGCTGGCCGACGCAGTGGCATCATTTCGGGAGAGGCTTGATTCCTGCATTTCAGCTAAAGGGCGCCAGATGGCCGACATAGTTTTTAGAACGTAAATTTTGTTTCACTCAAAAAATGGCATGTATTTCCGGGTATTTTGATATAATAAAATATTTTTCCACACTCATTTTGACTGTACTACTCATTTAAAAAACATGCGCTCTTTCTGACGGACCCTGTAGAAGAGACATAAGTTAAGCTGCAATTACGTATCTCCAGCCTGCCGCAAAAACGCTTAATTCAAATTCAAATGTGTGCTTTTGAATGGCATGTGGACAAATAGATTGTAGAAAGATATAATTCCAACAATTACAAGGTCTGTCGCAAAGGACAAAGAAAAAAATGAACATACCGGTTTTGTTTCGGAAAATCGGATTTATTATATTCAAAATAGTCTCTTTCAGATTTAATACAGCAATCTGCACGGAACAAGATATTTTCAAGTGATGAATTTAGATCATCGTCTATGCCTTTTGGATGGCCCTTACGTCGGCATACCGCTGTCCCTTCATCGCCAAATTTAGTTTACCGAACAGAAAATAGTCACACGGTGCCATATCAGGAGAATATGGTGGTTAAAATGCAATTTTTTGTCAAAAAATCGGACACAAGCATCGATCGATGAGATGGCGCGTCATCGTGCACCAAGCACCACCTTCCTTCATCGCGATATTCTGGCCGAACACGACGAATACGCGACAGCAAACGCCTCATAACACCAAGATAAAACAGTATTAACTGTTTGGCCCGGTGGAACGAATTATTTCTGAAAAATTCCCTTCGAATCATAGAAATAAATCAACATTGTCTTCACTTTGGACTCTTCCAAACGCCTTTTTTCGGAATGGTTCGCGGCGATTCCATTCGGCACTTTGACGCGTTTTTGTATTTTTTGGCCTCTTCAATGATGTCTCTCGGATGTTGAATTCGAAGCAATTTGTGGTCATCCGTGAGATTGTGCGGAACACTTTTCTCATGCCCAAATTCTTGGTCAAAATGCGATGGATTGAATCTTTAGAGATATTTAATTCCATTTCTACAGGGTGACAGGTGTAAAACATTTTAGGAGGTGATAGTACAGCCCCTTTGCTATCGAAATTAGTATATAATACCATACCCTATATTCAAAGGTTGAAAAGTGATTGAAGATTTAAGATTTAAAAACAATCCATATTTCAGAGTAAAAAAGTCGAGAGAGAAAAAAGTTGGCGATTAAACATTTATTTTTTTGTGGTTTTGGGTTATTATTTCAATAATTAACTATTATAAATTAAAAAAGATTCGAAAATAATACCAAACAACGTATTTATTTTCATTTAAAAATGTTTAACTAAGAAAAACAAATAACGTTTTACAGTAAGTAAGGTGTTTTACAAAAAAATCAGTATACAAAAAAACGTACAAACAATTTAAATAATATCCTTGTTTCATAAGGAATCTAAATTGGTATGATAAGTGCACAAAAACTGTGTGAAACTAAACATAATGTATTGTAATACAACAATAGGGAGTAAATTTACCAATGGCTTGTCTCCTATTTTCACAACTCTCTGATTGATAAGAAAGTGTTTTTGTGAAAATAATGTAACTGTAAGCTATGGCATAGTTATTATTTTAAACTATGGTTAAGTTACACGATTAGATTATTTACACAGTTGTAATTGTACTACAGAATAATAAAAACTGACTAAAAGTTACTACAATTGGTAAGTAAAATACAATAATGAAATGAAGGTAAAATTCATTGCAATTGTTGTTCGAACTAACGCCCGCCGTTTCTTATGCAAGCCCGTAGTGTTTTTCTCATGTTGGTACGCGTGATGCGGCCAGTTAGTTGTCCTCTGATAGTGTCAGCAGCAGCAATAATTCGTTCTTTCAACTGTGCAAGAGTGTCTATAGGCTCAGCGTACACCAGTGACTTCATGTGCCCCCATAAATAATAGTCACACGGCGTTAAATCTGGGCTCCTCGCTGGCCACGGTGTCGGTCCACCTCGGTCAATCCAGTGACAAGAATATTTCCCGTCCAGCCACTGTCTAACACCCAGACGGAAATGCGCGGGACAGCCATCGTGTTGGTAGATCATCTGCATCCTGATATTCAGAGGCAGGTCTTCGAGATACTCCCAGAGTTCGGATCTCAAAAAGTTTTCATGGGATTCGCCATTCAGGTTGTCAGGCAAAAAAACTGGTCCAATTAGATACGTATGAATGATTCCCATCCACACGTTTGCCGAAAATCTTCTTTGATGGGCTCTTGGCTTTGCCATGTGGGGATTTGCCTCTCGTGGAGCCCAATAATGTAAGTTGTGATAATTTGTTGTCCCCTTTCTGTCAAACTTAGACTCGTCGGTCCACAATATTTTAGTTAAATAGTCGTTTTCTTCTTGATCCCGATGAAGCATGTATCGACAAAAATCAATTCTTCTTGCGGGATCTCCTTCTTCTAATACTTGAACCGGTGTGTAATGGAAAGGGTAAAGTCTCGCCGAATGCAAAACGAACCAAACTTTCCACTGAGTTAAAGCAAGCTGCTTTGCTATAACTCGTGTAGACGTCGTCGGGTCTGTGCCGTAGCACTCCAGTATTGCCTCTCGATCTTCGTCGTCAAACAACCGAGGTCTACCAGCATCATGACGTCTCTCATGAACCTGTCCACTTTCCTTGACGCGTTGGTACACAGAAGCAAATACTCGATGACTCGGTATTCGCCGATTCGGAAAACGGATTTCGTATTCTCGCCTGGCTTCAACGGAATTTCCATCACTTAAACCATAACAAAACAGAATATCAGCGTATTCTTCGTTACGGTAACTCGCCATTATTAAAACTGATCAAAAAAGTAAAAGTACGTCCTACCGCGTTAAAGGTTGATATTCTTCTAACTAACCTAAGCGTTAGTTCCCTTTCCTTGATCCGTCAGCTGTGTCAATTCATAACACACGCAGAGCTTGCTTCCGAGGAGCGACGACAGATTCCGAATACTTAAACCCGAATAACGGCACAGGGCACAAAAAATAACAAAAAGGGTCGAACCATGAAAGGCTCGGTTTACCTGCTCAGTACAATGAAATGCGCTTAGCGGTCCTTTCTAGCAAAGTAATATTGTTTTGTTAAATGGTTTACTTACTGATATGTTATTATACCATTTTAGAAACCTAATGAAACGAGGAAGTTTTTGCAGTTATTTGTACATTTTCTTTATAATGATTTTTAAAAAAAAGACTTCTTAATGTGAAAGTTGAAAATAAAAATTTTCATTTAACATTTAAATGAAAATAAATACGTTTTCAGTAGTATTTTCATATGTTTTTTAATTTATGAGAATTATTTATTTAAATAATAACCTGAAACCAGCAAAAAAAGAATGTTTAAATCACCAACTTTTTTTTATCTCAACTATTTTACTCTGTAATCTGGGTTGTTTTTAAAAAAAATTAAATCTTCCATAACTTTTTAACCTTTTAATATAGGGTATGGTATTATATACTAATTTTGATAGCAAAGGAGCTGTACTATCACCTCCTAAAATGTTTTACACCTATTTACCTGTCACCCTGTATGTTTCTCAACGAAGATTTTGGATCATTTTTGATAAATTCACGCGCTTTTCGACGGTGTCTGACGCAAACACAAATTTTGGCTGGCCAAGATGTTCGTCGTCTTCCGGCGACTCACGACCCTCTTTGAACCGTGTAAACCACTTGTGAACTCGGCTGCGAGATAAACAATCATCACGTACAGTTGCATCAACATCTGATGCGTTTCAGTAAATGCTTCACCAAGTTTATTGCTCATTTTTCGATCGATGCTAAAAAGGTACTCTCACTTTGAGCGCGATAACGGATTGTCATGAGATTTTGACAGGGCATCAATGAAAGATATACCTATCCAACGCTAGTCTCCGATAATAGATGGCGCTACTTGTATAGGATGTCTTTCAAAAGTCGTTTACTTCGCGACAGACCTTGTATGTATACCTTCACATTGCGGATCTTACCTTTGCTTTCGGTTTGCTTCTGTATCAAATTTCTTTGTAACGAACCAATGGACTCCTCCAGGTCACATATTTCGTTCCTCCTGTCTTCTAACGGTTTTATTTCATCGCTCTTTTCTTGTACGCTGTTCTGTATTTCATTCAATTCAATTTGCCTTGCTTCAAATTTGGCTCGGCATTTTTCAACTTCGTCCTTTATTATTCTTCTGGTTTCGACCTTTTCTCGAAAAACCTGATAGACATAAAACATATGTGATGTTGGATCCTTTGGCGTAGCGACTATGGATACTACAGATTTTTTATACCCGAGACGTTTCCACTAATTGTGTTAGAATAAGACTAAAACTGACTATACGGTTTCATCTTGAATGCATCCTAGTCTAACAAGGACAAAAAATTATGTTTTATCTAATCTAAGAATTATGATACTTTCACAGAATTCATCAATGAACCAATAAAGATCAACAATCTAAGAAAATCTATATCAGAATTGAATTTAATAAGAATCCAGTGTGAATCTCTCAAAAAAGATTCTAAATGAATGTTTCAGTATAATTGAACAGAAATTGTATTGATGAATCATTAAAAATTAAAGTCTTCCACCATTACTCCTGTGCAACAAGGGCTAATATACAGGGTGTTAGGGAAATAATATTCGTAACTTTAAGAGGTAGTAGTAGTAGAAATATTTATTTAGCACATTTGGCTACATAAACAGAATAATTGTAAGAACTAGTAAATTCAAGCCATATATGGTGTATGATGTAAATGCTGGGCAACCTATAATTGTAGATTTAACAAGTGATTTCTCAATTTTACTTTAAATTTTGTCAAAGTTTTCTGGTCTTTTATCTCCGAGTATAATTTATTATATTCAATCAACCCTTGATGGAATACAGATTTGTAGCACATGTTATACTTTTTGGTCATTAAATGGAAGCCATCTTTATTTCTGGTATTATGTAAATGATGGTCGACATTTGATGATGTTAAATTAGTTATACTTGATGGAAATATATTATTTTTTACTTTATAAAATATATTTTTGGGGCAGTCACGCCAGTGTTTACGAATTAAAAAATAGGTACAAAAATGATGTCGCCTACTAGTCCAGGCGATGTCTTCGCATCTGATGGGAAAAATATCCCGATTCGGATTTTTGCATATTCACAGAGGACCCTCTTATAATGAATCTGCATGTTGCCACTCCTAAATTTGCGTCAAAAACTGTTGCATCATTGTCATTTTGTGTCGAAGTTCCTCAACTTAGTAGTAGTAGTAGAAATATTTATTTAGCACATTTGGCTACATAAACAGAATAATTGTAAACAACTTAGAACCAGTAAATTCAAGCCATATGGTGTATGATGTAAATGCTTGGCAACCTATAATTGTAGATTTAACAAGTGATTTCTCAATTTTACTTTAAATTTTGTCAAAGGTTTCTGGTCTTTTATCTATGAGTATAATTTATTATATTCAATCAACCCTTGATGGAATACAGATTTGTAGCACATGTTATACTTTTTGGTCATTAAATGGAAGTCATCTTTATTTCTGGTATTATGTAAATGATGGTCGACATTTGATGATGTTAAATTAGTTAGACTTGATGGAAATATATTATTTTTTACTTTATAAATGAATATCATTACAAGATATTTGATAAAATTTTTTACATTGAGCCATTTTAATTTGCTAAGCATTTGCCTAATTGGAGTATATTTATCTTTATTTAGTATTATTCTCATGCACTTATTTTGTAAAATTTGCAGTCTTTCAAAAATGGAATTATTTGCTAAATATAGAATAGTCGAACAGTACAAGAAATTTGGAAGAATGATGGTATTATAGATAACTTTTCTGCTATATGAACTCAGACATCCAGAAAATCTCGATAAATATCCCACTTTACTACTAATTTTATTTATAACTTTTTCATAATGAATATCAAAAATTAATCGAGAGTCAACAAAAACCCCCAGGTATTTAAAATTTTGTACGAATTCAATATCTTCACCATCAATATTCAGTTGAACATTTGTACATTGTTTTTTTCCGATTAACAAGGCTTTCGTTTTACTTGCATTTAATTTTAGTCTGTTAGATGCTAACCATTTTGAAACAAGCTTCAAGTCTTCCTGTGGAACACCCAACGTATTTTCAATTTTTGATGAAATAGTGTCATTAACTTTTGTAACTTGGATCCTTTTAGACAAATAGTTTCTAAACTAATCTAAAACACTTCCTGTTATACCATATGCCTTCAATTTACCTAACAAAATATCTCTATCAATCGTTTCAAATGCCCTCTTCAAATCCAAAAATACTGCTATGACAACTTCTTCTGAGTCTATGGCTCTTCTCCAATTCTCAGTTACCAACTGGAAAGCTGTTTCTGTGGAATATTTTTTCGAAAGCCTGCTTGCGCCTCCACTAAAATTTTGTTTTCTTCTATAAACTGCATTAATTGTTCATGCACTATGGACTCTAATAATTTTTCAATGTCTGGTAACACATTTACTGGTCTCATATCGCTGCATCTTTTAGAATTTTTTATTTTGGGAACTGGTGTTATTGTAAAGCATTTAAAATTTCCAATGGTGATTCCTTGCATTATTCTAAGCAAAAAAATGCTGAACTTATTTCTTTTTAGTCATGAAATAAATTAATTTTGCACCTTAATAATTAAAATTCATATGCCTAATAGTGTAAAATGTATCAATACATCTATTTATTAAAGAACGTTTTCCTGAAAGGCTACCAACGAGAAGAACATTCGTAGAAGTATCCCAAAGACTTCTGGACACTGGGAGTGTAGTGCCTAATCTAACAAATTTACAATTTAATTGACGAGGATTCGACACGGAGTACGAGAAGTATTGCTCGTCAAGTCGGTGTCTCACACTGGATTGTACATCGGACCCTTAAAGAACAGTTATCCACAGGGTTCGAGCTCTTTCGCCTGAAGATTTCCACGAAGAGCAAATTTTTGTAATTGGTTTTTGGGTAAACACCAAAGAAATCACAATTTTGTAGCGAACGTGTTGTCAACAGATCAGTCTTGTTTTACTAGAAATGAAATTTGGAATTTTGACAATTTTCATAATTGGGCGGACGAAAATCCCCATGCCCATGGTTCCCATTTTGAACATCTATTGTGATTACTAATACATTTAACTGTAAGTTTATGTGATTTACGGATATTGTTTTTTTTCTTTTTTCGTGCATCGCATAGTGTCAAATAAGTGACTGATAATACTGGGAATTGGTGGTATGTATCGCCACGTACCGGTAAGTTCTGTCATTTTTTTTAAGTAAATGTATTTTACTGGAAGCGCTATTAAATAAAAAATATTAGCCACAAAAAAATGCGTAAAAGTATTCAATAATTCAAGACATATTTTCAACAAAAATATCATACAAACATAAACAAATCGATGCGGTCGTCGTGCGCTCGTATCGCGGTTGCGTTGCAGCGTTGCCAAATGTTTGAGAAAATTTAATTATCTACGACTCACTTGCCTCGAAAACGATTGATTTTCGGACATATAATGCAAGGAGTCACCTCTTAAAGTTACGAATATTATTTCCCTAACACCCCGTATGGACCAATCATTGAATTCATTGGAAAAAACAAAATTTCGGCAGAATATCAACTTGGATTTAGAACAAAATATCCTACAGAAGCAGCAATCCGAATGGTGGTGGAAGACTGACATCACTATGGTTTTAAAGGATCAGTATTAAACGTTTTAAAAAATTATTTAGTAACAAAAGTCGAATCAATCAAACACTGTTTCAAGATCATTATGAATACATTATTTCAAAAATATCAAAAAAGATAAATTATTCCTATAGAATTTCCCAATATCTCAGTATGTATTCCAAAAAAACTGTGTATAACAATATAATGTTGTTCAACCATTACAGCAAATAAAAACATATAATCAAAATTACAAAAAAATTCTACAAAACAAAGCTATGGGAATCATTTTAAATAAAACAAATATAAGATAAGATTAGGTCTATCCTAGAAGAACTACGCTGGTTGAATGTAAAAAAATATGTTATTTAGTTCACATTTTCATATTTAAATTAAAAAATCATATATTACCACCAAATTTAGAAAACCTCACAAAATATACAATACAAAGGGGAGTATTTGAATCTAGTATATTGAATGATAATATTAAAGTGTTCGAATTAAAAAATGTTTAACGTGAAATTAAAAAATCTCTTTATGAATACCCAAAATACATTGTGAAGTAATTTTAATTTTAATAGACAAAAATATAAAATAACGGAAAATTGATTCAAAAAAAGTGTAAACGAATAATTGTACAAAATTGACATTGTAGCATTAATGCTAAATAACTCTTCACCAAACAAACATTGACGTTACCACGTTTCACGTACGCCTTGAAGAAATTCGACGTCTTATCGTTTTTATCACATATTGAAGCACTAATTAAAACTAGATTTAAATATCCACAATTTTGGCACAAATAACTATTAACTACAAAATACTCCACCTTAATATTTAGTTGTCTATTCTTGATGTCCTTTCTCACGAAGTCTATATATTTATTATATTTCACGGCCTCGAAGATCTCATCAAATTTTTCCTTGAGTTTCTTCGGTTCATCCAAGGGCCAGTAACTGTTCTCTTGATGACAGAATAAGACGTTGTTCAGTATGGATTTGGAAACGCCTAGAGAGTTGCAACAGAAGTTATCGGCATCCACGCATCTATTGGAAAGGTGAAAAACATTTTTGAAGTTGTTTGCATTTTTTACGAACAGATAATAATCATAATAACGCGTTTTATTTTCGGGTTAAAAGTACAAACAAACAAAAACTGATTTGATGGGGGGGGGGGGGCGGTGGCGGCGGCAGCATTCAACACCGTGGCTCTTCCATGCAACCCCAATAAATTATATATATAAAAGAAGGAAAGTGGATTCGAGCAGAAAATAGGATAGGTAACCCGAGCGATACGTATTTCTGCTGGTTGGCTTCATCAGGCTCGAAATGAATGCACATATGAAACTACAAAAGTAGATACACATGCCCACACATCCGGATACGGGTGTAACCTGAGGAAACGAAGATGGAGAGGAAAAAAAATCACACACGACAAGAGCCAACCTACACATAGCAGTATAAAATGGCTAGAAGACCTCGAATTTTCAAGGCGAAATCTAACCACAACCACGCGGCCGGTTATAGCCACTTGTTGTGGTACTTCAAGCCCAAAGGATCTACAAAGAGAAAATGATCATGCGGAGAAAGGTATATAACAAAAAAAATTTCCTATTTTTTGTTATATACCTTTCTCCGCATGATCATTTTCTATATATATATATATACAGGGTGACTTTGAAGTTGAGTCATTAATTTTCAGATAATGATTGTAGAAGGAAGATAAACCAAAATATGTGTGTAAAAATAAAAAAAAAATTAAAAAAAAATGTTTACCTTGTTTTATAAAGTATCCTCCCGACAAGTATTTCAGTGCGGACCTGTATTTGATCGTGAGGTCCCCTGTGAGGTCTTAAGTCACCTGATTCACGAGCCCGTTGTACTACATTAACAAAGGCACGAGGGGTTGGTTGCACTCGATTGGGAAACCGATCCGCATAAACATGTGCCATTTTTTATTTCGTTTGAGCCAGGCAACAGATACAACTATTCACTGACACTGACTGTATACAAATGAATGAAATAATTCGTTCCAAATTCTTTCGCTTTTTTGTTTCCGATGCGATGAACCGATACGACGGATTATATCCGTTGTCGCCAAACACGAGCACATTGAGACAGGGCGGTACTCAAACTTCCAAAGGGCTATAACTTTGTTACTTTAATTTTACCAGAAAAATGGTAAAGGAAAAAAACATTTCTTTTGATCAGATCTACTCACTGTTAAAATAAATGACTCAACTTCGAAGTCACCCTGTATAAAACTTGAGACGTGGTCATTGTCGTTTAGACCAGTTAGGTGGAAAATAAAGCTTCCGCCTTTTGTTGGGTACTTCGACAAAATTCAAGTAAAGAGGACTCTTCATACTTTATTATCTCTAGCTTTCAATGGACTTTGCCATCTTCATCAGGAGCTGCAATAACATTGAGAAGAAATATTTAATTCCGACCGATCCAGCGATTTGGATAATGTTCATTCAAATACTGAATGACGCCTCTAAAAATGTGTGGTGGTGCCCCGTCATGAAGAAACCACAAATTCTGTCTCCGTTGTAATGAAAGATCGACGCGCTGTTGTCATGTGTGTTTTAAATATTTAATTTAATGAAACTTACTGTCTACAAATTTTGGCTTAACTTAGAAAACTTAATGCCATTTATTTGTTAATTACCCAATTTAAAAACGTTTTAGATTAGATTATAAAAATTAGTAAGATTGTGGTGTTTGTGGTCGATATAAAGCACTTTAAGTTTTAAACTATATATATATATATATATTACCCCTCTATATAAACCTATATAATGTTAAGAACACTGATAAAATGTCAACCTGTGACTAAATAGGCTGGTGTGCAAATAGTTCATTTCGCGCTTGCTACAAGTGAGCATGAAGTGAACGACTGCTAGTTCCAAGTTGACGACTTGTAGGAAAACCTACATAATGTCATAAAAAACTTACATAATGAAAAAAAACCGTCATAATGGATGTTTTTGTAGGGGGTTGAGCAACGTTTTATTTTTTTATAATTACGTACCTGCCCGATATATCATTTGTCTCTCCATCAGGTGCATGTTTTCTTATATTCACATTCAAGCTCTTGAACTGCATCTTTCCGTCAGCTTTTTTCTGAACCTGCATGAACCTGGATACCGTGATGACGTTGCCGATATTGTCCGTGTACTTTAATTTAACGTTACCTATGGAGTAGAACCATAAATCCTACGAATTCGGACTAAATGGAAGCAGATAGCAAGAATGATGGTATTACAAATAATTTTTCTACTATATTGACTCAGAAACCAGAAACTCTTGATAAATATCCCACTTTACTACTAATCTTGTTTATAATTTTCTCATAATAAATAGGTATTTAAAATTTTCCGCGAATTCACCATCAATATTTAGTTGAACATTTGTACATGTTTTTTTTTCAATTAACATTCGTTTTACTTGCATTTTAATTTGAATTTGTTAGATGCTAACTATTTCGAAACAAGTTTCAAGTCTTCATTTATACAGGGTGTCCCAGAAGTCGACGTCAAGCCGGAAACGGGGGATAGATTAAGTCATAATAGGTATCAGAAAAATAAAAAATCTAAGTCGTATAAAAAATCGGAAAATTGGAAAAATCTACATCTCAAAGAGAGGAAAAAAAAATAAAAACGATTTTAGCATAAATCTGGTATGCGAAACAAATGACTGTCTGACAATTACAAGGCCTGCCTAGAAAATTCTGCCTTTTTTAAAAGAACTAAGGTTTTACAATGTCAATGTACATATTATACATTTTTGGAATCAGAATTAAAAATTCAATTCATCTGTGCAAAAATCCAATATGGTGTACATAATAAAAAAAAAATTGATGACGGAGTACAAGAGGAGAAAAAGTGGCAAAGTTAAGGTGCAAATTTCTTTTGAAATCCTACTACAAATAAAGTCAGAAAAAAATAAATCGATTTTGAGAGAATACGGTTTTTTTCCGTCTCTCTCCAGAAGTACTTTGAATTTCGAAACTCTTAATTATTTAAATAAGCAACTTTGTCCCCATGTAAGCGATTTCGATCTCTTACCGTTTCCGAGACCCCAATGATGACCGTGAATTTGACTTAAACCATGATCTTCAGGGTCATTTTAAGGTCAAATCGATTTTTTAAATGGATCCTCCCATTTTTTACTCCATAAATGAAAAGAGCGGAAAATTTTTCGTTCAAATACGTTTTTTGATCGTTCTTAAATTTTGACCTTAGGAGGTCATGGTCAAGGTCAAACCCAAGGACGGTGATATACCTTGAAAACCAGTAGTCGTATTGGGGGAACTACCGAGACCTTATTTTCATAATTTTCCCCGGATGACCTTGGATATGACCTTAACCATGATAACCTTCGAGGTCATGTGAAGGTCAAGTCGATTTTTGTAGCCAGGGAACAATCCTGAAGAAGCAGTGAAGTCAATCTATCTGGGTATTACACAGTTGTGTTTGAGCTTCATGTTCAAGTCCAAGTTCTAAAAATCGTCAAGGACATATTCGAACATACAGGTTTCCATTTTCTCATTTTGTTGACCTTGAAGGTCAAATCCAAGGTCAACATTAGATATCCGGAGAAAATCATGGAAATAATGTCTGTGTAGTTTCCCTATACGACTACTGGCTTTCAAGTTATGTCACCGTACCTGAGTTTGCCCTTGACCATGACCCCCCAAGGACAAAATTTACGAATTATCAAGACGAATTTTCTCATTAATGGAGTCAAAATGGCGGGTTCTATTTAAAAAAAATCGACTTGACCTTAAAATGACCTTTAAGGATATGGCCAAGGACACCATTGATAGTGGGGGGAAAACTATCAATCACGGGGTTTAGTTTAGATATACTGTATAAGTTTGTCTTCAGGTGATCAATTACTAAAATTTTTAATATACAGTGCTGACTTACCTTTGGTAATAGAAACATGCGTCATGTCAGGATCGTTCAAGAATCCCTGGCCATTGTTAGTCCCTGCAGGTATTTCTCCGGTAAGCGCATATCGGATGCACTCTATGATGGTAGTTTTACCGCAACCATTTTGCCCTAAGAATAATGTCACTGGAGTGCTGAACAGCACTTTCTGATTCTCTTCGGGGCTGAACAATCGGACACCGCATATCGTTAGAGCGTTGAGATGCGACATTTTGAGCTGCAATGAATAAAAACGGTACAGTGGTAAAATATGTGAACGTGTTTATTTCGTCTCTGCTCGCTTCATGTTCCTGTAGAAAAACTAGAGGTATATTTGAGGTGCTGATTATACCTGCCCTTTCTGCAGTGCTGCAGGTAAAATCCGTGTTTGTTTAAAGTAATTTCGTAATACGTAGCTTCAGTAATGCTGCACGTTTGAGACTACTGTGTGTCGTACAAAACCTGCTGTTTTTTGCGAGGCATGTAAAAAAAATGCTCATGCCAGCTGTATTTCCAATTCCATTGATATACTGAGTGTCTTAAAAAATGTCCCAGGTCTATCATGGAAATGTGATGAATGTAGAGGCAACTGCCTGTTTATTAACGAAAAGAGCGTCAATACAGTGCTGTCGAAAAAAATTGATGCTTCACTTGGGCAAATCAAAAATGAAATTCTTGCCATAAAGGATGACCTGCTGAACCATGCTGTCAAGGAGACTAACCCTCCAGCTGATCCTCCTCGTTATTCTGATGTACTGCGCAACAGAACTCAACCAGCCATTGTTATTCGTCCGAAAAATACTAATCAGTCAGTAACTCAAACCAAGACGGACATTCTAAAGTCAGTTGATCCTGTTGAAGACAACATCCATCTGGGTAAAGTTTGTGATATCAAGGAAGGTGGGATATTGCTTGGTTGTAAGAGCAAAGCGGATAACTTAAAACTGCTTTCCATTGCAAAAGAGAAGTTAGGTGATTCATACGTCATCAAAGAAGTTGCTGGCATTAATCCTAGGGTACGAATAGTTGGATTGTCTGGCGAATACTCCGATGAGCAGATACGTAGCTACCTTCTGAAGGGTAATCCTGACGTGTTTTGTGGTGATGTTCAGTGTAAAGTTTTGAAAACATATGCTGTTAAAAAAAATAATAGAATCTTCCAATCTGTCTTACAAATAGATAGAGTTTCCTATGTTAGGGTCATGAAGGCAGGGTTTTTATTAGTCGGTTATGACGGCTCAGCTTCTTGTCAGAATGAGGCTTCTTGTCCAATCTGCAGTGGAAAACATGAGATTAAACAGTGTACATCAATAACTAAGCAGTGTTCTAATTGTGTCAAATTAAATTCTAAGTCGAATCTGAATGTTCCAATAAATCATGCAGCTTGGGACAAAAATCAGTGCACTGCCTTCACGAATGCTACAGAAAAACTGAGAAGAGACTTACTCGCTGTCAAATAGCAACTAGCTACTGCTTCAGGCCTAGACAGTCATGATCATGATGCTGATAGAGATAAAGACTTTATTATTATCAAAACACTCGTGGTTTGCGTTCTAAAACTAATGAAATATTCAACTCTATTTCTCAACAAGACTATTACTCTTTGATAACACTGACAGAAACGTGGCTTGATACTGATATCAATGATTGTGAGGTTTTTCCGGATAATTATTCAGTTTACAGATCTGATCGTAAGTTTTCAGCAGTGAATTTGAGGAAAGGTGGAGGAGTGGCTGTTGCTGTTAGGAGTAAATATAAGTCATCTGTCATTGATATATATGTGTACCCACCTTTCAACCAGGTCAGTCCAAAGATAGATATTTTAGTAATTCAAGTCAGTGTCCATTACTCCAAAATATATGTGATTAATCTGTACATACCTCCTCAGGTAACCGTTACCGACTATGAAATCTTGTTGGAAGCGATACATAGTCTAGCGTTTTTACATACTGGCAGTATTTTCATTGTTGGGTACTTTAATATAACATCATATGCTGATTATCTTGAAAATAGTATCTCAAATAGTTACATAAACACTTTAAATGTTTTAGCAAGATTTTTCAATGTCATTCAGTATAATTACATACACAATGACAGTGGAAATTTGCTAGATTTAATTTGGAGCAATGCCATTTGCTATGTTGAACATGCTGATGATGCGTTAGTGTGTGAGGATCCCCATCATCCTGCATTGATTGTCACTGTGAGTCATTTTCCTTCCATCAAACATAATAACGTGTTGCATAGCGACTTTAAAGGTTCATATAATTTTAGGAAAGCTGACTTTCAGCTGCTCTATGAAATGATTGTGAATATTAGCTGGGGCGATTTGGAAAATTTTAGTGACGTTGATTTAGCTTGTGAATATTTCTATTTTGAGATCTATAGAATTCTTGATTGTTGTGTTCCTAAAGTTAGAATATCTTATAATAATAGGTATCCTCCTTGGTACAACAGCCATATCATTAGAACCCTCAAACAAAAAATGGTGGCATTCAAGACTTTCAGACGCACTGGTGATACTTATTATATAGAAAAATTTATAAGACTTCGCTCAGAGATAAAGCAACATGTAGCTGATTCATATCGTCGCTACATTCACTCTTTAGAGTGTGAAATATCCAAAAGCTCCGGCAAATTCTGGTCATTTGTTAATAGAAAAAGAACCTGCACTGGTATTCCGAAGGATGTGCTGTACAATGGGCTGGGATTGAATACACCTAATGATGTTGTAGGCGCATTTGCGGAACACTTTAGTGGGAGCTATAATACTCCAACAGCTCAATCTAATTTTTCTACTGACTACCATTTCACTACTACACCAGCTATGCCTAGTGTACAGGAAATCGATGTGCTACAGGCGCTCAAGAAAATTAAGCCAAAAATGACTGCAGGGCCTGATCAAATACCTGCATTTTTTGTGAGAGATTGTGCGTCCATTTTAGCATATCCACTCATGATCATTTTCAATCTCTCTCTGAAAAATAATCACTTTCCATCTATTTGGAAGTTGTCTAGGGTAACTCCTGTTTTTAAAAAAGGTGAGAGGAATTATGTAGAAAACTATCGGGCTATCACAATTATCAGTAATTTCGCTAAAACATTCGAAATAGTGATACAAACTGTGCTATATTTTCATGTAAGCAGGTCTATCTCCGTCAGTCAACACGGTTTCATGAAGGGCAGGTCCACAGTTACTAACTTGCTGCATCTTACTCAATATGTTTGTGAATCAATCGATAGACAACTTCAAACGGATGTAATATATACTGATTTCTCTAAAGCGTTTGATAGTTTAGACCACAACATTCTACTCAATAAGTTATCTAGATTTGGTCTTTCAGATGCATTGTTGCTATTTTTCAGATCTTATTTATGTCATAGGAAACAATATGTTATGTGCAATGGACATAAGTCAAGCGAATACCCTGTAATGTCCGGTGTTCCTCAAGGATCTAATTTGGGACTTCTGTTATTTATTATGTTCATAAATGATATTTCTGAAGTTATCGATGTCGATTTTCTTATATACGTAGTCATGCCATAAGTTCTGTCCCTCGTTTTCAAACAAGTGTAGACCTGTTAATACTTGTCCGATTGTTTACATTGTGGTGTCAGTTGATTAAGCGCTTTTCGGGTAATTACATATACCTCAGTTTGTATTGATCTCTCGAAGCATAACGATGGAGTGGGGCAAGGCAGAGAACCGTATTGCAGTGATAGCTTTACATAAGTGTAATCACAGTGCTAGTCAGATTTTTGAACTCTTACGCGGCCTTCAAATATCGCGTAAATTTGTGTCTAGGACCATTCAGCGGTACAATGAGACGTCCTCTGTTGATGACAGGCCAAGAAGCGGAAGACCTCGTCAAGTAAGGACTCCAGCAGCCATCAAAGCCGTAAAAGCCAGGATTCAAAGGAATCCACTCCGGAAGCAGAAGATCCTATCCAGGGAAATGAAGATTCCTGTCCGGACGATGTCGCGCATCATTAAACAAGACCTAGGGCTAGGGGCTTACCGGAGACGTACGGGCCAGCGACTTACGGCCACCTTGCGACACATCAGGGCGACAAGATCCAAGAAGCTCTTGGAGAGGTACGCAGCTGGGGGATTCCGAAAGATTTTGTTCACGGATGAGAAAATCTTCACCATAGAAGAAAAATTCAACCGACAAAATGACAAAGTGTATGCAAGGAGTTCACAGGAAGCTTCGGAGATCATTCCGAGAGTTGAGAGAGGCCACCACCCTGCGTCAGTCATGGTTTGGTGGGGGGTGTCCTACGAAGGGGTCACTCAGCTCCATTTCTGTAAACAGGGCGTGAAAACAAAAGCGGCAAACTATCAGAGCGACATACTGGATCCTATCGTCAAGCCTTTAAGTGGTACATTGTTTGCCAACCAACACTGGGTCTACCAGCAGGATTCCGCCCCCGCTCACAAGGCTAAGAGTACGCAGCGCTGGCTGGAAAGCAATGTGCCAGAGTTCATTGCTGCGGAAGATTGGCCCTCAGGGAGTCCGGACCTCAATCCTTTAGACTACAAGTTGTGGGATCTGCTAGAGCAGTTGGCCTGCTCCAAAGCCCACCGTAATATCGAGTCCCTGAAAGCGGATTTGATCCGATCAGCGGCAGCTATTCCTTTGGAAGCTGTGCGTGCAGTGATAGATGAGTGGCCCGCGAGATTGAAGCAGTGTGTGAAGGCCAAGGGGGGACATTTTGAATAAAACTGTTTGATTATGAATTCTAAAAATGTTGTCGAATAAATAATATCTTTCATATAAATATATCTTATCTTGTTTCATTTTTATCATGAGATTATCATGGGACAGAACTTATGGCACGACTACGTATGCTGACGATATGAAACTTTTCTGTAGAGTCTCTAACATTGACGATTGTCATCGCTTGCAATGCAACATTGTAAGGGTTGACAACTGGTGTCGTAAAAACAGACTTCACGTTTTGTCGTTTACTTTAAAAACAGGGGTAATGATGTATGAATATAGTATTGGTGACAGGAAACTTGACAGACCTAGTACAATTAATGACTTGGGAGTCACATTTGACAGAAAACTTTCCTTCTCCTATCACATTGAAAATGCTGTTGTGGCTGCATCAAAGGCGTATGGTTTTATTGTAAGAAATACAGGCGATTTCCACAACTCCTTTACACTGAAAATACTGTACTATGCTTATGTAAGATCTAAGCTTGAGTATGCGTCCCTGGTATGGTATCCTCATCATCAAATATATATTGACCGCTTAGAGTCCGTTCAAAGAAAGTGTTTAAAATACCTCTCATACAAAGCTGACGGGATATATCCCGCTATTGGCTTTCCTCATAGTGAGTTGATGGCGAGGCACAAAATCTATAATTTAGAGAGCAGACGCAAAATGAATTCACTTAAGTTCATTTACAAGCTCATCCACGGCATTATTGACTCCAGTGTCATCTTAGAACAACTTAACTTCTTAATTCCTAGATTAGCGTCACGAACTAGTTTAACTTTTTACTTGGCCAGGCCTAGGACTGACATACTTAAGTTTTCTCCTATATATATAATGTGCCGTAATTATAATTCAGTTAATAGCGTTTTAGATATATTTTCGCTTTGTGCGACTTTGGGAGACATTAATGCTTATTTTCGTTAATGCTTGCCGGTGTGATTGTTGAGTACTGGGTAGGTAAAGCTAGAACGCTTTTTTCCTAGTTCTGTTTGGAGGTTTTTTTTGCAGCGTTTTAGCTTTCTCTACATACATCCACAACATGCATTTGTTTATATTTTCATGTTTATCCATCCTGTAATTGGCTATGGCTGTTGGATGTTGCTAAATAAATAAATAAATAAATATGGTAAACATGGGTTGCTGATTATGTTTAGGTCGTAGGAAGACTAAAGGCCGTGTAGTCAGTCGTTCCTACAATTGTAGGACGCCTTTATGGACTCTTTGATGTTGATAGTTTGCTACTGTTCCGTGTCAGTGCTATAGTTTGAGGTTATGTGACGAATATCTGTTTGCATTAAATTGTTCATGCTTTTGATTTGCATCATCTGTTTTATCAGCCGGAAATTTCATGCAATTCAGAAAGAAAACATAACTTCACAATAGGAGAGCGCTGACGCTGACACGGAATAGGTGGAATCTAGAAATAGCCCAGCCTTTCTGAAGGAGACAAAAGTCTACGAGCCCCTTCCCACTTGAGTTGGTCCACTTCAAGATTTGTACCAAAATATGCCTTTATAAACTAAACATGACGAAACTATTTACTTCTAAAACAATTTATTTTCTCAAAAACATTTTAGATACACTCTAGTCGTAAAAAATACATATACTAAGTGACATATAAATCCGAACACCCAGTTTAAATGGTTTTATTTTAATAAAATTTTGTATAAGTACTTAATGAAGCATAATAAGTAAATGATAAAAATTTCAAAATGATTGCACTGCTTTAAAGCCCTTTGACCTTTAATAATGTGTGGCTGCACCCTGATGTGCTACGCATTCTCCAACGCGCCTAGGCATGCTTCTGATCAGGTGGTCAATGTCCTCCTGTGGTATCTCATTCCAGGCAACCACCAGCTCCTCTCGAAGTGCTTCTAGAGTCTGAGGAGGACGTTGCAAATTGAGCAATCTCCTACCCATCATATCCCACACGTGCTCAATTGGGGATAAGTCGGGAGATCTTGGTGGCCATGGTAACAATGTGACATCATTTTGTTGAAAGAAGTCTATTGTGACTCTTGCAACATGTGGTCGGGCATTATCTTGTTGGAAAGTTGGATCTGCCAGGGTGTCAAGATAGGGTAAAAGATGGGGTTCTAGAACTATCGTCTATGATCTAGATAGAAGCTGATTTTCTAGGTAAACTGGATGCGTAGAGTCCGAATTCGATGTCAATTCAGTGCTTAGGATTCACGGATAGCCCCGGAGTTTATTACCAATTTTTCACTCCGATTTCGGACCGATGACACTATACAATTTTTTCACTATGATGAGTAATATTCAGCGCCCCAAATTACCTTATTGTAAAAAATTCCGCTTACATGTAGCCATCGCCATAATGAATTTGTAAACTTTAAAGTCGCAAAACACGCATAGATTAGATATATCGACGATCTCAAATCAATACCTCGTAAGTACGAAAATGTCGATTTTCTGATGTTGTTCTGTTTTTATCCCTGTATGCGTACAGGAATGCTCTCAGAAAATCCATATCGATGGTTCTTATTCGAGAAGCATCGAAGATCCCAAATCAATACCTCGTAAGTCCGAAAATGTCAATTTATGCATAAAGGAATCAAAATCCGAAAATCAACATTTACGATATTTGAGATCGTCGATATGTGAAATGACATCGGATTCAATTTTAGAGACCCTAAATACATGCGATGGAGGTCATTCGAACCTCCGATTTTCAACCGTCACAAATTTTTTTTCGAAAATGATCTGGAGCCTCTGAAACGTCAAAAAACGTAGTTTGAGCATTTTTTTTCCTTTTTGACCTTTTTTCCGGCGCCACCGGACCGATTTTCCAAATCTACACACCTTTTTCGCCCTTGGCGTACATTGTGCAAAAGTTTCATCAAAATCCGACGTGTGTTATAATATACAGGGTGTAAACGTTATGACAGTCATTATTTAAATGGGTGATAGAGGCGGTTAAAAGATGCAAAAAGTTTCAAATAACGTGGGGGTCAAAACGGCATTTTTTTAGAGAAAATGTGTGTGAAAGTTTATTGAACGTATTAAAAAAATCCACTTATAGATAGGGAACACAATTTTGATGCATACATTGTTTTTCTTTTTAAAACCCACACTGCACTGTTTTTCTATTTAAAAAAGGTGTTCAAAATGTCGTCCCCCACTTTCCACACAAGCTTCATTACCACGAACCCAGTTTCTTCGTACTCTAAGTCCTCGAAGTTGTCAATTTATAAACCATCCCTTTAAGTTTATCCCAATACCAGAAATCCATCGGATTGAGGTCAGGAGATCTTGCTGGCCATTTTCGTGGATCAGGAGCATTTCGACCGATCCAGCGATTTGGATAATGTTGATTCAAACACTGAATGATGCCTCTAAAAATGTGTGGTGGTGCCCCGTCATGAATAAACCACAAGTTCTGTCTCCGTTGTAATGGCATGTTGTCTAAGGTCTGTTCCAAAAGTTCTGGTAGGTTATTGGCTAGAAAGCTAAGGTATCCTTCTCCTGACAACTTTGGGGGTAACTCGAAGGGGCCAATTACCTGATCGTCAAGAACACCCGCCAAAATATTTATTTTAAAACGTTGTTGGACATGACCTTCACGAATTGTATGAGGATTTTCTTGGGCCCACGTGCGAGTATTATGGAAATTTAATATCCCGTCTCGCGTAAAAGTACATTCGTCCGTCGATAGAATGTTTTTAAAAAAATCCGGATTTTCAATGTTTTTGTGCAAAAACCACTGACAGAATGGTGGTCTGCGAGGATAGTCTTCTAGTAACAAGGCCTGCATTCGTTGTTCATGGTAGGGATAAAGCAAATTCTCCCGTAGGATTCTATGGACTATGGTATGCGATAGTCCTACGCGGCAGCCTAATTCCCGAGTGCTGATATCTGCATTGATTTTCACGATATTTAAAATTTGTTCCTCCTGCTCTACAGTAACCTGTCTTTCACGAGTGCGAATATTAGTGGGCTGAACACTTCCTGTATCTCGAAGTATTTGGTACACTTGCACAAATGTCCTTCTGTGCTCGTATTCTTGACTTCAATAGAAATTCACACTCCCTCTCTTTTTCTACTCCCCCGATTTTCTATCGATTCGAAAATACTGTATTCTTGAAAGGACTCGATAGAAAGCAGAAAGGAAATCCAGACACAGGGTTGCCAGGTTTGGGTAAATGTGTTAAACCAATCAAAATGGAGATAATTTTGACTTTTTGACAGACAAAAAGTAACCAAAGATTTCGGCCGAGATTTTCTCATTATTTTATCTGGGATTTTATCTTCGGAGTCGAAAACGTCCAAAAAACACCTTACAAATGAGTAAAAGGAGAAATTGATTGAATTTCTCCGAGAACACCGCAAATTCACCAGGGAAAATTCACGCCGGCATATACCCGTGCCCAGTCCAAGGCGTTATGGACTGAAATGGAAAACAGATTAAATGCGTTGCCTAATGGAGCTTAGTAAAGACTGGGTGCAATGGCGAAAAGTAAGTATTACATTATATCTCTGTCTAATTATACTATTAAATAATGCATTTTGCATTTGCTTGGTACTGACTTAAAAAAATTATAATCGTTCTAGACATGGATTGATATAAAAAAAATTCAAAGTCGAGACTAGCAGACAGGAAAAAATATCAGTCTGGTACAGGGGGCGGTCCACCTCCAAGGCATTTTGATAATGTCGAAGACAAAATTATGGAACTAATTACTCCAGTTTGTGTCACTGGCAATGAGAATGTTCCAGACCCATTTGTGTTGGAAGAAATGCCTCATAGCTCATAGCATATCAGCATAAGATAAAATAATACTGAATTTAAATACTTGATTTATTACATAATCCAAAACAAGTATATAGTACCTATAAAGGTACAAGATATGTTACAAGGCATATACTGATTTTAAGAGATATTAAAGTGAGGCGTGGTTTATTTGAAGTAGATATTTGTATGACCTGATGAATATTTCACTATTAGTTACGATAAATGTTTTTCTAAATAGCAATAATGCACTTTTTTCAGCTAGATTATGATTACTGTGGTGATTTGGAAGAAGAAACAGATATGGCAATTGAAGTTGGACAGGCCGATGTTGCAAACACAGAATTAAATGAGATAAATGCTTCCCAAGCAACAAATTTAGAATCCTTAAATCCTGTTTTAAATACTGACACAAGTGTCAAAAGAGCACATAAGAGAGTTAACAAAACAATATGCTTAACAGAATCTATAAAGAATAATAAAAGATTTTTACAGCTAACCATGGAGTCAATGAAAAGTACAAAAAATTATCAGACTGAAAGGCTGAAAATATTGAAATCGTACTATGAACAAAAGATATTAAAATAGGAAAGCCACAGCACTAGAAGATATTTCTAATAGTATTAATAAAACATGTGAATATATGAATTAAATTAATTATTCAGTTTATGAGAAACCTTTGAAGTGTTATATCTACGTACCTGTTAGAATTAACTTTTATGAATAATATTTTTTTTGTAAGTACAACTGTTAAAATGTATCTTGTTTGTTTCTTTGTTTCTGATTAATGCTTAGACTTGAGACTGTTATGTACCTGTTAAAATTAACTCAGGATCAATCTTGAAGCCTTACGTTGTTAAGTTAGAGTGCTTCGAATTATTTATTTTCTTAGAAATAATTGTTTGGTTTAGTCAGATTTGTTTTTTAAAGGATACTTGTCTTGTTTGTCTGTTTTAGTTAGTGCCTAACCTAAGATTATTTATATTAAGCTTGAAACCAAACCAATTATAGTTTTATAGCAATGTTCGTACCTGTTAGAATAAAGAACAAATGTTTATTTTTACAAATTTTGTAATTTATTACTGTAGATATTTATTTTATCCATTAAAATGATTTAATATTATGTTCTCCTGTATCTGCCTTGCAGCAGCTAGGTCAGGATTTCCAGCTACTCTTGTTTGCTGTAGATTTTCCACAGTGCAATGCCATAGTCCGACACCTCTGGATGTGGCTCATCTGGGTCAGGTATACCATTATCAATGCACATATTGTGTAAAACACAACATGCATTAACAATTTTTCCTGCTATTGTAGGACTATATTGTAGGGTCCTGTACCGTAAAAGGCATCTAAACCTGTTTTTCAAGACACCATTACATCATTTTGTTTCTTGAAAGTTACATCTCTCCAAAGAAAGTCAAGTTGTTGCATTTTAGAAAAACTTAAGAAGAATACCTAATAACATATATACACTATGCCGCTAATTAAGAAAACTTACCTTCTACGCAGAACGCATCAATTGATTGAAATTATCCATTTTTTGCAATAACTTTAACGAACGACAATAACAATGCCAAAAACGTCAATTTTCAGGTTATACAGGGTGACTTCGAAGTTGAGTCATTTATTTTAACAGTGAGTAGATCTGATCAAAAGAAATGTTTTTTCCTTTACCATTTTTCTGGTAAAATTAAAGTAACAAAGTTATAGCCCTGTGGAAGTTTGAGTACCGCCCTGTCTCAATAATAATATGTGCTCGTGTTTGGTTCATCGCATCGGAAACAAAAAAGCGAAAGAATTTGGAACGATGTTTTTACAATTATTTTAGTCAGTTGTATACAGTCAGTGTCAGTCGGTAACGCGTTTGAATAGTGGTGTCTGTTGCGTGGCTCAAACGAAATAAAAAATGGCACATGTTTATGCGGATCGGTTTCCCAATCGAGTGCAAACAACCCCTCGTGCCTTTGTTAATGTAGTACAACGGGCTCGTGAATCAGGTGACTTAAGACCACACAGGGGACTGCATGCCGGTGCTCCAAGACCTCACGATCAAATACAGGTCCGCACTGAAATACTTGTCGGGAGGATACTTTATAAAACACGGTAAAATTTTTTTTTATTTTTACACACATATTTTGGTTTACCTTCCTTCTACAATCATTATCTGAAAATTAATGACTCAACTTCAAACTCACCCTGTATAGCGCTATTTTCTACTAATTTTTCCAGTTTCTCTTGGTCGGTACCAAGAGAAATCGCGACACCCTAAAGTGAATTCATTTCTATCACTTTTCAGTAGAAATGATTTCAAGAATACTGCCTTTCTTGGCCACGCCCACTTTTTGCCACTTTCTCTTACAATTTCTACTCCCTCAAACTGAAGAATAGGGACACAGTATGGGTGTTTCCGTTGGCGAAATCTGTCGCGATAAAATTGAGCTGCAAGATTTGAATTCTGACGAGCTTCGACAACATGTCGGCGAACTCTTGATTCGAGAACATTGTAAATAAACACGACGACGTACGCGAACAAAAACAAAACAACACGCCCGATGCCCGATAACTAACCACTGTTACCGTTTGCGATCGATTGCCGGTTCGATAAGAGTGATGAAAGGCCGACGCGCTGTTGTCATGTGTGTTTTAAATACTTAATTTAATGAAATTTACTTACTGACTACAAATTTTGGCTTAACTTAGTAAAAACTTAATGCCATTTATTTGTTAATTACCCAATTTAAAAACGATTTAGATTAGATTATAAAAATTAGTAAGATTGTGGTGATTGTGGTCGATAAGCGATAAAGCCAATTAGACAAAAACCTATTGACTTTTGGACCATGGGTCAAATGAACTTTTTCACTTGTTTTGACCCCCCGCTATTACCCATTTCAATAATGGCTACCATAACGTTTACACCCTGTATAAATAAAACATTAGCGAACAGACCGGCAGAAATAAGTAACATGGCTTTTCGTGATGTACATGTCATATAACATTCAAAAAAGAATACTTCCTCGACCAGTAAAACGTTTCCTCTCAAATTCGAAGACATCCGCAATCACAATACTTCCCTCGCCTATTAATTTCTAGGGTTTTTAGGTCCATATCGCCTGAATCAAAATATACCTTGCTAACTTTACCGTACTATCGAAATACACGTCGCCATGGTAACCGCTTGAGCCACATGCTCACCATACCAACACCATACAAACATTATTCCCATGCTAGGGGGTTAGGAAGTGATATTATGAAGTGAGTTAACGTCAACAAAATAGTTAAAATGAGTGGATCACAGGTAATTATTAATAAAAATAATAACAATCGTTAAGGAATACTGATTTCATACTAATTATCCCGCCGCCACTGGGCGGCTCCGACGCAGTGAGTTTCAAGCCATTTACAAGGGTTCAGCTGCTTCGAAACTGACACTCCATTTTTCAATATTTTTGAATGAAATTCATACAGTATGTTGAGAAGATAATTGCCCAGGGTGCTATAGGAGCACTTTTTGAAATTTTGTTTTTGCACAAGTTTTATGATGGGTTGCAGTGCGCACTTTTTCTGTTCATTTTTTTTAAATAGAACCTAGTGGAAAAAAATGAAAAAGTGGCTCTATAGCACCCTCTGGGGTTTTGTTTTCAGCACGCTGTGAAAATTTCATCCAAAAGTATAAAAAAATAAAGCGTCAATTTCGAAGCGCGCAAACCTCTACAAATCGAATTTTGGACGAATTTTGTCTACTGCTTCGTGCTGCCAACCCAAGCGTTGCGGCGCAATGTACGGACTAAGAAAGGACGTATTCAGATAATTTGGTGGCCCTATTTCATATAATATCGCGTAGATAAGTCGTTCTGCAAATAAAATTTCTAAAATGAGATGTTATGTTTTTTTAAGTCATATGACATTACATCACGAAATAATGTATCACTCATCATCAACTTGGAAATTACGGCTCGGATTTTTATGAAATTTCCACACGGGGTTACTAGTATGCCAAAGCTTTGTAGTTTTAGTCCAGTGGCAACGGTGCTATAGGCAAAAAAGAAAAAGTAACAATTGCTGAAACTCCGTTTTTGACGTTTCAGGGGTTCCTAATCATTGACATAAAAAAATTGTACTGCTAAAAAGGGGGGTTGAAATCAGTGAAACGCGTTCTATTATTAAGAAATTTAAGTAATGAAAATCCGTCGAATAATGTGCTTACTTGCTGAGTACCAAAATGGGAAACGATTTACAGGCTAGATCGCTAATCGAAATCCGACGCTGTTATACTAAGTGACATATAAATCCGGACACCCAGTTTAAATGGTTTTATTTTAGTAAAATTTTGTATAAGTACTTAATGAAGCATAATAAGTAAAGGATAAAAAATTCAAAATGATTGCACTGCTTTAAACCAGCTCGGTAGTTTCCCAATACGACTACTGGTTTTCAAGGTATATCACCGTCCTTGGATTTGACCTTGACCATGACCTCCTAAGGTCAAAATTTAAGAATGATCAAAAAACGTATACTAAGTGACATATAAATCCGAACACCCAGTTTAAATGGTTTTATTTTAATAAAATTTTGTATAAGTACTTAATGAAGCATAATAAGTAAATGATAAAAATTTCAAAATGATTGCACTGCTTTAAAGCCCTTTGACCTTTAATAATGTGTGGATGCACCCTGATGTGCTACGCATTCTCCAACGCGCCTAGGCATGCTTCTTATCACGTGGTCAATGTCCTCCTGTGGTACCTCATTCCAGGCAACCGCCAGCTCCTCTCGAAGTGCTTCTAGAGTCTGAGGAGGACGTTGCAAATTGAGCAATCTCCTACCCATCATATCCCACACGTGCTCAATTGGGGATAAGTCGGGAAAACTTGGTGGCCATGGTAACAATGTGACATCATTATGTTGAAAGAAGTCTATTGTGACTCTTGCAACATGTGGTCGGGCATTATCTTGTTGGAAAGTTGGATCTGCCAGGGTGTCAAGATAGGGTAAAAGATGGGGTTCTAGAACTTCGTGGATATAACGGTGCGCGTTCATGTTACCTCTGATGAAGATTAAAGGTGACCTGGAACCATAAGCTATAGCACCCCAAACCATAACTCCAACAGTGTGATGAACATGTCTTTCAACAAAAAACTGTGGATTCCTGCTTTCACCACGTCGCCTTCTAACCCTGGCACGACCATCGTGCATGCCTAAACAAAATCGAGACTCGTCACTAAAGACAATACTGTTCCATTCCTGATCCCAGAGTGACCGTTGTCTGCACCACTCAAGGCGATTACGTCGGTGTTCTCGAGTTAAAGGAAGGACCCAGTGTGGCCGGTATGAAAACAAGTCAAACCTTCTCATTCGTCGGTAAACACTTCGCATGCCAATAGGTCTTCCGTGTTCTGCAAACCATTCATTTGCAATGGACCTGGTAGTGGAGAAACGGTCCCTTAAGGCCAATAATCTTAGACGGCGATCTTCACGGTCTGTTGTTCTACGGCGGCGTCCAGTGCCCCTTGCTCTTTGCGTACGGCCTTCTCGAAGCCATGCCTGACAACACCTAACCACAGTGTCTACACTTCTTTGCACTCTAACTGCAATTGCCCGAAAAGAAAGTCCAGCTTCCCGAAGTCCCACTATACGGCCCCTATCAAACTCACTAAGTTGACGAAATCGTACAGGTCTCCGTACTCTAGACATCCCAACCGATCGTAAAGGATGTCAAGAACCAAAATCCGCCTTCTTTGATTCTTTACTGCGGCTGAAGTATTCATTTTTAGAGCGTTAGTGAATCAAAAAACAAGCAGTATAAAAACCGGAATGTCCAACTGATAAGGCTGAAAATTTTTTCACTTGTTATTTACAGTAAGATAAATACATTCACCAACTTTTACTAAAATAAAACCATTTAAACTGGGTGTTCGGATTTATATGTCACTTAGTATATTATAAAAATTTACTTCGGTAGGCACCCGCAGTCATCCTTTTCTCCTTTAAAGTAGCGCTGACGACCGTCTAATCCCAGCCCACCCTCGTTTCCTTTTCACAACCCCGTTACCTCAGGTGCTCGTGATTGTAGGAGCCCCGTTAAAGAGCCACATACCGTTTCCGTCGTTAGATTAGCAATAATCTAGTGTTAAAATTTGGTCATGTCAGGTAGAATTTTCCGACGAAGGACTAGAAGGAGGGAAGCCTATAGGAGGTTGCTTAAATTGGGGCAAAGTTGCGTATTCAGGTAATTAACAAAATGCCGCTTACAAAGTTTATAGTAGTGGGGAAAAAAGAAAAGAAAAAAAACGAATTTACCGAAACTATTTTAATTTTTCCCGGACTTTATCTGAAGTGGGATTTGAAAATAAGTTGCACATTAACATTGCCACTTTTCCTCCTCTAGATGACATACATTTTAATATGACATTTCGTCTCTTGTCCTCAATCATCAACTTATAGACGCCATATTGGACGTTTGCACTGACAGAGTTTTTAATTCTGATTCCAACAATGTATAATATACATTAACATTGCAAAATCTTAGTTATTAAAAAAAAAAAGAAGTAAGTTCCTAGGTAGGCCTTGAAATTATCAGATCATCATTTGTTGCATATACCAGATTTATCGCAAAATAATTTTTTTTTCCTGACTTTATTGAGATGGGGTTTCAAAATAAATTGCGTATTGTCATTACCACTTTTCCACTTTTTCTGCTACAACATGGTGTAGTAAAATTTTCAATTCGAGGTCTCTTTTTTCGGCTTCCATCACGAACTTAATTATTTCATATGGACGTCTTATTGGAATTTTGTACATAATACTGTGTACTAAGAATATTATTATTTTAATTAAATATGTGAAGTTTATCGTGACATCAAAAATCGTGTTCTCTTGTGCAAAATTTTATTTAAAGGAAAGTCCAATTGAGACTTTTACGACGTCTTCTTGTAGATAAGAAAGAGTGGCAATGCTTATATGCAATTTATTTTAAAATCCCATTTCAAATAAAACCAGGAAATAAACCACGAGTTTGCCATAAATCCGGTTTGCGAAACAAATGATTGAGATAATTCCAAAGCCTACCTAGGAAATTCTATGATTCATGACATTGTGACACAGCATTTGAACATGCTCAAGGTGTGCGCGAAGATGGTCCCAAAAGTGCTCACTGACGACCAGAAATTGCGGCGAGTGGAAGCGTGCCAAGAAAATTTGAACATGTGTGAAAGTGACCCCCAATTTTTGAATAACGTAATCACAGGTGACGAGTCGTGGATCTTTGAGTATGATCCCGAGACAAAGAGGCAATCTTCCGAGTGGCACACGACGGCGTCTCGTCCAAAAAAGGGAAGAATGAGCAAATCCAAAGTGAAAACGGTGCTTATTGTCTTTTTTGACATCAAAGGCATCGTCCACCGTGAATGTGTTCCTCCTGGACAAACCGTCAACGCCAAGTTTTACGTGGAAGTGCTCAGGAAACTCAAACGAAGGCCGGCATCCCAACGCTTCCGCAGCCGCCCTACAGCCCAGATGTGCCCCCCCCCCCCCCCCCCGGGGACGCAGAAGGAGCCTATTTTGAAAGTTTTTAAAGAATTGTAACGATTGGCTCAATAAATTTTTTTAAATCGACTCAGTCCTATTACATTCCGCACAAACCCTGTATTTTTGGAATCAGAATTAAAAACTCATCTGTGCAATAATTCAATAAAGAGTCATTTAGAAAAAATAAAATTGATAATTGAGGATAGAAGACGAAACGTCATATTGAAATTCTAATTATACCACCTTGTAGAGGAAAAAAGTGGCAATGTCAATGTGCAATTAATTTTGAAATCCCACTACAAATAAGGTTAAGAAAAAATTAAAACAATTTTCGGAAAATTCTGGTTCTTACGTCTCTCTTCGGAAGTACTTTGAATTTCGAAACTTTCTAAGCGACATTTTGTTGATTACATAAATGCGCAACTTTGTCCCCATTTAAGCGCTTCCGTATCTCTTACCGTTTCCGAGATACCAATGGTGAGAGTCGAATTTGAAATACCCGGCATACATACAGGTATATACAGGGTCTTCCTTAATGATATGCGAATATTTAAAATTAATGTTAATTTGCTTTATAAACTATGGGTAAAAAATGTTTCGATACAAAAACTCGGGGTGTTGAAGTTTTAGGAAAACAATGGAAATTAATTAATATTTTTAGAACCGCTTCAAATATTTCACTGATATTAAGTAGGTAGTGAAAGTAAAAAAAGCTGCATATTTTTCAATGCAAAAATAACTTTTGGCTTTAACAGTGCCGTGCGTACGGGTATTGACTTCGGTATTTTTTAAGAAAAAAATGGTACGCCAATGGTTTTTTGCCACCCCGAGTTTTTGTTATAAAGCAAACTAACATTAATTTTTTATGTAGATTCACACCCTTAAATATTCGTATATTATTAAGGAACACAATGTATACACTCAGCACCAAACTTGTCTGATAGATTGAGTTCAATGTGTACGAGACAGAAGTGTGTATAGACACGTATGTTAGAAAGACATAGAAGAAAAAAAATAGTTTTTTGTCACCTTACAGGAGCAGTTGATAGAATTAAGCGAAATGCGGCTGAAGTCCCCAGTGAGAACTAAAATAAAAAGAAACAACAAAGTCGCTCAAAGTTGCTCGAATTCAATCTGCTCTACCAGCGACGAGTCTAACATCATCAGCGTTTTTTCTGCAACAGAGCACACTCATTCAACTAAAGGAAATGAACTGCATGAATCATCGATATCTTTGACAGACAGTGTCTTTGTAAAACCCGGATCTAGCGAAAATAAGAAGCAGGACAGCGGGCAATACTATAGACAGAAACTATCGGAACACTTGAATAGAATAAGACAAAAAGCCAGCGGCTCGGCCAATCCGCAACCATTGAAAAGTATCAAATCCGAGGAGGTTGATACACCAAGAAGTGAAGAACTAGCTGGATTAAGAAGTAGACTGCATGTTGATGCGACATCGTCCACCGATGGACGCCGTGCATTTTTTGCATTCAACAATGAAGAACAGGTAAGATAACTTGATAGTTTTTTTAACTTTTTTTAAGTTATAATTCTTTTTTAGAAAGAATCCCCGCAGGACTACGATAAAAACGTCTACTACATGTCAGCAGAATGGTTGGACTTCGTCCTACAGTCTACCGAAAAGGAATGGTTTTTTCAACCTACAAGGTAACGCCAACATATACTAAGTGACACATAAATCCGAACACCCAGTTTAAATGGTTTTATTTTAATAAAAGTTGGTGAATGTATTTATCTTATTGTAAATAACAAGTGAAAAAATGTTCAGCCTTATCAGTTGGACATTCCGGTTTTTATACTGCTTTTTTTTAATTCACTAACGCTCTAAAAATGAATATTTCAGCCGCAGTAAAGAATCAACGTTGGCGGATTTTGGTTCTTAACATCCTTTACGATCGGTTACGATGCCTAGAGTACGGAGACCTGTACGATTTCGTCAACTTAGTGAGTTTCATAGGGGCCGTATAGTGGGACTTCGGGAAGCTGGACTTTCTTTTCGGGCAATTGCGGTTAGAGTGCAAAGAAGTGTAGACACTGTGGTTAGGTGTTGTCAGGCATGGCTTCGAGAAGGCCGTACGCAAAGAGCAAGGGGCACTGGACGCCGCCGTAGAACAACAGACCGTGAAGATCGCCGCCTAAGATTATTGGCCTTAAGGGACCGTTTCTCCACTACCAGGTCCATTTCAAATGAATGGTTTGCAGAACACGGAAGACCTATTGGCATGCGAAGTGTTTACCGACGAATGAGAAGTTTTCATACCGGCCACACTGGGTCCTTCCTTTAACTCGAGAACACCGACGTAATCGCCTTGAGTGGTGCAGACAACGGTCACTCTGGGATCAGGAATGGAACAGTATTGTCTTTAGTGACGAGTCTCGATTTTGTTTAGGCATGCACGATGGTCGTGCCAGGGTTAGAAGGCGACGTGGTGAAAGGAGGAATCCACAGTTTTTTGTTGAAAGACATGTTCATCACACTGTTGGAGTTATGGTTTGGGGTGCTATAGCTTATGGTTCCAGGTCACCTTTAATCTTCATCAGAGGTAACATGAACGCGCAGCGTTATATCCACGAAGTTCTAGAACCCCATCTTTTACCCTATCTTGACACCCTGGCAGATCCAACTTTCCAACAAGATAATGCCCGACCACATGTTGCAAGAGTCACAATAGACTTCTTTCAACATAATGATGTCACATTGTTACCATGGCCACCAAGATCTCCCGACTTATCCCCAATTGAGCACGTGTGGGATATGATGGGTAGGAGATTGCTCAATTTGCAACGTCCTCCTCAGACTCTAGAAGCACTTCGAGAGGAGTTGGTGATTGCCTGGAATGAGATACCACAGGAGGACATTGACCACCTGATCAGAAGCATGCCTAGGCGCGTTGGAGAATGCGTAGCACATCAGGGTGCATCCACACATTATTAAAGGTCAAAGGGCTTTAAAGCAGTGCAATCATTTTGAAATTTTTATCATTTACTTATTATGCTTCATTAAGTACTTATACAAAATTTTATTAAAATAAAACCATTTAAACTGGGTGTTCGGATTTATATGTCACTTAGTATATATAGTAGAAAACACCAGCTTTATCACTCCCTAATCAAATTTGCAGCATAAAAATAACACATGTTGCAATTACAGCATATCAACCTATTGTCATTTCAATGCAAAATAAGTCTATAACGCATAGGTGGCTGTGAAAAATAAAAGCCATGACAATTGTTTTTATTAATCACAGCTGTCAGAATACGTTTAAAATAGTTTTGGGTAGTTAAGGTTTTCAAAATGGGTAGAGGAAAGGTTATTAGTGAGAAAATTCGGTTACTGATAATTAAATTTTTTAATTCTGGTAAATCAAACTCAGAAATTGCAACTTTGTTAGACTTATCGCGGTACAGTGTGAGAAATATTGTTAGAAGATATAACGTAACTGGTTCAGTTAATATTAAGCCACGATATGTGAAAAAAAGTAATATCACATATGCCGACCGAAGAGCATTAAGAATAATCGTGAAAAACTGGCGCGCCAATTATTTACAATTAAGTGCTCAGTGGAGTGACGCTTTTGGAACGAGAATTTCGAGGTCCACAACTCATAGAGAGGCCCACAAACTGTGATTTAGCACTTGCAAGGTAAGTTTTCTTATAAAAAAAGTGAAGTAAAAACCCTAAAGTTGCACAACTTGTTTATAGGCCAAAGAAAAGCCACTATTAACTCCACTGCAAAAGAAAAATCGCCTTAGATGGGCTAAAGAACATAGACAATGGACACCTCAACAATGGTGTGCAATACAATGGAGTGATGAGGCCCGATTCGAAGTTTGTGTTGGTGACAGTCGCAGTAGAGTTATTCGCAAAAAAAATAAGCATTCCATGTTGACTGCCTGAAGAGAAAAGTGAAATTTCCAGACTCCATTATGGTCTGAGGCAGTATGTCATCAAAAGGAGTAGGAAAACTTCATTTTATTGATGGAAATGGATACAAACAAATATTTGGCAATTTTAGAAGAATGGCTTTTACCAGTGATTGATCGAAGAATGTTTGACATCCGGCCAAGATTTTGTTTCAGCAAGATGGTGCAGCGTGCCATACCTCAAAAAAGGCTATAAAATGGATGGAAGAAAATAATGTACCACTTTTGAAATGGGTTTCTAGAAGTCCAGATCTGCCACCTACTGAAACTTTGTGGCACGAGATAAAAAATGTTCTACAACAACATCCTGCTCGTACAATCACCGAACTGAGACAAAAGCTTCAAGAAATATGGGATTGTTTTACACCAAATTTTTGCCAAAACTTGGTTAACACTATGCCCCAAAGAATTTCAGCCGTAATAAAAAATAAAGGTGATGTTACCCAATGGTAATCTTTCAATTCTTGCTTTGTTAACATTCGCACATTGTTTATTGTTCAGATGTTCTATTAGTTACAGGTCTAAGTGATTTAAAATATGTATTTTTTACGACTAGAGTGTATCTAAAATGTTTTTAAGAAAATAAATTGTTTTAGAAGTAAATAGTTTCGTCATGTTTAGTTTATAAAGGCATATTTTGGTACAAATCTTGAAGTGGGCCAACTGAAGTGGGAAGGGGCTCGTAGTATGAATGAATATGACACGATTTTAAAATATTTTACTTTAAAATATATTTTTACGCTTTTTCATAATCGCTGGGGGCGCCTGATTAATCAAACAAGCTTTCTCCAATTACATTTCATATTTTATCTCACTTGTCTTTGATATAAAAAGAATTCAGAAAATACGTTGGTTCTACCTTTTTGTCCAACCATTGTACGCAATATTATATTAGATCCTATTAATAAAATCTAGTGGGCCATGTTTGATTTGATGATAAGAATTTCGTTATTTCAGGCAACCTCTAGAAATCAGTACAAAGCAAGGAATCGTAGATCCGCCAATGCTAGACGATCAAGATATCTTCAAAATCAATTTAGATAAAAAAGTACGGATAAGAAATATAATAGAACAAAGATTGTTGGCAGATGGCGACAGGTACTAGCATATGTAAATTTAAGTTGGTTGAAAGAAAATAACAAATACGAGGGCGGTCCTATAAGTACTTATCCTCCAATTTTGGAAAGTGGCGATTTATTTCTCAACATAGACAACAGCCGTCTGAAAGTCATGTTTTCTGGAGATCTGCAAAGTACGAGTAGGTCTCCGTGACGGCGATAACTTCATTCAACTCAAACTTCTGCCCGGCGAGTGAATTTTTCAAGTTTGGTAACAAAAAGAAGTGTAATGTTTTTTCGTTTCCTTGAGTTTATTTTCCAACATTTTGAACTAGCAGTCGTTTAATCATACGATATTTCGAAAACAGACGTAGACTGTGTTAATACTTTTAGAAAAAAAGGTCCGTAAAAGACTGGATTACGTGACCTACTTATTTGACAAAGTCATGCAGTCATCAATAATGCAGCCATTTAGCATATGCTGCTATGAGTATATTTGGTGTGAGGCAGCAAGAAAGCTGTAGACCTATTCTACTGGCACATCAAGTACTGACAGTAAAGGAATATATATATATATATATATATATAACTTGAGACGTGGTCATTGTCGTCTAGACCAGTTAGGTGAAAAATTAAAGCTTCCGCCTTTTGTTGGGTACTTCGACAAAATTTAAGCAAAGAGGACTCTTTATACTTTTTTTAATTCTCTCTAGCTTTCAATGGACTTTGCCATCATCATCAGCAGCTGCAATTACAATGAAAACAGTAGCAACAAAAGTGTAAAATGAATTTAAATTGAATCAACTTACAGTAGTATGTGAGGATGTTGCTAATTGTTGTTTTCGTATAGGATGAGGGAAACGTCCAGTAACATGGTGAGAGCTGGATACATGGTACAATCGTTAAAATTATATAAAATATGACAAGACAAGTTAAAGACAGATTAAAAATTATTTAGAAAACATTAGAGCATTACGTCGTGAAGCCACTTGATGATTGCACAAAATGGTGGTCATGGAATAATGAGTGAGATGAACCTTCGACAGAAGGCCGAAGGTTGTCAATGTCTGTGTTGAAAGATGGAACGAATTGTGGGCGTGTGCCAAAACGTTGCCAAATCACTTCAGATGATGTGATTTTCAGAATGTTATGTAAGAAATTGTTAAACCGACCAGAGGCAGTTGAATAAACTATATTTTAATTAATGACCCCTAAGCTGATCAGATTGTGCAGTCCTTTGAACTTTCGAATTGCTTGCAGATCCGTCCTCACTAGAAACCGCATTTTTTCAAAAATGAAAGACAAAGTCCCGCTGCTTGGCTTAACTAACACAGTCTACTCCATCAATTGCAACAACTGCAACCAAATATACATAGGTCACACCTCCAGATCTCTTAAAGGAAGGATTACATCACACAAAAGTGATGCTAGGCTTCATCCTGAAAGATGCGCTCTAGCATCTCATGTTAGCACAACAGGGCATTCTATGAATTACACAAGTATCAAAGTTCTTGATAAAGAAAAACAACTTTCCAAACATTTATTCCTGGAAAAGTCCCACATTTTCATGAATAACAACTGTATCAACAAAAAGACAGATATTAAACAACTGAGTGTCATTTACTCATATTTGCTAAACTGCGAACAATTGGAGAACTTACATATCTCCCCAAATTTCGACTTTTCACAAACATAAATATAATCTGTGTTTTGGCCGATTCCACCAACAAATTTCATTCCACTCAAAATCTAATAATTCTCTTCTCACGATTTATTAATAATTATTAATTTAAAATTCCCATTAATTAAAATATAGTTTATTCAACTGCCTCTGGTCGGTTTAACAATTTCTTACATAACATTCTGAAAATCACATCATCTGAAGTGATTTGGCAACGTTTTGGCACACGTCCACAATTCGTTCCATCTTTCAACACAGACATTGACAACCTTCGGCCTTCTGTCGAAGGTTCATCTCACTCATTATTCCATGACCACCATTTTGTGCAATCATCAAGTAGCTTCACGACGTAATGCTCTAATGTTTTCTAAATAATTTTTAATCTGTCTTTAACTTGTCTTGTCATATTTTATATAATTTTAACGATTGTACCATGTATCCAGCTCTCACCATGTTACTGGACGTTTCCCTCATCCTATACGAAAACAACAATTAGCAACATCCTCACATACTACTGTAAGTTGATTCAATTTAAATTCATTTTACACTTTTGTTGCTACTGTTTTCATTGTAATTGCAGCTCCTGATGATGATGGCAAAGTCCATTGAAAGCTAGAGAGAATTAAAAAAGTATAAAGAGTCCTCTTTGCTTAAATTTTGTCGAAGTACCCAACAAAAGGCGGAAGCTTTAATTTTTCACCTAACTGGTCTAGACGACAATGACCACGTCTCAAGTTATATATATATATATATATAAATTTATGATTGGACTAACGTGCTGCCACGTTGATTATCGTCAAACTAATTTTTAATGGTTGCCAACAAAGAACCGAATCACCGATCGATATCGCCCTTTTTTCATTTTTCTACGAGTCCATATTTCCTGAAATTTTACGAGAATATACTGCATGATAGTAAATTTCTCTGCAATAGTACTAATCGGACCGTCCTGGTAGTTAAACGTATTTACTTGTCTTCTGTTTGCAGGCGATGGTTTGATACAAATGGAGAGTTATTCTTTCTAAATGCTATGTTCAAAACTGACGCTTTTCTACCCAAAGACATACCAATAGACTACACTTTAACCATCTATAAACCACCATATTTACAACAGGAATTTGAAGAAGTGCGAATCATCAAAGATCAAATTTTAAATTTGTATCTGTCTGAGTTGAAATTCTCATTTCACCCTCTGTTCAGTTGTGAACATTTGTTTGCTGAACAGCTACGGCATATATGTGATGAATATAGCAAATCTAAGACCAAAGAGATTAAAAAACAACTGGATGCACTCAGAAATGATAAAGAATCCAAAGAAGAAGATAAAGCAGCTTCAGAAGACAGTGAAGATACGGAGAAGCGTAACCTAACCAGAGAAATTAAAAAGTTGCGTACACAGTATTTTCGAGACTTAGAAAAAGAACGAATTTACCTCAAAACGATCCTAGAAGTATGGAAACAAATAAAAACTATAAGAGAACAACAGGGATACTCTAACACAGATATACATTTGAAAATACTGAAAAAGCCTGTTGACCTAGAAGCAGATGCTGAAGCATATGATACAGAGTTTGAGCTAACCCTTAAGGAAATAATAGATGAGCATAAAGCTAAAGAAGCAAAGGACACAGACACAGAATCGATAGCTTCGTCCGTAAAAACTGACGAAGATAAGTTGAAACAAAAGCTGACTAAGCGTTTCAAGAAATGTATGAGGCAGCCTGGAGAACCTGTCGTGTCATTTGTGTTGTCAAAGCAGCACCAGGTTACTGAAGAAGTAGCGAACTTTAAAGAGAAAGCAAGGATAGACGCAGTAGCTTCAACCAAATTGTATCTAAGAATACTATGCAAAAATATTGAAGCCTGCAAAACACCACTTTTCAACCTAAGTGATGACTTTATCGTGGATATAAATGAAACGTTTTCTTTGCAGCTGGTGGACGTGCCACAATATTTGATAGTTGAGGTATACAATTTTGTAGCTCTTATTTAAGAACCATCATAGTTTTAGGTTACCTTAAAATAACAGAGAGATTGTTCATAAAAATATTACGAACCAGGGAATATTTAGTATTTCCAAAAACGCGGGCCGGTAAGACGAGTGAGTTCTGTCCCACACAATATGCGAATCATTCTATTCAACCATTACAAACCGATCCTCCATTTCTGTACCGCTAAAAGTTTACAGTAACATTGTTCTTAGATTTCAAGAGAACATTTGAGACTATTGACAGCGAGAAATTGTTAACGAAATTGCATTGCTATGGATTTCAATGTTCAGTATTCAACTTATTACAAAATTATTTAATCAATAGAAGTCAAAGAACTAAAATTGGCAATACATTATCAAACATTAAAAACATTTCGGTAGGTGTGGCACAGGGTAGCAAATTAGGTCCATTACTATTTATTTTATATATTAACGATGGTCCTGATATTTCACAACACTGCAAAATTCAACTATTTGTAGATGATACCTTAATATATATATATATATATATATATCTTGAGACGTGGTCATTGTCATCTAGACCAGTTAGGTGAAAACTTAAAGCTTCCGCCTTTTGTTGGGTACTTCGACAAAATTTAAGCAAGTAGGACTCTTTATACTTTTTTTATTCTCTCTAGCTTTGCCATCATCATCAGGAGCTGCAATTACATTGATAACAGTAGCAAAAATAGTGTAAAATGAATTTAAATTAACTTACAATAGTATGTGAGGATGTTGCTAATTGTTGTTTACGTTAAGGATGAGGGAAACACCCAGTAACATGGTTAAAGCTGGATATATGGTACAAGTTAAAAACAGCTTTCAGCATGTTAATGGGTGTTTCCCTCATCCTTAACGTAAACAACAATTAGCAACATCCTCACATACTACTGTAAGTTAATTTAAATTCATTTTACACTATTGTTGCTACTGTTATCAATGTAATTGCAGCTCCTGATGATGATGGCAAAAACCATTGGAAGCTAGAGAGAATAAAAAAAGTATCCTTGCTTAAATTTTGTCGAAGTATATATATATATATATATATATATATATATATATTTCGCCAAAATTCAGGCAAAGAGGACTCTTTATACTTTATTAATCTCTAGCTTTCAATGGACTTCGCCATCTTCATCAGGAGCTGTAATAATATCGAGAAGAAATAGCAACTACTGTGCAAAATGATTTTAAATTAACTTACAGTCGTATGTGAGATTGTTGCTAAATGTTATTAACGTTTAGGTTGAGGGAAACACCCAGTAACCTGGTGAATGCTGGATACATGGTACATTCGTCAAAATTAATATAAACTACACACAGCTGTATGTCAGGAACAAATTAAAACGGATTAAAAATCTTTAAAACGAAAGTTGAAATTACATCGTGAACCACCTGATGCTGCACAAAATGGTGGGCACAGGATCACAAGTAGGATGAAACATTTGACAGGTGACAGAAGGTTGGTGGTGTCAGTGTCGAAACGTTAATAACATTTAGCAACAATCTCACATACGACTGTAAGTTAATTTAAAATCATTTTGCACAATAGTTGTTATTTCTTCTCAATGTTATTGCAGCTCCTGATGAAGATGGCAAAGTCCATTGAAAGCTAGAGATTAATAAAGTATAAAGAGTCCTCTTTGCTCAAATTTTGTCGAAGTACCCAACAAAAGGCGGAAGCTTTATTTTTCACCTAACTGGTCTGAACGACAATGACCACGTCTCAAGTTATATATATATATATATATACAGGGTGACTTTGAAGTTGAGTCATTAATTTTCAGATAATGATTGTAGAAGGAAAATAAACCACCAAAATATGTGTGTAAAAATTAAAAAAAAATGTAAAAAAAATGTTACCTTGTTTTATAAAATATCCTCCCGACAAGTATTTCAGTGCGGACCTGTATTTGATCCTGCGGTCTTGGAGCACATACCCTCCCGTGTGAGGACTTAAGTCACCTGATTCACGAGCCCTTTGTACTATATTAACAAAGGCACTAGGGGTTGGTTTACACTCGATTGGGAAACCAATCCGCATACATCCGTGTTGCCATAGCAGCATTTTGTAAAATAAGAATCGTGTCCACAAGTTCAGCATTTTCGTAAACATGTGCCATTTTTTATTTCGTTTGAGCCACGCAGAAACACCACTCACGCGTTACCGACTGACACATCGAATGAATACAACTGAATAAAATAAATGAATAAAACATCGTGATAAGCGTTTCAAATTCTTTTGCTTTTTTGTTTCCGATTATATCCGTTGTTGCCAAACACGAGCACATATTATTATTATTGAGACAGGGCGGTACTCAAACTTCTAAAGGGCTATAACTTTGTTACTTTAATTTTACCACAAAAATGTTAAAGGAAAAAACATTTCTTTTGATCAGATCTACTCACTGTTAAAATAAATGACTCAACTTCGAAGTCACCCTGTATATATAATCAAATAAAGACATTGAAACTGCAATAGAGTTGTTAAATAATGATATGAAAAACGTAATAAATTGGTTAAATGTAAATAAACTTAAATTAAACACAAACAAAGCAAAATATATGCTAATAGGAAAATCTTTAGATCAAAATACGATAAATCTTACAATTAATCATGAAGAAAGTGTGTCAATATAATCATTTAAATATTTGGGCATCTACGTAGACAGTAAATGAAAATTTGAAGGGCACTATGAATATATTATTTCAAAAATATCCAAGAAAATAAATTACTTTTATAGAATTTCGCATAGCCTGAGCGTTTATTCTAAAAAATTGTGTACAACACTATCATTCTTCCTCATTTGTTATATTGTTCGACTATTTTGTTCACGGAAAATGAGACTGCATTTTCAAAATTACAAATATTAAAATATAAAGCTATGAGAATCATCTTAAATAAAAATAAATTTACTAGAATAAATTTTATGCTGAAAGAACTACAATGGTTATATATCAAAAATTTCGCCTACTTGATTTTCATTTTCATATTTAAATTAAAAAATCATCTTCTACCAAATCACTTAGAATATTTTATTGTATTGAACAATGAGTGTCACAATTATTCTACTATAGGAAGTATAGACTTTAATTTACAAAACTGCAGTAGCAATATACCGAGCAATTCAGTATTTCAAAAGGGATTGTACGAATTTAATAAATTGTTCAAAGGGAAATTGAAAAATATCTCATGGGAAACCAGAATTCATAGTAGTGAAATTTTGTATAAAAATATGTAGTCTTGAAGACATAATATATTTTGTGATATACTGTGTAATATGGATATTGTGGACATTGTAGCATTAATGCTAAATAAATCTGAAACAAACAAATAACAGAAATCCCAAATCCTCTCGGAGGTATTAAATCGGCGCTGATAGTAGTATACTGACCATTAAGTGTTGCGAACACATAACGAGATTGCCATTTCATCTATAAATATTATAAATGTTGCTTGGATGACGGGTCTCTCACAATCCAACAGTAATATCATAGTACAGGGCGGCCGATATGTATCTGACTGGTTTCTATCTTGAATATTTGTGAAATCAAATAAAATACGTCCATTTTTTTTCATCTTAATCTTTTATTGAAACTTAGAAATTACGTATGAAAAACTTTTCTTGGGCTAATTAAATGCATTGGTATGTTTTTTATGAAAAAGTAGTTAAATGATGTCTAAATAAGCTCGCGATATCTTGTTCCTAACCTAAAGTTTAGGCCAAAGAATTTTATACGGAAATTCCTCAAACACCACCCACATATACTCGTACGTACTCAAAAATTGGCTTATCTATCAAAAATAGTGGAGATTCATATTAATATCATATTGATTATTTTTACAGGTGATAGAACAACCCAAAGCATTACAGAAAAAGAAAGTCTGTGAACTGCAAGTTAACATACCACCTTCAAACTCTAATGGCTACGTTTTGGAAAAATTATATTTCGAGAAAGACGAAATCATTCACTATAAGCATGAAGGACTTGGTAGTGGAATAGACATTAAAACTGCGGCTGAAAGAATGAAGCTGAAAATTTTAAATTTGGAAAATTATGAATTGAAGACATCCGGCGCGTTGACATACTCAATAAAATGGGAGAAATTGTATGAAGCGACAAAGGAGTTTAGTTATGAAGATAAATTCAGGCTTGTCAATGATGTAGTTGATAAAAATAGCGGATTAAATATTCCAAAGTTAAAAGAGCTTGCAGAACATGAAACGAACGAGGAAAATAAGAAAACTTATTTAGACTTCATCGAACATTCTAAAAATGAAGTTGCAAGGTACAGTACTGGGTTTTGGAAGCATTAAACTGTACACGCTTGTTGCGTCTCCAAGCAGTGATAACTTCCAGGTCTCTCGTCAGAGAGGAAGTCGCTGCTATTCTAATTTTCCCCAGCTCACTGACAGAAATCGACATGCCTCCATGTAGAATGCTGTCATCAGCAAAGCTGTACATTGGATTGATCGTACAGGTCGTTGATATGTACGAGGAATAGGGTCGGAGCCAAGTCTGAACCCTGTGGAACACCCGCGTTGACTTTGTGGGATAAAAAAAACCCATCAATTGCGACCCATCTGCAAAGCTTTTCTGGGAGGCTATAGGATGGAAGTTTGCATAAGAGGGCAGCGTGCCACAGCTGATCGAACGCTTTCGTGATGTCAAGAGCAATGACAAGAGCCTCACCATAAGACTGGATGAGTTTACCCCACAGTTGTATGACGTAAGATAGAACGTCCCTTGTGGATCGTTGGTGCCGGAAACCATACTGGCTGTCGCTAATCGACAGTGGCGAAGCGCCCATGTAACCATTGTTACCATTGGTAACAGTTAAAAATCTTAAAGATAAATGAAGCTGACTCGCCTCGACTTGCTCGTCACACACACCATCCTACCATGTGCGGTCCCTCGACCACCGACTTGGTTGTCGTTATCATTTTCATTTATGGATACACTTGGTAGTCGGGGACCGTCGGTAGCGGCTCGTGTCCGATCGCGGTCGCCCGAGTGCGTGGGGCGCTGCGACTATTATGTGGGCTTGTTACCATTTTTTGATGTCGTTAGTCACTTCTCACTCGTTACTAGCCGTTTTGGTTACTGGCTGTAGTATGCGTTTAATTAAACATGGATGAATGTCGCTGCGTAATCGATCAACTACTTGAAAAGTCATTCTCCTTGTATAATTTTTAAGCAAAAAAGGAGATCATTGAAAATGGAAGACCAACACCTATTTTAGATAATTTTAAAAAGGAATAAAAAACGTAGTTTGATATTTTAAATTAAGTTGGCATATGGAAACTCTTGGTTATGTGGTTGCAAAAAAAAACAGATTGTATGGTTGGCGATGTCTTCTGTTTTATACAGAAAAAAATGGGTGGACCAGCAGTCAACGATATAATAGTTTTAGGGCTCTAAAGAGGAGACATGAAATTTCTCCGTTACATGTGAGATGAGTAGCCAATTTAATTCAGTTTGGCAAAACAAGAATGGAAAGATGTCTTAACCAAGCTTTTAGGCAGACCACTTGTAGATACCGTATGTTTCTTGGCAAAACAGGGAATACCGTTAATTTTGAAGTGGATGACTCTTGATAATAGAGGAAATTACAGGGAATTGTTAACATTCATTGCCAAAAAAGATCAAAAATTTTCCGAACATCTAGAAACGTCGACTGTTTTTTCGAACGGCTTCGATTAGTCATAGCATAAAACGATGAGGTGTATCAAGTGCCCCAGACGCTCAGTCCAGGAATGTTTACCTTAATTTAAAAATAGTTTAAATCAGGGCTGTCCAAATTAATGTGGCCCAAGGGCCACTTCAAAAAAAAATGCAGTTTGGAGGGCCGCATTATAAAATCTTTGTATACAACATTATTACTGAGTTTTAATAGGTATACAGGGTGTCCCAGAAGTCGACGTCAAGCCGAAACCGGGTGATAGGCAAAGTCATAACAGCTATCAGAAAAATATTTGAAAAAATTTTATGTATGTGTAGATATAGAAATTTCACACCCTACGGTAGTCTGTCAACTCCTGTTACTACAAATATTAACTTTTTTTGGATTTTATTTTTACAATTTAATGATGAATAATGCATCTTCAAACTGGTGTCTCAACCTTACTGCCAACTTTTCTCGTTCAGGAAAAATTGCCACTTATTTCCCAACCAAGTAGTCCAAAGTAAAACTTTGCTCAACTTTAACTGGCTGTACTGGAAAAAAATGTACTACGAGAGTTTGGCAAGTAACCTTAAAAGTTGGCGCATTTAATACGGATTCCAAAATGGTATAACACTTAGAAGATTACTCGTTAACTTATGCACAATTTTTATTTGAAGAAAAACTGATGAAAATTTTTCAAAATTTCCTAATTAAACAGCGATTATGAAAACGCACAAGGACCCTTAAGGATAACTATTTGCACAACAGTGGGCGTCAAAATGCTGCTGATGATGATTTACCTTTACAGCAAATGCTCAAACTGTTTTCCTTCAGCCGCAATACACGCTCGACATCTTAAAAAAGATCGGGTTATTAAACGAGCGAATCCACGGTTATTAACAAACTCAGCTGCTTCCAATAGTCTTTGCCGTAGCTCAGCTACATTTTGAATCGGCTTGAAATACATTTTTTCTTTTACAGTTCCCCTGTAAAAAAATCTAAAGGATTCAAATCAGGTGATCGGGCTGGCCACGGTATTGTACCAGGCCGCCTTATCCATCTGCCTGGAAAGTTTTGATCGAGATACTCTCTCACTGAGAGTGCATAGTGCGCTGGGCAGCCATCACGCTGAAACCACATGTCCCTGTAAATACTCAGTGGCACGTCCACCAATAAATTTTGTACATGATTTTTCAAAAAATCCAAATAAACTTCAGCAGTCAAAGTCTCTGGGAACTCAAACGGACCGATTATTTTACCATTTAAAATTCCTGTCCAATGGTTTATTTTGAAACGATATTGAGATTTATCTTCTCTCTTCAAATGTGGGTTTGCTACGTGCCACTCGTGTAAGTTATGCAGGTTCATGTACCCATCTTTCTCAAATGTGGTCTCATCCGACCATAAAATTTTTTCAAAGAACTGTGGATCTTTCCTGTGTCTTTCTAACATTGTGCGACAAAAAGCAACTCGGGGCTCATAATCCCGGGGCAGGAGAGGTTGAACACGCTGTATGTGGTATGGATAGGGACATGTGGTTTCAGCATGATGGCTGCCCAGCGCACTATGCACTCTAAGTGAGAGAGTATCTCGATCAAAACTTTCCAGGCAGATGGATAAGGCGGCCTGGTACAATACCGTGGCCAGCCCGATCACCTGATTTGAATCCTTTAGATTTTTTTACTGGGGAACTGTAAAAGAAAAAGTGTATTTCAAGCCGATTCAAAATGTAGCTGAGCTACGGCAAAGACTATTGGAAGCAGCTGAGTTTGTTAATAACCGTGGATTCGCTCGTTTAATAACCCGATCTTTTTTAAGAAGATGTCGAGCGTGTATTGCGGCTGAAGGAAAACAGTTTGAGCATTTGCTGTAAAGGTAAATCATCATCAGCAGCATTTTGACGCCCACTGTTGTGCAAACAGTTATCCTTAAGGGTCCTTGTGCGTTTTCATAATCGCTGTTTAATTAGGAAATTTTGAAAAATTTTCATCAGTTTTTTTTTCAAATAAAAATTGTGCATAAGTTAACGAGTAATCTTCTAAGTGTTATACCATTTTGGAATCGTTATTAAATGCGCCAACTTTTAAGGTTACTTGCCAAACTCTCGTAGTACATTTTTTCCAGCACAGCCAGTTAAAGTTGAGCAAAGTTTTACTTTGGAATATGTACTTGGTTGGGAAATAAGTGGCAATTTTTCCTGAACGAGAAAAGTTGGCATTAAGGTTGAGACACCAGTTTGAAGATGCATTATTCATCATTACATTGTAAAAATAAAATCCAAAAAAAGTTAATATTTGTAGTAACAGGAGCTGACAGACTGCCGTAGGGTGTGAAATTTCTATATCTTTTTCAAAGACCTATAATTCTCAAAACACATACATAACATTTTTTTAAATATTTTTCTGATAGCTGTTATGACTTTGCCTATCACCCGGTTTCGGCTTGACGTCGACTTCTGGGACACCCTGTATACGCGCCCGTGGCTTCTCGAATATTCGGGGATGATCGAGAGATCGGTCCAATTTCCAGTAAATTCGCTGCGGCCTGCTATCGGTCGCCAATGGCGTCACATGTTATTGTATTTTATCGTTAATGTAAGAATTGTGCATATTCGGTATTTGAGAGTAATTTATACATGTGATGTATACATGACCCGTGAAGCGGGAGGCAAGAAAGAAGTTCGCGCGGCCCGCGGGCCGTATGTTGGACAGCCCTGGTTTAAATAAAATACCTAAAATAAGCAAAAACTTATATTTGGGAGGTTCAAAATAAACTTTTTTTAATAAGATTTTTCACATCTGGTTTTGGTAACAGTTTAGGAAAAGTCACGCGCCGCCACTAATCGAGCTCCTCCAGAAGCAATGGCCTGTTGTAAAGGTCGGTCTTAGATTCTTTTTTTGGGATGGGTTGGACATGAGCAAATTTCCAGTTTTCTGGAACGTGCCGGATTCGTAAGATATCTGGAAGAGACGCCAAAGAACTGAAGCAAGCTCCGATACCCGTTGACGGATACAATTCATTTTTATGAGTTTGAACTGCTTTGCCAGTATTTAAAAGACCTCTGTATTTTCAAAATGGTTTTCTTACAGGTTAAACACTTGCGAGGAACTACAATTTTGTGAAATATCCAAAATAGAACAAAACATACGTTTTACGCTTCTAAGACTCAGAGACAAGAAAGAAATCGAATTTGATGGAATCTTAGTGCCAAACAGAGTCAAAGAAATCCCCTTCAACATACTAGCAGACTATAAGAGAAGGAAAGCAGCCGAAGAGAAAGGATATTTATCAGATGAATATGAGTACGAGGATGAGTTTGAATCCCAAAGAAAATACGGGAAAAAGTATTTGAAACAAGTTTATACCAAAGTTTTCCAGCGATGCAAAAACACAGAAAATAATCTGGAGTATAAAAGTGTCGTCAATGAAAAATTTCTCATACATTTTCAGTAAGTATTTATAAAGCATGAAATGCGAGTTTTCCAGGTAATCAGAACACAACTGCATTGACAGCATTGACAGTAGTAAGTAGTTTAGGCTCTATTATAGTTGTCGTCACCGTTCTGGGCGGGTCAAAGTAAGACTACCAGTATCGCTTTATATATCTCCATCTACTTCATATACTAAGTGACATATACATCCGAACACCCAGTTTAACTGGTTTTATTTTAATACAATTTTGTATAAGTACTTAATGAAGCATAATAAGTAAATGATAAACATTTCAAAATGATTGCACTGCTTTAAAGCTCTTTGACCTTTAATAATGTGTGGATGCACCCTGATGTGCTACGCATTCTCCAACGCGCCTAGGCATGCTTCTGATCAGGTGGTCAATGTCCTCCTGTGGTATCTCATTCCAGGCAACCACCAACTCCTCTCGAAGTGCTTCTAGAGTCTGAGGAGGACGTACCCATCATATCCCACACGTGCTCAATTGGGGATAAGTCGGGAGATGTTGGTGGCCATGGTAACAATGTGACATCATTATGTTGAAAGAGGTCTAACATATTGTGACTCTTGCAATATGTGGTCGGGCATTATCTTGTTGGAAAGTTGGATCTGCCAGGGTGTCAAGATAGGGTAAAAGATGGGGTTCTAGAACTTCGTGGATATAACGCTGCGCGTTCAGGTTACCACTGATGAAGATTAAAGGTGACCTGGAACCATAAGCTATAGCACCCCAAACCATAACTCCAACAGTGTGATGAACATGTCTTTCAACAAAAAACTGTGGATTCCTCCTTTCACCACGTCGCCTTCTAACCCTGGCACGACCATCGTGCATGCCTAAACAAAATCGAGACTCGTCACTAAAGACAATACTGTTCCATTCCTGATCCCAGAGTGACCGTTGTCTGCACCACTCAAGGCGATTACGTCGGTGTTCTCGAGTTAAAGGGAGGACCCAGTGTGGCCGGTATGAAAACAAGCCAAAACTTCTCATTCGTCGGTAAACACTTCGCATGCCAATAGGTCTTCCGTGTTCTGCAAACCATTCATTTGCAATGGACCTGGTAGTGGAGAAACGGTCTCTTAAGGCCAATAATCTTAGGCGGCGATCTTCACGGTCTGTTGTTCTACGGCGGCGTCCAGTGCCCCTTGCTATTTGCGTATGGCCTTCTCGTAGCCATGCCTGAAAACACCTAACCACAGTGTCTACACTTCTTTGCACTATAACTGCAATTGCCTGAAAAGAAAGTCCAGCTTCCCGAAGTCCCACTATACGGCCCCTATCAAACTCACTAAGTTGACGAAATCGTACAGGTCTCCGTACTCTAGGCATCGTAACCGATCGTAAAGGATGTCAAGAACCAAAGTCCGCCAACGTTGATTCTTTACTGCGGCTGAAATATTCATTTTTAGAGCGTTAGTGAATTAAAAAAAAGCAGTATAAAAACCGGAATGTCCAACTGATAAGGCTGAAAATTTTTTCACTTGTTATTTAAGCGGGAATTACATTACGAAACTAGTGGTATGAAACTAGTGTCATGACAGTAGTTTCATCAATAGTTTCACGTGTAAATGTTAAGTTTCACAATGCGTGCATTACTTTCATGACACCGATTTACTTTCGTGCGGCGCGCAATTTTTGAACGACACTAGTGTTATGCCACCAGTTTCACGATGTAAACGTGACGCGAATGTGCGAAACTAGTGTCACGACAGCGCTTCAGAGTGGATGTGTGTTTTGTGGCCGTGCACGTGCAGATTGTGAAATCGTGAAATATTCGTTACAAATGGCGAATCAACGCTGGACAGCCGATAAAAATATACAGTTCATTAATGAATACCAGCGAAACGAGTGTCTTTGGGATCCAAAACACCCTGACTACAAAAATAGAGATGCCCGAGACGCGGGGTACAAAGCAATTATGGAGGTTATGCAGATGGAAAGTGTAAAAGATGTAATTTGCAAAATACGAACACTTCGTAATACTTACAACAATGAAGTAATGAAGACAAAAAAATCTAATACTACTGGTATGGCAACCGATGAACAGTATATCTCTAAAATACCATGGATCCCTCATATGGATTTTTTAAAAAATACTGATGGTTATGCCAGAGAAAACACAGAAAATTTGGTAAGTTTTTTATTATCAGCTTCCAATATGATTTTGCATTTAATAAATCATCCTATCTTGCCATTCTAAACGCCCTTGCCCAACAAAGTAGTCAGTATAATGCTCGCGTATCCGGTGAGCATTTCTCGAATGGTTTCCACTGAAATTACCCAGTGGCCTAAATGAGTTCTGTGCTATAGTACGCCATGATCCTTCCACTAAGTCTCCTGTTTCTGAGTTTTCTTCATCAATCAGTCCTGGCTCAATGTAGGTTGATGATCGGGTCTTCAGCCAGTTATGCAAGACACAACATGTCTTTATAATTTTGTCCACAGTTTCTGGGAGTAGAGCAATAGGCTTTTCAAGTATACGAAATTTGCTAACCAACACTCCGAAGGCATTCTCTACAGTCCGGCGAGCTCTGCATAGTCGGTAGTTGAAAATTTTTTGTTTTTTCGATAAATTTAGTCGACGACTATATGGTGTCATAAGATAGTCAGTGAGAGGAAACGCCTGGTCCCCCAATAAAACCATTCCTTCAGGGGCGTTCAAAGACATTTCCTCCAACTTTTTTTTAAAATTTGATCTGGCAAATACTCCTCCATCAGAAGCTCGACCATAGTGGCCCACATTGATATACCTGAATTTTAATTCACTGTCGCAAACTGCTAGGAGGACAATACTGAATGTGCCCTTATAATTATAATAGTCACTTCCAAAATGTGCTGGACATCGGATTTGAACATGTTTGCCATCGATTGCACCACCACACATTGGAAAATTACATTTTTCATTGAAGCCATCCATTATCTCCCTCCAACATTCTTCTGTGTTTGGTACCTGTAAAGAAAATTCAAAATTTAATTATTGTTTTAGACACCCAACACTGCTTCACAGGGTTCAGCTTCAGGATCCAGTAATGATGAGTTTACCATACCACGCACACCTACAAGAAACAAAAGGAAAATTGCAGATCCGCTACTTAAAGCGGTACATACATTGGAACAGATTTCCTCGCAACACGTGCCTAATGCAGGCAATGATGAGTTTGCACTGTTTGGGCAAACCGTAGCTCAACAGCTACGACAGCTTCCTCTGGAAATTGCTTTAGAAACAGAGGAGATAATTTTATCAACAATAAGAAGGCAACGAATCAGTTCTTTGAAGCAACAGTCGTTATCTCAACGCAATTCATCGCCACCAAGACCAAAGTCCACGGCTTCTGCCAGTAGTGCCATCAATAACGATAAAGAAGATGCAAATCCCACTGGTTACAATAACGATGTACTTTCTCAAGCTATTGCCAGCATAACGGAGAGAGAATTGGACTTTGATGAGTATTTTTAGATTTGAGTATCTAACTTTTCAACTGTATTAAATAAAAATGTTTTGCTTACCTGAATGTAGTCTTTTAATGCTTCATAGATTGCGATTAGCACATCAGGTAGAAATTTTGATATACTACATGGTGCCACTCTAAATTCGTATGACAATGACTTCAAACTATTCCCAGTTGCTAGAAATCGCAGCGTAATTTGAAGTTTTATTTTTGGTGTCAATGCTGCTCGACATGTCGTATCCTGCTTAGTGATTTTGTCAGATACTTTATCCAATAAAAAGTTGAAGCAATCTTCACTCATTCGAAAATAGTTTGTATAGCTCTCAGGATCTTCATCTGCTAATTCGGAAATTAACTGTACTGCACCCAGATGTCTCCTTGCTACCCATCCTCTAACCCACCAACGCTTTTTCTTTCGAGCCATCCTCTTTTTCAGTTTATATATCAACATCTGTATGACAACATCTTGAACTGCAAAATACAGCTTCGATGCTGACGGCGCCATGATCACAGCGATACTGTCGATTTCACGACACTACGAAACTACTTGCACATGAAATGTTGGTGAAATTAATGTCATGACACTAGTTTCATACCACTAGTTTCGTAATGTAATTCCCGCTTTACAGTAAGATAAATACATTCACCAACTTTTATTAAAATAAAACCATTTAAACTGGGTGTTCGGATTTATATGTCACTTAGTATACATACACATGCAACCTACCCCTGCGTGGAATGTTTGTTCGGTAAGCTGAAAGACCTTTTTTAGTTGCGTCTCCGTATCGAAAACTTCGTCGTTAAATACATTGGGGTAAGCGAATAAATTATTGCAAGAAGAGGTCATACCATGTAAGATGTACTGCAGCTGTAGTGAGCCACAATACCCAGCGGCCTGTCTATGTGGTCTAAATACATTTGCGTTCTAAGCTTAGTCCAATCTCGCTTATCGCTAAGATGGAACAAAGACTCAAACGCAAGAATCTTGAAAAGAAACTCAGACCAAAAAAAGCTGATATAAAAATAACTAACAATTCGGATAGCAATTCCAAAGAAAATGAATAGTTTTATGGCGAAAACCTGACATTAACTACATTGATTTGGAGGTTGCTAAGCGAAAATTTTTAGGGAAACTTAAAAAAAGTGACGACGAGATTTTGCAGATCGAGTCACCAAATCACAGGACTGTACTAATTATGGAACCAGCCCATTTACTTCTGCTGTCCTAATACATAGCGGTATTCCAAATCGGTAATGCCCCATTATTGTAAACGTAGTAACAGCCAGCAGTATCTCCGCTTGGGAAAATACTACTGTTTCAGTTTAATGTTTTACGTATTGACAAAGCAATTTTTTGTAATCTCTTCTTTTACACACACTCAGAATATTTTGTTAGAAATAAGTATAAACAAGGTCATTTTGTAGCCATTGAATTCATTCATTATCCACGTTCTGTACAATTCTGTAACCAGTCTCTTCAATAAAGTTTAGATTTTGGTGAAAACTACGACGAGATATTTAATTTACTTTGTCGCGCCTTCATCGGAGGATAAGGTTGACAGCGTCTCGATTTGGTGAAGTTTGTAGAAGAAGGCAGACAACAAGCTGTAAAGTTCTAGTAGACTCCATCATATACCCAACAGAGTTTTCTAGTAACGCAATAAAAAAGGCAATACAAAAATCATTGGACACCGCAGTTCAGTCTTGTGGTTTGTTTATTGACCGCACACATCCATTTCTGGCAGCATCGCCTCCATATACCTACTCGTATTACCACAGCCGACGTCGGCTGTGCTATTAGTGCTATTACAGTAGACAAGAAATGTACTTAAACCAGGTATAAGCCTACCTGTTTATTGCTTTGCCAAAACTACCTAACTGTTTCCTCTTATTTTGAGGCCATAAGATGTTTTTGTGACTCTCATTCAATTGTTACCATGTACCACATGACCCTTGTAAACATAATTGTTGTGTTTACTGACATGAATAAACGAATTGTAATTGGAGTTCTTGAATTTATTTTAAGAAAGATATCAAATTATTTGAATACATTTTGTCTTAGTCGGAACGCACCGTAGCATCGCTTGGACTGGCAAAAAACGGAGTTTCAGCAATTGTTACTTTTTCTTTTTTGCCTATAGCACCGTCGCCACTGGACTAAAACTACAAAGCTTTGGCATACTAGTAACCCCGTGTGGAAATTTCATAAAAATCCAAGCGGTTATTTCCAAGTTGATGAGTGATACAGTTTTTCGTGATGTAGATGTCATATGACCAAAAAAAACATAACATCTCATTTTAGAAATTTTACGCGATTACAGTACTTCCTCGCCAATGACGTGGGAAGTAAAACGGCTTTAAAATCGAGGAGTATCAGCGATCGCGATCATGAGTACCTATTTGCTGAACGACTTATCTACGCGATATTATATGAAACAGGGCCACCAAATTATCTGAATACGTCCTTTCTTAGTCCGTACATTGCGCCGCAACGCTTGGGTTGGCAGCACGAAACAGTAGACCAAATTCGTCCAAAATACGATTTGTAGAGGTTTGCGCGCTTCGAAATTGACGCTTTATTTTTTTATATTGGATGAAATTTTCACAGCGTGCTGAAAACAAAACCCCACAGGGTGCTATAGAACCACTTTTTCATTTTTTTCACTAGGTTCTATTTAAAAAAATTGAACAGAAAAAGTGCGCACTTCAACCCATCACAAAAATTGTGCAAAAACAAAATTTCAAAAACTGCTCCTATAGCACCCTGGGCAATTATCTTCTCAACATACTGTATGAATTTCATTCAAAAATATTGAAAAATGGAGTGTCGGTTTCGAAACAGCTGAACCCTTGTAAATGGGTTGAAACTCACTGCGTCGGAGCCGCCATCAATATAAAATTGGACAATGGAGAAGGCCGACGGCTCGTGCTAAATTTATTAGACTATTTCCAGGAAGAAAAAGAAAACAGCGGTCCCTTGCTACCCACTTCATGCGTACTGGAGAGAGTAGCAGATGCGCTGAAGCTTGAGATCCGCCCATGGTACGGAGACTCGATCTGTTTACTTATTTCATATGGCGTTGATGACGTAACCGCCAAGAACGGTGACTACAACTATACCAAGTTTTATTGGCAAAAAACATCTTTTCTAGGTTTCTCATAAAAATTATACTAAAGAAGGCAATCAACTGGCTGAAATGGCGACCAACAATCAGCAATCCACTGCCAACGTTGGTCAAGCCAACAGCTAAAGAAAAATATCAAACTAGAATCGTTGACAATGTCCATATTACTATACATGTATTGAACGGCAAAAATTTACCAAGTAGGAATAAGTATACGTTCAACACCGATGGAAAAACCGAAAATGAATTGAGGCCATTTGTGAGGATCAACTATAAAAATGTATGGATCAGGAGCACCGCTAGTAAAGGAAGCAATCCCGTGTGGAATGAGACATTGAATCTACCTTTAGAGTAAGTAAAATTTACGTAAGTAATGGATCCTAGATTTTGTTTAATACAGGGTGCGACGGCATAACTTCCTTTCTTTAAAACTGTATGAATCAGAACATTTTTATTAGTACTGAGTAAACGGCATGGGTATCATGTAAAAAACGTATAAAACGTCAAAAAAAACCTATAAGATGTCATCTTGCAAATTAGATAGTTTTTAGGGTGCAAACAGTCATTCCACGTTTGCTCACTAGGATCGTTGTGAACGTCCATCTAAGGAGGAATCACTGAACTAAATTACACGTATTATTGGTTGCATATGTTTTGTGAGACCAAATGGTCCTTGTCTGTAGTTTTTATCTCTGAGAAGAAAGTTGTTTGAATAGCAAGATCGCATCTGGATGATTATGTGTATTGGTCTGCATGTGCATATGCTGCCAATGAAGTATGTCTATTGACTGTGCCCGACGGGTTATTTTTATGTTGTGCTTTCTGAAGAGAGGTTATGTTCAAAGTTTGAATTACGAAAAACTGAGGAGAATTACGGGAAATCATCACCGCGCCCGCGTTGTGTAAAATTATTGTTAGCATGTATACTATGGCTTGTAATTCGACAGTCTACAGTGAATATAATTACAGCAGACGCTCAATATCGTAAACACGGGATAATGAAAACTTGCGCTAATGTAAACACAAACTTCGTTCTATAGGATCAAACGGAACGCGCGATAACGTAAACAATGTGTACGCTCGATAACGTAAACAACTCTCGGCGCACGGAAACAGCGCGACGGTAAAATGCTGAAGCCTCGATGATTTATGTCGGGCGTCGGGGAGTCCCCGATTTATGATGTAGAGTGTAAGGGATTCACCTCTGCGATAAAATACGACAAACTCGGTCAGTCGTATGATCGTTTAGGATACGTTTATACGTACGTATGTATTTCATTTTTGAACTTGAGTGAATACATTGCACGCGTTAATATATTTTACGACTATGGCATCCACATCCTATAAAAGAAAGTGTTTAAAGTTGAGTGAGAAAGTGAAAATCATAGACGAAGTTGCACTAGGTGCGGGAGTGACACAGTTAGCAAAAAAATATGGAGTATCGAAAGCAACAATCTGTAAAATTAAGCGTATGAAAACTCAAATTTTACAAAGAACGTGCAATACATTTGGAGGTCCGGGAAAAAGAAAAAGTTTAAAAAATGCGAACGCACCTAAAATCATGTCCCAGTTAGTGGCGAAGTACTTAAACAGAGAGCGAGACTGTTAAATGAAAAACTGAAAGAAACTGAAAATTTCGTAGCTAGTGATGGCTGGCTACAACGATTCAAAACAAGATATGGAATTCGACTGCTGTCTATGTCTGGTGAAAAATTATCAGCACAACCACAATTAGTGCAACCATTCAAACAAAAACTGATGAAAACAATTACCGAGCTAGATTTAAGAATGGAACAAATTTACAACGCAGATGAAAGTGGCCTTTATTGGAAAATGTTACCAGAGAAAACCTATGCTGCATGATTTGAAAAATCTGCTCCGGGAAGAAAGCCGGACAAACAACGAATAACGTTTCTAGCCTGCACTAATGCTAATGGTTCACACAAAATAAAGCCACTGGTAATTGGGAAAGCAAAAAATCCGCGCTCATTTAAAAATGTTATTATCCCTGTTGATTATGACTGTTCAAAAACCGCTTGGATGACTAGCAGTATATTCCTGAAATGGTTCCACAGGAGCTTTGTCCCTCAGGTATGACAATCAATTATCACAAATGCTCTATTCATAATTTGAAGATGTGTTTTCAATTTGTAGGTAAAAGGTTTCCTAAAACAACAGAAGCTTCCAATAAAAGCGTTGTTACTATTGGATAATGCACCAAGTCATCCTCCCGAGCAACAACTGAGGAGCAGGGATGGGTCAATTTTCGTCATGTACATGCCGCCCAACGTAACACCGTTAATTCAACCGATGGACCAGAATATAATAAGACTCACCAAACTATACTATAGGAAGTTTCTACTTTCGTCTGTCTTATCAAAGAATCCTGAAAACTTATCTGAGGCTTTAAAAAAAGTAACATTACGAGAAGCTGTTTTAGATTTACATATGGCCTGGAATCAACTTAACCAGCAAACTATTCAAAAATGTTGGAACAATCTCTTTTGTACCAATAATGAAGATGATGAAGAAGACGATGTCCCCTTAAGCGTAATTAGAGAACGTTTGCGATCCAATAATGATAATGTTATTAGTGTGTCATTGGATGTTGTTGATTTATTGAAAACAGTGAATCCCAACATTGTACTCCTGCTGATATTAATTTATGGAACGAAGATAAGCAGACGAATGATGCTGATAAGGAGGAGGATATGGACAGTGAAGATGATGAGAACGATCCCATTGAAGTCAGAAGTGTAGTGACTGACGCGCAAGCTATACAAGTTTTTAACCAAGCTTTAGATTGGGCTGAAAGAAAAGAAGTTTCATACACGGATATTTGAGTTCTTCGTAAATTACGGGCGCAGGCATTTACGCAGACAAAAATTGTTAATTATTTTTCTTCTAATTAAAAAAATACTTATCGCTGTTAGAATATTTGTTTATTTTGTTATAAATAGTATATATTAAACGTTTCTTTTAATAAATCAAATATTATATAAATCACGTTCGCTAATGTAAACATTTCGATAATGTGAACCACACTTGGATTAAATTAGTTTACATTATCGAGCGTCTGCTGTATTTCTTATCTCTCTCATTTTTTAAAATCAGCAAATTTGTATATGTAATTTCCAGAATGGATAAGAAAAAGTGGATGCACAATTAATTTCTAGCTTTCAATCTCAATTCAACACATACAACTTACAGCTTAGACCTCCATTTATGCCATCTCAGAAGCAGATTTTACATCACATCAGAGCCAAAGATAACAAGCCTCATCACGTTTAGGCAACACGTACAACTAAGTGCTAAGTTAATATCTTGTAGAAAAACCTACATAATGTCAAAAAAAACAGCATAATGTAAAAAAAAAATCGGCATAATGTCACTTTTCAAGATACGTGATACGTTTATGGCTTATGTCATATGTTTACAAGTTATCAAAATTCAATATACAGGGTGTTAATAAAGTACGTGGACAAACTTCAGGGAGTGATTCTTTGCGTAATTTTAAGATGAAAAGTTCGTATAAACATAGGTCCAGAAATGCTTCGTTCTCAAGATACAGGGTGTCAAAGTTTTTTAAAAAATCGGTTTTTCCTAAATATCTTAATAAACTTTCAGTCGTTTTTGTTCAAATTCTGCAGTAGTATTAAGGGCAGTCAGGGGCTAATTTAGGTCCTGTTAGATTGAAATCATCAAATCCAGTGGCGCCCCGGAAAACACCCTAACCAATATCTTTTACAAAAAATTTGTGCGCCGATGACTTTTTCCAATTTTTCTATTTTTTATCGAATTTAGCAGCAAAAATACAACTTTTTATTCCTCAGTTACTTTCATATCTCGCAAGATAAAAAAAATTCGGCAGACAAAAAAGTTGCATTTTTAGCTGCTTAATTCGAAAAAAAAAATTGAAAAATTGAAAAAAGTGGCGCATACAGTTTTTGTCGAAGATATTGGTTATCCCACTGGACTTAACAATTTCAAACTAATTGGGGCTAAATTAGTCCCTTACTGTCCTTAAAAATACTGCTAAATTTGAACAAATTTGAAAGTTTATCAAGATATTTAGGAAAAACCGATTTTTTAAAAAAAAGTTTGACACCCTATATCTTGAAAATGAAGCATTTCTGGACCTATGTTTGTATAAACTTTTCATCTTAATATTACTCAAAGAATCATCTCCTGGAGTTTGTCTACGTACTTAAATAACACCCTGTATCATGCAGAGTGTTGCATTTTATGTCACTTACTACATATACAGGGTGGCGCATCGAAAACGAAACAGACACATTTACTGGCAGCTCAGTTTTTTTTTTTTTTTGGAAAAACGCTCAGCCCGTCGATTTTGTTTTCGAGGGGGACACAAGTTTGGCAAAAAATCACGTTAACACGTGCAGCTGCCCTGGGCGGGGGTGACACCAACCCTAAACTCTTAAATGGAAAGGGGGGTCGAGTGATACCTTATTTTAGAGGTCTTTCAATTCCCTTTATAATGATGTAAAGTACATGAGCTTCAGTTCAGTAGTTTTGAAGATTTATTCATTTAAAGCTTAAAGTAGACTTTAATAGGTACATCAGATTAGTTTGTACTTTCAGAAGAAATTTGACTAAAAGAATTTACTTAATAAGTAAATGCTTTTCTTCACTACGCCCATGGTTTGTTTATCATTTTGTTGTTGAAAATAGCTAATGGAGCGTTTTTTTTTTGTGGGAAAAAAGTTATTTCTTGAAGAAAGATAAGGTATTATCTCGTACTTATTTTAAATAGGAATTTAGTACATACTTTGCGAATGACTTGACCAAACTTTGTTGCTAAAATAACTTGTAACGCTTTATTACATAAATTAACCATGGTACATTCCACAGCAGAAAGAGTTGAAATTAGCGAAATATTTTTCGGAAATAATCAGTGCGCTAATAGAACAGCAGAAATATTGAATTAGCGAACTTGTAGCTAAATTTCGGAAAACTGGGTCAGTCGCCAATAAAAAACGCAACATAGAAAATCCCATAAAGAACGGAGCAATAGAAGTGGGGGTTATAGGGCAAGTTTATGTAGATCCTACGTTAAGTACCCGAAAATTGGAGACTGTGTGTGGTGTTAGTCGACGTACTGTCCAACGGATTCTAAAGGCTTTTAGTTTTCATCCGTATAAAATTCACCTGGTACAAGAACTTAATGAAGACGATTTTGATCGGCGATTACAATTTTGTGAAGATATGAGTGAACGAATTATAAACGATGAACATTTTCTATCCAACACTTGCTTTTCCGACGAATGTTCCTTTTTCTTAAATGGCGTAGTAAATCGTCATAATTGCCGATATTTTTTTTTTTTATTTTTATTAGCAGCAGATTCAACATGTATACAGTTTTTTACATCATATTAAATATATAGACTTTACAATTATTGTATAATATTTAAATCCAGCTATCTATTCTTAAAATTACCCACTATTGCTAATAGTTTTAGATGCACAATTGTATTCAAAATACTGTGTGTGCACCCCATTCACATTGTTAAGTGTAACTTTTTCATTGAGGTTCTTAATTCTAGTTTACAAAGAGAAAAAGAAATATAAAAATAGATCAAACAAATTCAAAGCTATTATGTTTTATCTTAAATTTTAGGAACTTAATACCTTTAATGCTACAGGTTTTTATATTACATAATTAATGGCGTATTGACTATCAATAATCCATCTTGTTAATTCCTTTTTAACAGTAGAATATCTCAATCTCTTAATACTATTTGGCACATCATTATAAACTTTTGGACCTATACAGTAAACGTGACTCTGGCAAGCTGTGTGTCTAGGGTTTTGCAATTTTACTTTTGCATGAGCACTTCTTGTATTTTGGCCATGCTGTAAGTATTCTCTGTAGAAATCATATTTCATCATAAATCTTATAAGTGATTTTAAATAGAGCTGCTCTAGGTTCAGTATTTTACTGTCTCTAAAAACAAGTTCAGATGAATATCGTTTCTGTTTGAAAAGCATAATTTTTATGATCCATTTCTGAGCTACCTGTAACTTGGATAACGTTGCTAAACTTGTATTTCCCCAAACTACGAAACCATAATTAATTACAGATTCTGTTAAAGCAAAATAAACTGTTTTAAGAGTTCTGAAGTCTAATATTTCCCTTAATTCATAAAATTTGTGAATAAGTTTTCTAATCTTTGTTGTAACATACTCAACATGATTTTTTGCCAAACTTGTGTCCCCCTCGAAAACAAAATCTACGGGTCTGAGCGTTTTTCCAAAAAAAAAACTGAGCTGCCAGTAAATGCGTCTGTTTCGTTTTCGATGCGCCACCCTGTATATATATTGTGTTTTTTTGTGCCCGGCGATCACCGTTTTGATATTTTAAGGTCATTTCACACAGACTACCAAAATCCAAACTCGCTGAATTGTAACATATCAATCGACATATTTGATGAGAGTAACTATGAAATGAAACAAAGACACAGAAAACGTTACAACTGGCTTGGAGGTGTTGAAATTCCGATTTCTTCTATATGTGATTCCGAAATCGCTGTAAGTATACACTACTGGAAAACAGCATTCGTAATTCCCCCAAAATATTTATATTGTTGGTGTTCCAGATGCAAGGATTATTCAAAGTTAGGCTACCTCATATTCTATTGGGATATCAAACTGAAGAAGAGAAATTCAAGACGAAATCTCCCAAAACAAGTAACACGCAGTCTCACCAGGCTTACCTGCAGCTAGACATATCGATATCTCCAGCTGTTCCAAAACTTTCTCCAAATATGGTATGCATATGGCAATATGGCGAATCATTATTTATGATTATCCAAATCTTTTTTCGCGAAAAGCTATTGTAGCGTTTTTCCGGGTTCTTTTTGAGTGTGGATTAAAACACTGGATTCCACAAAAAGTATTGCACTAATTTAATAAAACATTTACATGTACCACGATTTATGTCTGACTAATTCTTATGTCACCATTGACTGCACTATTCTCCACTCTGCTCTGCTACTCTACCGTTCTCCGTACTCTGCTTCCATCTCCCGACCGCCGAGTTATATTATAGTCCCCATTGCTGCTTCGAGAAAGGTCTGGTGAACCACAATGCGACATCTAGAATATTGGAGGTCACTTCGCGTCGATCTAGAAGGTGAGTCACTGCCACGGTCGTCACAGACGCCGCCAAGCGGCTTGTGCGGTCGTGGTTCGCGTAAAAGCAGAGATCGGCCATGAAGCTCTGGCGAGTAGGAGACTCGCCCAACAGATGGCGCTATTCGTCACACTATTATGATTATAGCAGCAAGTTTTGTTAGTCTAATTTACCAGAATTTTCATATATTGGAGATGAACCACAGAGTTGGACAGGACGAATAAAATTAGACAGAGATGACTCCAAAAATATGGCGTCCACAAAACAGCTGATGCCGTGTAAACACTGCTGTTCTCGTTTATTCGGAGGTAGATGTGCTGATGTCATATAGATAATCAGTTATTGATGAATTCACTGACCATCACTTGTAGTGAAAACATTTTTTGTTCCAATTTACTTTGTTTGGACATTTTATTCATGGTGGGGATATACGTATATCATCAATTTGCATCCTTCCAAGGTCTATAAATTAAGTGATGAAACTGGCAACGTAGCCTCCGATCTGGCAACGCTGGAGGCTCCGGGCTTGGAGGGGAGTCAGGAACATGTGATCCGCTTTCAGTACAAGTTTGAACTCGCTTGAGTCATTTCGTTGTCCGTCGCGATTTTTTTGTGAAATAGTTTTTTCTATTGTGTTTTAAAAATGATTGACAATAATTTCGAGCAAGGTTTTGCTTCAGACTTGGGCACAGTGCAACGGAAACTGTTGCTAGGCTTCAGCATGCCTACAGAGATAGTGTTTTGTCAATATCCCAAGTTTTTCGGTGGTTTAAGGCATTTTTAAAAGGCAGAGGGTCGTTCGAAGATGAACCACTAACCGGAAGGCCTTCATCTTCAAGAACCTACGAGAATATCGACAGAATGATCGAGGAAAAAGGAAATTCGACTCACGCCATCGTTCATCAGATCAAGAACAACTAGGGCAACAAACACACGATAATGCTCTTTGACACAAAGCAATGTCAATAAACAAGTTTTCTCGTTATTAGCCTGACTTGAGTCCTTGTGACCATTTTTTCCTCCCGAAGTTGAAAAATCACCTCAACGAACTCAATTTGGGACAGCCTAAGACATTCAAACGGCTCTAATCGACCAGCTGAAGGCTATTCATGTATCGGACTTAATTTGCAGACCTCGTATTCTTAAAACCTGTACGTTTTCACATAACTATTTATAAGGCCTTACGCGGAATACTAAATGTCTTAGTTTAGTAATAAAAGTCAGCTTGAAATTCAAAAGTTTTCTAACCTCAAATCACTTATTTGACCAATCGTTTTTCTATTTGACAAGGTAGCCAGTTACCTATACATCTTGGCCTCTTATGACTTCTGACATAATCTCTAAAAACTTCATTCTGCTTGGTTTCAATGTAGCGTTTTATAAATATTTTATAGCAGCTTGGCAACATCGCATCAGTACATAAAGAGCCATCTATGAGTGAATCGTCGAGCCAAGGGCGATCCGTAAATAAATTGCTGTTTTTATTAATAGTCCAAAGGCCTAACTAAAGCTAGTCAAATGTCACGTATCCTGATACTAACCAGCAAACTCGGCAAAATCAAAATGTTAAATCAATCTCTTGGAAGTGTTTATTGTATATTTAATTAGATATGGTTCGGGACAAAAAAATATGTATCAAAATCTGTTTTTAATCAAATCTGACATTATGGAGCGATTGTTAAAGGGAAATTAACATGGCGGCCGCGATGTCGAGCAACAGCATCATCGTACTTGTTATCCGAACGTCGTATCCATAGCAACCGCCAAAACGTAGTTAACGCTGCTCATTTTAGCATTAAACTATACGATGTATACGTATTAATTGGGGAGTTATTGAAATACTGCCATTCACTATTACGTAATACCGACCTTACACTAATAATGACAAACAGAGTAGTCTCTCTTAAAATTGTTTCAGGATTAGAGTTATTGGGTGGTCATTGGTGTTGAGTGCATTTCCGTGCACGGATGGTTCGACTTTTACGGCCAAAGGGTCCATGATTTTCACAAATTAAACGTACAATCAGCGAAAATAATAGCGAGAAAACGGCAAATGAAACTACTTTCCATATACAGGGTGACTTTGAAGTTGAGTCATTAATTTTCAGATAATGATTGTAGAAGGAAGATAAACCAAAATATGTGTGTAAAAATAAAAAAAAAATTTACCTTGTTTTATAAAGTATCCTCCCGACAAGTATTTCAGTGCGGACCTGTATTTGATCGTGAGGTCTTGGAGCACCGGCATGCCGTCCCCATGTGAGGTCTGAAGTCACCTGATTCACGAGCCCGTTGTACTACATTAACAAAGCCACGAGGGGTTGGTTGCACTCGATTGGGAAACCCATCCGCATAAACATGTGCCATTTTTTATTTCGTTTGAGCCACGCAACAGACACCACTAATCACTCACGCGTTACCGACTGACACTGACTGCATACAACTGAATGAAATAATTGTAAAAACATCGTTCCAAATTCTTTCGCTGTTTTGTTTCCGATGCGATGAACCGATAAGGCGGATTATATCCGTTGTTGCCAAACACGAGCACATAATATTATTATTGAGACAGGGCGGTACTCAAACTTCCAAAGGGCTATAACTTTGTTACTTTAATTTTACCAGAAAAATGGTAAAGGAAAAAAACATTTCTTTTGATCAGATCTACTCACTGTTAAAATAAATGACTCAACTTCGAATTCACCCTGTATAATTTCTTTTATCTGCGGCAACTACTATAAAAAAGTAAGGTTATTCGCACAAAAAAAGCGCCTAAGCGTCCTGTAATAAGGGCAGGCAGTAACTTTATTAATGTGACAAATAGTACTGATGGCGCCATCTGTTGGGCTAGTCTCCTACTCGCCAGAGCTTCGTGGCCGATCTCTGCTTTTACGCGAACCACGAACGCACAAGCCGCTTGGCGGCGTCTGTGAGGACCGTGGCAGCGACTCACCTTCTAGATCGACGCGAAATGACCTCCAATATTCTAGATGTCGCTTTGTGGTTTACCAGACCTTTCTCGAAGCAGCAATGGGGACTATATATAACTCGGCGGCCGGGAGATGGAAGCAAAGTACGGAGAACGGTACAGTAGCAGAGTGGAGTATAGTGCAGGCAATGGCGACATAAGAATTAGTGGTGTATATAAATGTTTCATCAAGTTAAATAAATTAGTGCATTTATTTTTGTGGAATCCAGTGTTTTCAGCCACACCCAAAAGAACCCAGAAAAACGCTACATTAATTTCAAGTCTTATTTCTGTTTAACTGTACCTGCTCAGATGTCAAAGACGGTCAGGAATTATTAGCGCCTGGTTTTATTGGACCTTCAATAACACCCCATTCAAACTTTTCATGTACGCGTAACATTTCATTTATTATCAATTTAAAACATACAATAAGTTTTTGATATGCAGCTCTTTTACAATGTAAAAATTCTCAATAGTGCACAATAAACCAAGAAAAGCATTATGATGAAAATTTTTCATTCAGAAGTATTTCATATAGGAGTTTGATAATTTATTAATAATAATAATAATAATAATAATAATAATAAATGTCTTTATTGAAACCTTCGAATTTCATTCATGTATGAATAGACCTTTTTATTCTGGCAACACTTAAAAATCATCCTATTTTGGAAATTGTTGATTGTTTTAGGAAGACCTACCTTGCGGAGATCTCCCTTACATAAAAGAACACATTTTAAAGTGGAGTAACAGTTATAACTACAGCTTTCGTTCAAGAAGCTTTTCAGCAATGGTGATAGACATCCAGTGTAAAACTTTATGTGCCACCCGGTACATTGGAGTGGTGGAACCACCTCAAATTAATCAAGAAGAGTTTGATCTCACCCCAGAGCAGTGTTTGAGATATGTTTCTTTGGTGCCATTCACGGAGTACAATCATTTTTTTAACAACATCTGGCTTTCGACCAAAGTAAGTTCTAAGATTGATTATAGGGCGTAAACGTTATGATAGTCATTATTTAAATGGGTGATAGAGGGGGTTAAAGGAAGCCAAAAGTTTCATATAACATGGGGGTCAAAACGGATTTTTTTTCAGAGAAAAGCGACTTTAAAGTTATTTTTGGCTCGTGGGTATTATTTCATTATTTGATAATGTACTCGTAAAATGCAAACAATTAAAAAAACCGACTTACCACTAACTGTCTCAGCGCTTTACCTGATGAGTGAAAGTTTATTGAATGTATTAAAAAAAACATACATACATACATTGTTTTTCTTTTTAAAACCCACACTGCACTTTTTTGTATTTAAAGCAGGTGTTCAAAATGTCGTCCTCCACTTTCCACACAATCTTCATTACGACGAACCCAGTTTCTTCTTATTCTAGGTCCTCGAAGTTGTTCATTTATTATTTCAGCCGCATTAAAAATTTTTTCGCGAAGTTGTGATGCAGTTGTTATTGGACCAACCCCATAAACCACCCCTTTAAGTTCTCCCCAATACCAGAAATGCATCGGATTGAGGTCAGGAGATCTTGCTGGCCATTTTCGAGGATCAGGATCATTACGACCGATCCAGCGATTTGGATGATGTTCATTCAAATACTGAATGACGCCACTAAAAATGTGTGGTGGTGCCCCGTCATGAAGAAACCACAGATTGTTAATCTTGACAACTAACAACATGTCGGCGAACTCTTGATTCGAGAACATTGTAAATAAACACGACGACGTACGCGAACAATAACTAACCACTGTTACCGTTTGCGATCGATTGCCGGTTCGATAAGAGTGATGAATGATCGACGCGCTGTTGTCATGTGTGTTTTAAATATTTAATTTTGGCTTAACTTAGAAAAACTTAATGCAATTTATTTGTTAATTACCCAATTTAAAAACGTTTTAGATTAGATTATAAAAATTAGTAAAATTGTGGTGATTGTGGTCGATATCAAGCACTTAAAGTTGTAAACTATAAAGCCATTCAGACAAAAATCTATTGACTTTTGGACCATGGGTCATATGAACTTTGTGACTTGTTTTGAATACCATATCGTTTACACCCTGTAAATGGTTGTCCTGTTTGCCGCAGTAGCATAAAGAGTTTACGCGACTCTACGCCTCTACGATGGATAGGCTCCCAAACACAGTACCTCGCATTCTTAGTTGGCCACCCTGTACAGTGGATCCTCGGTAATCCGACAAAGCCTAAGACCCTCTCTATAGTCTGTAATTTTTTGAATAGGGCCCACTGCGCCCGGTCGCGTCATTTTACGAATGCATGCAACCAACAAATAACGATAGGAGGAATTTTACGTATACAGGGCGTCCAGAAAATAGAACGACAAAAAATTGTGAATATAGGCGAAAGGTAGGTAGAGACATACCAAAAAATGACCCTAGTAAAAGTTGCACTGTTTTTGAGATATAATTTTTTTTCTTTTTTGAAAAAATTCCTTGACCTGGTTGGTTGACCTATCTTTTGTTGTCAAGTTTACCTACTTGTATTTATTGAAAATTATATTTCATATGGCAGAAAAACTATACGTATCTGAAAATATTTTGCAAAAAAAAAACAGATATCCTGTTATTTCTAGACACATCATCAAAAGATTAAAAAGAGAGACAAAAAAATTAATATCTCAAAAACTGTGAAACTTTTACTAGCGTAATTTTTTTGGTATGTTGTAGATCTGCCCTTCGCCTATCGTCTCTATTTTTTTGTCGTACTATTTACCGGACATGTTATGTTATGTTATGTATCTTTACGCAATCGTCAAATCACGCTACAAACGTTTTAATACCAAGTGATGATGACCATGTGATCATAGCATAGCATTCTATGGACTACGGATTTTTTTATTTCATTTTGATACAAACATGTAACAATCGATATTCATTTTTTAATGGTAACGTTAATTGTTTTCAAAATCTTTGTAAGCTCGGTGTTGACTATATCCTTTGCCTTCCAGCAACTTTTACAACTACTGATCGGCTCTACCATAGACCACGCTATAGCACTGACATGCTATCTGCTAGCTCTAAAAATGGAAGCTTGGCTTTTGCTGGCCTACGGCATACCACATGGTAAAACGGCGTACGTTTTGGTTAAAGAATACAGTGGACAAACTGATATTCCAAGATATTACGTGCTGGATGTGGTTAACGCTGAAAAATATTACGTCGACGACCCGTACTGCCCTGTACAGAAAGTGTATTGTCTGGTTAATGGTGAAAACGTAAGAATAAAATAATACAGCAGACGCTCGATAACGTAAACACGGGATAATGAAAACTTGCGCTAATGTAAACACAAACTTCGTTCTATAGGATCAAACGGAACGCTCGATAACGTAAACAACTCTCGGCGCACGGAAACAGCGCGACGGTAAAATGCTGAAGCCTCGATGATTTATGTCGGGCGTCGGGGAGTCCCCGATTTATGATGTAGAGTGTAGAGGATTCACCTCTGCGATAAAATACGACAAACTCGGTCAGTCGTATGATCGTTTAGGATACGTTTATACGTATGTATTTCATTTTTGAACTTAAGTGAATACATTGCACGCGTTAATATATTTTACGACTATGGTATCCACATCCTATAAAAGAAAGTGTTTAAAGTTGAGTGAGAAAGTGAAAATCATAGACGAAGTTGCACTAGGTGCGGGAGTGACACAGTTAGCAAAAAAATATGGAGTATCGAAAACAACAATCTGTAAAATTAAGCGTATGAAAACTCAAATTTTACAAAGAACGTGCAATACATTTCGAGGTCCGGGAAAAAGAAAAACTTTAAAAAATGCGAAGGCACCTAAAATGGAAAATTCCCTGTATAAGTGGTTTTTAAAACAACGGGAAAATCATGTCTCAGTTAGTGGCGAAGTACTTAAACAGAGAGCGAGACTGTTAAATGAAAAACTGAAAGAAACTGAAAATTTCGTAGCTATTGATGGCTGGCTACAAGGATTCAAAACAAGATATGGAATTCGACTGCTGTCTATATCTGGTGAAAAATTATCAGCACAACCACAATTAGTGGAACCATTCAAAGAAAAATTGATGAAAACAATTACCGAGCTAGATTTAAGAATGGAACAAATTTACAACGCAGATGAAAGTGGCCTTTATTGGAAAATGTTACCAGAGAAAACCTATGCTGCATCATTTGAAAAATCTGCCCCGGGAAGAAAGCCGGAGAAACAACGAATAACGTTTCTAGCATGCACTAATGCTAATGGTTCACACAAAATAAAGCCACTGGTAGTTGGGAAAGCAAAAAAATCGCGCTCATTTAAAAATGTTAATATCCCTGTTGATTATGACTGTTCAAAAACCGCTTGGATGACTAGCAGTATATTCCTGAAATGGTTCCACAGGTGCTTTGTCCCTCAGGTATGACAATCAATTATCACAAATGCACTATTCATAATTTGAAGATGTGTTTTCAATTTGTAGGTAAAAGGTTTCCTAAAACAACAGAGGCTTCCAATAAAAGCTAAAAGTTTTTACTATTGGATAATGCACCAAGTCATCCTCCCGAGCAACAACTGAGGAGCAGGGATGGGTCAATTGTCGTCATGTACATGCCGCCCAACGTAACACCGTTAATTTAATCGATGGACCAGAATCAAAGAATCCTGAAAACTTATCTGAGGCTTTAAAAAAAGTAACATTACGAGAAGCTGTTTTAGATTTACATATGGCCTGGAATGAACTTAACCAGCAAACTATTCAAAAATGTTGGAACAATCTCTTTTGTACCAATAATGAAGATGATCAAGAAGACGATGTCCCCTTAAGCGTAATTAGAGAACGTTTGCGATCCAATAATGATAATGTTATTAGTGTGTCATTGGATGTTGTTGATTTATTGAAAACAGTGAATCCCAACATTGTTTGTACTCCTGCTGATAAGGAGGAGGATATGGACAGTGAGGATAATGAGAACGATCCCATTGAAGTCAGAAGTGTAGTGACTGACGCGCAAGCTATACAAGTTTTTAACCAAGCTTTAGATTGGGCTGAAAGAAAAGAAGTTTCATACACGGATATTTTAGTCTTTGTAAATTACGGGCGCAGGCATTGGAAGACAATGCTAAGCGCAAATTTACGCAGACAAAAATTGTTAATTATTTTTCTTCTAATTAAAAAAATACTTATCGCTGTTAGAATATTTGTTTATTTTGTTATAAATAGTATGTATTAAACGTTTCTTTTAATAAATCAAATATTATATAAATCACGTTCGCTAATGTAAACATTTCGATACTGTGAACCACCCTTGGATTAAATTAGTTTACATTATCGAGCGTCTGCTGTATATTCTTTTTAAATTCAAAGTATTCTGTAAATCCTCGTACGACTGGTTCTATTAATTGTTATTTACGTATGTAATGTATATGACAAGGGACATAAACGCTTATTATGGCCGACTCCCGAGATCGACGAAATAAAATTATCTACGCTCTCTTATTTCGATGATTTTATGATTTAGTTTAACTTTATTTGTACTATATTCTATTATTTTTTTAATTTTGCTTATTAGTATGTTTGTGGTTTCATCTATGCTATTTAATAAATAAAGCTCATTCCTCGATCTATTTTCTGCATTGGTTATTAATTTTGTGTTACCAATGGAATGCTTAAACTTCTTATTTTCATTTTTCGACTCATCACTTAATTTACAGACCTCGTACATATTACATCTTGAGATACAAGAGCCATCTGCACTGCAAAAGCGAACTGCAGCTATATACTTCCTTCTTATAGATTTAGTCTGTGTTGACGATTGCCAATAAACATGAAACGCCGTTGTATCCGGTTGGCCCTAATTAGTAGATCTTATTTTGCATTTTTTACTTTAAAAAATGCTACGATGGTAGCTGAAAACTGAAACTTCAAAATTCAACTTTCTAGATATGGGCGAATATTCAAAAAACTGACGACATTGCTGTAACCAACTTCAACCTAAACCGAAAATCTGATTGGCAACAACTGTTCAGCAAAGATCACGTGGCACCAGCTAAATTATCATGTCACGTGGCATACAAAGTGAAAAATGACACCAAACAACTGGAAATGCAACTGGAGAGAAAAATCAAGCGACAAATCACCAAACTAAGACAACTCAACAGAACAGTTTGGAATAAACACATTTCGGACATTTTTAAGCATACTCTCAAATCCTTAGAGATGAATTGCATGTATAATAAAAATTTTCACGAAACTATTTCAGATTTACATAGGAAAATATCCGCATATAAGGTAAGATTGGGAATTTTAAACGACCAGTTGAGTTTAATACAATCCCAGTGAACGTGATAACGCCAAAATGACGTCATTATTCGGTTCACTTTTGGTCTTAAACGTCATTGTCTAAAAAATGACGTCTTTAATGAGGCCATTTTTATGACGACAATAAGACGTACTTTAAAAGGCTGTCATTTTGACGTCTTTTTTAAGACAGTCAGTACTAAGACAACAATTACCTACAAAGAAAATATAGACTTTCAATGAACAGTAAGGTAAACTGTAGATATCCAAATACTAATATCTACTTTACTGTTATTTATAAAAAAGTATCAAGAGTTCTTTGACCTAAAATATCTTAATATGACTTTTCTGATAATAAATATGCCATGTTCAGATATTTAAAATTGCCGTTTACATCATGTTTTATTCCCGTAAATAACAAATTTATTAGAAACTACTCTGTACAACATTAAACAAGTTTTACTAGAAAATTTGTAATCAAGCGGTGTAAAAATCAAAATTTTGGAACGGTATATCATTCAGCCAATCATCAGCAAAGAAGCACGATTGTGTCTGGCGATGTCCAAGCTCCATGCATGTTCGCCGTTTAGCAATGGTTCGGACATTTTGTTTTATAAATCTATGGGTTTGATCGACATCACGATGGATTTTTCGTCTTTAAGGTTCATTGTGGTACAATTTAGTAGGGACGATAGTACTTTCACATAGACACAGAAAACAAGAAGTGTTTTGGCCTTTTGGACAAAAGCAAAGCGATTTTGATAAATTGCTACAAACATATTCCGAACCGTCGTCATATAATGACGTCAATTGGGTGTGACATTAGACCCTCATAATGACGTCATTTCTATGCCATTTTTGTGGTGTCATAGGAATGCCGACATTATGACATTACCATGTTTGCTGGGATACAATAAAAATGACATAAAAAAGGTGATAGTGATGAAACAAAACTTTCCAGGTGTGTATGGATGCAGCCATTATAGCTGGAAATCATTGTATCTACGATAATATACGATTATTTTTACTTGTTGTTTCAGGTGTATGGCTATGCTATCAATATACCATTCACAAGTATATTGGACATTGTCAAAAGGATCAAATCAATGGACATGCATCTTCAGGATGGCGATAATGAATTTGCCCTCGCAGTATACTTGCATTCCTTTTCAGGTGGCATACTATCTGTATGGATACTTTTTGGAATTGTTGATGAAGTTAATGAGACTGTAGTTTGAACTGATTTTTAATAAAATAATACTGTTGGAATTTGTATTTATTTCATACTTGAATTGCACCAAAATAGTGAAAATAGGCTGAATTTTAATAAAATTTAAACAAGATGTGGTCTAAATATTGGGCTGTATGAATGCACATGCTTATACGTGAATTTAAAAAAATATATTTTCTCAACATAGAACAATGGATTTTTGTAGAAGTTGCTTTCGAATAAAGAATAGTGAGGTATTTAGGTTTTAAAGATTAGGCTTCTGTCAGATGTGAAGAGAATCCTTTATTCTTAACCATAAGACAGAAATGTATGGTCATATCAGCAGCTGTAATATGATTCAATTCCTATCGGTATTGATACAAGCTATTCCTTTCAATTTATTATTGAAGAATTCTTCTATATAGACCCCATTGTATAAAATATCAGGTATAAGGGTATAACTAATTTCTACATTGTGAGGTATATTAAATTCAGGTTTATAATATTGGAGCAGTGCTCAAAATAAACCAGAACAGTGTTCCAGGTTATGAAAAATATGGACAGGACTATATCCCAGTTTGCCAAATTGGAATTAGTTTTCTGAAGATGTATTTTCTATTCCAGTTTGTCAGAGTGAGTACAGTGAGTACTGGCTTTAAGCATTGGCATTGCCATATTATGCACTAGGATCATCAATCCAACTCTGTCCACCCCAAACAATATATTATATCTTCTTGGCCATTCAGAAACATAATAGTCAGATGACAAGAACCCATCTTCTATATCTTTTGTTTAACACATTACAAAGTTATAATGAAAATATATCATTTCCAAAAGGTCATCCGATGAAGTGAAGCATTTATGTCAAGATTAATTTGTGTTGTTGAAAAGACACAACCTTGGTGTCTTTTTGAAATAAATGGATTACACAGTACGCGGTACCCCTATGTGTGTGTTTACTTTGACGATGGACGCACAGCAATCAAATAAATAACAATGTACTTACCTACTCCACTTTATATAAGATCAGGCAATTGAGAAAGAAGAAATTTAGAAAATTTCACAAAAACTTCACTAGCCGGGCGGGAATTTTCAGTTGCATTGAGTAGAGGTGCTGAAAAAGTAACTATTCGTTACTCGAGTACTCGTTACACATAGATACTCGAAGTAACGAGTATCAATCAGAGCACGAAATGATTATTCTGTTTTTCTTATCCATTGACATCAAGTAAGCAACAATTCGTGATGTGATATATGACATGTATATAGTTTTTTAATTTTCACTACATATAATACAAAATTTATTGCTATAAATATTGTGTTTTAATTCAAGAAGAACATGTAACACTTTTCACATTGGCAAGTAAACTAGAAGATCGACATTTATTCTGAGCGTTAATGAAATTGATTATAGTCCTGACATGTTCAAAGCCCAACTACTTTAGAAGGTACAGAATTACAAACTGCGTATAAGATATGTTGTTGATGCATTAGCTGAACAGTATGGACGTAAAGTATTACGATTACCGCCCTATCATTGCATTTTTAACTCTATATTGAAAAGTTTTGGGTTTAATAAAGTCCTACTACAACAAATGTCGAGATGGCAGAACTGTAGAGCACTATAAATTTATGGCGAGAAGCTTTACAAACTGTTTCAGCCGAAATTTGGTCAAAATCTATATCACATACTGAAAATGAAATTCAGAGATTGTGGGAAAGAGAAAAATATCTAGACCAAGCTGACATTTTACCAATTATTATAAATATGAATTAGGAAGATAGTGATAGCATCTCGGAGAGTTCTAGTGACTAGAACTTTTTTTCAAAGAAAATATATCTTGCCACTATTGTTTATACGTAAGTCTTTATTCTGAGAATTTTGTACAATAAATACTATGAACAAATTTGATTTAAATGTTCATGTATCTTATAGCTGTTTTAGAATGTTGTGTAATTCAACTTAAATTATAAAATTGTAATAAAGTTAAAATATGGTTTGAGTGGGTAGTAAAACTTTCAAGTATCTATTTTGAAATTTGTTATTCCTTTCCATGTAGCCTATTTTTTATATTATTTTCCAAAAGTAAGCTAATTTCTGCCAGTCACTAATACGCACAGTACTGTAATGTTGGTTGCGGTCCGCCACTGTCACTAGCTCCAGCATTTACAAAACATACTATCTGTAATGTTTGTTGCGTTCTGCAATGTTGGTTGCGGTCGCCACTGTCACTAGCTCTAGCATTTACAAAACATAAATCAAATCCAAGCGAATAACCAAAATTTCTGTGTTATAGCGGTTATAATATGGTTCAAGATGACACAAGGGTTGATGACGTCAGTTACACGAATCGCTTGAACGCGTTGGTTTTAACCGCGGTTCTGTTGCAAGTTGTTTATTTTAGAAAAGCGCGTATATAATCTCTGATTATTTTTATTATCACTTAATAATCGGTGCTTTTTCGTCTACAACTGTATATGGAAAGTTTAAATAAGAAACCTTTCATAATATTCATGGGAGAAATGTTTTTTCAGATTTTTTTTTTAATGATGGAACCATGGCTTTGTAGCTATGATAACTTTCAATTCTCTAAATTTTTCCGCATGTCAAAGAAAACATTTATTGATTCAGCAGAAATGATGACAAAAGAAATTAGCAAAACCATATACAGGTGGATATCATCTAGTGAGTTTATATGGCCGTATTTTAATATTCTTGTGGTATATGGCTACACAGGATACTTTGTTAAGCATAGGAACTACATTTAAAGTGTCCCCAATAACCGTAATGAGTATAACTAATAAGGTGCTCCACTTTATGGTAAAACTGAAGTCAGCCTGTATCATTTTTCTCAAAAATGAAGCTGAAGTTCAATAACAATATCCAATACCCGGCAAAATTCTAACTTGTCACATTTCAAATAATAACCAGAAATATAAAACTACTCTTGAGTTGGGTAAATACCACAATTTTGCGGTGATAACTATGACATATAACAGCTGATTCGTGACGTCACGGATCTTATAACCAAACTGATAACTACACTCGCTTGAACGGATTGGTAAATACCAACCTAAAATGGTAAATACCATTTCCATTTGGTTATCCGCTTGAATTTGATTATACTATCTGTAATGTTGGTTCCGCTCTGTTGAAAAAATAAACATGACTATTTTATTTACATATTTCATATTCAGATTATACTGTGTGTAATCACTTCACGCGCAGTTGTCTGTAGGTCAACAGCGCTGACGATATCTACTGGAATCCAGTTTAACCACACTTCCCTATTCAATTTTGACATAGGCAGATTTGAATAAGCTATGTTTGAAAAATTTTGCAAATTTTACGGTTGTCTATTGTCTTACTAGATTCGGTTCCATTGAAGTTGTTTTAATTCGACATTTGCGACGTTGCCAAATCGTAATACTAGTAATCAAAGTAATGAATACAATAAATGATCACTTCCTAGAAGATTAACGATAAGTAACGAATACTCCAAGGTAATGAGAATCAACACCACTAGTATTGAGGTTAGATTATTTTTGATTTTAACATGAATGACATATCGTCTTGTCAATTGTCATCGCTGTCAACATTTGTTAGCCGACTTTGATTTCTGATATATTATCCGTTTGATTATACAGAAAATAATCAAAATGTTTGGCGGTGGACGTGCTCCGATTTTAGTTTTAAGTAATATTATCTCAAATTTGCTTCTTTGTACACGAAAATAACTAATCATTCCACATTTCAGGTCAAAACACCAAGAGAGAATCCGGTCGGAAGGTTCAGCTGGACAACATCAATGCCGGAAAGGTATGGAAACACGTGCATTTTTTCTAAAAATTACGTTCACTAAACGCTCCTCATCCCTTCACAGCAAATCGCAGACGTAATTCGGACATGTTTGGGCCCCCAAGCTATGCTGAAGATGCTTATGGACCCAATGGGAGGTATCGTAATGACTAACGATGGTAATGCAATTCTCAGGGAAATCACAGTACAACACCCTGCAGCCAAAAGTATGATTGAAATTGCTAGAACTCAGGATGAGGAGGTATGTCGAAACTGAATTTGTAATATTTAATTAAATAGATTAGAATTAGTCAGGATTTAATCATAACCTGAAATGGGACCTTCTGTCAAAAGGGAGGATAATCTTAAAAAAGTTGGAGTTTTTGGAGCTAATGCCACATGTTGCAGAGGGGCATAAGATTTCCAGCTACAATACCATGGTTGTTCTTGTTATGACATGCTTTACTATTCTGGGAATATGATTAATTAGTACAGTAATTTTTAATGCTAGGTTCACAACCGTTACATTCCTCTGTTTCTATTTTTTACTAAACTGTGTAACATTTTGTGGAGGACTCTGAAAGATACATAGAAAGGGGATGACGAACATATTTTTAAAATAACTTCTGTTATCATAAAGATATAGATCATGGGTACTGTGTACTGTAGCACTTTATACATATATGTATAACCTTCAGAAGTTATTCTCAAAACTTGTAAATTATCAAATAACTTTAACTTGTATCTTGTAGGTACTTTCACAGAATATTATACAGTTTAGTTTAGTAACAAAAGAAAACTTTATATCATCATCATAATGCATATCTTCTAAGTCCAAAATTATACCATAACATACCAACATACACCTTGGGAAAAAACATTATTATACATTATGATGAGGAAGAGAGATGGAAATATACAAAAGTATGTAGGTGCATGAAAGACACTCGATTGTAGGATCCTATGTGGCAGCGTCGGAGTGTGACGGACAACGGGGTAAAGTAGAAGAGTGATAAAAGAGAGAGATGGCAGAACGGGCGCTGGCGCCTACCGCTTAGACGGATGCGCTCAACAAATGCGATTTGTTTCTCCCATTCGCAGAGTTGCCGATACCAATATGTCATATTTCTAAGAAATCTAAGTCTACCCAAATTTCGGGAAACATAGCTGCGGATTCCACATAAGAGTATTCCAAAAATGAAAAAAGTTTAAACGATTAAAATTGTATTAATGTTTCATGGTTCAAATCATATTTTTCATGTTTGTATATTGTTGTATAAATGATTTTGTAATCCCTATTCTTGTTGCCAGTAGAGATACAACAGTATTGAGAGAAATCATGGACCGCTAGATATGGCTACAACTACCATATGACTATCAAATAGTAGTGATAAACAGGGTTTGTTTATAGCACAGTTACCTGGTGTGGCGAATTTGCGCCATAGGGCCGATTTGACAACTTTGAAGGACAACTATAACGGTTACTATGGTGCCCGCTATTCGGGAATCTGGCAATACCTGATGATTCCTAACGTTTATTACGCCAGATTGTTTGCTGACTTGCGCAGTACAACATGACAATCAACATGACTGAGCACCTGTAACACTGGTTTAAGGTGTTATATTTAAAGAGCTTGGGGCAGTTAGGTATCTAGGTCACATTTTTTAATGTATTTCGAGAAATCCGTAATGTTGAGTAAATACTAGATCACGTTTCTTGCTTAGTTTGCTGAAAATTCTACAATAGACGTACATTTTGAGAAACAGAGATTTGGTGATGACAAAATCGTAAAAATATAATGCATTTTCGTAAAATAATTTCTTTGTTGAAAAGACTGTGGCTTGATGACCCATTGAACGAGTATAGTGTCCCGCTCCGCTTTGAATATTCGAAACACTATACTCCAGCAGCATTCAGCTTCAATGTTAGCTTTATGAAGTTCTAACGTCTAGGCCATGCTGATTAAAAGCTTGAATGAATCAACACTTAACTCTAAATTCCCCACAATTCGGGAAGCTCTACTCAAATTGGCAACACAGCGTATCTGCCTATTATTCTCATTCGTGATACAGGTCTGCGTTTAACGGTAGGGTAAATATGTACGAATAGTCATGAAAGTAGACGAGCCGATGCGCTGTTGCCAAGAAATGATTTCCCATGTATAACAATGGTTTTTCCTAAGGTGTATATCTATTTATAAGAAAAAACAAGATAATTATCAAAAAGGAACTACATAACTGGCTATTGAATATGGGCATATATTTATTATTATGACAAAAAGATCTCTTTTCCAGATTACTGATCTACAAAACAAAATTATTGTATTACAGTGGACCCCCGTCTAATCCGGCGCCCCCTGTAATCCGACATGTCTTTGAATATTACATACATACGTATTTGACAATCTTCGCTAATGTAGATCACGCAGGTTACAACTTGTACGCGCCACCGTATCGTGCTGGACGCGTAAGCATTGTTTTACTTAGTTTGAATTTGACTACTTGTGATAGCGGTACGGCCTAGCGTGCGTTCATTGTTTACTATTTATTTATTGTGTATTAAGTATAGTACCTAGTAATGTCATCACAAACTCAGAAGCGAAAGCACAAAACATTGACAATTAAAGAAAAATGTGATATTTTAGACTGCTTAAATCGCAATGAAACTTTCAGGAAAGAAATAGGCATGCACCAATTTCAGGACCCATGTTGGCCATGAAAGCTAAGTTTTTTTATAAGGAAATAACAAAAAAAGATGATTTTGTGGCCAGCAAAGGATGGCTAGAACGTTTTAAAAGTCGTCATGGTCATTGGGAAATCTAATAAACCACGTGCATTCAAAAATATTGATTTACCTGTACACTATTATGGACAAAAAAGTGCATGGATGACAAAAGATCTTTTCAAAAAGTGGTTTGATGAATGCTTCATACCTGAAGTTAGAAAATGGTTAAAAGATCATAATTTTCCTCAAAAAGCGTTGTTGCTTCTTGATAACGCTCCCGGTCATCCGTCTGAAGAAGAACTAACAACTGAGGATAAATGCATCACTGCGATGTTTCTTTCGCCAAATTGCACTGCACTGATTGAACCAATGGACCAGAATATCATGCAGTTTGTCAAGCAAGACTATAGGAAAAACCTACTTCTGAGAGCCGTATCAAAAGACCAACCAATAGAAAAAACTTTAAAAGAATTTAATATGAAAGACTTGGTTTTTGCTCTTTGTCAGTCGTGTAATGCGTTACCGTCATCAACTATTAAATCGTCTTGGAAAAAGTTATGGCCAGATATAGTCACCACTCCTAGCAACATTCCACAAATCAGTGCAACTTTGGAAGTTTTAGAACAAGTCGCTACTGAAACACAGATAAGTGCGGAAGATTTTTAAAGCTGGTGCCGTGGAATGGATAAAGAGGAAAATGTTTTTCATGAAATGTCTGACAAAGAGATTATAAAAGAGGTTTCTAATTATACAACAAACAATCAGGAAAATAACGACGACATGATTGCAACTGCTTCACAAGTCACAGCACAAGACGCAGTTAACGCCTTTGAGCTAGGTTTACAATGGGCTGAAGAGAATGGTACATCCTACAACGAACTTTTACTTTTGAGAAGACTGAGGGACAAAGCTCTGATCTCGCGTTTTAACAACCTTAAACAAAAAAAAAATTGATGAATATTTCCAAGCTTCATAATTTGATAAATTCATTAATGATTTTGATTAATAATTCTTGATTATTTTGGTACATATGTAAGTGCATTTATGCTTAATTTTATAATAAAACGTAAGCTCTCTATTGTTATTTAATTTACTAAATTCGACATATATAAACTATGTATGATTTGTACTTCAAAGTACATACATATACATAACATATATAATCTTACCATTGGATATGTAATTTGTCGGATTACAAGGTACTCTTTTATAAAAAATTCCGGACTATAGGGGGTCTTAGGCAGTGCTCTATAATCCGACAAATTCAATAGTCCGACACTGCCCTGCATAATGTTTGTCGGATTACCGGAGGTCCACTGTATATTTATATTGTATTAGTTTCTGTAGTCCTTATTAATCCAATATACCATTTATTGTTAATAGTATATTTTGTGGTATATTGATTTACTCACAGTTTATAGTTGGTGTGAATAAATATCATCATTATTATTATCTAGCAAGTTATTACACAAAATGCTAAATTCTAGCTAAATCTAGATACTACTCACATTTTGTTAATTCTTGAACAGGTGGGTGATGGAACTACTTCTGTAATTGTACTGGCTGGAGAAATGATGGTAGCTGCTGAACAATTTCTGGAGCAACAGATGCACCCAACAATCATCATCAGACAATACAGACAAGCACTTGAGGATATGGTGCAGCTTTTGGAGGGCCCCTTGAGTGTTCCTGTGGATAGGAATGACAAACAAGCTCTTTCACAAGTTGTATGTATCTGTTCTGCTTCTTTTCTTATCTTATATTGTCCGAAGTTTATGATCAATGTGAATGAAATAGATGGTAGATGGTAACCTGCAATGAATTAGAACTACATATCTCGAATTTTTTTTTATGTGAATGAAATTTAACAGATGTATGATTTCAAAATGAATTTATGTCAAAAGCAAAATAGGGTTAAATATCTTTTTTGGGTATTTAGAGAATAAATATTTTAGAGGGTGATTCCTAGTTGAAAAATATGAAAACTTTAAAATATTTACTTGATTCTTTTGAAATTTAGCCTTAAATAGATTAAAATTATTAGGTTCAGTGGTGTTCCAGGGAGGCACCTCGGCAAATATTATTGGCAAAAAAATGTATGTAACTGACTTTTTTGCAACTTTAATAGTATTTTTTGTTTGATATCATACTTTGTTTCCGAGAAAAAAAAAATAAAAACTGGTATTCTTCAAAATATTAATATTGATGGAAGTGTATATTCTGAGTGTCTTCCTTTTATCAGTCAATCAGAAGGTAGCAAAAGCCATCAATGTTCATATTTAAAATTTTACGCCAAAGTTCTATCATGATGTTATGTCCTTATAATGTAATCATACTTTGCTGTTGAGATTGTGGTTCTTTTTAATGAGTCTCCATTATGTTTTGTTGTTTACTGAGGTGACCAGCTGGTCAACAAGGGACGTATTTGTATTAAAGTCTGTAGTGTTGGCAATAATGAATTGGGTGTGAAATGGCTAAAAGTCGGGACCATATTCAGAAATGTTTGCATGAAACATTCGCTAAGACTGCTTCTTTTGTTCTATTCCTACCTGGCTTGAAATATATACAGTGGCGGACAAAAGTTTTATGTATGTATTATGAACCTATACAGTGTGAGTCTTCATAAAGTGCACATATCAAAATCAGGGAAACTACACTCTATTTCATCGACGGATAAATCATCAAAAAAACATGAATTTGATTTTTTATGAATATATGAATATTTTAAAATTTTTAGTAGCAGCTTCTAACCATATTGAAATAACTCGTTACAACTTTTAAACTAAATGTCCTATCATATTGGAATACATTTTGTAGTGATTGCTGGTAAAAGGACGTGCCTGAAAAGAGAAGAATTCCAGGAAAAGTAATGACATCCATTTAGAATAAAGAAAATTTTGATGAAAATCTGTTTTTTTTTCATCATTTTTACAATAATTTCAAATTTTCTATAAATATCGTCGCTTGTACCCTACCTTTTTTTATTTGTAAGTTATCCTACATGTTATCAGCTTTATAAAAGTAAAAATTGCACGTTTATTACTCAAATGTAACAGTTTCTATGAGTGTTTATAAAAAGCCCATGCGCATCGTCTTGCTAGGCACCATTGTTTATCATGTAGATACCTTTTTTTGGTGATTCAATGTAGAGTCGCGCGGGCTGAAGTACGAGTGGGGAGGCGGGCCCAGTTGAAAAACAATTGAATGTTGGGCAGTTAGGCAGCTATTTGTGTTTCTCCTGCCAACTTTATCAGTTTCGTTTGCTACATATCACGCTTTCGCTTTTTGGTCGCGATGCCATGTATAAGTGATTTCCCTCCGGCACACATTGCCGATATCCATTATTATTATGGAATGTACCGAGGGAGTGCTAGAGCTGCTTGCACAGCTTATCTAGCTGCATTTCCAAATCGACGCCCTGTTCCATCAGCCCGTAACTTCCAAGAAGTACATAGAAGACTGGCTAACACTGGACTTGGTTTGCCTCGAGATCGCCGCGAACCAGGTGTTATTATTCATGTTGCTATCGAAGAAGCCATTTTGGATGATTTGTTTGCTGACCCAACTACTAGTACGAGACGTTTGGCGTTACGTCATGGCGTATCCCAGAAATCGGTTTGGCGCATCTTGAGGAAAGCAGGGTTGCATCCATACCATTATCAAAGGGTGTAGCACTTGCATGAAGATGTGGATTGGCGTCCAAGGTGCGTTATGTCTACATGGATTTTAATAAAAACAAGAGACAATCCTGAATTCCCGAAAACAATTCTGTGGACAGATGAATCTCAATTCACGAGAGACGGCATCGTGAACTGTCGTAATTTACATAAGTGGTGCTCAAAAGATGAAAACCCTAGGCTGAAAAGGGCTTCAACATTTCAAGTGAAATTTTCTGTAAATGTGTGGGCCGCACTGATTGACAACTTTTTGATTGGTCCAATAATACTCCCGAGGACATTAAACGGAGAGAGATTTCTGGAGCTTTTGCGGACTGAACTGCCCTTGCTGTTGGAAGAAGTGCCGCTGCAAACCCGTCGAAGAATGATGCTTCAAATGGATGGATGTCCTGCCCATTACTCGCTGATTGTCAGGTCTTTTCTTAATGAAAATTATCCAGGCCACTGGATCGGTCGACAAGGACCTGTTCTCAGATCTCGCACCTCTCCACTATTTTTTATGGGGGACAATGAAACAAAGGGTGTACAGCAGTTCCATAAACAGCGAAGCGGAACTTGAAGAAAGAGTTTTGCGTGTTGCAAACGAAATCAAAAATGATCCCGAGATGATTCGTAGGGCAACTCATCAAATTTCACTTCGCGCTACAATGTGTTTGCAGCAACGGGGTGGCCATTTTGAACATTTGATGCATTAAGCCAAAATGATTATCCTATAGACAAGTCTATTTGATTTTATTTGTTAAAGATAATGAATGATTCATGTAGGTTAATACTGTTGTTTTATTCCTACTCTGGCGTTGAACTGAGTTCACTGCTTTTTGAAACGCTGATTTAAAAACTTATATCTAAGTAATAAACTTGCAATTTTTCACCATTAGGAAGCTATTAACATGTAGAATAACTTAACATTTAAAAAAGGTAGGGTAAATAGGACAATTTTTATTGAAATTTAGCAATTGTTTTAAAAATCATTGAAAAAATAGTGAGTTTCAGCATATTCCTCTTTATTTTAAATTTATAGCATTTAATTTCGTGGAAATTTTCACTTTACTGGTACGGCCTATTATTTGCAATCACTACAAAATGTATTCCAATATGATAGGACATTCAGTTTAAAAGTGGTAACGATTTATTTAAATAGGGTTAGCAGCTGACTCTAAAAATTTTAAAATATTCATAAAAAATCAATTATTGTTTTTACTTTTTTTTTATGATTTATCCGTCGATGAAATAGAGTGTAGTTTCCCTGATTTTGATATGTGCACTTTATGAAGACTCACACTGTATATCCTAATTAAAATTGTGAAGGAACAGATAATATAAATATTAAAGTCTACCTTTGGTTCCTGTACTAATTCAAGGTTTATCTTAACAATATTCAAATTATCTGAAAAAAAATCCTATTGTTGGGCTTGAATTTGCTAAAACTCATCTAACTTGGACAGAACAACAATAGAATACAGTTTGATGGAGCAATGAAAGCAAATTTAACTTGTTTGAATCTGACGGTACAACATATGTGAGACGTCCAATACGAAAAAGATTCGATAAAAAGTATCTGTTGCCACGGTGGAGGCAATATCATGGTTTGGGGCTGCTTTTCTAGTTCTGGAACTGGTCCAATTGTTGAAATTGTTGGGAAAATGGATCAAAAACTTTACAAAGATATTCTTACTGAACACCTGCTCCCTTCTGTTGAAGAAGAAATGCCTTTACAATGGACATTCCAGCAAGATAATGAGCATAAGCATATCTCATAATTCGTAAAGACTGGTTAAGCCTAAAAAATGCTGATGTTCTTACATGGCCTTCGCAATCCCCGAACCTAAACCCTATAGAACATCTCTGGGAGCATGTTAAAGGACAACTGACAAGAAAAACTTTCAAAAATAGGAACGATTTGATTATACTAAAAATATTTGGCGAAATATTCCAACAGACGTCTGTAAAAAATTGGTGTCTTCTATGAGCAGTAGATCAGGCAGTGTTGAATGTTAAAGGCTATACTACCAAATATTAGCTAAACAGTGTTTTTTAAACCTTCTTGTACAGTTCTTGTAATCAATTTTGTAATAAAAAATATGTTTCCATAGTTTCGTCGTCTTATTTTTGGTCATAAAATCATATGAAGGTATTTTAATGCTACTCTGTAGTACCACAGCAGACACAAATTGCCATTTGTATCCTCAAGACTCTGAGCAAACTAAATGAGAAAAAAAATAGTCCTCAATAATAAAGAATAAAAAATTAGCGCACTTTTAAAAAATTACTAAGAATGTTTCCCAACTTTTGTCTGCTACTGTATATCATCATTAGCAGCAATCCTTCACACTGATGGAAAATGAACGATTCTTTACACTTCTTCCACGCGAGCGGAGCCGCGGCCCTGGTCTAGTAAGAAATGTTACTAAACTGGAACATCAATCAAATCTTTCAAATTGACTAAAAAAAAAAAACAAATGAAAAATTTTCTTTTGCAGGTGAAAGGTTGTGTCGGTACAAAATTCTTAAGCAGATGGTCAGACCTGGCAGTTAACATTGCCTTAGATGCCGTGAATACCGTTCTTCTTGAGGAAAATGGTAGAGTAGAAGTTGACATCAAGAGATACGCCAAGGTTGAGAAGATCCCTGGAGGATCTATAGAGGAGTCGCAAATCTTGAAAGGTGTGATGATCAACAAAGATGTCACTCATCCGAAGATGAGGAGGTATATAAAGGTGAGAATAATAATATAATTTGTATGATGATATAATTTTTTGATTTTTATTCTAGAACCCCAGAATTGTGCTGCTAGATTGTGGGCTGGAATACAAAAAAGGAGAATCCCAGACCAACGTCGAAATCGTTGGCGATGCAGTAAGTGTACATATCTTAGATATAATCACCAATCTGTATCCTTCATTGTATTAAAATTTTGAAAAATACGAAAATTAATCTCGAATAATCTCTAATTTGACTCATTGCCAAAACGTTTTTAGATCAAGCAAAACTATTTTCTTTCCATGAATGCGGAAGAGGGAAATTGTGCAGTCACGTGTCACAATGGCATAAAACATACTTCTTAATAGTTTTCAAGATTCTTAAAATATAAATACACGTGTTTATTTATGCCATATCTACTGCATTATGGATTTAGTTAATATAACCGTTTCTTTTTTCAGGATTTCACTAGGCTTTTGGAAATAGAAGAAGAATACGTCAAACGTCAATGTGATGATATCATTGCTCTAAAACCAGATGTTGTCATCACAGAAAAGGGAGTGTCTGATTTGGCTCAACATTTCCTGATGAAGGCTAACATTACCGCGATCAGACGTTTGAGAAAAAGTGACAATAATAGGGTTGCTCGTGCCTGTGGTGCTACTATAGTGAACAGGTATCCATATATCATTTCTTTGAATCAGTCATAGTATTTTCATTTAGGTATTTCCCTATTAGCATAAATTTTGTTTTAGAAGTATTAAATTCTTAACTTGTTTACATTTAACCAATTTATGATTTTTGCCAAGTCAGAATTTAGCATTTTTAACGAAGTGTCTTTATTTTCATCTGATATGTATATTAATCTGCAAATATCTGAATTTTACAATAATCTAAAATATTTAAATATACTAAGTGACATATAAATCCGAACACCCAGTTTAAATGGTTTTATTTTAATAAAATTTTGTATAAGTACTTAATGAAGCATAATAAGTAAATGATAAAAATTTCAAAATGATTGCACTGCTTTAAAGCCCTTTGACCTTTAATAATGTGTGGATGCACCCTGATGTGCTACGCATTCTCCAACGCGCCTAGGCATGCTTCTGATCAGGTGGTCAATGTCCTCCTGTGGTATCTCATTCCAGGCAACCACCAACTCCTCTCGAAGTGCTTCTAGAGTCTGAGGAGGACGTTGCAAATTGAGCAATCTCCTACCCATCATATCCCACACGTGCTCAATTGGGGATAAGTCGGGAGATCTTGGTGGCCATGGTAACAATGTGACATCATTATGTTGAAAGAAGTCTATTGTGACCCTTGCAACATGTGGTCGGGCATTATCTTGTTGGAAAGTGGGATCTGCCAGGGTGTCAAGATAGGGTAAAAGATGGGGTTCTAGAACTTCGTGGATATAACGCTGCGCGTTCATGTTACCTCTGATGAAGATTAAAGGTGACCTGGAACCATAAGCTATAGCACCCCAAACCATAACTCCAACACTCCAACACTTCGCATGCCAATAGGTCTTCCGTGTTCTGCAAACCATTCATTTGCAATGGACCTGGTAGTGGAGAACGGTCCCTTAAGGCCAATAATCTTAGGCGGCGATCTTCACGGTCTGTTGTTCTACGGCGGCGTCCAGTGCACCTTGCTCTTTGCGTACGCCCTTCTCGAAGCCATGCCTGACAACACCTAACCACAGTGTCTACACTTCTTTGCACTCTAACTGCAATTGCCCGAAAAGAAAGTCCAGCTTCCCGAAGTCCCACTATACGGCCCCTATCAAACTCACTAAGTTGACGAAATCGTACAGGTCTCCGTACTCTAGGCATCGTAACCGATCGTAAAGGATGTCAAGAACCAAAATCCGCCAACGTTGATTCTTTACTGCGGCTGAAATATTCATTTTTAGAGCGTTAGTGAATTAAAAAAAAGCAGTATAAAAACCGGAATGTCCAACTGATAAGGCTGAAATTTTTTTCACTTGTTATTTACAGTAAGATAAATACATTCACCAACTTTTATTAAAATAAAACCATTTAAACTGGGCGTTCGGATTTATATGTCACTTAGTATATTACAAATGTCGTTAATGTATAAAATAAATAGTAGTGGACCTAATTTACTACCTTGTGGTATACCAACAGAAATATGTTTTGAACTGGATAATGTAGATCCAATTTTGGTTTTTAAGTAGTTTTGTAGAATTTTGAATACAGATACTTGAATCTGTAGTGATGCAATTTTGTAAGTAATTTATTCCTGTCAATAGACTCAAAAGCCCTTTTGAAGTCCAAAAACACTGTAATTTCATGTATCCTATTGTCCATACATCTCCTCCAGTCTTCTAAAACCTTTTGTGTTACCGTTCCAGTTGGCTGTTTCTTCCTGAATCCAGCTTGAAATTTGGTTAAAATGTTATTTCCCTCAATAAATTCGATGATCTGTTCGTAAATAATTTCTTCAAAGACTTTTTCAACATCTGGCAGAACATTTATTGGCCGCTTATTGGTGTGCAACTCAGAATTCACATAGAACACTTCAGTTTTGTTGGAAATCCGACATATTTTAAACAGTAATTTATCAGGATTAATATTCTTGCTCCAATAGTATCAAAACATTCATTAAGCACACTATTACACAAAATCTCACTCTTATTTTGATTTGATTTAAGTTTTGATGTAATCTTCTTGAGATAATTAATGTTTATTGTTCTATACTCACTGAATGATGCATTATAATGTCGCCTCTTTAGAAAAAGTTTTGTATGATTTGAAATTCGGATGTTATATAAAATAATTTAATAGTTCTAGTTGAACTAATTTTTCAATCTATTAGCTTTTGGAAGAAACTATTTTCTTTTATACATTATGAGTTTTTCATTTTACTGGATGTATCACGGAACACTATTTACATTATTTCTCACTTACTATTTCAGGACAGAAGAGCTGCAAGAAAGTGATGTGGGCACTGGCGCCGGGTTGTTTGAGATTAAAAAATTGGGTGATGAATATTTCTGCTTCATCACTGAATGTAAGAATCCTAAGGTGAGAATTATGTGTTACTGTCAAAATTTTATCATGTAGTTAAAATCGAAAGCAAGGACTGCAGCATTCAAAAACATGTTTTTTTTATGTGGGGCCGTTCAACTATTACGTAAGCAGGTTTATTAAAATTATTTACCCCCCCATCCCCCTTGTCAGCAAAAGTAAGCAAAGCTCTTAACCCCTCCCCCCATGCTTACGTAAACATTTGTCAACTTGTCAATTAATGTATTGTTTTTTTTAATATTATAATTATAACGTTATAATTATAATTTGTAAAAACAAGAAAATAGATTTAGGATAGAGATTACATTTTACTGATACAGTATTCAACATAGAGTAAAGGACAAAAATATTATATCTTACTAACATAACTAACTTATTTTAAATTTTTGGTACATATATTAAATTCAAATTAAGTCTTCAGTCCATGAAACCCGAATCCATAATTTTAAGTTTTCGATGACATTGGATTTTTTCGATTGCTGCTCAGTGTTGCGAGTTTGCTCGCATTCATCGGATTTTTAAATGTCTACGTCGTTCTCATCGAGCCATTCAACATCATGGTGCTCTAAATTTTCAATAATGCACATCAGTTCATTAGCACGACAAGCAGCGACTCTCACAGGTCTAACTTTCCTGTCAGTGTGCGTGTTTACTTTTTTATGGATATTTTCGATGTGACGATTTAGTGACTTGACGGAAGCATGATAAAGACCACACGTTTTGCATGTTCGACTTGATAGCCTCAAATCTTTGAGTGAAGCACTTAAGCGTAGAGCTAAATTGACTGGAAGATTAAGAAATTGCCCTCCTTCATCCAAAATCAAGTCATCAACTGTTTGTTTTACTTTTACAGGTGGTGGAAGAAACCTATTGTCTAGTGATCTAAATAGGCCACTTTTTGGACGACAGCATTCTGTATTTCTACATTTTACAATTTGAAGCAACTATAATACCATTTAATGTCTGGAAAATCAGGAAGATCTTGTTCACCTGCCCCAACATATTTTGCATTAACATTATAGCCATCAATTTCCATGAACTCCATACTTCAGCTAATACATTTCTTGCAAATTCGAAAATAGATCTTTCTAAATGTTCATCAATTGTAACGCCACGTTCATCCAAATGAGACCCAAAATGGTCATGAGGCAATATTAAACCAGCCAGTTCCCGACTAAGAGGAGCCATTTTCTGCGCTCTACTCTGTTATACGCACTTCTTCCAGGAGCATTGGTAGCTAAAAACAATGCATCGAAATCATGTCGCTTAAAGTGTTGTATAGCAAACCCTATGACTTTTAGATAACGTGGATTTTCATCTGGCCCTCCATCAACCGTCATGATTACCACTGGTTTTACTAGTCCATGGTCAGTTTTAGCTAATGGCCGAAACTCTTCAAGTTCGAGAAGCATCTCGAAATCCTGAGCATGAGTATTAGCAGTAGATGAACTATGCTTTCCACTTCGAATAGCGATGTATGTTGGTCCAGAATATCCAACGGCTTGCGTTTGTCCTAGCATATTGGAAGTGATTTTGATACCAGCATAAACATATGGTATTAATTTATGACGCTCAGCGATTACCCAATCGTGATCAGGCAATTTGATTCCATATTCCATGTGCATTAGAAGAGGTGCTTGCTTATTTGCCGCAGTTACGCCAATAGGGACTCGAGCTTTATCATCTTGAGATATGAAAAATACTTGATCTGGTCCAAGTATGGATGCTGTGTTCTCTAAATAATGGATTGATGTTTCAGCGAACTTGCTATCTAAGTGGCTCTTGTGGTGATCAGTTTGAGCCCGAATGAGCTTAACAGGGACTATCGATACATGTCCTCGCCCCTCTGCAGAATTATATTTTCTGGAAATCAAACGTCCCACTGCGAGTAATGTCAAATCCTATTTTACGTAATTCTTGGGAGTTCATCAAGAGTTTTTACGCTGCGAATTGATTCCGTTCATCTTCTATCATCTGCTGCACTCCCAAATAAAGCTTTATCCGCGATTGTTTTCAATAATGAATGTTGGTTGCTTTTAAGATTAGGACGTCCCACTGAATCCCTCGGAGATAGTCTTTTTTTTATTTCTGGATTTTCATGACAAACATCTTCTAACTTTCTTTTCATACCATCCCTGTGTTTCTTCTGGGCAACTGCGTTTTAAACCTTCCTGTTTAAAAACTGTTTTGCTCTTTTTTATTTCCTCGCGCAACTTAATGATCTGTTTATCAACTTCAGCACAGCTTGGCATAGTATCTCTGGCAGAATACAAAGCATTCAGATTTTTTTCGAGTAGAGCAATCTTATTTTTCATAGCTTCCTGAGAAGGTTTTGCTCACTGTTTATCTGTATTTTCATTAATTTCGCATTGCTGTTGTGATTCATTACCGGGTTTTATTTTATCTTCTTCCTCTCTGTTAATATTTGAAGCTGAAAATAAAAACGTTCTATGGCATCTGCTAAAGATTCTCTTATTAAGCTACATAAATACAAAGTATGGCAATATATATGGTAAATACAAAACCCTATGGCTTTAAATCTAATATGTTTAAACGAGCAATTCGTTCCAGTCACAAAATACAGGGTGTTAGTTTTCTGTATATATGTATAAAACTAACATCCTGTACTTTGTGACCAATTGACGGAATCAATCATAAGAAATGAATCTATAATATAATGAATATTACCTCTATTCTTTGAGATAGGCCATAATATTTTCTAATCAGTAAAGAGAAACTTTTTAGCGATTTCTAATATTTCTAGTACTCATAGGTACCTAAAATGATTTTGTCACTCACCTTAGAAAAAAAATTCAGTAGTTTGGATTTATTCTTAGTCGCCGCTTGCAATTCTTCTTCGATTCTCTTAGATACAATAATATCTAGTTCCTTGTCAGATTTTGCTTGTAATTTCGCCACACTTCGTTAACCAACTTTTGTACATTTTGTACTTTCGTACTTGTATGAGATTTTTTAAAACTTTCAAACAATTTCTGGTATAACGTGGATTTGTCTATTTGAAACGACATCTTATTAAACATTAAACTTTGGCTAATGGTATCAATGGTAACACAAATGTTTTACTATGCTTACAATACGTCTACTCGCTATAGTATCCAAACGTAACAATACATTGATAGAGGAAATTTAGACAAGTGAACACCGCGCGGTAATTCCCCTACTCGGTTCTAAAGCGAGTGGGGGAATTACCGCGCGCTGTTCACTAAACGTATGCATTATTTGCGGGAATCCCCGAAAATGCGTTTCGTTTTCAAGCAAAGACAATGTGAGGGAAAAAAGTAAATAACTACCGATGACGTAATCATCATCTAGACTCCCCTACCCCCCATGTCATCCAAAATAAGCAAAGCAAAGATCCCCCCGCCCCCCATAGTGCTCACGTAATACTTGAACGGCCCCTGTACCTTGATCATAATAATTTGAATATGAAAAATATATGTTTTTATGTGACAGCCTTTGAATAGTTGAACCTCACTATAGAACTTTTATTCATTTGTTATCCATACTTTAAACTCAATTGGATTGAATTTTAATCCATCATTATTTTAGGCGTGTACTATTATCCTGCGAGGTGCGAGTAAAGACATACTCAATGAAACGGAAAGAAACCTGCAAGATGCTCTACAGGTAGCAAGAAATATCATGTTATCTCCACGTTTGGTGCCAGGTGGTGGAGCTATTGAAATGGCTGTTGCACAACGCCTGTTACAGAAGACCACTCATGGGCCATATGCTGCGCTTGCACATGCTCTCGGTATGTTTCGAAATAATGATAGCACATTTATTCCTCAACCATTTACAGCAGAGTTCCCCAAACTTTTTTGTGTCGTAGACCCCTTGCCATGTTTTTCCGTGTTGGGTAGACCCCCTACTTACCTGATATTGATTTCCTGTAAATTTCTAACTGTACTGAAGTTTAGTGTTAAAAACTTAAAGTAAAAACACATGTTAATTTATACATTTATTAATTGAATTTAAATTAAAACTACTCAAAATAAAATTTTGTATCTGTTATGTAAAATATACGTAACATTAAATAAACAGGTGTCTGACCAATAAGTGAAAAATAATAAAAAAAAAATTTTTACTTAAAATAGTACAATAAGCGAATTCGTTTATTAATTATAACATAAACGTACGTTCTACAATAATTTCACTGTTAGTTTGATTAAATTCCGCTTCTTATACGTTTAAGTTATCTAAAAATAGGCAAAAAATTAACGAATTTTAGTGTGTACCTATCCTTGAAATTTCTGAATAATTTAAAAAAAAAATATTTTCTATAAAGGGGGGTTCTTTAAAAAAATCAATGCGGGCACTTATTCCCAATGCGGGCATTTATTCCCAATGCGGGCATTTAATAAACATAAAATAAACTATCAATAAAATAACATAAGCAATAAGTCAATATTTTTAGTGAGAAGGATGAACCTGATGCTTTAATAATAAATTATCAACATTTGGCGTCAATTTGGTAGGGGTTAATCTTAAATCTCATCGGCTAAAGATGTCCAGTCTGTTTCTTTTTTTCGTTAGGAGATTGGTAACAGCGCTGAACCCCCTTTCCACTAGGTATGACGATGGAAAGGAAATTAAAAAATTCCTCGCTATATTCCATAATACGAGATAAGTAACGGGTATGTTGTTTTGCAGCCAGAATTGCTGATATCCGTTTTTAAACTGAACCTTAAGTTCTTCGTTTGTACTTAGTTCAGTCAGTTCCTCTTGTATTATGACATTCGTTTCTTCTATGTCACCATATGGATTAATTATCCACGGTGGTATTAACATAGTCAAAATATCCTCAAACCTCGATTCAAAATCTGAATAGAGGGCATTTAAATGTTGAACGTAAGTTGAAACGTCGTCTTCCTGGCAGCTTGTCTGTGACAAATTGGGGAACTGAGAAAATTCGCCCCGTCCAATATTTTGCTTCATTAGTTTAACTCTGGCAAGAAACGCTGATAAGATGGACTTTGTTTTAATCAAATTTAAACTGTCGCCTTGTAATTGCAAATTAACCATATTAAATTTTGTAAACAAATCTGTTAAGGCGATGTCTGTTTTCCTCTTCATTAAATTTTCTTTTAAAATTTTATCTTTAGTATCCAGAAATTCTAAAATAGTCTCAAAAAGTGCAAAAAATCTTGTCAAACATAAACCTTTCGACAGCCAGCGTACTTCTGTGTGAAGGAGTAATAATTGATGAAAGTGTTCGTCATTTTCTTCACACAACTGCGCAAATAACCGCGTATTCAACGCGTTGCTTCGGATTCGGTTTACTGCATCAATGACTAAATGAAGTGATTCATGCAATCTAACAGTCAAATTTTTAGCAACTAAATGTTGTCGATGGATGACGCAATGTATTGCTAACACTCCTGACACATTTTGTTTTAAATAGCTTATAAATCCACGATAACGTCCAACCATGGCAGGTGCTCCATCTGTAGCTACTGATATTATATTTGATAAAGGAATTGCTTTTTCAATGAAGTAATCCTTCAAAACATGAAATATTGATTCACCTTTAGTGTCGGTTATCAAAGTTCTTGCGAAGAGCAGTTCTTCGTAGATTTCTTGATTCATAATAAAACGAACATATGCCAATAATAATGCTGCATTATCAGGTAAAGTTGACTCGTTCAGTTGTATAGAGAAATGGGTCGTTTGCAAATAATTACATAAGAAGCTTTCAATATCAGAACTCATTTCATCAATACGTCTTTCAACAGTATTGTTGCTTAAGGGAATTCTTTTAATGATATCAGATGCATGTTTGTGTAAAACAGTTTTTAAAACCTCTTCAACGGCTGGCAAAATTAACTTCTCTCCGATAGTATGCGGTTTTCCGGATTTTGCTATAAGTAACGAGATATTGTAAGACGCCCGCAAACCATCATCATTTCTTTGTGGCGTCGAAGCGAACATTCTGTCCAGTGTAGGTCTCTTCTGAAATTTATCTTTGAGTGTTTGAAAGTATATCAAATCTTTCTCTGTTTTATCAGGGTGGCATCCTCTCAGATGATCTTGCAGTTTAGATGGTTTCATAGCCTCATTGCCCAAAACTTTGTTGCATAAAAGGCACATAGGCGATTGTTTGTCCTGCAATGATGGAATGAAGCCAAATTTCAAATAATCAACACAGTACTGTCTACATTTCTTTTTAGATTCGGACATGGCATCAGTCATCTGTGGGCAAAATTAAATTATTTAAATAAGACCGAAAATCCAGCAGCTGTATATTAAAAATATATTTTGATTTTTCCGAAAACATTCCATAATTCGAACATCTTGCAAAAATTAGCTCGAATTACGGAGATTGCACTGTAATTATATTACCGATTGCTAAAACTTTCAAAAAGAAACTATTGAGGAGTACTCGTGTAATTTTGCATGATTGAATATTTAACTACTAATAACTAAAGTCATCATTGGCGTAATTAATCTATCTTTGCTAACTACGAGTACAAAACTAAAATAGAATAAAAAATAATGTACTTACTTTTCTCCAGCACTCTCAAACAAAATAACACTGACTCACTATAATTTGTGTGATATACTATCTGTTTATATTTTTTAAAATATTTTCTTAGCACTTTCCTTTTCAAGATTCAGGAAACGAATAAACGTATTTGTCCCACATTCGTATTTATAGAGTGACGAATTGAACAAGTCAGTGCAAGGTAGCGAAGCTCTGAGACTGCGACTCTCAGGTTTTTACAAGTTCAAAATGTATTGCGACCACAAAGCGAATACCAACATCCTACAACTTACACAATATTATAAACATATATAATAAATTTTTTACTTCATAGGTACTTTTATAAATAATGTATATGTTTTGATATTATAGGATAGTATGATGTAAGTAAATAGGTACCATTAGTGTAAGTGTTGAGATCCACTATCGTGGACCCCCATATTCATTTCATGGACCCCCAAATTTTTTTTCGCTGACGTAGACCCCTTGCAGGTTGTCATAGACCCCTAGGGGTCGATATAGACCACTTGCGGAATCAATGATTTACAGAGTAAAAAGCAGTAGTACAGGTGCATGATAGTTTCAGCACAAAATGAAAATACCCTAGAACAAGAAAAAAAAAGAAGTACAGTAATGTCGGCTTATAACGAACGTCAAGGGACTGGCCAATCTGGTTCGCTATAAGCGAAATTCGTAATAAACGATAAATAATGCTAATACCAGAAAATATTTTTCATTAGTTTATTATTCAACCAGGGGTATATACAATGTTTGTAATAGTATATAATAATATCTGTAATCCACATTTATATAATTTTTTGAAAATCTTTCTTAAAAAAATTATTTATTTTAGTTTGGTTTATTTTTGTGAAATTAATATCATTAATATGTAATTCCACTTCAGCTAGTCGATCTAGCATACGCTGCGGAGTATTTCGTGACTGAAGGAAACGACGAACGCTGTCATTGTGTCGAAGTGCTTCTGATGTGGTTGGAGTTGGTATCAGTTCCATACCAACAGATACTTCATCTTTATTTTGCTTTTCTTCGTCATCATCTAGGTATTCGACAGTCACAACTTGGTTATCAATATGGACAAACTCATTGAAATCGTTCTCACTATAAGGAAGATTGGCTCTAATATTGTCTCGAAGATCGTCTTCCTGTTGAATTTTCTTCATCCACTCAACTAATGGCAGTTCATTGTCGGGATCAAAATGATCCTCAACCTCCAAGAAACCCCCATACGTAAAAAACAATTTAAAATTGTTCCTTTTGATACCATCTGCCATGCCATATGAATGATGTTTATTGCATCCAGAAGATTGATTGTAAAATTTACCCCACCACTATCAATCATCCAGAAAGAATTTGCGAGATTTGAAGTGTGCTTCGGGTCATTATCTTGCTGGAAGATTGATCTTAAGGGCATATTGTCTTCCATATAGGGTAACATGATATGCTTTAGTATGTCTGTGTATACAAACATATCCATAATGCCATCTATTCTATGTAAAGGTCCCATCCCAAACCCCGAATAGCACCCCCAAACCATAACAGACCCGCCTCCATGTTTGACAGTGGGCAAAGTGTACTTGGGGTTCAATCTTTGTCCACTAGGACGTCTAACGTAATGAACACCATCTGATCCAGACATATTGAACTTGGATTCTTCACAGAAACATACCCTCTTCCAGTCACAGATGCTAAAATCAAGATGCAACTGTGCAAATTGTAATCGGTCTCGATTTTGGCTTTTTTTTGTATTGGGGTTTTAAACGGATCTTTGGACGAAATTACTTTTATTAATCTAACTGATCTAGCATTTAGTTTTCTAGGCCGACCACTTCTCTTAGAGGCTTCAAAAATACCTTTTTGTTTATATTTGTTCAATATTGCCCAAACTGCTTTACGCTTCAGCTTCAAATTTTTGGCAATGTCGACTTGACGGTGACCATCTTTGCATAACTCAATGATCTTAGTTTTGACATCGAAAGAAATTTCTGGACCCCGCGGCATGGACTTGAAAAAACTTCCACAATACTTGATGAACACAAACTAATCCTCTTCTGATTCGAAACTGTACTAAACTAATGTTGAAAAGAAGTTGTCTACATATTTTTGTCCCTCATAAAAAAGTGCTTATATTCAGACTTGTATTGTGTTCATTGCAGATAATGTAAAAACAAGGAATTTAGTTTTCCTACTAATAACGCATTTGTTTATGGAGCAATGAAATATGAATTCGTTTTCTAAAGGTATTTAGGTAAATATTCATATTTATTAGTCACTGATCACAGATTGTGCTTCTGTAAGTTGGAAATTGAAACTCCGGAATACACACCTGCAATATTTTACTACAGAGATTTCTCGCATTTCAATCACGTTGAGTTTGCCAACGATGCTGCTTCTGTGGAATGGAGCTACATAGATGGTTTACCAAGTCTTGATGACAAAGTTCTTCACATTACCGAAACTATTATTATGCTCTACAATATACATGCCCCATTGAAAAGAATTACTTCACGTAAGAACTACAGACCTTATGTGACACATACAATCAAGTGTATAATAAATTTGAAGCGGAAAGCATACAACAAGTTCAGAAGAACCAGAAATAAAGAACATCGTGCATATTATAGTGATCTAAGAAATTATTTAGGAATAGCTTTGAAGAATGAAAAAATAGCTTACATAAAATTCCAGCTTAATAAGTATTATAATAATCCTAAACAGATGTGGAATAGTTTCTCCAGGTGGAATATACACACAAAATCCATTAAACACATATCACAAGACCTTGAAAACGTTGAAAGCATCAATAATCACTTTATTAACTCTGTACCAAACCTGCAGCCAGATGACTTATTTCTTAACACATTCTCATATCAAAAAAATTCTATAGTTTGCAAGTCTTCATTTAATCATGTTACATCAGACCAAGTTGAACTAAAATTGAAAGAAGTCAAGTCAAATGCTGCGGGTGTTGATTGTATCACTACAAACATGTTGAGAAACGTGTTCTCTTTTTGTAAATATCAGCTAACCAGTATCATCAACCAATCACTGAGTACAGGGGAAGTGCCATCATTATGGAAAAAAGCAGTCATAACACCACTTGCAAAAGTTAATAATGCCATCGATTTTAAGGACCTCAGACCAATAAGTGCTTTACCTTCAATGTCCAAACTGTTAGAGAAAATTGTAGATGATGAACTTCGTGAGCATCTAGAAATCAACAAAGTGTTGCCTGACACCCAGTCTGGGTTTAGGAAATTACATAATACATCTACAGCGCTCATTAAAATTTCCAGTGATATAGTGACATTTATAGACGATGGCATGATAACGCTACTAGTCATGCTAGACTTCAGCAAGGCATTTGACATGGTAAATCACAGAGTTTTGTGTGAAAAACTGCACCATTATGGTTTGACCGGAAATGCCATGCTGTGGTTTAGTAATTACTTGTTTAATAGATCTCAATGTGTAAAATTGCGTGGTAAAGTGTCTACTTTACGAGCTTTGAAGTCTGGTGTTCCACAAGGCAGCGTTTTAGGTCCTATTTTATTTACTATTTATACCTCAGATCTGATAAAACATATATCATCTGACTGGAATGTACATTTGTATGCGGATGATGTACAAGTTTACAAACCATGTCAACCAACCGATGTAAATTCTTTAATATTAGAACTTAATAAAAATTTAGACATAATTGAACAGTACTCAAAAAATCATTGTTTGAAGCTCAATCCCTTGAAAACCAAAGTATGTTGTGTTGGTTCTAGACTAGCGATTCTGAAGTGTAAACAAGTAATAAATACGAACATATTTTTAGAAGGAATTAACATTGAATTTGTTGAAGAAACAAAAAATTTGGGAATAGTACTTGATAAGAATTTAAGTTTTGAAAGTCACATTATAAATAAGCTCAGAATATGTTATTATAAATACAAATCGCTATGGAGATATAAGTATATATTAACAAGTGATATCAAACTAAAACTTGTTAATGCATTAATCCTCACACATTTAGATTATTGTAGTACTGTATATTACCCTTTTATTACTGAGGAAATGCAACAGAAAATTCAAGTTTTACAAAACCATTGTATGAGGTTTTGTTTCAATGAGATAAACAGACGCGAACACATTACTGGGTATTATGTAAGGGAAAATCTTTTAAAGTTCAAATATCGCTCGTTACTTCTCTATGCTGTTCTACTATTTAGGGTTTTAAAATATAAATCTCCGAAATATCTTTTTGACACATTAGAGAAAAGATCTTCACTCCATCAACTGTTCCTCCGTAATGAATATTGTTATAATATACCAGCCCACACTACCTCAAAATTTAAAAAATGTTTCTATTACATAGCTCCCAGTATACTAAATGATTACCCAAGTTTCTTTAAATTAACGTCCATTCACAGCTTCAAAAGAGAATTCAAAACAATGCTATTACAGTTACAATTTAATGAATCCACAAGTGGCTGAATAAATCTCATTATTAATCTTATTATATTTTAAAGTTTTGTTAGCATTATTATAGTCAACCAAATATCCTTTATGTAATGTATATGATATACCTTAGTATATATATATATATATACTCAGGCGGGGGTGAAAAATGGCTATGCCAATCCCCAGCCCTTTGGAGTATTATTTTTTTGTGTTATATTATTTGCTCGTATTTTGATTCTATTATGTATTAATACTCCAATAAACATTATTATTATTATTATTATTATTATACTTTTGTCCATTACTGTATAACAAGCTCACGAACAGTTGTGCGCGGGTTTGCCTCCACCAGTGCCTTTAATTCGTCGTCGACATCATGTGGCCAACCACTGCGCTTTTCATCTTCAAGGCTTTCGTGAATCACCATTGTGCTGTACGTTAGTGGTTCCTTAACCAAATGCATCGTTGATATCGCGAGCTGTCTCGGCAGCTTTTCGAACTAGCTCGAACTGGTTTACAAATTATCGTAAAACAAAACGAATACAACTATATAAAGTCAAAATATTATAAATAAATTTTAGTGTAAAATACATCATTTAAAATAATGAGTTGTCCAATAGGGACGCAGGAAAGTAAACGTCAATTTGACATAAACGCCATCTTTGTTTTCTGTCACCGACATGTCATTTTGTTAGTTGAATGTTTACCATTGATCGCTTTGGAGTCGTATTCGATTGAAGACCGCATTAAAGTTATTCAAGAGCACTACAAAAATGGTGGAAAAATAAAAAACACGTTTCGCGCGCTTCGTGAACATTTCGGTCGCAACAACCGCCCAAACGAAACAACCATCGGTCGTCTGGTGCGTAAATTCGAGGCAACATGTTCTGTGGCAAATCTGCCAGGCTCTGGCCGGCCAAGGAGCGTTCGCACACCGGAAAATATTGCTGTTGTGAAGGAGAGTGTGAGAGACGATCCGAAACAATCAACAACGCGTCGATCACAAGAATTGGGCATTTCGAGAACCAGTTTGCTCCGCATTCTCCACAAGGATTTGAATGTACACGCGTACAAGATCCAATTGACGCAAGAACTGCGTCGGGCCGACCATTTTTCGCGCCGAACGTTCTCAGATTGGCTCCTTGAACACCGCCAAATTGATGCCAATTTTTCATCAAAAATCATGTTCAGTGACGAAGCGCATTTCACTTTGAATGGGACGGTAAACAAGCAAAGCTGCCGCATCTGGGCGAACGAAAATCCCCGTAAGTATCAAGAGCAGCCGATGCATCCTCAAAAAGTGACTGTGTGGTGTGCATTGTGGTCAAAAGGCATCATCGGACCTTACTTTTTCGAAAATGCGGCCGGGGACGCCGTTACCGTCAATTCTGAGCGATATCACTTGATGATAGAGGACTATTTTTTGCCGCAACTTGAAGAAATGGATATGGACGATATTTATTTCCAACAAGACGGTGCAACATGCCACACAACCAACGTCAATATCCATCGATTGCAGTCCTTCTTCGGTGATCGCGTGATTTCGCGCAGAGGAAATGTGCCATGGCCACCAAGATCGTGCGATTTGACTCCCTTGGACTTCTTTTTATGGGGATATTTGAAAAGCAAAGTCTACGTCAACAAACCAGCCACCCTCCAAGAACTCAAAAACAACATCATTGCCGAGATAAATGCCATAGAACCGACCATGTTGCAAAATGTCATTGAAAATTTCGACCATCGCGTAGACGTCTGTAAATCCAGTCGTGGTGAACATTTGAGCGATATTATTTTTCATACATAAATGGTATAACTGAACCTTTTGGACAACCCCATATAAATAACAAAAACCGCAAGAACTTCCCGAACAACCGAATAATACTATATCTTTTGAAAGAACCTGCATAGGAAAAATGTGAAGTATTTGCAATGAAGTAAGGTTTAATGGGTGGTATCATTCATCTAACATTCATTTAGCAATTTGCATTGGTATCCATCGACAATCTTCGGTGACGTGTTAACAGCTCGCCGTTCTCCAAAGGATAATTCAGATGTACTTTTCCTTAGCGAACCACCATTCTCTCGGTGAAGGCCTCTGCATCGGAATCAATATTTGCAGTACGTCTGTGTATACCAGTGTTGGAGTCTTAATTTGAATGTATTTTCAGAAATCATCCCTCGTACGTTGGCCCAGAATTGTGGAGCGAACACGATCAGGACCCTGACAGCTTTGAGAGCAAAACACGCCAGCTATACTGATACCACTAAGCCCTGCACATGGGGTATTGATGGTGAGACAGGCGAACTCGTCGAAATGGACAAAAAAGGATTGTGGGAACCGTTGGCGGTAAGTCGAATTGAACTTCTGTGTGCTTGCATGTTTATACTTCACTGCTTTAAAGTTAAAATGATGTAGGTTAGAATGTTCCCAGATAAAACTAATTTTCTCCTATATGCAGTAGCGGACAAAAGTTTGGAAACAAATATTAACATTATTATGAACTATTTCATATACCTAAATTAAAATTGTGAAGGAACAGATAATATAAATAATAAAGTCTACCTTTGACTCTCGTACTAATACAAGGTTTGTCTTATAAATATTCAAATTATTTGATAATAAAAACACGCGTCTTTTTAAATAATATATAATTATAATAATAAATTTTTGTAACGACAAAAGTATGGAAACATTTCAGTTTTGCAGTATTTATTCGTTATGCGATACTCTGATATTGCGTGCGGTAAATATTAACATCAGTGAGAATGGCAAAACTAAAATAATTTTCAAAAGATTTAAGAGACAAAGTAATTGAATTATTTAGAAGTTGGTAACTGAGAATTGGAGAAGAGCCATAGACTCAAAAGAAGTTTTAATAGCAGTATTTTTGGATTTGAAGAGGGCATTTGAAACAATTGATAGAGATATTTTGTTAGGTAAATTGAAGGCATATGGTATAACAGGAAGTGTTTTAGATTGGTTTAGAAATTATTTGTCTAAAAGGATGCAAGTTACAAAAGTTAATGACACTATTTCATCAAAAATTGAAAATAGGTTGGGTATTCCATAGGGCAGTATCCTGGGACCACTTCTTTTTATTTTATACATAAATAGTCAAAAAATGCAAAATTCAGATTTTCGCCGATGACACTATGATTTATAGAAGTACTAAAAATATTCAGACTGGCTTGAAACTTGTCTCAAAATGGTTAGCATCTAACAGACTAAAATTAAATACAAGCAAAACGAAAGCCTTGTTAATCGGAAAAAAACAATGTACAAATGTTCAACTGAACATTGATGGTGAAGATATTGAATTCGTAGAAAATATTTGTTGACTCTCGAATTAATTTTTGATGTTCATTATGAAAAAGTTATAAATAAGATTAGTAGTAAAGTGGGATATTTATCGAGAGTTTCGATGTCTGAGTTCATATAGCAGAAAAATTATCTATAATACCATAATTCTTCCAAATTTCTTGTACTGTTCGATTATTCTATATTTGGTAAATAATTCCATTTTTGAAAGACTGCAAATTTTACAAAATAAGTGCATGAGAATAATACTAAATAAAGATAAATATACTCCAATTAGGCAAATGCTTAGCAAATTAAAATGGCTTAATGTAAACAATTTTATCAAATATCTGGTAATGATATTCGTTTATAAAGTAAAAAATAATATATTTCCATCAAGTCTAACTAATTTAACATCATCAAATGTCGACCATCATTTACATAATACCAGAAATAAAGATGACTTCCATTTAATGACCAAAAAGTATAACATATACTACAAATCTGTATTCCACCAAGGGTTGATTGAATATAATAAATTATACTCAGAGATAAAAGACCAGAAAACTTTGACAAAATTTAAAGTAAAATTGATAAACCACTTGTTAAATCTACAATTATAGTTTGCCCAGCATTTACATCATACACCATATGGCTTGAATTTACTAGTTCTAAGTTGTTTACAATTATTCTGTGCTAAATGTGCTAAATAAATCTTTCTACTACTACTACTACTACTACTAGAAATGTTGATATTTCTCAAAGATTAAAAATGAACAAAGCGACGATTTCGAAAATTATTAGTAAATATCAAGAATACGGATCAACAGCAACATACGCTTGGTGGATTTTGGGCTGTTTTTCTAGTTCTGGAACGGTTCCAATTGTTGAAGTTGTTGGGAAAATGGATCAAAAACTTTACAAATTCATTATTAGTGAACACATGCTCCTTTTTGCTGAAGAAGAAATGCCTTTACGATGGACATTCCAGCAAGATAATGACCTCAAGCATACCTCAAAACTCGTAAAGGACTGGTTACGACTAAAAAATGTTAATGTTCTTACATAGCCTTCGCAATCCCAGGACCTAAACCCTATAGAACATCTCTGGGAGCATGTTAAAAGACAACTGGCAAGAAAACCTTTAAAAACGGTTTATTTGATTATGTAAAAAATATTTGGCAAAATATCGCAACAGATGTCTGTAAAATATTGGTGTCTTCTATGAGCAGCAGATGTCAGGCAGTGTTCAACGCTAAAGGCTATACTACCAAATATTAGATAGAACAGTCTTTTTTAAACCTTTTTGTAGAGTTATTGTAATCAATTTTGTAATAAAAAATATGTTTCCATACTCTTGCCGTCTCATGTTCGGTCATAAAATGATATGAAGGTATTTTAATGCTAGTCTGTAGTACCACAGTAAACACAAATTGACATCTGTATCCTCAAGATTGTAAGCAAACTATATGACAAAAAAATAGTCCTCAATAATAAAGAATAAAAAATTAGCCCACTTTTCAAAAATTCAAATTCAAATTCAAATAATTTATTCAAATAATTATTACATTGACAGGCTCTAGAAATGTTAGACGAGGATACGATGAATTTTAAAATTTGTGTGTATCCCCGAATAACATTTAACATTTAATTTCCTTATCAAAAGCTACAACAATAGAAAAAGCTACACTACAAAATTAATATAAATGATATATACGCACTATCTAATGTAGTAAAGCTATATATTACACATGTAGCAGCGCAGATACAGGTATTCGTTTACTCAGACAACCATACTATTTTTTTTGTAATAAGTATATAATTAGTTTTTACCCAGTATCTAATTTTGTTTTTAATGGATTTTGTAATAATTCGTTTATTCCTTATGAGAAGCGGTAATAGATTTAACAATATGGGACCTGTAAAAGAAATATTTCTCTGAGTAAAAGAAAAACTCTGCAGAGAAGAACAGAATCTCGATTCAGTTACTGCCCTGGTTTGTATCGGGTGGTTAACTCTCTCATGAAAGATCCCATACTTTAAAGAAAATTGAATAACTCTTACACAGTAAAGTTGCCTTAAGTTTAGAAATTCTGTTTGAGAAAAAAAGAAGATCGGTAGAATACATTTTAGGTTTAAATAACAAAATTTTTAATAAAAATTTTTGAGCCACTTTTAATGGTTGTAAAAGGGATTCACATGCTGAACCCCAGCACAAAATGCCATAATTTAAAATAGATTCCGCTAGTGAAAAATACACCATTTTCGTTAACTTAAAGGTTAAGACATTCCTTAGTTGCGAAAATTTGTACACTAATTTCCTAACTTTTTTGCTGATGTAGTCAACATGTATATCCCATCTTAAGAATCTATCAAAATAGACACCCAAATATTTAATATTGTCACAGGATTGTATTTTTAAATGACAGTTACAATTTAATTGAACGCTACATGAAGAGTTATGTAAGGGAATATACACTTTATTAGGCATGTCCCTTCTGGTCATAGAAAAAGATATAAATTTTGTCTTTTCAATATTTAGAGTCAGTTGATTTATGTCTAACCAGCATTCTATTTTGTGTAAGTCTAGTTCAGCTTTAGTAAAAGCATCAAGCCATGAACTACCAGCGATTAAAAGGGCAGTGTCATTTGCGAAGCACACAATTTTACCATTAACGTTTAAGTTTAAGGACTATTAACATACACTGAGAACAGAATCGGGCCAAGCACTGTACCTTGCGGTACGCCAACAACTACTTTTTGAGCTTCAGTATAAATAACATCGCTTAACTTAACTTTTTGATATCTGTTCTCCAGGTAAGATTTAAATAAATTATGTACTACTCCACGAATTCCTATGCTTTCTAGACGTTTGAGTAAAATATTGTGATTGACCGTATCAAAGGCTTTTTTTAAGTCTAAGAAAACAGCTACTGGTTTAAGACCCTTATTTATACTATTTGTCACAAATTGGTTAACATTATACAACGCATTATCAGTACTAACGTCTGGTTTAAACCCAAACTGATCCGGAGATATTATTTTATTTTTCTCAAGGTAGTCCCATAACTTTGATTTAATGCACTTTTCTACTATTTTATTAAGCACACTACACAAAGCTATAGGCCTATAGTTATTTATGTCCGTGTTATCCCCACCTTTGTGGATTGGAATGACAATGGATTATTTAAAAATTTTAGGATAACAACCAGAAGAAAAAATAATATTGATCAGATGCAGCAATGGTTTAATGAGACTTTTATGATTTTCTTTTATAATTCTAGAGGATATGCCGTCCTCTCCGCATGAGTTGGTATTTTTTAACGAACCAAAGACATTAACAAGTTCCGTCTCGTTAACAGGCTGGAGAAATAAGGATTTATCCAAACAATGCTCATAAGATTGTGGTTTTGGTACTATTTTAGATGCAAGTTTTTTGCCAATTGAACTAAAAAAGTCATTCATTTCATTAGCTATCTCATGTAAGTCTGTGGTAGTTTGACCATTATTTTTTTTAATGATTTTTATGGTATTTTTTTCTTGAAAATCGTTTGAAGCCTCCCTAATGTTTTGCCACATTTTTTTGAATCACTTAAGTTCTGCAATATTTTATTTTTGTAGTAAGAATATTTGGATTTTTTAATAATCTTAGACAAGCAATCTCTATACTCAGTATATATTTTCACAGCTTGTGGACAATGATTGGATGTCACAACATTTGTTTTTAATTTATTTCTATGACAAATACACTTAACAAGATTTGTAGTGATCCAAGGCTTTAAACATTTATACCTAGTGTGTATTGGAGTTACAGTAGTGCTTTGTTCTAAGTAATATTTAATTTTTTTTGTTATTGATTCAGCTATAATGTCGGGTTCGGTTTCATTTAAAATACTTTGCCATGACTCATCATTCAAAAGATTATGTAACATATTAAAGTTTGTGTTTCGACGGAACTTATTAACTTTCTCAGCATCGCCATGCTTCATATCGATACTTAATATTACTGGAAAATGATCAGTTATGTCACTGTTGATAACGGCCGCATTACATAATTTTAAGGTTTTCACAAAAAAATGATCTAAACACGAATCCTTTCTAGTGGGTATCGTAATGTACGGAAAATAGCCCAATCCTGCCAAGCAATTAAGATAATTTGAAGCATATTCTTTTTTGTCCAATAAATTAATATTAGTATCCCCTGAAAAAATCTCGATGGTGCAGGGAGAAAAATGACTCTGTGTGAATAAACTCAAAATTATATCGGAATATATTCTTTCATTGAGGCTAGGCAGTCTATAATGTCCCGTCAGGCCGATTTTTGTATTATTTTTTAATAGCTCAATACGTAGGAATTTATGATTTTGAATATCTATCACTTTATGTTGCAGAACCAAATTAGTTTTTACATAAATAATAGTACCATCACACCAGTTTATAGTACTTCCATTGTAGAAAATGGAGTAAGATTCAATACCAAAATCAGCGCAATTTTCGACTACGTGAGTTTCGGACATGATTATCGCATCATAGACTACCTCCAATGAACGTAAAAATAACAGGAAATCATCGAAATTGGTTTTAATCCCTCTAATATTAACATGAATTACATTTAAGCTATATTTTTTATCCAAAGTGAATTCAGTTACGTCGTTAACAGTATAACAAATTTTATTAGAACTTGTATGATAGTTGTCTAAAAGATTATTGTGATCGTCTTTAGAATACATAAAGAAGCTGAAAGATATCTATTTATAGGAGAAATATACAATATTTAAGGAATTACTAAGGATGTTTCCACACTTTCGTCCGCTACTGTATACTGGGTGCGGCGGCATAACTTCCTTTTTTCAAAACTTATAAAACATTTCTATAAAGTAGGTGCATGCCCAAAGTTTTGTTTTACATACTTTTGAAGAGCAAATCAAATAGGTGATGTCCTCGTTCTCCATACACTGAGTAAACTGATTTCTAGCGTTTGTCAAGCCTCTTGCCGTTATGCGTTCAATTTCCTCCTGGATGTTGGTCTTCAAATCTTGCAGGATCCTTGGACGGTTCATATAAAAGCGAGATTTCAAAAAACCCCATGGAAATCAAAAGGAACACCCCTATTGTATATTTTCATTGTTGAAAGTTTAGTGTGACACTGCTTCTAATGGATGATGTGTGAAATTTAAATAAAGTACCTGTTTCTAACTCACGCCTTGCGATGCAAATTGATGTTCTGCTTGGGTTATAGAAGTGTCTTCTGTATATAACACAAGGTGAAGGTTTGCGTTAACGCTTATGCTCGCATTAAAAAATACTAGATTATTTCGTTTTCTTGTAGGTGAAACTTCAAACTTACAAAACCGCCGTCGAAACTGCTATTCTTCTGTTACGTATCGACGATATCGTTTCTGGGTCTAAGAAGAACAAGGACGGGGGAAACGAACCACCAACTCCAAGAGAAATGCAGGAAACTCAGGCTACCGCAGAATAAGAACTTTGGCGTGTTTTACCTTTGTATTATGCCATCTGGCAAAATATGACTGCCCTGTTTATCAGTTAGTAGAGCGTGCTATATGTTAAATTAATACTTTTAGACGTTGGACATGATAGGCACGTGGCTTCAAGGTTACTAATGTATCGTTTTATTTCACAGTATCGTAATGTTTTTCACATTATATCTCACTCCCTTTTATATTAATGTTTCCGAAGAAAATATATCTAATAACATCACATGGTGTATTATTTCAATAAGGTGATTATTTATTTTACTTCGTATACCAAAACTGGCGAGGAACTATTGTTATCGGAATAATAATTATATAATAATCCATTGATCGCTATGGAGTCGTATTCGATTGAAGACCTCATTAAAGTTATTCAAGAGCACTACAAAAATGGTGCAAAAATAAAAAACACGTTTCGCGCGCTTCGTGAACATTTCGGTCGCAACAACCGCCCAAACGAAACAACCATCGGTCGTCTGGTGCGTAAATTCGAGGCAACAGGTTCTGTGGCAAATCTGCCAGGCTCTGGCCGGCCAAGGAGCGTTCGCACACCGGAAAATATTGCTGTTGTGAAGGAGAGTGTGAGAGACGATCCGAAACAATCAACAACGCGTCGATCCCAAGAATTGGGCATTTCGAGAACCAGTTTGCTCCGCATTCTCCACAAGGATTTGAATGTACACGCCTACAAGATCCAATTGACGCAAGAGCTGCGTCGGGCCGACCATTTTTCGCGCCGAACGTTCTCAGATTGGCTCCTTGAACACCGCCAAATTGATGCCAATTTTTCATCAAAAATCATGTTCAGCGACCAAGCGCTCACTTTGAATGGGACGGTAAACAAGCAAAACTGCCGCATCTGGGCGAACGAAAATCCCCGTGAGTATCAAGAGCAGCCGATGCATCCTCAAAAAGTGACTGTGTGGTGTGCATTGCGGTCAAAAGGCATCATCGGACCTTACTTTTTCTAAAATGCGGCCGGGGTCGCCGTTACCGTCAATTCTGAGCGATATCACGTGATGATAGAGGACTATTTTTTGCCGCAACTTGAAGGAATGGATATGGACGATGTTTATTTCCAACAAGACGGTGCAACATGCCACACAACCAACGTCAATATCCATCGATTGCAGTCCTTCTTCGGTGATCGCGTGATTTCGCGCAGAGGAAATGTGCCATGGCCACCAAGATCGTGCGATTTGACTCCCTTGGACTTCTTTTTATGGGGATATTTGAAAAGCAAAGTCTACGTCAACAAACCAGCCACCCTCCAAGAACTCAAAAACAACATCATTGCCGAGATAAATGCCATAGAACCGACCATGTTGCAAAATGTCATTGAAAATTTCGACCATCGCGTGGACGTCTGTAAAATCCAGTCGTGGTGAACATTTGAGCGATATTATTTTTCATACATAAATGGTATAAATGAACCTTCAAAATAAAGTACCCAACTTGATTTGAATATCAATCTTTCTTGTTTTAATGTGCGTCCGTTTTGGACAACCCCATATCATAGTGAAAAAATTGTAGTGTCATCGGTCCGAATTCGGGGTGAAAAATTGGTAAAAAAACTCCGGGGCTAGCCGTAAATCCTAAGCATCCTAAAAAACAAAAAAATAAAAGTCGCTCAAACCTCGTTTCGTGCGTATGAATAAATAGCCTGATACGAGGTGTGTTCAGGAAATAACGGACATTTTTAAATTTCGCGGGCTTGGAGACTTCGATGAAGTATGATAAAATTTTCAGCAGTATTCACTGTTTACTTTATGTCAGCCGTTAACGTTAGACTTTTTTTAATGAGCACGGCGATTTTCGTTTGTTAAAAGAATTGGATCAAAGAATGTGTATCAAATTTTGCGTAAACCATGAAATAAATTGTAACAAAAGTGTATGAAAAGTTAACAAAGGTCTACGGTGAGTCTGCTGTTAGTAAAACTAGAGTTTACGAGTTGTAAATGCATTTCCAAGATGAAAAAGTGAAAAAATTGTTATGAACGATCTCCGCAACCCAATCAAAGAAGTCGCTGATGACGGGCATATCGATTGGTTCATGCCAACGAATTCGTACTAGGTATTCGAATTCGTTGGTTCATGCCATGAAGTTTTTCTAATGTTTTGAGTATGAAACACGTGGCAGCAAAATTTTTTCCAAAGTTGTTGAACTTTGAACAAAAACAGCGGCGAACGGAAGTTTGCTTAGGAGTCACTAAATGAAGTCCACGACGCTGCAGAATTATTGAAACGTGTTATTACCGGTGACGAAACATGGGTTTACGGGTATGACGGCGGAATTAAGGCTTAATCGTCCAAGTGGGAGTATCTTGGCTCGTAAAGAGCAAAAAATGCTCGACAAATGCGGTCAAACGTTAAAGTTATTCTCACTGTGTTCTTCGATTCTAATATAGTGAAGTGCATCATGAATTTTTGCCAGAAGGTCAAACGGTCAATAAGGAGTACTACTTACGTTTAGCGCGTGAAGCAATCCGAAAAAAAAACGGATTTGTGGAAAAAATGAACTTCTCATACTTCATTGCTTGTTCGCGAATTTTACACAACATTCTGTAACGACGCATCAGCCTCCATATTCGCCAGATATGGCTCCGTGTGGTTTTTTCCTATTTCAAAATAAAGAACCTTAAAATGCTATCGTTTTACAAGCATGGATGATATTAAAAGATCATTGCTGAAAGAGCTAAACACCATCCCAAATAGGTGGCACAAGTACATAATGTCTAACGAGGTCTATTTTGAAGGCGATAACATTGTGGATGAATAAATATCTTATTCAAGAAACGAGAATTCCCATTATTTGCTGAACACACCTCTATATGATTTATAATGGGTGATTTTTTTGCTAGTATCTTTTTTGGCAACACTGTTTTTGACAGATGACGCGTGAATCGTGTCTTGTGTCATTGTCAAACTTGTTCAGTTTCGTCTATAATTTAACCATGAATCGACTTACGAACGAACAACGCTTGCAAATTATTGAATTCATGCTCGGTTAAGAGAGTGCATCGAGCAGTTTACATTATTGGACATTAAACCACCAACACGCAGACGTAGAGTGAGGACTGAAGAAAATATTGCGGCTGTATCCGCCAGTGTTAGTGATGACCGTAAAATGTCGATTCGTCGCCGTTCGCAGCAATTGGGCCTCTGTTACTCCACTACGTAGAAAATTTTGCGACAGGATTTGGGTGTAAAACCTTATAAGATACAGCTGGTGCAAGAATTGAAGCCACACGACCTCCCACAACGTTTCCCCTTTTGGTGAATGGGTGCTGGCAAAGTTGGAGGAAGATCCACATTATTATCGAAAAATTGTGTTCAGCGACGAAGCTCATTTCTGGTTGAATGGGTACGTTAACAAGCAAAATTGCTGCATCTGGAGTGAAGACCAGCCAGAAGCATTGCAAGAGCTACCAATGCATCCCGAAAAAATCACTGTTTGGTGTGGATTATGGGCCGGTGGCATCATCGGGCCGTACTTCTTCAAAGATGACAATGGCCGGAACGTAACTGTGAATGGCGAGCGCTACCGTGCGATGATAAAAAACTTTTTTTGCCCAAAATGGAAGAGCTGCCCTTGGCTGACATGTGCTTTCAACAAGACGGTTCCACATGCCACACCGCACACGAAACAATGGCCCTATTGAGAGGCGAGTTCGGTGAACAGTTTATCTCACGTTTGGGGCCCGTCAATTGGCCGCCTAGATCGTGTGATTTAACGCCGTTGGACTATTTCTTGTGGGGCCATGTTAAGGCTAATGTCTACAGGGATAAACCAGCAACGATTGACGCACTGGAAGCCAATATTGAAGCATTTATTCGTGAGATACCGGCCGATATGTTGGAGAGAGTGTGCCAAAATTGGACCTTGCGCATGGGCCATCTAAAGCGGAGCCGCGGCCAACATTTACATGAAATAATCTTTAAACATTAAATTATATCGACTCAAATAAAGATTTAATCGTTTTTTCAAATTTTTTGTTTTTTTTTTTGAAAATCAAATCCTATACCTCTTAAAAAATCACCCGTTATAATAATAATATAAAATACCTACATGTATCTGATATACATGTTCATATCTAGGAAGACAGACTTTGAAATTTCTACACTGCTACACCGTTTCGTATATTCAACATTGTCGATGGAAACATTACTGAAATAATACCACTTCAGCGTTTTATCAAAAAACGTCAGTTTGGAGCTTGGAGATTAGATTTTTCAAAAATATTTCTATATCGTCATTACACACTGACGTCATAATATTGGCATTTCTAGGGCACTACTGACGTACTTCGACCAACAGGAATTACGACGGTCTAATGACATACGCAATTGACGTCATTATATGACGTCATAGTATGTCGTATAAATGACCAAAAGTCGATATGACGTGGATTTGACGTTTATCTGAGTTCGATATGACGTACAGTCGCTCGCAAAAATAATCGCGCGGTGTATCGAAATGCTCCTGAAAAATTGATGATGTAGAAAGGAGTCGTTATCACGTCTGCAGTTTTTCACGAGCATTTGTACAAAGTATATAGAAATGGTTAATAAAGAACTAAAAAATACCTTTTGATCTCAAACACGTTCCAGTCCTCCGATGGTTCAGCATTTGTTTGTAGCAATTTTTAAAATTCCTTTGCTTTTTCACATTAGGCCAAAACACACCCAAGCCTTATTAACTATACTATCGCTCCTACTAAATTGTTATTTACGGGAATAAAACATGATATAAGATGGCAATTTGAAATATATTGACAAGGGATTTATTATTAGAAAAGTCATGACAAGATATTGTTGGTGGACGAATTGCTGATACTTTTTATAAATAACAAAGTAGTTATTAGTATTTGGATATCTAGTTTACCTTAATTTTCATTAAAAGTCTATATATTCTTTGTAGGTAAGTGTTGATTTTTCAGTACTGACTGTCCTAAAAAAGACGTCAAAATGACCTTGTAAAGGAAATCTTGTTGTCGTCATGACATTGGCGTCAATAAAGACGTCATTTTTTAGTGAATGACGTTTCCGACCAAAAGTGGCCGAAGAATGTCGTTGTTTTGGCGTCATCATGTCCACTAGGTCTTAAAAGATACCAGGATTTAGGTTAAGGTTAGCCTGTCATTTTACGGCCTAATTGATTACATTGCCATCGAAAATCGTTGAACCATGCAGTGTCGTTTGGAAAGTATCTAAGAAAAATGCATCACCAGTGACATCCTCTATCTTTGTATATGCGGTTTTTATGATTCGTTAATGAAAACGTTAAACTAGGCAACCGCCTCAAATACGTTTAATTCTTGTTTGATTTTCTCCAGTTCCAATCAAACAAGTATTTGTCACATTTTTTTCAGCAATCGCGGCTGCTTCAGTAAAAAAAACTTGAATTTATCGTAGTACATCTAGGCATAAAAAGGGGAGCCCTCAGGATAGTTTGAAATAAAATTGATTTTTTTTTGTTCTACATAAATCCTTAATTTGTTTTTGAAGAAAATATAAATGACTTTTATTAACAATCAGACGTACCAATTCTATTTTTTTTTGTTGCTGCTCCTTTAATGCGCATGCCCACGATTTTCCAATATTTTTCATCTAAGTTTCCGCAAGGTTGCTTGTTTTTTTCATCGTATGATGTTTTTGGCTCTCTCCACTTTTACCGAAGATATGAGGAAATTGATTTATGTTATATCTTCGATCAGTAATGATGTAGTAAAACGTAGTTTTATGAGCTATTACGTTTCAAATTGTAAGATGTTATATTGACAATCAGGGATACGCAAGGTAACAATAGTATACGTATACTTCTAAAGGCAGTATAGTCAGTCGTTCTTTCAATTATTGTAGGACGCTTTTATGGTTGGTTTTCAGATGAAATCAAAAGCATGAACAATTTGATGTAATATTTGTAACATAACCTCAAAATAGAGCGCCTTTTTGGAGGACTGGAAAAACTATGAAAATCAAGGAGGCCATAAATGAGATGGATACTGTTGTTACCGTAAAGGACCCTCGATGAACCAATACGGAATAATAATTGTAATAACCGCTACCTCATGTGGATGCGCCTGATTTTTTTCTAATGATACACCACTGGAAAATAAAATCCAAACCGATCAATCAGCAAAGCAAGCTGCTTAATTACAGAACGATAAACAGGTTTTCAAGTTTCCTCCCAAATAAAACAAATAACATATCTTTCATACCTGCGCGCAACAGGTAGAAAGGTTCACGACCGCAACCTGTTGATATAGTGCCCATATGCCATACATAACGCAGATGTGCGCTGCCGGTTGTCTACTATATCAAATCAGCTACAATACAAACCTGAAATAAGCATGTTCTCATTTCAAACATTGATAAATACACAACATGATGACTACATTATACGCTTCAAGGACTTTTCTATTTATATAACTTTTATTAGATGCAATAAAGGGAAGCCTAAACAGCAATGTAAATATGAAATACGGCGATGTGGTTCAAAATAAGTAAGTATACTGCATATGCTCTCATAATATATCATACTGTGGCAATGAACATGCTAATTACTTCATATAGTGATGTTGGTTAATCTCTTTGTTTATTTTCGCTCGCGGCTTGCATACTGAGCGCATTGCTGAAATAACATTACGAGATTACCGATAATTCAGTCTCGAGTTTTGCTTATCGTGCATCTTTCCTTGATTTGATTCAGTGCCATGTGATATTTCAGGAGGAGGAAGATGCTGTATCTCGTCTTACTCTTGGTCCTTTATCCTTTCATAGCTGTCAGTGGGATTAACCTGACCTATATAGTGAAAAAGGATAATGACGCCTTCTACCCCAGTTGTATAGCAGAAGAGCTGGAGAGGTACAGGGCCATAGGGTGGATCTATCCTATTCCAACTAATGAGAATGATGTTCCAAATGTCAGTACGTATTTTTAATATTTGTTTTATTATATATGTAATAGGAAATGTTTTGGAGCATGTAATGACACTTAGATTGATTGACATTCTGCTGATAACATAGAAGTCAGGGGCATTCAACCTCTAGATAAGGTGAACAAATAATAAATGACACACTGATACTACATTTAACTGTAATATGCATAACAAAGGTTACTAAAACTTCAGGGAGAATATAACATTAATTTCGATAATAAATACGCATTATTTGTGTTTTAAGGATTGCAACACTGATTAGTATGGCCAGTTCTTTTAAACCACTAAAAGTCATATAGGGAAATTAATAAGGTTGTTTAGCTCTTGAATTATCTGCCATTGTTAGATCTTTTTTTACTTTCCACGCCTGCTGGCGTATTGTAATCGCGAAAATTTTCTAAAATCAGATATTTTTTTGGATGTTATGTACATGTCACTCATTTCGGCTGATTTTATCACCGCTCGGATTTCGATGAAATTTTTACACAATGTTACTGTTATACCAAGGACGTGTTTTTGAAAATTGGTCCAGTGGCGAGAAAAAGGCAAAAAAAAGACAAATAAAAACCGCTCAAACTTCGTTTTTTTTTTGACGTTTCAGACGATCCTGGTTATTTTCGAAAAGTTTTTTGGAAGGGTTGCAGAGTGTGAGGGGGAGGGTATATTTCAATTATTTGCGCCTTCAACCCCAGTGAGACACATTTCACTCATCATAGATGTTTCCGTACATTCCCGACGTGGTCCCCCGATGGACAAGCGTCGTCATTGGTGGTCGTACACACAGTCGGCAATCGCTTCCGCACTGCTGTGGGCTGTATGCTCGGAATCAGTTTAGCTAAATATAATTTTTCTCTGGTGGGCTAAACATATTCTGTTCAAATCTAACGCATTTTACGATTATTTTAATTTGAGGGTGACAATAGCGTCTACCGTCCACGCCTTCGCGTGACAACCGGCCCTTTTTTCACTGCTGTTCCAAAAAAAGCTGCATTGTTTTTTTCATCTAAAATGATCAAATGTTTATGGCAATCTTAGTCCGCCATTTCTTTAACTAAAATAACCTTTGTTGTCGAATATGAGATATTTTGTTTTTCGAAAAGAACCTATCGGTTATTTCCGTTTCTGTGTCCGGGAATTGTTGAGGCCTCTACTTGGAAAGTACTATTCAGATTTCAATGCAATTGACACAAGACTACTATGCTCTTGGCAATACAGTTTTTAAAAATCGATCTGGAACGGCTCAATCGTAAACAAAAACTAAATAATTCCTATTTGCGCCCAAACTTCTAAGTCAACAAAAAATGATTATGGGCTCCGAATATGTCACATTCCATGCGTCTTATATTGAAGGTATATAAATAATTTATAGACTGTTTGTGTAATCAAAATTTTAATACGAAGAAAATCCACTGTTTAGCTACTTCATTTAATGCCTTTTTTAATTTTGACGCCAAAACATTTCTTTACAAAGCATATCACTGATCACGTTATTTAAAAAAATAATTGTTATTTCACTTTGATAAATATTTCATGTTAACTGCATTTCCATTAAAGTAGTAAATCAATTTATCAAAGACAAAAGCAGTAGTTTTCAAACTACAATGCTTTTGTTCTCTGTATGATGCAAGTAATGCCTTTTTATCATTTATAACCTATTATCATGTTTAGGTTTTTATGTAAGAATTCTGTTAATTTGTAAATAAGTATTTATCGTTATAAATAATTGCTAATACTCCTCAAGAATAATTATATCCTTTGTTTAACTTAGCCAATAAGAAAACATGCTATTGTTGGTTTATTTATATAATTACTTTGTTTATTATCTTTTTTATTATTGTTATCTCCGACTGTAACCCTAATTCTGTCATTTGCCTTAAACTGCTGTCGATATACCAGAAGTTCACAATAAATCTGTTTGACGATGATATATTGCACATGTCTACCGAAACACGATCGTATAACAAGGCCACATTGATTACTTCCTACATTTTCAGGAGTAACGTCATCCATCAAAATACACCCGAGCCATTTTCAACTCCAGCCTGTATAAAATTTCAATCTATTTTTTCCTCAGGATGATGTAATGATCATAACAACTACACTGTCTTGTAGAACAATATACTCTGTGACCTATTTCTCATAATTCGTAAACGCAATGTTTCAGCAACAAAATTTATACCGACATTGGAAAATGAATATAATTGCAAGTTTTCCCAACACACGTTGTGCACAACGAGATGGGCTTTGAAAGACTGGAGAGTGGACGATAGTTCACAGAGAACGAGAACATTTTTGTTTGACCGGAGATGGGAAGGTGAGAATATGAAGTTAGATTCAGAAACTTGTACAGGGATTTAGGAAATGATCGAACGTAAAACAGTCCAACGGCGCAGCGCTTAGGTTAATTTTACTTGATATATTTTTTTCAAGCAAGGCTGAAATAGCGACAGAAAATATATCTCTTTCAATCTTAATAACACTAGTAAAGAGCCCATTTTCTCAAATCGAAACGAAAGAATAAAGGAAAATTAACCGAAGTGAAAAAGTAGAATTTTAGTGGCTGATAATGTTTTTTAAACCATCTCTCACATAGTGGTTCTAATTATACTAAGTGACATATAAATCCGAACTCCCAGTTTAAATGGTTTTATTTTAATAAAAGTTGGTGAATGTATTTATCTTACTGTAAATAACAAGTGAAAAAATGTTCAGCCTTATCAGTTGGACATTCCGGTTTTTATACTGCTTTTTTTTTAATTCACTAACGCTCTAAAAATGAATATTTCAGCCGCAGTAAAGAATCAACGTTGGCGGATTTTGGTTCTTGACATCCTTTACGATCGGTTACGATGCCTAGAGTACGGAGACCTGTACGATTTCGTCAACTTAGTGAGTTTGATAGGGGCCGTATAGTGGGACTTCGGGAAGCTGGACTTTCTTTTCGGGCAATTGCAGTTAGAGTGCAAAGAAGTGTAGACACTGTGGTTAGGTGTTGTCAGGCATGGCTTCGAGAAGGCCGTACGCAAAGAGCAAGGGGCACTGGACGCCGCCGTAGAACAGCAGACCGTGAAGATCGCCGCCTAAGATTGTTGGTCTTAAGGGACCGTTTCTCCACTACCAGGTCCATTGCAAATGAATGGTTTGCAGAACACGGAAGACCTATTGGCATGCGAAGTGTTTACTGACGAATGAGAAGTTTTGGCTCGTTTTCATACCGGCCACACTGGGTCCTCCCTTTAACTCGAGAACACCGACGTAATCGCCTTGATTGGTGCAGACAACGGTCACTCTGGGATCAGGAATGGAACAGTATTGTCTTTAGTGACGAGTCTCGATTTTGTTTAGGCATGCACGATGGTCGTGCCAGGGTTAGAAGGCGACGTGGTGAAAGGAGGAATCCACAGTTTTTTCTTGAAAGACATGTTCATCACACTGTTGGAGTTATGGTTTGGGGTGCTATAGCTTATGGTTCCAGGTCACCTTTAATCTTTATCAGAGGTAACATGAACGCGCAGCGTTATATCCACGAAGTTCTAGAACCCCATCTTTTACCCTATCTTGACACCCTGGCAGATCCAACTTTACAACAAGATAATGCCCGACCACATGTTGCAAGAGTCACAATAGACTTCTTTCAACATAATGATGTCACATTGTTACCATGGCCACCAAGATCTCCCGACTTATCCCCAATTGAGCACGTGTGGGATATGATGGGTAGGAGATTGCTCAATTTGCAACGTCCTCCTCAGACTCTAGAAGCACTTCGAGAGGAGTTGGTGGTAGCCTGGAATGAGATTCCACAGGAAGACATTGACCATCTGATCAGAAGCATGCCTAGGCGCGTTGGAGAATGCGTAGCACATCAGGGTGCATCCACACATTATTAAAGGTCAAAGGGCTTTAAAGCAGTGCAATCATTTTGAAATTTTTATCATTTACTTATTATGCTTCATTAAGTACTTACTAAATTTTATTAAAATAAAACCATTTAAACTGGGTGTTCGGATTTATATGTCACTTAGTATATGTGGCGCCCGCTTAAGTGGGAGATTTTCTCCTTGTCTAAAATTCGTCAATTTCGGATGGAACTTGATTTGCCCCAATTCAACCCACTGGAAATTGATGATTTATTGGCGAATCGAGAGCTAGAGGTATTGAACCTATAAACCGTTAGCACGCCTACACTCGTCGTTGATTCATTCTATGGGTGGTAACGCAAAAATTGGATGACCACACGAATTTCGCACCTGGCGATGACGGTGATGGCGCATGGCTATCGAGCCGGTACTGAGCATCACAAATAGGCGCTTTTTGTTGGGATCGGTGGTGGGGGAGCCGAAAAACACAACGGTGTTGCCAGATTTCACATAGCATCATGGGCGACAAAGATACCTTATTTTTGAGAGAACCCTCGTACTACACTACAAAGTCTCTATAAACACATTAGTTGCGGTAAGATCGATGACCCGAAGGTGTAACGTCTCCTTGTCAGTATAGTTTTATTTTTCAAGGTAGTTACCATCAGATCTGCTCTGCCCGTGTGGCTTTGTACAGCCACCTTCATAGTACGTTCTCACGGGGCAGAAACTTAGCAGCGTTTTCAAGTTCCGTCCGATATTGACGAAGAGTAAAAAAAAATCCTCAATGTCCATAGTACCAAATATTAAATTGCTTGATTATACTATACAAGAGTTACATAGCATAAAATTTCAGATCTTCCTGTGAAAATAATCTCAAACAACAAATCAAACGAATTCAAGGAAAGAACAGACATTGAGAACATCCCAGAAACCTCATTTTCGGTTAGAACGTCAGGTGTTGTCGAACTTTTATTATGCTCAGGATGGAATCCATACAGCTACCCTTGTTACTATTACAATATAAACGAAACCCAGATCTATTTCACCGTATATCAAACGTTACCTAAAGATTTGGGTGACAAGTACATAACCGAGCATCTAGAAAAGTACAAAGTGAGTATTTATGTTTAAAGTATACGTTGTTTCGAAACTGAAAAATATGTTGCGTATACGAGGATAATTTTTTAAGTAAGAACTGTTTTGTAATTGATTCGGAAAAATTTTAGCAATGAATTTAAATATTATCTCAAATTAAAAAATGAACAAACACCAACATTTGAAACTCAACGTCAAAGAACGGTACCACTGGACAAGTTAGTGACTGTTTCTTTCAACATATCATCGTTTTCCAAGCGCATTCCACCAACAAATTACTTGAGTTTTGGAAAAAAGTGCCGAGCCAGGTCTATATGGTGGAATGATCCAGTAATTCGCAACGGAACTTGTCCAATTGCGTCTGTGTTCTTGCACCAACGTTAGGACGAGCGTTGTCGTGAAGCAGAACGACGCCGCTAGAGAGCGTTTTTTTTTTTTTACATTTAAAAATCGAATTACCGTGCGTTGTTGATTGAGATGGCGATAAATAAAGCAGTAAAACCACACAACCAACACCGACAGTGACGTGAAACGTAATGGCGGCATAGCGAGAGACTTGCCAAGAGTATCTGAGGTTGAACGGACGTCACGTGACAGAATGTGAGGGAACGATGATCACTCTGTATTCTTACCATAAGTATGGCTCTCGTAATATGGGATTTTAGCTCTGGTCACTTATTTAGTTTGATTGACAAAACTCAATGAACTTAGTGAACGTGTAGGCAAGACCGATTATAAAGTCTTAACAAGTCGAGACCACCCACCACCACGCCTTATTGGCCTCCTTGATTTTCATAATATTCTCTCTCCTTCAGAAAGGCTGGGATATTTCTAGATTTCACTTGTCTCGTATCAGCGTCAGCGCTCACCTCTTGTGAGGTTATGTTTTCTTTTTGAATCTTAAGAAATTTCAGGCTGATAAAACAGATGATAAAAATCCGGTTTTATCAGACTAAGATATCTTAGAATTCAAAAAGAAAATATAACCTTATACCAAACAACAGAAATCTAGAAATACCCTCTGAAGGACAGGAACAACTATGAAAATCAAGGAGTCCATAAAGGCGTCCTACAATTGTAGGAACGACTGACGATAAGGCCCGAAAAGAGTCAAAAAGTGTTAATTTTCGCTTTGTTTTGGAAACGTTTTTTAAACCCTAAATACGTCAAAAATGTAGTGTATTTCCAGCGTGTCTCCTTCCTGAGCAGCTGCAGATGTCAATTTCTTCTCACTACAAACCAAACTTCCTATTAGGCGATGTCTTTTTGTAAGCACCTTACGCAATCGACACAATAATGTCCATAAGTCAGATGAATTGACTAACTTTGTCCACAAAAAACACTGTCAAATGGTGCATGATACGCACAGACATGGAATAAAACAAAATGGAGGCCGGTAAGCGGATCGGCGTGCCATTAGGTCATTGGTCGCTCTAACACATGCACGTGCGCGATAGGCTAAAAAACTCACCTGTTGAATTCTCAAGGAATGTTCAGTATATTAACTGAATCAAAGCAGTTACGTCTCATCCTGATGACATTTGCAGAGGGAGGAATCTTGTTCATGAATTTACAAATGCTCTTCATAAATTCCGCAATGAGCAATGGAACGACTTTCTGGCGGGGATGCTTGACTCAAGCATTCCTCTCTGGAAAGTGGCGAAGTCGCTCAAAAAGGGAAAGCGTGAACAAATCCCACACATCCACGGTCTTGAAGGCATTGTCTTCAGGACAGAGGAAAAGGTTGAGGTTTTTGTCGATGCCATGGAAAGACAGTTCTCTCCCAATGACCTCGACGAGGAGCAACACATCGTAAGATCTGTCAGGAGATATTTTAGGGCCAACGGCGTCAGTGACAGTCGCGCTACCGTTGGTGATTTTTCTTCATCAGAAGATTCTGCACACCAGCAGAGATTCAAGGTCATATTAAAGACCTTAAAGTGCGTAAAGCACCTGGGGAGGATCAAATCACTAATAAGGCGCTGAAGCTGTCCTTAACTTATCTCGTGGCAATAGTCAATGCCATGCTGATCCAGTATTTCCCATCCGCGTGGAAGACCGCTGAAGTTATAATGATTCCAAAGGAGGTGGGTTCGATATTTCCCCAGGATTATCGTCCCATTAGCCTGCTGTCAGCTCCGTCTAAGCTCGCTCAGCATGTGATTCCTGACGTGAAATTCGGTTTTCGGTCTGAACATAGTACGGAGCTACAGGCCGTTAGGCTGGTGGAAGGAGTAACCAGAGGATTCATCCTTAACGAAAGTACTGGCATCTTGCTTTTGGATGTATCAAAATCATTTAACAAGGTGTGGCACGCTAATCCAAAAGGGCTTCCTTGTTTGGCTTCTAAAACTACTGAAATCCTTCCTTGAAGGAAGGAAATTTCAGATCAAAATTGACAATGTCCTGTCGACAACACGGCTGATTACAGCCGGCGTCCCTCAGGGTTCAGTCCTTGGGCCTATCCTTTACTCACTGTACATCCATGACGTCCCTAGTCCCAGCAACTGTGAAGTCTATCTCTATGCTGACGATACTGCATTGGTGGCTCAGTCGTGGTCTGGTCACCTAGTCCATGACAGGCTGCAAAGTGCGGTGGAGGAAGTATTAGATTGGGCGGATCGGTGGCTAATTAAAATTAACCATTCGAAAACGCAGGCAATCTACTGTACAAAAAGACGTCGCGGCGTTCCGTCTAAAGTTTCAATGAATGGACGTCGTATACCATGGGAATCCTCCGCTAAATATCTCGGTGTCATTCTGGACAAAGATATGACTTGGCGGAACCATATAGAAAAAAACTAAATTCCAAATCACGTTTCGACAGCTTTACCCATTATTATGTAAACGTTCAAAATTAAGTTGGATTAACAAGATTCGACTCTGTACGGTGGTCATAAGACCAGCAATGACTTACGCATGTGCGGCTTGGTGTTTTATTGCTAAAACACACATGCGAAATCTGCAGGTTCTGCAAAGCAGGACGTTGCGCACTATTGCTGACGCCCCATGGTATGTCTCTAACGAAATAGCCTAGCGGAATCGCACAGCAATCCTCTGTTGCGTGAGTCGGTGGACTACACAGTCGAGGAAGTTCGCAAGCACAAAAGGCCGCGGCTCGCACTGTAATCAAAATTAATTCGTGAACTTAGAACAACCAAAATTGGAGCATTTTGACAAAACCTTTAGGAAAAATCGAATATTTTTAGACCATATCAAAATCTGTGAAGTGATTTTAACAATGTCTAAACGCTGCCTATCCTAAAAGATTCTCTTTTCCCCTTTGCTCTCGTTCTTCCTTCTCTCCTTTCCTTCCCTTTTTGTCCTTGAAATTGTCTGGTTTCTGAGTTACCAGACCTGACAGACTTACAAACTGACACTGTGACTCAAGAGCTAAGGTCCCACGGACCGCTCTGACAACCTACGATGACTTGACAGCAGTTACGTCACAACGTCACATAATGACAGTGACGCACATGATTGCCACATTAATTGAAACTACTAGATCCTAGGAAATAAACCACAAATAAACAACAGCCGTTGACTTTGCGACAATGTCACAACACAGAAAACTGCTACCAACATAAATGTACCCGGGAAATTCAAACTATGCGTAGGTACCAATTTAGGATCTATTTTGCATTAAGGCAGGCATTCAAATTTATTAAATATGACGTAACTGCTTTGTTTCAGTGAAAGGACTATACTAGCCTCTTTTATTACCTGGTGGAATGTCACGTGAAGATTTTTTCGTATGTCCTAAAAATGAATATTCTTAGCATATGAGCAAATGTGTATTCCTTATGTAAATATGTTATGAACATTTCCGTTCCGAATGTAAATAGTATGTGCTGAGGACATACTTTATTAGGATATCTGTTTCAGGCTCTAAAATGTACATTCAAAGAATATAAATATATCTTTTCATGTTTATTACTGGGCATCTACAAAACTATGCTTGGTTTTGCTTTTAGGGCTATGCTCACATTCTCTCTCAGGACGAATGGCGTAGTTTTACAATCAGCTCTACCGATAGTTCACTTAAGCTTATTGATATCAACTTGAACAGAATGTTGATACAATATAAAATAAATGAAACTTGGAAACCAATGTATATGTTCATGAGAAGCAACTCCGTGAGCTTATGGAAAATTCATGAAAGTAAGTTTTTTCTGTTGTTTTTCATAAGAACTAACTGAAACTGAATATGGTTTTATCTTGCCCTTTATTTGGGTTATCCACTTCTTTTTTTTCAGATGATTTTTTCTTTACAAATACAACACAGATCTCGCGATTGGGCCCTCATTTGGAAGTATACAGCAAAGATCTTTGCGTGTCTCTACTAGTCTCTGTATGTAAAAACTGTGAGATGATATTTTTCTTCAGAGATGGCAATGTGAGAAAAAATCTGAAACGTGTTAGATCTACGTCACTCGTAAGTAGTAAGATACTGTTTATACATGCATTAGACCTATTTTTTTTTCAGGAAGAGGAATGGTTAGAAATAAAACTGAAGGAAGAAAATTTGCAAGTAGAAAAGATGAATTTATTCGTAGAAACGAAGTTTGTCAATGAATCTCAAGATACCCGCGGGTTTTGGGCGATTGACGATGTCAGAATATGCAACGAAAATGGTAACAAGTAAATAATTTCACATATTTCCTTGTATCTGCTCATCAGTGAGTAGATTTTAAGGGGAAATACTCTGGTATACATGGAAATTCATTACTTAAAGTTATTTTATGCATTTTGTTGTCGTACCTCCCAGTTGGTTCGCGGATTTTACCATGCCTTTCTTCAACAATAATCAATTGCTTAATGAATGCTTTACAATAATAAGGTGCCCATAATTAAGTGTTTTTTTAGAGGTTAAAGTATCATTCTTACATCTGATGAACATGAGCATTTGGAACAATTCAGATGACATAACTTGCCAAGTAATTGAAAAGCCAAGTTGGAGGCCAAAGAAGCTGGTATATGATAAGATTAAAGGTATGGGCATAGTTTCTATTGACTGATAATGTGGGAATGAGATTATTGTTTTTACAGATTTTCCACATGTCAACTATGTGAATAACGCAACTTCAATAACATTAAGTTGGGCTGAAGAAGATCCTTTACACCAGATTGAATACCTCATATACTATATTGTAAGTTTCTGACTGCTAAGTGAATAAGTGTTTTTGCGACAGTATCCACTTCCACTTTGATACTGATATGAAAGATTTTTGAATGCAGCTATATCATTCAGCATAATACGAACTATTGTCATACGAGGGTTGTTATAAAAATAAGGTTCCCACATTTCTTTCAGGCACAAGGAATTTTGTATTTGAAAAAACAAATTAACTATTACAAACGTTGATCTTTAAACTATTTTTCTCCATAGTCGCCATTTCTTCTACGCATTTTTTTAGACGTAAAATCCACTTTTGTACTCCCGCGACAAGGAAGCCAACCACCATTTGAGGACATGTTGGATGCTTATACACATTCCCCCATATACATATACTTCATTCGAGTGCCGTTGAATTTCTATGGGTGGTAACGATTTTGCTTGCAAAAATCAGATAATAATAATAATAATAATAATAATAAATGGCATTTATTCGACACATGATTACAAAATAATTGGTATACTGACGGAAAGGTAGAGTGTTAGCTTACGCTATTTTTTAACCCGACCTAAAAAGCATTGACACAAACTATAAAGAAAAAAAAGTACCTACATTTAAATGGCACAGTTCACAACATTGAACACCAAAAACAGAAAAGCTTAAAATATTACACTTCTCAGAAAAAGGAAACAATCAATTTTCCTGTGGATATGCTTAAAGTTTATTTGAGTTTGACAAGCAATTATACAGTTTGGGTGCCCAGTACGAGAAATGTTATGTCTTTTCTTAAACCTGTCTAACCAACCGGAACTACATTTGAAGTAATTTCCAATCAATTTCCCAAATTCTTCAGCCTTTATTTGCAGCATAGGTCCACTTAATGGAAAATTATTAGCACGTTTTTGTTGAAACCATTTAAACCTTTTTTTCTTTTGACTATTTGATTTCCAGTTATTTTTAATTTTGTCACGGTTTTTCCATATATTTGACACAGTGGATTTTTTTATAGCCATACGAGCACATATATACTAAGTGACATATAAATCCGAACACCCAGTTTGAATGGTTTTATTTTAATAAAAGTTGGTGAATGTATTTATCTTACTGTAAATAACAAGTGAAAAAATGTTCAGCCTTATCAGTTGGACATTCCGGTTTTTATACTGCTTTTTTTTAATTCACTAACGCTCTAAAAATGAATATTTCAGCCGCAGTAAAGAATCAACGTCGGCGGATTTTGGTTCTTGACATCCTTTACGATCGGTTACGATGCCTAGAGTACGGAGACCTGTACGATTTCGTCAACTTAGTGAGTTTGATAGGGACCGTATAGTGGGACTTCGGGAAGCTGGACTTTCTTTTCGGGCAATTGCAGTTAGAGTGCAAAGAAGTGTAGACACTGTTTACCGACGAATGAGAAGTTTTGGCTTGTTTTCATATCGGCCACACTAGGTCCTCCCTTTAACTCGAGAACACCGACGTAATCGCCTTGAGTGGTGCAGACAACGGTCACTCTGGGATCAGGAATGGAACAGTATTGTCTTTAGTGACGAGTCTCGATTTTGTTTAGGCATGCACGATGGTCGTGCCAGGGTTAGAAGGCGACGTCGTGAAAGGAGGAATCCACAGTTTTTTGTTGAAAGACATGTTCATCACACTGTTGGAGTTATGGTTTGGGGTGCTATAGCTTATGGTTCCAGGTCACCTTTAATCTTCATCAGAGGTAACATGAAAGCGCAGCGTTATATCCACGAAGTTCTAGAACCCCATCTTTTACCCAGCTTGACACCCTGGCAGATCCAACTTTCCAACAAGATAATGCCCGACCACATATTGCAAGAGTCAGAATAGACTTCTTTCAACATAATGATGTCACATTGTTACCATGGCCACCAAGATCTCCCGACTTATCCCCAATTGAGCACGTGTGGGATATGATGGGTAGGAGATTGCTCAATTTGCAACGTCCTCCTCAGACTCTAGAAGCACTTCGAGAGGAGTTGGTGGTTGCCTGGAATGAGATACCACAGGAGGACATTGACCACCTGATCAGAAGCATGCCTAGGCGCGTTGGAGAATGCGTAGCACATCAGGGTGCATCCACACATTATTAAAGGTCAAAGGGCTTTAAAGCAGTGCAATCATTTTGAAATTTTTATCATTTACTTATTATGCTTCATTAAGTACTTATACAAAATTTTATTAAAATAAAACCATTTAAACTGGGTGTTCGGATTTATATGTCACTTAGTATATTTGCTTGAAATGAACTCTGCTCAAGCTCACTAATTATTGTGATGATCAGTCCCTAGCTAATATTGCCATTTCCACTCGGTGTGATGCTTAAGTTGTGTATATTAGAAGTAACATACTGTATTGTTTCCAGGCAAACGATGTTTGTACAACAGAACCACATAACGTAAAAAGGCTGAAATCGAATGGCTTTCTTACCACAAAATCGAATCAAATTACCATTGATAACCTAGTGCCATTTACATTGTACAATATTACAATATCCACAGTTTTACATGAAAAAAATCAGCTATTATTTGTTCATACATTGGACTCAGGTAAGTGAAAAAATAATGACGACTTGGATTGGATTCCCATTTTTTGTCGCTGATTTTGTTAATTTTTGAGGTTTTAGGTCTAGAAACAGATACTTAGCTAATACAGTTTGTATTAAAAGACACATTCATACCAACTGTATGAATGTGTCTTCTATGTTTTTTTCGGTTCCGAAACCACCACGAGGTTTGTAATAGTCGTGAAACTTTTCAGTGGAATTGACGCCCAACGAAATTCCTACAAATATCGAAGTTAGGGCTTTGGAAGACCGCGTTAATATTTCGTGGCAAGTGGTTGGATGTCAGCATCGCTATGGCAGGATCGTTTACAACGTGATGGTGACGAATCCTTCGTTGAATTTCACCAAAAAATTCTCGATTCAGACGGATAACAGCTACGAAATGACTGGACTACAGCCGTACACTGAATATAATTTAACCATAGTCGCTGCGAGGAATGGGAAGTACCTTTACAACATGGTGAACGCGAATGTTATTTCCATGAAGTTTAGGACTTTAGCTGGAGGTAGGTAACGCTCGGCTTCAAACTATTTTTTTCAAGTAGAAATGAGGTTGATGCTAAGTTTTATTGGTTTGTTGCGTCTTGATTTATCAACTAGGATAGATAGATGGATAAATATGCTTTCTTGTCCGAAGAATACAATTATACAATCACTCTTAATAAGAAAGTTAGCTTAAAATTAAGCTATAATATAATTTAAACTCACACATGGTTTACATATTAAACAAATTTTAAGTTCTCGGCGGAACACCTTTAAATTGTGAATTCCTTTGATAACATCAGGGAGACACATCTAAATTTTCAGACCATTATAAATTATTGAGTCTTTCACTAGTGTTGTTTTAGTAATTTGAGATCTTGTTTGCGTCTAATATTGTAACTTATATTTAATGTTTCAAATTTAGATTTATTTTTAAAAATAAGAGTTGCTGTTTCTAAAATGAACACTGATACGTCAGTCATTATTTTAGGATTTACAAATAAAGGCCTGCATTTGGCTCTAGGATCGCTTAGTTTATATATATATATATATATATATATAACTTGAGACGAGGTCATTGCCGTCTAGACCAGTTAGGTGAAACATTAAAGCTTCCGCCTTTTGTTGGGTACTCTTTATACTTTTTTTATTCTCTCTAGCTTTCAATCGACTTTGCCATCATCATCAGGAGCTGCAATTACATTGATACAGTAGCAACAATAGTGTAAAATGAATTTTTTACACAGACACTGATAACCTTCGGCCATCTATCAAAGGGTTCATCTTAATCATTATTCCATGCCCACTATTTTGTGCAATCATCAAGTGGCTTCACGATGTAATGCTTTCATGTTCTAAAAATTTTGAATCTGTTTTTAACTTGTTCTTGTCACACAGTTGTGTGTATTTTATATAATTTTGACCATTGTACCATTTATCCAGCTTTCACCATGTTACTGGGTGTTTCCCTCGTCCTGAGCGTAAACAACAATTAGCAACATCCTCACATACTACTGCAAGTTAAGTTAATTTAAATTCATTTTACACTATTGTTGCTACTGTTATCAATATAATTGCAGCTCCTGATGATGATGGCAAAGTCCATTGAAAGCTAGAGAGAATAAAAAAAGTATAAAGAGTCCTCCTTGCTTAAAATTTTTGTCGAAGTACCCAACAAAAGGCGGAAGCTTTAATTTTCACCTATATATATATATATATATATATATATATATAGGTATGTTGTTGCAAGTAGCTTGACTAATGGTCAATCCCAAAAAGTTTGATGGTGTCTGTTTTGTGTCTCAATTCGTTATTTAAATTTATAAAATCAAGAGAGATTTAAATGTCATAAATTTTGTATTATTAACATACAAAGTTAAGTATTTGTTGTCACACCATCTTTTGATTGATCAAAATCAATTTTTATCTTTATTTCATCTATATCTATGACTGGCCAAAATATTGTGGAATCATCAGCAAAAACCTCGAATTTACCATCTGTGTTTAAATCATTGATATAGATTAAGAGTAGGATTGGACCTAATACTGATCCTTGAGGTACCCTTGCGTTTATATTTAATTTATTCGATTTACAATGTCTTGATGAATGAGTGAAGTTCCAGTACAACCATATTTGTTTATTTTTTTTAATAATACATCATGATTTACAGTCAAACGCTTTGGAAAATTAAAAAGAGCTATTGAAATTTGTTTATCATTTAAATTCGAGTATAGCTGTTGGAGTAATTTGAGATTAGCATCCACGGTATTTTTTATTTTTGAAATCCAAATTGGTTGTCACTACTACTACACTAAAAATTCTGGGTAAACACCTCTGTTTGTTTGTTTGTTGAAGATTTATTTACCACTAATGTCAATTTTGTATAATGATCCGTTCACACATTTTTTGAATCCATTTTCTGTAGCTTTTCGAAGGCCTCCGCGTAATAGCAGTGGCGTACGATGAGTTTCGCTACTGTCATCAATTTTGGTATTTTCCTATAGGGCATATGCGTTAGATGTTTCAGATTTCTTATTGTAATTGTTTCGTTGATTTTTCAGTTGCCCCTCCGGTTGAAAACCTGGAACTTTTTTCGATTGATAAGAACTCCGCTTCATTGCGATTCGACCTGCCTGAAAATCCCAGTGGCGTTGCGTCAGAGATTCGAGTGAGCAGATGCAATAGCCTATCGTTCAAAAAATGCAAGTCGTTGGTCACGAATATAAAGAAATGCCCGTTGTGGCCGAAAAAATATTGCGTGGACGTGGAATATCTGCTTCCAAATCAAAGTTATACCTTCAAAGTTAGCTTGAAGAATTACAATACCAACAGATTTGGGAAAGAAGTCACTGTTGATGGGTATTCTGATGATAGAGGTGATTATTTTTAGCCTCATTTTATTTTCAAGTATCTTGTGCGTTTTATAATCTATTTTTTTTAATTTTTAGTACCAGGAGCACCACAGAATATAACATATCAAATTGTGGAATGTACCTACAGCTCCTGTAATTTGAACGTGTCTTGGAACCATCCCTATAATCAGAATGCTACCATAACTATGTTTAATATAATTCTTAATAGCTCAGAAATTCGAGAGGGAATAGAAGATGACAAATTTATACAGGAAGTTTACAGGATGGAAAATAAAACGTACCGCCCAGTTTATGCCTACCAGGTTTGTGTGCATCAGTCAAATAAGGATGCTTTTATACATCAAATGAGATAACATTTCATCCATGAAACTATCTTCGTTGTAGTGTCGACAACGTTATAGGTCTAGGTTCTTCAATAAAGTCATACTTCAAATGTAGTTTATACTCGGTGTCCCATGCTAATATCTTTATATTTAGAAAACTGCACGTTCTAGAAGGAAGTTTCAAACGAATTGTGGGGTTTGGAAGGTAACAAAATGATGATGACCTTGACAATGCTCTTGACTACATGTTTAAAGTCATTTCAAGGTCCAGTGAGTATTAAATGCAAATCTGACTTTTTCACATCGGAATTGAAAAGAACAGCAACTGTTACTCCCGAGTATCACCTTGACCATGACTTTGAACATTGCTTTCATGGCCATTTCAAGGTCAAATCAAGACACCGAAAACAATTTGCCCTCGCAAAAAAATATTCGACTGTACAGTTGTGAGATTTGTTGGAATCACCCAAAGGTGACCTTGCTCATGATCTTGACCATAACCTTAAAGGTTAATTGAAAAATTCGACAGAAGACCTATCGTTGTTATACTGAAAATGGAACAATCAGGAAATTTTACGTCCAAAGTCAAGGTCGTGTCAAGCTCAAATGTGATTTGAAGTCAAGGTCATATTTGGACGTACAATTTTCCACTTTTTTCATTTCCAATATAAACATAAGAGGTTTCTTTTGAAAATCCTGACTTGACCTTGCGGGTCAAGGTCATCGTCAAAGCCACCTTTGGGCGATTCCCAGAAACCTCACAACTGTGCTGTCGTAGATTTTTGCTAGACCAGATTGTTTTTGATGATTTGATTTGACCTTGAAATTGCCTTGAAAGCAATGGTCAAGGTGATGGTCGGACGTAAATTTTGCTCCTCTTTTCAATTTCGATGTGGAAAAGCCGGGTTAAATTTGAATATATTAACTTGACTTTGAAATGACCTTAAAGGTCATGTAAAGGTCACCATCATTTTACCATCTCGGAACCCTGCAACTTTTGTTTAAAGTTTTTCTTTTTAAAACGGCCAGTTTTCAAAATATTTAGGTATGGAAACTGACATGGGGACGCCCTGTATAAAAAGTAATTAACAAATATATGCGTTAATCTAGGGTTGCCTACCTTGCCGCAAAGGCGTTTAATAGGCTAGATGACACTTTCTCAAGTAGGTCTGAAATAGTTAATATTTGTTTTATTGGAATGATAAAATTATTTCCAGATTTTTTTCAGACCTAAAAGATCTTAAAACTTTAATTTAAAAATATATTTTTCTTAGACAGGAGGAAACGCTGTCCGCCATGTTTGACCCATCTATGCTCTGATGTCATGCCACTTGTAATCAGCAACATAACTTCTCAACTGTAGGACGCCTTTATGGCCTCCTTGATTTTCATAGTATTTTCTCTCCTTCCGAAAGGATGCGGTATTTATAGATTGCTACTGTTCCGTGTCAGCGTCAGCGCTCTCCTATTGTGAGGCTACGTTTTCTTTTTGAATTGTAGGAAATTTAAGGCTGATATAACAGATCAATCAAAAGCATGAACAATTTGATGCAAATAGATATTTGTAACATAACCTCAAAATAGAGCGCTGACGCGGAACTGTAGAAAACTATGAAAATCAATGAGGTCATAAATGCGTCCTACAATTGTAGAAACGACTGATGATATAAACATGACTTCTACTAGCTTACACGAAAAATATAGTATCTATAATCGATATTGTATCGTCCGAGAATGTAAAAACAGATCGTTAAAGACTCCAGGAAAATTGTGGATTAGAGTGCCCAGGGAAATAAATATACGCAACACTGTGTATTGCTGGGAACATACCTTATGTTCGGGACTTATTTTATACTTTACTGTGCAGATTTCATCGTCTCGTTCAAGCTTGACGTAACCTACATCATCACTACCGTACCATTTCCTTGCAGATTAAGATAAAATTATTTAGAGGTTGTAACGCATAAGCTTAGCTTTGAATGACCTGAAAACGAAGGTTAAGTAAGTAACTTATTCTTTCTTTTTATGTCTGTCATTATATCAGATGCACTGTATTTACCTACAGGGTGGCCCAACGAAAAGGTTGCACCCCCATTTGTGACTCTACTGGTGTATTTTGAGAAAAACGCTCGGATCCGTCAATTTTGATTGCTAGGGGGACGTCTTTTCATTCATAGCCGCCGTACAATACAGGGTCTCCTTAGAAACCAGAATAGACGTGTTCCAGCGTTTTTCCCAAAATATACCAGGAGAGGTCACAAATGGGGGTGTGACCTTTGCGTTGGGGCACCCTGTAGAAGTCTTGATGTTCCTCAGCTCAGCAGAGCAAAAATCTGGGCAAATAAATTACCCGCCGTCAATGTTTCAGTTTTCGGCAAACTTGTGCTTTTTGCTTTTACGAATTCCAGTCCGCTTCCATTGTTATCTTTTCAATAAAACGAGAAAAAAATAACGTTTTACGTTCATCAGGAGTTTTTTGTCAATATTTGAAGAGGTCAACGATAGTCCACGAAGGACATACGGATGACGTGTCATTGTTTACAATTTGGATGAACTCACATGGCCGATAGCTGTTTTAACCGTTTCATATCAAAAATAATAAGTATATTTCGTTAAATTGGATCTTGCGTTTATAAAAATTGAAATCGATATATTTCGTATTCCTAAGCCAAATACTGTAAGAAACACCCATTTATTCTACGGGGTGTTAGGGAAATAATATTCGTAACTTTAAGAGGTTCCTTGCATTATTCTAAGCCAAAAAGTTCATTATAACTTATGTCCGAAAATCGGAGCAAAAAAATGCAGAACTTATTTCTTTTTAGTGATGGATTAAATTAATTTAGCACCTTAATAATTTAACTTCATATGCCTAATAGCGTAAAATGTATCAATACATCTAATTATTAATTAACTGGCTCTAACAAAATAATTTTCCAAAGAAAAACAGACAAAAAAAAATCCCTCACACAACTGGCAACGTCGTACTCCGCCTGCACTGCGTGTTGTTGCGGTTACCAATACATTTAATTGTAACTTTATGTGATTTAAGGATGTTGTTTTTTGTCTTTTTTCGTGCATCGCATGGTTTCAAATAAGTGACTGATAATCGTGGGAATTAGTGGTGTGTATCGCCACATGCCGGTAAGATCTGTCATTTTTTTTAAGTAAATGTACTGTACTGAAAGGGTTATTAAATAAAAAATATCAGCCACAAAAAATTGCGTAAACGTATTCAATTTTCAAGGCATATTTTCAACAAAAATTTCATACAAACAATTCGATGAATCAGTTGCGGTCGTCGTGCGCTCGTATCGCGGTTGCGTTGCAGCGTTGCCAAATGTTTGAGAAAATGTAATTATTTACGACACACTTTCCTCGGTAAAACGATTGATTTTTGGACATGTTATAACGAATTTTTTTGCTTAGAATAATGCAAAGAATCACCTCTTAAAGTTACGAATATTATTTCCCCAACATCCTGTATAAAATTATATATTTATAATTTATAATAATCCATACACTGCCTGAACAGAGTGATATGGCAGGGAAAAACAAAAAATGATACAAAAAAAAAAACTCTAACCAGTACATGATAAAAAAGGCATAAATATAAATATAAATAAATATATATGAATCAAGTAGCCTATCTTTGTTCAAATATACTATTTTTGTATAATTTCTCAATTTCTCAATAATTTGAGATTTTAGAACGATCATGATGAAATGTTTATCCACTTGGTGATGTAACTCAAATGAACAATCTAAGATTTGTTATAGATCAAGTACCTGCCATACAGTGCCAAATACAAACTATACCTACAATCTGCCAACTTGGCGTACAAAAGCGATTTTACAGTGATAGACGTCAAAACAGATGACTTAGGTAAACACATAGACCAATCGCCCAAGTTAGTGGAAAAAACCGATACGACACTGTTCTATCAAATACCTCCGCTAGACAGCCGTTTAGACTACTACACTTTGACTGTTTTTGTGCAAGATTTCAATGAAAGTGTACCAGTTGACAAGGAGCTATTGAAAAATGAGAAAATTGCCGATAATCTTTGCCATAATTTTGGTTACTCTTGGATATCCCATTCTTTCAAGGTAAGAGCATTTAGCTGTTGGCATTGATTCATCCCCAAGATATCCAACCCTCACTTACAAATTCCGTAGTCACAGCCGCGTTGCCAAGAAGGATTGCAGTCATTGCCAGTAAAGTAATAAAAGCAGAATGAATTTGTTTAAAGAACATGTCACCAACCTTCCAAGGGTAGATCACCTTTCAACTTCCTTAATGATAAGATTTCGTAATCTCAGAATTTCTCAACGGCGCACAGTGGTCCATTTACGCGAAAGGTGAAATATTCAAAAAACAAAGTAACCATAATTTTTTTACACCGAATATTTGACAGGTTATCATCTGTTGTGTTGATTGTTGAAAGATATTGAACATAGATATGGAAAATGCTTAGTGTTTTTCAAAATCTCACGCAGGTTTTTAGGCTGTACGCATAATTAAAAATTGCTTCCTATTTTTAACCCTCTCGATTGCAACTGCAACGCCTGAAAGAAGCTTTTCGAAATTAAAAGATATTAAAATATCCTAGACTTCAATAAGTCAACTTTGACTAACAAGCATGGTACTGTTTTCAGAGGTTGAAATTTTCGAAACCTACGGATGGCTTAATACAAGTTTTTTGTTTCGGAAAAAATGGTTTGGTTTGGTTGAACCATACAAAATGGTTGCAAGTAGATTGACTCGGTACTTCCCAAGCTTCCCAAGTTTTCTATGAGTCAAGATAAACCCTAATAAAGAAACTTTTTTGAATATGCCCCAACCTGAAGCAATCAGAAACGATGAGAGCGCATTTTTTAAAATTGTTACCTCTCCACAAAGATGTTATCCTTAAAAATGTTCAGAAAGTTGTAAAGCATAAAAAAAACAAAGTTTGGGGTGATGTGAAATGTATTTTAATGTTTACATAGTAGCACCTACTATGACCTCACTTTGACTTGTCGTAGACACCGCAAAACAAAATTTGATTTAACTGAATCTCTAAAACTTTCGTATTCACTGTACTCCCCATTTACAGAAAGTTTTTTTTGCCGATTATCCCACTTTGACTGAGAAAACTTCATGCGGGCAACCATGGTCAATATGTGACAGTTCATATTATTATTCAATGCAAGCGTTTATGTTTTTTTGCAAAAAACCCGGTAATCCTGCGCTCCTATTGATCATATTACACACATCATAGATTTCCCCGTACATTTATCCTTAAAAATATAATATCTCTGACAGTTGCATGTCAATACGTGCGCCGTGGTCCTGCTGCTGTGGTCTGTATGCTGTAAAAGTCAATATCGTCATCTACGCGGGATTAGTCATAGCAACGATCAGGTGCGCCCGCAGCAATTTCTTTCCAGGGAAGGAGGAGGGTCATTTAATTGTTTTGTCAGAAATGTTAGTGGCTAACCTTTTTCTCAGAAGGTCTAATCTGTGATGAACAGAGTCAACCTACTTGACTCCATTTTTCGACAGCCTTTCGGTGTTCTGGACCACTGTGCGATGAAAAGGAAGATTCCATAACCTGCAGCGACGCTTCTAGAGGTGGGAACGTTTCGCGTAGGCACAGCTTTCAACTGGGTTGGGTTGTTAATCGATGCTCAATTATAATAGTAGCAAATCTGCTGGGACTTCTATAACTTATAATAAGTACACGTCACTATAGTCGAAATCACGAAAGATGACGATTACGTCATCATTTTAGTCTGTAGTATTATACAGGGTGTTTCAATTTATTGTTGCATAACTTTAAGATTCGATAGAACTTTTAAAATTAATGCATAAAGTCTATATAAACATGGGTCGAAAAATGCGTGGCTTCCGAAATACATAAATTTACTTTTTAAAATAGTTTTTTTTAAATATTTCGAACAATATTTGATGTATAACAGTGAAAATTGGTTTACAAGGGTTTTTTGGTACGACAAAACAAACCACGGGCATAGTTTTACTGTAGCCGCTAGAGGGCGCTCTCTACTGTACCTGTAGTGTATTAAAATGACCGAAAATTTTTTCTTAGTGCATTTTTTTGCTTTTTGAATAAAAAAACTGATTCTTCGCACTTTTCTACATAAAAAGCTCTCCTGTGAGTTTTCGTTATAGTTAGCCGTTTTTGAGATATTTCGATTTTTAAGGTTCGATGCATTTTTAATTATTTATCGGAAAATAATATTTTTTTAAAATTTTCGATTTGGGCATTACAAGTAATTAAGATGATCGTTTAGATTGTGTTTTTAAACACAGCAATAATTCCTAACTCAAAATAAACACACAAAAAAAACAGAATATTAATTTGTTTAATTTTCCAATATTATTTTTAACAAATTAAATTAATTATTTACAACTAAAATGCTATTGGATAGTTAGGACAAACATACAAAATCTAAAGTAGTTGCTCGAAATGTAAACCCAATTGTTCAATACACAATTCACATCTACGAATGATCGAACGTGGTATAGCATTATTCAAATAAGGCCTTATTTCATCACATGCATTCCTGATTCTGTCTATTAGCATATCTCTTGTGGTTACGGGAGTCTGGTACACTTTTTCTTTTAGAAATCTCCACACAAAGAAATCTAATGGATTTAGGTCAGGGGATCGTGGAGGCCAGGCGACTGGTCCTCCACGGCCGATCCATCTTTCTGGATAATTTTCGTCCAGCCAGTTTATAACTATTCTCGAATAATGAGCTAGACAACCATCAAGCTGGAACCAGACCAATCTTCTTAAATCTAACATAACATCATCCCACATATTTGCCTTTAAAAATCGAAATATCTCAAAAACGGCTAACTATAACGAAAATTCACAAAAGAGCTTTTTTATGTTGAAAAGTGCGAAGAATCAGTTTTTTTATTCAAAAAGCAAAAAATTGCACTAAGAAAAATTTTTCGGTCATTTTAATACACTACAGGTACAGTAGAGAGCGCCCTCTAGCGGCTACAGTAAAACTATGGTGCGTTTTGACGTACCAAAAACCAATTTTCACTGTTATACATCAAATATTGTTCGAAATATTTAAAAAAAACTATTTTAGAAAGTAAATTTAAACACCCTGTATTTCGGAAGCCACGCATTTTTCGACCCATGTTTATATAGACATGCATTATTTTTAAAAGTTCTATCGAATCTTAAAGTTATGCAACAATAAACTGAAACACCCTGTATATTTTTTTTAATGAAGTTTCAGATATGTTAGACACAGATAAACAGAATTTTATTGTCTAAACAGACTGTATTGCTAATTTGCATGTATCCGACAAAGATAGACGATGTTGTCATTTTGCATGATCGATATTTTAGAAAAGAATAGTTAGGTTATGTTAAAGCTGGTTAGGTTGCTTTCGAATAATACTTTGGTCTTTGGTGTTCCTGTTTTAAGGTTCTACTCATAACTGTTTTTTTTCTCAAAACAAAAACTCCTCACTAAAATTATCATTAAGGTATCACTAAAAACCATGAAATAAAATGAAAATAAAAATAATCAGTGAAATAACCTAACTTCGCAAAATCATAATATAAATTTGTTGTCATTATGTTCCTGGTTTTATCATCGACGTACGTCCATTGATTACTTCAGTACAATTTATGGTATGACGAAATAGACATCTTTCGTGATTTTGACTATATCATATTTTTATTTGTTGAATTACTCGATCACAGCTCTAGGTGATATTGAAGTTTAATACGATTTTTCAACGTATTCCCGCAGACTACGAGGGTTGTTTCGAAAATAAGGTTTCCACATGTTTTTCAGGAACAAGGAATTTTTTATTTGGCAAAACCAATTCACCATTGGAAAAGTTGATCCTTCAGCTATTTTTCTTCATAGTCGCCTTTTCTACGCATTTTTTTAGACGTGAAATCCACTTTTGCACTCTCGCCCCCAGGAAGTCCGCTGCTAGCCCGTTTAAAAACTTTCAACTCCCCGCGCTTCTTGTTACGCTCGGTGGTGGGGGAGCCGACAAACACGACGGTGTTGCCAAATTTCTCCTAGCACGACGCGCAGCAAAGATACAGCATTGGGAACCATATTTTTGAAACAACCCTCGTATTATTATATCAAACATGACTGTTTTACTTGCATTTTTTAGGTAGCTACGAATAAAACATCCAAAATAATGATAGGAAATGGAAAGTTACATCCGCTGACTAAGTACTGTGTAACTTTTATTGTAACGAATAACTTCAAAGGTGCGGAACACGATGTGGTATATCGTGAAAAAATACGAATGTCAAAGTCAGTTGTGCCTTCCAAGAAAGCGTCTACTTCTGGGTTTGATCCATTGTATATGTTGCTGCTGTTATTGCTTCTAGTGCCAATAGGATTTTTGATTTACAGGTACGATACATGCTTTTTTCCAAATATACTAAGTGACATATAAATCCGAACACCCAGTTTAAATGGTTTTATTTTAATAAAAGTTAGTGAATGTATGTATCTTACTGTAAATAACAAGTGAAAAAATTTTCAGCCTTATCAGTTGGACATTCCGGTTTTTATACTGCTTTTTTTTAATTCACTAACGCTCTAAAAATGAATATTTCAGCCGCAGTAAAGAATCAACGTTGGCGGATTTTGGTTCTTGACATCCTTTACGATCGGTTACGATGCCTAGAGTACGGAGACCTGTACGATTTCGTCAACTTAGTGAGTTTGATAGGGGCCGTATAGTGGGACTTCGGGAAGCTGGACTTTCTTTTCGGGCAATTGCAGTTAGATTGCAAAGAAGTGTAGACACTGTGGTTAGATGTTGTCAGGCATGGCTTCGAGAAGGCCGTACGCAAAGAGCAAGGGGCACTGGACGCCGCCGTAGAACAACAGACCGTGAAGATCGCCGCCTAAGATTATTGGCCTTGAGGGACCATTTCTCCACTACCAGGTCCATTGCAAATGAATGGTTTGCAGAACACGGAAGACCTATTGGCATGCGAAGTGTTTACCGACGAATGAGAAGTTTTGGCTTGTTTTCATACCGGCCACACTGGGTCCTCCCTTTAACTCGAGAACACCGACGTAATCGTCTTGAGTGGTGCAGACAACGGTCACTCTGGGATTAGGAATGGAACAGTATTGTCTTTAGTGATGAGTCTCGATTTTGTTTAGGCATGCACGATGGTCGTGCCAGGGTTAGAAGGCGGCGTGGTGAAAGGAGGAATCCACAGTTTTTTGTTGAAAGACATGTTCATCACACTGTTGGAGTTATGGTTTGGGGTGTTATAGCTTATGGTTCCAGGTCACCTTTAATCTTCATCAGAGGTAACATGAACGCGCAGCGTTATATCCACGAAGTTATAGAACCCCATCTTGTACCCTATCTTGACACCCTGGCAGATCCAACTTAGATACACAATAGACTTCTTTCAACATAATGATGTCACATTGTTACCATGGCCACCAAGATCTCCCGACTTATCCCCAATTGAGCACGTGTGGGATATGACGGGTAGGAGATTGCTCAATTTGCAACGTCCTCCTCAGACTCTAGAAGCACTTCGAGAGGAGTTGGTAGTTGCCTGGAATGAGATACCACAGGAGGACATTGACCACCTGATTAGAAGCATGCCTAGGCGCGTTGGAGAATGCGTAGCACATCAGGGTGCATCCACACATTATTAAAGGTCAAAGGGCTTTAAAGCAGTGCAATCATTTTGAAATTTTTATCACTTACTTATTATGCTTCATTAAGTACTTATACCAAATTTTATTAAAATAAAACCATTTAACACGTTGGATGCCCATCAAATTGTTTTTCTGCCAGTACCAACTAGAAAATTTCAGTTTACCTGCTTTAAATTGTTACTAAATTCAATATAGAGTATTTTTTTTTTCGCTAAAATTGGTTAATTTTTCACAAATAACACAATGACGCATATGTTGCGTCGGGAGCACTCAGCAATAATTTTTGGTCCTTAGGTCCACTGATGTTCATCTGTCACGTTATACATATATTGGTTTATTTATTTTTTAGAATACAAAAATAAAAATAATATCCAGGCTTGCGTCGAAGACGACACAATGTCGTCATGGACACTGCTACAGAAAACCGCATGACGACACAGTGTCGTCATGGGCATAAAATGTGTTAAACTGGGTGTTCGGATTTATATGTCACTTAGTATAGTGTACCTAAAAGCGGTTGATTTGTATAAGTGGTTATAAGAATAATCAACTTCTCCGGTTATTTTCATTATCGAAGTGAAAAAGCATACTTGATACTTATATGTTGAAGATTATTTCTATGAAAGCATTTCCAGTGCATCACGGCCCGTGAAACCATGATTATACTTCGACATCAATTCGGTTAACAACTAATTTCTGGTTTTCAGACAGCATAGTCAAGTAATTTAACACTTCTAGTCATTTTTACTCCAATTATAAATAAGCCACTTATAAGCTGTAAACTTGTAAAATCCTTTATTTTGCCATTCTAAAAGTGGTCTCAAAAGTATCTTGTCAGCGTTGTCAAAATTCACAAAAAAATTTTTTTTGCAAAGATATCTTATGGGCTTAGTGCTATTTGCATTTAATATAAATATTATGGAGAATGAAATTGTAAACATTTTTTTGTTTCAAACATTTTTATATAGAATCAACGATTTTTTAGAAAGTCTTCGTATTAAGTCTATAAATAGAAAAAGGATATTTATCAAATCATAACATACCTTTTTCCTTTGAAGAAAACTTCTTGTAGAGGTCTTATAGTAGTACACATCTAGGGAATTACTTTGCAAAAAATGATGGTATTACAGGGTAGATATGTAATACTATAGGGCCTCTACAACTTTTACTTATACGTACAGAATCACCCTGTAGTATAATGTTTTTTTTTGCAAAGATATATCCTAGATATGTTTTACTAGGGGGTGTCTATAAGATCTGCGAGTTTTTTGGTGGCACAATTCTTCATTTGGGTTTTGCGAATTTTTATATAAGCATATATTTTATTTAAACATATATGTATTTGATAGATAAAAATGTAACAAGTACTCGGTCCAGCCCTGAAAGGAAGTATTACCGAATGAGTCACCTGTTATAAAACTCGCTACAACCAGTTGCCGTTAACGTTATATTATACAGGGTGTTTCAGTTTATTGTTGCATAACTTTAAGATTCGATAGAACTTTTAAAATTAATGCATAAAGTCTATATAAACATGGGTCGAAAAATGTGTGGCTTCCGAAATACAGGGTGTTTAAATTTACTCTCTAAAATAGTTTTTTTTAAATATTTCGAACAATATTTGATGTTTAACAGTGAAAATTGGTATACACAACATGGCTTGCTGAAATTCCCAAGGCACCAGAAACTCTCCTAACACTTGTGGTCGGATCTCTATCAAACTCACGCAGAATCATGCGGGTAAATCTGCGCTGACAAACACTTATGTTTTGATCCCTTTGGAGATTTTCAAAACCATTTTCAATTATTTGGCGATACACTCTTACAAATACTGAGCGAGTTGGATGTCGTCTGTTTGGAAATCTTCGTGCGTATTCTCTGGCTGCTTCTGCTGCGTTTCCATTTACAAAGCCATACACAAAATGAATATCCGCTAACTCTTGATTGGAGAATAAAAATGGCATTTTTATAAAACTTACAAAAAAAAACAGGTAAAAGAAACTAAATTTCGTGCATTCACAATTGCAAAAAAACGTTTCAAGTTTCAACAGACAACAAAACTAACTGTCAACTAATTGACGTTTAACCTTATTCTGCTTTAAATTTCAAAAATATTTGCAGGCACAGCCTACTTCTAAAAATGATCGAGATACTGACTTTTTAACGTTATTTTTCATAAATACTTAAAAATGCATCGAACCTTAAAAATCGAAATATCTCAAAAACGGCTAACTATAACGAAAACTCACAGAAGAGCTTTTTTATGCAGAAAAGTGCGAAGAATCACTTTTTTTATTCAAAAAGCAAAAAATTGCACTAAGAATTTTTTTTCGGTCATTTTAATACACTACAGGTACAGTAGAGAGCGCCCTCTAGCGGCTACAGTAAAACTATGCTCATGGTTCGTTTTGGCGTATCAAAAAACCCTTGTATACCAATTTTCACTGTTATACATCAAATATTGTTCGAAATATTTAAAAAAAACTATTTTAGAAAGTAAATTTAAACACCCTGTATTTCGGAAGCCACGCATTTTTCGACCCATGTTTATATAGACTTTATGCAGTAATTTTAAAAGTTCTATCGAATCTTAAAGTTATGCAACAATAAACTGAAACACCCTGTATACAAGGTGGCCCAACGAAAAAGTTGCACCCCCAATTGTGACTCACCTGGTATATTTTGGGGAAAACGCTCGGACACGTCAATTTTGATTTCTAGGGGGACGTCTTTTCATCTCTAGCCGTACAATACAGGGTGGTCCTAAAATGAGACATTGCGTTGCACTTTAGTTTTTAAATGGTAACTTCTGTATAATAAAGTTTATACCTATCTTGAATCTTTGTGAAGCCATTTGAGTTGAGCGTTTCCCCAAAATATACCAGGAGAGTCACAAATGAGAATCGTTATGTATTTTTTATGAAATCCAATATCTTTTGTAATACAAACTATCAGTAGCCGGAAAGGCAGAACATAAATCATGCCCTCCTTTTGTAGTAACTGAATTGTCATCTCATAAATATTTCAGGTACCTTCGGAAGAAGAAAATCATACAAAAACAAGACGAGAACAATGACAATGTCTACGAATCGCTGCCATTTGAAGAATGTGACTCGAATTTTGCCATAAATGAACACTACGACCATTTGAACCATAAGTGAATGTACCTTTTTTATACTTGTACTTAAGTCTGACTGTGATATAACCTCATGGTGTGCTTACCTTTTTAACATTTTTGTACCCAATTTTCACAAACGCTTAGCATAGTTTGTGTGTCTTCGACTATGTATTTTCTCATTTTATCTTGATCTTACGATGGAAGTTCTTAACATGGACAGTTTTTTATTACTGCTTGCGAAAAGGAAACTTTCAATATAAGTTGTTCATGTACTTATTTACCTCATTAAAAATAAAAATATTTTCTTCAAAAAATAAAATCGATGTTTTAATCTCCTATTACCTTAATATATTATCTACAAGTGGTAGGTATATGCTAATTCATATTGTTATTTACCACATTTGATAGGCGGCTTAGTCAATACTAAGTAAATATTCATTATATCAATTTCTTTTAAAGATTCAAAATCTTTGCAATGTAGACATTAGCCAATTGGGTTGATATGATTGAAAATTTTGTATCAGATAAACAGCTGAGGAATAAGGCACTACATAAAATTCGAATTAAAAAGAAAGAGTACATGCAGAATCTAACTGATCAAAATAATCTAAAAACTTTATGGTCTGGGCTGAATAGGCTTAACATAAAATCTCGTTCAAAACAAACAATACCAGATGAGCTAGCCGATACAAATAGTATTAACAATTATTTCATGTCAGTTTATAGTTACGTCAGTGCCTCAGAAAACGTATGTCGGTTTTATGAAAAATTGGACAATCGAAATCGCTTTTCTTTGCGAGTTGTCGAGCCGGTGGAAATATTGAAGGCAATCAAAGATATCAAATCAGATGCAAAAGGAATTAACACTAACCATGGTCAAAGTAAGTCTTCCCGTAACTTTTTTCCATATCACCCACATAATAAATTCATGTTTGGAAAATGGCTACCACCCTAAGCTGTGGAAGCTGGCTCTAATTATACCTGTCCCTAAAATATCTAAACCTACTGAACTTAAACATCTTAGACCCATTAGTTTGTTGCCGGTGCTATCGAAAATTTTGGAAAAAATTATACAGCAACAAGTTGTCCATTACATAGAGGAACTTAAAATAATATCGTCATGTCAATCGGGCTTCAGGAAGCACCATAGTACCACCTCGGCACTGTTAGATCTTTGTGATAATGTTATTACGGCAATTGACAAAAAGTTAGCAACAGCAGTGGTATCAATTGACTATTCCAAAGCATTCGATCGAATAAATCATAAACTTTTGTGCGCCAAGCTGAGGTATATAGGCTTCGATGATGCTGCTGTCAGTTTTTTCCGTAGTTATTTGTCCGGTCGCACGCAATGTGTCGCAATCAATAACGATCAATCCAATATTACGACTATTCCGTCAGGAGTTCCGCAAGGCTCAATTTTGGGGCCTGTGCTCTTTTTGATTTACACGTGTGACCTGCATAAAGCAGTTGACGATTCAGGGATACAAACATTTGCTGACGATACTCAAATAATATTCCATTTCGACGCCTCAGATACGCAAAATTCATCAGACATTTTACAGCTTGATTTAGATAAGGTACCCACATCAGTTTTCTATGGAACATAATCTTGCTATTAATCCAGATAAGACACAAGTGTTATTGTTTTGTTCTGATCAGAAGAGAAAAACTGTCGAAGGTTCTTTCCATCTGACTATTGATGGCATAACATTACAGCATACTCAAACAGCTAAGGTACTAGGAGTGGAAATTGATGAAAAAAACTTACACCTGTGTTCTAGGGCTCTTTATTCCAATCACTACTTGCTTAACTTTAAGCTGAGAAAAAAACTGTGCGAATCTTTGGTGATGTCAATGCTCAGTTACTGTGATGTCGTTTACTATCCATGCTTGGATCAATTGACCAAAAATCGTCTTCAAATCATCGAAAATAACTGTGTTCGCTTTATTTATGGGTTGCGTAAATACGATCACGTAAGTGATAAATATAGGGAATTAAACTGGCTTAGGTTAGGAAGTTTGGTTAAACATAAATTCTTAGTTTTAGTTCATAAAATAATATTGTCATCAAAGCCTGAATATCTAAGAGCTAAGTTAAGATTTAATTACGAAGTGCATGACAGGGCTGTTAGGAATCGTTATAGTATCAGAAGCACCCCACACACTTCTGCATTATTCCAACGAGGATTTACATATAATGCAGCACTATTTTATAATCAGTTGGACAACAGTATTAAATTGATGTCTTTGGAAAGTTTTCGTAAACATACTAAAAGCATGTTGCTCGCTATTGATTAAATAAGCATTTCTGCTACAGGTATAGATTGTGTCTATTTGTATTTTATACTTAGGTATATATGTGTTCTTTTTTTCATTGTACTTATATTTTTTTCCATGTTTTGAACATCAGATGTAACCGACATAAACAGTTAAGTGTAAGAGTAGCCTTGGCTAAACTTCGCTGTTTATGTCCCTCCGGGTTATCCAATAAAGACGTTATTATTATTATTATAAAAATAGAACATACGAATTTAAATTGTTTCAAATCATTAAATAATCCGCTTGCTTCATCTCTTATCATGGTGTCGATTTCTTGATCTGCGTAAATGCTTAGCTAAGCATCATAAATGTTTGTAAATTGAAACTTCATAGCTTCAAAAAATCTATTTGGCTTTCGCGTTGTGTACCACTCAATGGCTTCAGGGTAAAACCTATGAATATATTTCAGTAATATTGGCCAACAAGAGTTGAGGAAGAAAAAATTGGCAGCTTAGAACAAATATTTTGCAATATCATTCACAACCAAGAGAAAGTTCACTTTTTGATTTAAGAAAAAAAATCAAACTTAATGAAAAGAAAATATTTATTACCATCAACATATTCGTAAATTCAGCGGGTTTTATTTGTTAAATATCACTGCAGAGTTCCGGAGTGACGTTGTTTATTTCTCGTCGAATGTTGTCTTTAAGCACCTCCAGTGTTCGTGGATTATTGGAATATACTTTTGACTTTAGATAGCCCTACAAAAAATAATCGCATGGCGTGAGGTCGGGTGACCAAGGAGGCCAGTGAATGTCTCTAATCTTCGATATAACTTTTTGAGGAAAAAGTCCATCGAATCTCTGGAAGTATGGGCAGTGGGCCCATCCTGTTGACATCATGTGTTTCTGTTCGACGTTCTGTTCTTACAATAGGAGCACATAAACTGTCAATCATGTCCTTGTATCGCTCGGAATTGACTGTCAATGCATGACCGTTTTCATCTTCAAAGAAATACGGCTCAATAATACCGCTAGAGGATATGGCGCACCAAACAGTCACCTTTGGACTATGTAGCTGTTGTTGATGTTTTTCATTTGAGTTCGTTGGTGCCCAGCATCTGCAGTTTTGCTTGTTCACATAACCGTCTAAGTGAAAATGGGCATCGCAACTGAAAACAACGTTCAGCACAAGATGTCCGTAATACGTAATCAGTTTCCTTTAAAGCATGGACTGATTGGATTTTATAAGGATGAAAATCCCATTTTTTTCTTCATTATGCCATGGCAGTGTTGACCTAGGGATTCCCAAAGCAGCGGAATGCTTCCGTACAGAACGCCGAGGATTTGCAATGACCGAATGACTTACTTATGTATGAATAACCACTCTTAAAGTAAGCCGCGATAGCAAAAGCACGTTGCGCTCCGGTCCAACGTCCCATTGTGACTATTTAACCCTCACGCGGAACGCGTCGATCAAAACCTCTCGCGTATACGGTTGCCGTGTTAAGCATCCCACAAGCCGGCGCAAAATAATCGCGGCGAAGTATTCGCAACGAAATTCAGAGCGAAATTCGCAATCTGTTTCGCCTGTTTATTCATACCAAAGCGTATTATTCGCTCCGCGAACGTGAAGGTTTCGACAGGTTGCGTACATTTTATTTTTGCCTTTTGCAATGAGCTCGTCTTCAGAAGAAGAGGAGGCACTTCTATTTCTTGCTTTAGAACAGGAACAAAATGCACGGTAAGTTATGTTTATTTAACGCCATTTGATAGTTGGCTATGTATTAATTAAGTTTAACGAAGTACATAAAACAAATATTTTCAATTTTGTTTAGGAAACGAAGGAAGTGGGTACATGATATTAACTTGGAACGAAATAAATTTGGGGAATACCATACCTTGATGCCACAACTTCGGCTGGATGAACAGCGCTTTTACGTATATTTTAGAATGACTCCAGAGTGTTTCGATGAAATATTGAACTTGGTGAAAGATGAAATACGAAAATCTGACACAAATTATCGTGAAGCTATTTCGCCAGAAGAACGACTTGCTATTACACTCAGGTAAAAAAATTATATGTATTAAAATTAGTAGGCTTATCGAATACGAAAACTTCAGGGATCGTGAAATAAATATTTTATTGTAATAATTGGACTACATGTTGCCACTAGGATTAAATGTTGCTAAATAATTCGAGGCAGAATTTGCCTCCTCTGTTGGGTATATTATTGGAGTAAACCCAGAGCCGCTTGGGAAGGACGACATACTACTATCATACATACTTGCAGAATTCTGGGTAGACGCTGAAGACATTTCTTCAATATGTTCAAATTCTTCGTGCGCTATTAATTCGGCTATTTTTAGTTTTATTCGGGCTTGACGCTTTAAGGGAAGTGTTTTCACAGTCTGTGCATGTGCCAAGAAAAGTGAATCAATGGCCTCGTTCTCTTTTTTAGGTTTTTTACCTTCAAAATAATTAATGAGCTGTTGTACAGACGAAGATGGTGGTTCATAGCGTTTTCTGCTCGTTTTATATTTTGGTGTAGTTGCAGTCTGCGGAAAGGTGTGCCCTGGAGTAGTCACTGCTGTAGTGTTCAATGAAGAAGGTGGTGCTGTCTGTGTTGCCGAGGCGTTCTGTGCATCTTCTGCATCTACATCAGCATTTTCATCTTCTCCATGGCCGCGGTCTTCCAAATTTTCGGTTTCTACATTTCCAGCCCTTTCCTGATATATATTTGAGTTAAATTCGGCAGTCTCATAATGTATGACGTCAAAATCTTTCACATTAGACGACGTTTTGGCAAATGCCAAAAAAGGACGGGAAAATTCCATGTAGTCAGCCCACTGCCATTTTTTTATGTTGCCCACTGCTTGGCCGGTCTTTGGTTTGGTAGATTTTATATATTTTGCAAATGTGTCTGATATTCTTCCACCTTTTTTTTACTTCATCACCTAAAAACGATTTTTTTATAGATTCCTGGCCACTGGTGACACCTTCTATACCATTGGGCATAGCTTTCGAGTTGGCTTTACAACAGTGAGTGCAATCGTAACCGAAGTCTGTGAAGCGATATGCAGACATATGGAGCATATATATTTACCAGAACCAACAGAGGATATATGGAAAAAATGTGCTGAAGAATTTGAAAATAGATGGGGATTTCCCAATTGCATTGGCAGCGTGGACGGTAAACATGTAACAATCAAGAGACCTAACAACAGTGGCTCCAATTACTGGTGCTATTTACATAAATATTCAATAGTACTTATGGCCATTGTTGGCCCGGACTATAAATTTATATGTGTTGATATTGGTGGTTTCGGAAAAAATAGTGATGGGGGTATTTTCGAAACCTCAAACATGGGAAAACGATTTGAACAAAATTTAATGAGTGTCCCTGCACCTAGATTTCTCCCTGGGCAAAATGAAATCTGCTCGTACGTCTTAATTGGTGATGAAGCATTTGCTTTAAAACCATACCTTATGAGACCATTTCCTTATAAGCAGACTTTAACAGACGTCAGAAAAGATAAATACAATGTAAGACTTTGTCGAGCTAGAAGGGTCGTGGAAAATGCGTTTGGTATTTTGTCTCAAAAATGGCGAATATTTTACAGGCCATTAGAAACTAAAGTAGATACTACTATTATAATTGTACGTACGGCATGCGTTTTACACAATTTTTTACGAAGTAAAAGTGGCGATGACAAATATTTTCAATTCTTAGATCCCCCAGAACCCGTGCTTGGAGCTTTTACTGATATAGCAAATGATCCTCGGCGGGCAGCAAGGCTAGCATTTTCTACTCGTGACAAATTCGTAAATTATTATAGAATGTTCGTTTTCACATTTGTGTAGACTGTAAATTATTTAACAAGTTAATAAAAAATATTAGGTACATACCATTTGTATTTAATTCTTTTCCTATTTCCATCCAAATCTTGTCTTTCTTTCTCACATTCCTGTATTTATCGTTCGACAAATCATACAAACAAGGATACTTTTTCACTATTTCTATCAATAATTCCGTTTTTGCCATTGCGAATTTTTGAAGAATGGCGTCAAAAACGCGGTCAAAGGCGAACTGAAATACGCCGCGATAAAAACGCTGGAACAATCGCAGTCGCTTCGCACAAGTCTGAGCCTGTCCGTAAACCGCCGCGTTTTAATCTGATCGCGAATTCATCGCCGCGAAATTTTCGCAGCTAAAGCGAATATTTCGCGCCGGTCTGTGGGATGCTTAATTCAAATTTGAAATGGGAACTTTTCCACTAGACATCCTGTATTATCAGCATTGCCATACACTTCCATTAGCTGTTCCTAAATCTTGTCCTATCATCAAAATAAAATATGAAACGCCAAGCGTCGTATATTGACCCTACTATATGAACCAATGCAAATCGATAAAAGATGCATTTTCACACGCAACGTCGAAGCCCACCCGGTAGATGGCGCTACAGTAGATAAATGCGGGTTATTTAATGAGAATCAATACATCAGAACCAGATTATATACACACTTGCTTGTCTAGCATGTACTTTCCGTATGATACAAGTTGGAATTTTCCGTAATAATCAATATTAGAAACGGAAATACCTATTTACCCGCATCTGGAACATGTAACATCAATCACAATTGTTTAGTGAATGGCGCAGCTGTAAAATGCCTAAAAAGATTAGATTCACCGTTGTGTATGTTACAAGTAAGTCATGTTACTTTATTTATTGCATGTTGCATTCGACGACTGAGGTTCCTGCATAAACAATCGAACAGTGCTAGGTTTTGGAAAGCTAGCGTGAACATTACGAGAAACCCTCTGAATATGCTTGCAATGTGTTTGAGGTTTTTGCTGTCGTTTTTTTTTGAAAACACTATCTAATATATATTTATAAAAATGTAATGTAATGAAGGATGATGTAGATAGTTTGTCCATTGGTGTCAACAATAAATCTGAGAGGTGCAGTGCATATGCATTTTTAATCAGGCAAACATGCAAGTGATTGCAATTTTTTTGATCATGTTCATACTAATAGAAGTATAACGAAATATAACAAGATATAAACTGTCGGGAAAATTAAAAAAAAATTTGGTCATATCTACATAACTGTGCTTGATATTATTTTTCTATTTGCATCTCATTTATATAGAGTCTTCCACGACGAATTAACAATTTATATGGATATATATATATGTCGTATTTTCACCATTGTGATCTCCGAAAAGGTAAGAGATACGTGTCGGTTGAATGGTGGCAAAGTTGCGTTTTTTGTTTTTTTTTTTAGAAAAAGTTTTGACGCTTCAGTATATCCAGAGATACAACGAAAAGAGAACGAATTTTTCCAAAATCGTTTATAATTTTTTTTATTTTAATTTTTGCCGAGCAGGAACTCGCCCCTCTTGTCTCCTAGATACGCCCTTGTCAGAAAAGCAAATATTAGTCGGGGATTGCTAGGTCAAAATTACAAATTAGCAGGAAAGTCAGCTGGAAAAATCTAATTTTAGTTATATCCCAATTCTCCATTTTTACAGAAACACTCGCTTTTGTTTCACAAGAGGCTATCGAAATACATGCTTCAGTAAAGCCATTTTAGTGACTGAAATTAAGGAGGGTTCAGGCAAAATCTGGAAAATGTCAGTAAATTTTGTTTGGAGCTTAGAGTTCAAAGATCTATACTCTAGGCGCTGAAGAAAGAAACTAAACCCAAACAAATACACGCATATTGCTCGTGAGTGAGTGTTTAGGCGCAGGAGACATTACAGGACCGCATCAAGATATTATGGGTAGTCATCAAAAATTTCATACAAGATAATTATTATCTTTTACAGTAAATTTCAGTTAGAGATTCACAAATGAGTTAACTACACTTTTTAGTTATTAGTAAGTAAGCTGCGCGCACTCATTCAGAAGAGGAACTTAAATCTTCTGAATCGTTTAAATGACGTTTAGAGGTTCAATTTGGGTATCGATGACATTGTCCAAATCCCACATTTTGACCTCAACCTTCTCCCGAACGTGGCGGATACAGTTTTTCCATTCCTCTGCCGTAACTCTATTGACTGCGATGTGAAAGAGATTTTTAACATCAGAAAATTTATAAGTATTATTATTCGACGCCACGTATTGCTTTATGTTGGCCCAAATCAGCTCAATAGGGTTCAGCTCACAATGGTAGGGTGGCAGTCTCAAGACAGTTTTATTTTGTTTTTTGGCCATTTCGTCGATCATTTTAAAATCGTATTTGTATTTATGTCTATTGACTATACTTATCAATTCACCCTTGACCATTGTTTCATCAAAATCGATCTGTTTTGAGACCAGCCATTGTTGTATGTTTGCTTTTTTAGTTGCCATTGTGGGAATTTTTTCTATTTTTCTAGAATGGTACGGGGCATTATCCAGTACAATAACAGCGTTATTCTCCAGCTTTAGTAACATTTTGGAGAACCAATTTTCAAAGGAATTGCCGTCCATCTCCTCATGATAGTCCCCTGTCTTTTTTGATTCAAAGGCCCACAGTGCTTCGGGAACAAAGCCGTCTTCACTACCTACGTGACAAATGATCAGCCGTTTGCTTTTTCCTGGAAATAAATTATTCCTTACACTATGGATTGATTAAATTTGAAGGAATGAGGCAATTGAGTTCATTTAGCTGAATTTAAGAGTCACGGAATGCTGATCAAAAACTGAAAAACGTAGAAAATTGAAGTTTGCAACTTCTCAAAACCCATTCAAAGCAAATTGACTGCACCCAAAAATGATAATAAATTTCAAAATAACGCTTAAAAGAGGGTCGAAGTTTTTTTCCTAATGACTACACTGCGAATGCACCATTTTTGGAGAATATCACACATTATCTGCTATCACAGCATATTATTTGCCCGAATTTATCAAAATTAATTTGCCGGATAGATGAAGGAGCTTACCTGCAGGATTTTTCAATCCAGCCGAAAGACCGTCTAGAAAAGCCTGCCTTGATGATGTTACTGATTTGTCGACCCAAACTTTCGCTTGAGTATGTCCAGCATTCACCCACGTTTCGTCCAAATAGTAAATTTTTCTTTTTTCATCGCGAAACTTCCGAATCTTCCTAAGGTATTCCCTTCTCCACACAACAATTTCTTCTTTCTCTATTAACATACTGTTTCTTCCCCGTTTCAAGAATCGAAAATTAAGTTCCTTCAAAAGTTTTCGGAATGTGGTTCTTTTAAATGATGGAAGATCCTCATCAGCATTAACTAATCTTAATATCTTATCTACTGTAGGTATCTCATTTCGGAAGAAAAAATTATGCACTTTCCTCCTGATGGCAGTTCTGTCAAAGTCATCTACTCCGTCCGTTATCCTTTTTCTTGCAGGATACGGTTTTGGCTCAGAAAGTGAGTGAGTGCTCCTATATTCCTTAATGATCCTATAAACACTGGACCGACATACTCCAGAAATATGTGCTACCTTACATATAACTTCGTCCACGACCAAATCGGGTTTTTCTTGAATTTGGTTTTTGTATATATTTAATATTATTTGTTTTTCATTTGCACTTAAATGTAGCTTCTTAGCCCTTTTTTTGGGTGGGGTTGCGCTGATGTCAACCACTTCGTCGGCTGTATCTGTGTCAGACATCGTATCTTAGGCAATATATAAACAAAACGTTCCACTCGCGAAAAACGAGTATACGCTACTGAATGCGTAATGCGTATGCAATGCAATCCTGTGCGTGAATTAACTGTTAGATGCCTGTCGTGTCATCTACAATCACGTTTACAAGTCCAAACCTGTGCAGATTCGTAGAGCGCCGACGACTACTAGTGACCTTGAATTTGTCTGTAGATCGATGTTACTCCAGTCAATTTAGGTTCAAAGTGGATGTTTTCTAAACCAATTTGTTGTTCCTACATCAAAAATATATCGATGATGTTTTGTACTGGGAGCTCATGAAAGATCAAGGTAACTTATTTTAACAGTCATCCTTTTTCTAGTCTCAAGATGACACGAAAAAGGGTCTGTGGATTCACTAGAAATACACTGCCGAGGATGTTTAGACCTAAAGTGACTGGAGTATATCCGTGGATGCTTTCGAGGGATCTGTTCACGTGCTGATCACTGTTTACGTTTAATGTCTTTCTTCAGCGCCCAGAGTATAACATGTACTTTGATGCTACAAAGAACCGTCAGTCATAAAAGATCTAACACCAATCAAGTGCATGTTAAATTTATGTCTTAAAACTACTGTGTTAAAATATTCTTCATTCAAAACATCTTGTGTTATTCAAAATTTTGAACTGCAAGCCCTTTAATCGTGACAATATTCTGAATATTAATAGGTGAAGAATCGAAGTACAAGTCGACAGAATTAAATATTCACGCGCCTATTGTGAAAGGCTGGCAATCGGTAAAAGACTGTGAATACCCTCAGGAGATCATACTGCAGTTGGAAAAACGATGTATCCTTAGCAAAGTCCAGCTTCTGGCACACCAGTTTTTGATCCGTAAGTATACACACTCATGCTAGGTTTTAATTATTCTACGTCTTTAGTCTCTGGTTTCTTCAAACAATATACAAGTGTGGTCCGATAAGTACTAAGCCTACAAAACAAAAACAAAAATCTTGGAAAATTGGCGAGTTATTTATCAACATAGTCTTCTTTTAGATCGATACATTTGACCCAGCGATGCTCGAATTTCTTTAACCCATCTGAAGTAGGCCTCCGTGACGGCGATAACCCTCACATTTGACTGAAATTTCTGCCCATCGAGTGCCTTTTTCAAGTTTGGAAACAAGAAGAAGTCGCACGGGGCTAAATCTGGAGAATACTGTGGATGGGGCAGCAGTTCGTAGCCTAATTTGATGAATTTGGCCGAGGGGAGGCGGGGTGTGAACCGCATGGGTATCATGTAAAAGACCTATAAAACGTCAGAAAAAAAAACCTATAAGATGTCATCTTGCAAACTAGGTAGTTTTTAGGGCGCGAACAGTCATTCCATGTTTGCCCACTAGGATCGTTGTGAACGTTCATCTAAGGAGGAATCAGTCAACTAAACTACACGCATTATTGGTTGCATATGTTTTGTGAAGCCAAATGGTACTTGTCTGTAGTTTTTATCTCCGAGAATAAAGTTGGTTGAATAGCAAGATCGCGCCTGGATGATTTATGTGTATTGGTCTGAATGTGTATAAAATCATTGATATTTGCTGTGTGAGGAAATCATTACTGAATATGTTATAAAGTTATAAATTACGAAAAACTGAGGAGAATTACGGGAAATCATCACCGCGCCCGCGTTGTGTGTAATTACTATTAGCATGTATACAGGGTGACTTTGAAGTTGAGTCATTAATTTTCAGATAATGATTGTAGAAGGAAGATAAACCAAAATATGTGTGTAAAAATAAAAAAAAATTAAAAAAAAATTTTTACCTTGTTTTATAAAGTATCCTCCCGACAAGTATTTCAGTGCGGACCTGTATTTGATCGTGAGGTCTTGGAGCACCGGTATGCCGTCCATATGTGAGGTCTTAAGTCAAATGATTCACGAACCCATTGTACTACATTAACAAAGGCACGAGGGGTTGGTTGCACTCGATTGGGAAACCGATCCGCATAAACATGTGCCATTTTTTATTTCGTTTGAGCCACGCAACAGACACCACTATTCACTCACGCGTTACCGACTGACACTGACTGTATATAACTGAATAAAATAATTGTAAAAACATCGTTCCAAATTCTTTCGCTTTTTTGTTTCCGATGCGATGAACCGATAAGGCGGATTATATCCGTTGTTGCCAAACACGAGCACATAATATTATTATTGAGACAGGGCGGTACTCAAACTTCCAAACGGCTATAACTTTATTACTTTAATTTTACCAGAAAAATGGTAAAGGAAAAAACATTTCTTTTGATCAGATCTACTCACTGTCAAAATAAATGACTCAACTTCGAAGTCTGGCTTGTAATTCGACAGTGTACAGTGAATTTAATTATTTATTATCACTCTCGTTTTTGAAATTAAGCAAGTTTGTATATGTAATTTCCAGAATGGATAAGAAAAAGTGGATGCGCAACTAATTTCTAGCTTTGAATCTCAATTAAACGTGAGACAAGAACCCAATGTAATTATCATCAACACATACAACTTACAAGTTAGACCTCTAGTAATGCCATCTCAGAAGCAGATTTTACATCACATCAGAGCCAAAGATTGATAACAAGCCCCATGACGTTTAGGCAACACGTACAACTAAGTACTAAGATAACTTCTTGTAGAAAAACCTACACAATGTCAAAAAAAAACAGCAAAATGTCAAAAAAAATCGGCATAATGTCACTTTTCAAGATACGTGATACCCGTGCCGGTGCGTTGTTATATTGGAAGAGCACTTTTCTCTTCCCCAAATGGTTCCGTTTTTTTTTGCAATGCGATTTCGAATCGGCCCAATAATACGTCATAGTAGAGCTCTGTGACCGATTTGCTCTTCTCCAAGATGCCTACTGTCTCAGCTATCTCGCGCAGCTTCAATCGGAGGTCTGCCAAGACGAAATCGTGGATTTTTGTCCGTTATCCTCCGTGGTAGCTCGTACCCATCGAAGGAGAAGAATCACCGTACACAGCCTCCAAGCGCTTTAATTTCGCTGCGCGATTTCCCGTGCAAAAACAAGAATCGAATCTCCGACCGATATTGATCTTTTCCCATTTTTATAAAATCCGCGGACACTCTCGCTTCCACACGCGGTCAATACAAAACTACGAGAACGATTCGGCTGAAATTTTGACAGTAGCCGCTTACGGAAATGTACCACACGATAAAGAATTTGTTTTGTGATTGTGGCGCCATTGGGGGGTGAGGCTAAATACTTATCGGACCGCCCTCGTATTACTAGCATGTAGAATAAGTGACTCCCCGCTATAAGCGAAAATACAGAACAGAAAACATTATTTGCTATTTGAATGTTTACTAGGAAAAATGATATTTTAAAAACTTTACCATTGCATATTCGAAACGTTGGCGAATAAAATTGTCAAAGCCAATCAATCATATTTGGAGTTTTTGTGGTTATAGTAATGATTTACAATGTCTGGTCAAGTTACATATATTTCAGATTCACTATGACCAAGCCACTTCAAAGTACTAGTGTTCTAGCATCTCACTTTTTTATGTTTCTTGAATCTTACAATTTCAAAATATACAAACTGAAATGATCGTCATTAATTTCAGCATCAAAAGTAGAACTATTCGTTAACAATGAAGATACTAACACGGTGGAAGATGTGGCTAACCTTTGCTGGGATTATTTGGGATACATCACTCTGTCTACCAATGAAAGCACCGGATTCAAGAGCAGGGAGTTGAAGTCCGCCAATGTGCCCAAAACTGAAGTAACCTACGTCAAGATCAATTTACACAACAACCATGTGAACGTTCACAACGTTTTCAAACAAGTACGATATCTTGCATGCTATACAGGGTGGTCCAGAAAGACGTGCCAATATTTTTAGGGTAGAAAGCACAACCAAAAATATCAAAAAAAGTTCTTATAAATATGGGTCCAAAGACGCTCTTCTTCCGTGATACAGGCTCATGTAGTTTTATTTACGAAATTTAAAAAATATACAGGGTGTAAACGTTATGGTAGTCATTATTGAAATGGGTAATAGGGGGGTTAAAACAAGTCAAAAAGTTCATATGACACATGGTCCAATAGTCAATAGATTTTTGTCTAAATGGCTTTATAGTTTACAACTTTAAGTTTTTTTTTATACTCCAACTACCACGAAGGCCTAAGGCCTAAACACCCATTGGGTACCGTGGGGCTATAGGAGGATACAGGGGAAAGGGGGGGGTGCTTTATATCGACCACAATCAACTTAATTTTTATAATCTAATCTAAAACGTTTTTAAATTGGGTAATTAACAAATAAATGACATTAAGTTTTTCTAAGTTGAGCCAAGATTTGTAGTCAGTAAGTAAGTATGTTTCATTAAATTGAATATTTGAAACATACCTGACAACAGCGCCTCGTCATCACTCTTATCGAACCGGCAATTGATCGCAAACGGTAACAGTGGTTAGTTATCGAGCATCGGCTGTGCTGTTTTGCTTTTGTTCGCGTACGTCGTCGTGTTTATTTACAATGTTCTCGGATCAAGAGTTCGCCGACATGTTGTTAGTTTACGGTGAAGCTCGTCAGAATTCAAATCTTGCAGCTCAAATTTATCGCGACAGATTTCGCCAACGGATACACCCAGACAGAAGGACATTTGTGCAAGTGTACCAAAGACTTCGAGATACAGCAAGTGTTCAGCCCACTAATATTCGCACTCGTGTAAGACAGATTACTGTAGAGCAGGTGGAACGAATTTTAAATATCGTGGAAATCAATGCAGATATCAGCACTCGGGAATTAGGCCGCCGCGTAGGACTATCGCATACCATAGTCCATAGAATCCTACGGGAAAATTTGCTTTATCTCTACCATGTACAACGAGTGCAGGCCTTGTTACGAGAAGACTATCCTCGCAGACTAACATTATGTCAGTGGTTTTTGCACAAAAACATTGATAAATCCGGATTGTTTTAAAAACATTCTGCAGTATATTCAGATAAGAGATAGACCGGACATAAACAAGACCACGTGATCATCGAACGCTGTAACATTCGGCAGGGACGTATTAAGAGTCACGCAGTACATATTTTAGATAGTAGATGCTGCTTTGCGTAACTTTGTAGTAAATTAGCACAATTCGATGTGTATACGATTGGTGATGGATATAGGATCATGTGGGGGTGGGGTAAGAAATATATAATGATGTAAATATACATAAGGGTTTCAAAATTTTCGCTTCGATTTCCAGCTTCGGATGCCGCCTGATGTTTGGTGAAATACAGTCGAATATAATCTCAAAATGGCGTTTAAATTAGCCTAAATTAAAAATAATCGTATATCTCTTAAAATTGCTTTTAGAATATTGATTAGTATATTTTTTGATTTCTAGGTAAATATGTAACCAAATTAAAACGTTCAAAACGTAAAAAATGTGCATGGTTGAACATTGTCAGAAAGTAGATTCTTGAATAGGTTTTGCCAAAATGGGTTCAAAAATGTCAATAATTAATTAAAAAATACAGTAGCTTTACAATTACTTATAACTTACCGAATTTGATGAACGACATCTTTTATTGGAAAGATGAGCTTGATGAGCTTTCATCATCGCTACTGCCTGAAGCACCAACGTCAATATTGAATGGCTCGACTTGTTCCTCTAAAATATTGTCCAGTTCCCACATTCTCTTTTCAACTTTGTCTTTCACGTGCTTAATACAGTTTTCCCATTTTTGCGCTGTTATTAATTCTAGTGCTTCTTTGAAAAGTCCTTTGAGGTCACAAAATTTAAAAGTTGTATTGTGCTTAGCTATATAATTTTTAACCTCTGCCCATATGAGCTCAATGGGATTGAGTATTGGTATGGAGGTAAACGGAGCACAGTTTTATTTTGACTTGCTGCCATTTCGTCAATGGCGTATTTTTGATATTCCGCCTTGTGATCCTTGACAATTCTTAATAATTGTACTTTCAGCATTGCTTCTTCAAAGTTGATATTTTTCGAGCGGAGCCAATTTTGAACATCAACTTTCCTTGAAGCCGTTGTTGAGACCTTCTCCATTCTTCGAGAATGATAAGGCGCATTACCCAACACAATTACTGCGTTTTCTCTAAGTTCGGTAAAATTTTTGAAAACCACTGTTCAAACGATTCGCCATTCATTTCCTCGTGGTAATCTCCAGTTTTCTTAGACTCAAAGCACCACAGACCGTCAACAACAAATCCATCCTCACTGCCAATATGGCAGATAATGAGCCTTTTCCCTTTACCTGGAAATCGAAGTACTAACTGGTGAAAAGGAGTGATTTTTTTTTGTATTGTCTTAACACATTAAACACTGATGCGCGACACACCCCAACTTTGTGAGAAACCTTCACAACAATTTCTTTGATGGTTGATGCCTCGTTCTCCTCGCGCTCGATCTTGTATATTTTCAAAATGACCTCTTTCATTTCTGCACTCAGGTGTCTTTTTTTAGAGCGTTTCCTAGGTGGACTACAGGAGTTTACAACTTCATCGGCAGTATCTGTACTACTGGGCATTTTGCGCAAGCAGTTGATAACAATAACAATCAATAACAAGGTATAACAATAACAACGACACACTCAACAACTTAATAATATAACAAACGAAAACGTCCAAAGAAATATCAAATTGCAATGATGCACACGACATACGTAACACGTCTGAACCTGAATGTGACTCTGCCTTGATACGACTGCTCTGCCGCTCGGCATAGGCATTTAATTGCGAATTGACCAATGAGGGCTCCTGTTTTACGTCGAGATGGTGGCGTTAGCGTGAAAATCACCCGAACCTTTTGTTTACATCCGGTCTATCTCTTATCTGAATATACTGTAGCGACGGACGAATGTACTTTTACGCGAAACGGGATATTAAATTTTATAATATCCACACGTGGGCCCAAGAAAATCCTCATACCATTCGTGAAGGTCATTTCCAACAACGATTTAAAATAAATATTTGGAGGGTATTCTTGACGATCAGTTAATTGGTCCTTTCGAGTTACCCCCAAAGTTGTAAGGAGAAGGATACCTTAGCTTTCTAGCCAATAACCTACCAGAACTTTTGGAACAGACCTTAGACAACATGACATTACAACGGAGACAGAAGAGTAAGAGTAAGAAGAAACTGGGTTCGTCGTAATGAAGCTTGTGTGGAAAGTGGAGGACGACATTTTGAACACCTTATTTAAATACACAAAAAGTGCAGTGTGGGTTTTAAAAAGAAAAACAACGTATGTATCAAAATTGTGTTCCCTATTTATAAGTGGATTTTTTTAATACGTTCAATAAACTTTCACACACCAGGTGAAGCGCTGAGACAGTTAGTGGTAAGTCAGTTTTTTTAATTGTTTGCATTTTGCGAGTACATTATCAAATAATGAAATAATACCTAAGAGCCAAAAATAACAAACTCCATCTTTATTTACAATGCGTTCCGTCGTAATTTGCGTCTTTCATTGCGGCGATGTCAGATTTCATTTTACTTTAAAGTCGCTTTTCTCCAAAAAAATGCCGTTTTGACCCCCATGTTTTGCTTCTTTAACACGCGCTATCACCCATTTAAATAATGACTATTATAACGTTTACACCCTGTATATCTTCGGAGCGTACACAGTACACAGTATCTTTACCCGCTAGGGTTATAATTTTAGACGTTCAGTGACTACAGCAGCAGCAATAAGCACACATAGTGTTCAGGCCCAAACCCCTAAAAGGAAATATTTTCTACGCCACTGGCCTTTTTTGAGAAAAAGGTGCACAAAATTCAAAAACTCCAACATATAGTGGCTAAAAAGTGCCAATGGAGAGGTTTGATTTTTTTTAGTATTCCTCAAAATAAAGTCAGAAAAAAATAAAAATAATTTGGTCAAATTTTTGTTTTTCCCATATATCTTAGTAAGCTATGAAAGTTTTATATTTTTCTCAACGGCATGTAGATACGCCCCAACGAACGCAACTTTTTTAATTTAACCTAAACTGCATCTCCCACAGGTACAGAGATCCCCTTATCTAGGATTCGTACCTTGGTCACCCTGTATACCTATATACAATATATTAGAGTTTTCCCAACAATGATTAATAGTTTCGTAGCTCATGAACATCGTCGTCAAGATTGACAATCTCAGATAGTCAAAAATTCGTTGTTTAAATCTGCTAGTCTTGTGTTTCGGTCTGTAAGTCTTTTCTGCTCTGGAGTGCCACATATGTCGACAAAGTCCGTAATAAAATATACTAAGTGACATATAAAATGCAACACCTAGAATTGTTTATTGAATTTTGATAAAAACTTGTTTCATTGTTGTTTCATTGAATTATCATGCGACAAGTTCGAGTTAAAATTTTAGTAACTTCCTATTTATCAGTAGACTTAAAGCTTGTAAAATTATGATCGAAATTACAGCACTCCTGGTCGGTGTTGCATTTTCTATGTCATTTAGTATATAAATGCTATACTGCTCGTACTTCCCAGCATCTCTTTAACTGCATATATGTGGTTTAATTATTAGTCAGTTAACGCACGATAAATAATCAATGTATGAAGAATCTTGTTCGGAGTTTGTAAAAGTGTACGAAAACAGACGCAGACAAAGAAGAATTTGGACTTGAACCAAGAGCATGAATGGATTCTCAATTTGAACAGTTGCTTCTTGGTTTGACCACGCATCGACTTCGCTTAATATAAGACTGTATCATTGCATAGGCATCATTATTCATCTTTATTATACAGGATGTCCGAGAAGCTACATTTTGAATCGGCTTGAAATACACTTTTTCTTTTACAGTTCCCCAGTAAAAAAAATCTAACGGATTCAAATCTGGTGACCGGGCTGGCCACGGTATTGTACCAGACCGCCCTATCCATCCTGCTGAAACCACATGTCCCAGTAAATACTCAGTGGCACGTCCTCCAATAAATTTTCTAAATGATTTTGCAAAAAACCTAAATAAACCTCAGCAGTCAAAGTCTCTGGGAACTCAAACGGACCGATTATTTTACCATTTAAAATTCCTGTCCAATGGTTTATCTTGAAGCGATATTGAGATTTATCTTCTCTCATCAAATGTGGGTTTGCTACGTGCCACTGGTGTAAATTATGCAGGTTCATGTACCCATCTTTCTTAAATGTGGTCTCATCTGACCATAAAATTTTTTCAAAGAACCGTGGATCTTCCCTGTGTCTTTCTAACATTGTGCGACAAAAAGCAACTCGGGGCTCCTAATCCCGGGGCAGAAGAGCTTGAACACGCTGTACGTAGTATGGATGGAGCACGTTTTTTTGCAAGATTCTATGAGCTGTACTTTTGGGCACACCTGTTTTTAGTTCTATTGCACGCACTGAAGTACTCGGGTCTTCTTCGACAGCTCCTAGCACCACGTCTTCGTAAGGAAGGCAAGATCTTCCCTCACCGTGTGATTGGTTTGGTAGTTGGCCCTCTGAGAACAGTAAGCGGTGCACATTTGTGAACACTCAATGATCTGGATGACGAGCTGCATTCGGGTACCTCTCACAGTAAAGTCTCGCTGCAGCACTAGCGTTGCATCTGCATTTCCCATAAATGAGGTGCATGTTAGCATATTCTTGTACGGTGTACACGGACATAGCGGCACTGCACAATCACACTATCAAAGATAGTCTAAGGAAAGCAAATGTTGTTTTGAAGAGCAATTAAACAGTCCAAATCCAAATCACAAGCGATCAACAGTCCAGTTCACGAATCCAAAATTAGTAACAGTACGAAATCAACAAGCACGAACATGTAAAGATGCGCAGTAAACGAAGGAGTACTGATCGGTATCAAAGTGTGCAATAGCAAGTAAGTGATGTGCTTCATCCATACCACATACAGCGTGTTCAACCTCTCCTGCCCCGGGATTATGAGCCCCGAGTTGTTTTTTGTCGCACAATGTTAGAAAGACATAGGAAAGATCCACAGTTCTTTGAAAAAATTTTATGGTCGGATGAGACCACATTTAAGAAAGATGGGTCCATGAACCTGCATAACTTATACGAGTGGCACGTAGCAAACCCACATTTGATGAGAGAAGATAAGTCTCAATATCGCTTCAAGATAAACCATTGGACAGGAATTTTAAATGGTAAAATAATCGGTCCGTTTGAGTTCCCAGAGACATTGACTGCTGAAGTTTATTTGGATTTTTTGAAAAATCATGTACAAAATTTATTGGTGGACGTGTCACTGAGTATTTACAGGGACATGTGGTTTCAGCATGATGGCTGTCCAGCGCACTATGCACTCTCAGTGAGAGAGTATCTCGATCAAAACTTTCCAGGCAGATGGATAAGGCGGTCTGGTACAATACCGTGGCCAGTCCGATCACCTGATTTGAATCCTTTAGATTTTTTACTGGGGAACTGTAAAAGAAAAAGTGTATTTCAAGCCGATTCAAAATGTAGCTGAGCTACGGCAAAGACTATTGGAAGCAGCTGAGTTTGTTAATAACCGTGGATTCGCTAGTTTAATAACCCGATTATTTTTTAAGAAGATGTCGAGCGTGTATTGCGGCTGAAGGAAAACAGTTTGAGCATTTGCTGTAAAGGTAAATCATCATCAGCAGCATTTTGACGCCCACTGTTGTGCAAACAGTTATCCTTAAGGGTCCTTGTGCGTTTTCATAATCGCTGTTTAATTAGGAAATTTTGAAAAATTTTCATCAGTTTTTTTTTCAAATAAAAATTGTGCATAAGTTAACGAGTAATCTAAGTGTTATACCATTTTGGAATCGTTATTAAATGCGCCAACTTTTAAGGTTACTTGCCAAACTCTCGTAGTACATTTTTTCCAGTACAGCCAGTTAAAGTTGAGCAAAGTTTTACTTTGGAATACTTGGTTGGGAAAAAAGTGGCAATTTTTCCTGAACGAGAAAAGTTGGCAGTAAGGTTGAGACACCAGTTTGAAGATGCATTATTCATCATTACATTGTAAAAATAAAATCCAAAAAAAGTTAATATTTGTAGTAACAGGAGTTGACAGACTGCCGTAGGGTGTGAAATTTCTATATCTTTTTCAAAGACCTATAATTTTCAAAACACATACATAAAATTTTTTTAAATATTTTTCTGATAGCTGTTATGACTTTGCCTATCACCCGGTTTCGGCTTGACGTCGACTTCTGGGACACCCTGTATATAATCATATTTGTACATTGCTTTTTTCTTCGTTAGAATCCAGTTCACCAATCACCTTTGCATTTTCTTTGTAGGTTAGTATCATTGCAGTTAACATTCTTGGTATGGACATAGAAACTAGAAGATCATCCGTTAGCGAAGAAAGCGAAGCTAGCAAATTAAACGATATTATGAATAGTCCAGAGTATTTTTCGCCTTATGACGATTTAGCGTTTATTATGTATGTTGATAGCGACATTGCCAAAATTATTAGGGATATGGAAATCAAAAAGCATTTAGCTGTGATAAGTAAGTTGAAATTGGTTAAGTCAAGTTTAGTTATTGCATGCAGTAGCTTGCTTCATTCAATTGTAAGAATTTGCACTTGGGCAGACTAAAAGCTGTTTGCCCTGGCATGCGCTACGGTTTTCAGTGTTATGTAGATAGATAAACATGCTTTACAAATAAAGGCCTGCATGCAGCATTAGGATTGCTTTTGGTTACTCTGAGTGACAAAAAGGTAAACAATTACGTATGTTTTTTAGAATTTAAGAATTTTTTACATACGGATTTATCTTGCCATGCACAACAAGTGATAAAATGGTCAGGTTTTTTTGTGGCTGCGTGTATTGTTTGGTGTGAAAGAAGCATGCAGTCTTAGTACATTCACGGTGTCAGTTAAATGTTAAATTTCGTGTAGTTTATTGAGAAGCATTTTTGCCTTAGCCTTCATGGATCAACAACGCATTCAACCGTTTACCTTGTCCACCACGATCTCCAATTGAACATGTCTGGAACATGATAGCTCAAAAGTTTGTTGAATTTGCAACACCCTCCACATACTTTAGCAGCTCTTAATCACGAAGTTGCAATGTGTGTATAAGAAATCGTGGATCCTCAACACATTATTGAACCAGCTTCTGCAGTCAATTGACGAATCAAGCTGTAAATTTAATCATTTTACTAGTAAGGAACACTGAACATAGTATATGCCAAAAATTATTAAAATCGGATAAAGATACATAGATGTTTACCATTTTTTTTGACTCAGTATACAGGGTAAATAGGTGTAAAACATTTTAGGAGGTGATAGTACAGCCCCTTTGCTATCGAAATTAATATATAATACCATACCCTATATTCAGAGGTTGAAAAGTTATTGAAGATTTAAGATTTTGTTAGAAACAATCCATATTTCAGAGTAAAAAAGTCGAGAGAGAAAAAAGTTGGCGATTAAGCATTTGTTTTTTGTGGTTTTGGGTTATTATTTCAATAATTAACTATTATAAATTAAAAAAGATTCGAAAACAATACCAAACAACGTATTTATTTTCATTCAAAAATGTTTAACTAAGAAAAACAAATAACGTTTTACAGTAAGTAAGGTGTTTTACAAAAAAATCAGTATACAAAAAAACGTACAAACAATTTAAATAATATCCTTGTTTCATAAGGAACCTAAATTGGTATGATAAGTGCATAAAAACTGTGTGAAACTAAACATAATGTATTGTAATACAACAATAGGGAGTAAATTTACCAATGACTTGTCTTTTCACAACTCTCTGATTGATAAGAAAGTGTTTTTGTGAAAATAATGTAACTGTAAGCTATCGGATAGTTATTATTTTAAACTACGGTTAAGTTACACGATTAGATTATTTACACAGTTGTAATTGTACTACAGAATAATAAAAACTGACTAAAAGTTACTACAATTGGTAAGTAAAATACAATAATGAAATGAAGGTAAAATTCATTGCAATTGTTGTTCGAACTGACGCCCGCCGTTTCTTATGCAAGCCCGTAGTCTTTTTCTCATGTTGGTACGCGTGATGCGGCCAGTTAGTTGTCCTCTGATAGTGCCAGCAGCAGCAATAATTCTTTCTTTCAACATGTGCCCCCATAAATAATAGTCACACGGTGTTAAATCTGAGCTCCTCGCTGGCCACGGTGTCGGTCCACCTCGACCAATCCAGCGACAAGGATATTTCTCGTCCAGTCACTGTCTAACACCCAGACGGAAATGCGCGGGACAGCCATCGTGTTGGTAGATCATCTGCATCCTGATATTCAGAGGCAGGTCTTCGAGATACTCCCAGAGTTCGGATCTCAAAAAGTTTTCATAGGATTCGCCATTCGGGTTGTCAGGCAAAAAAACTGGTCCAATTAGATACGTATGAATGATTCCCATCCACACGTTTGCCGAAAATCTTCTTTGATGGGCTCTTGGCTTTGCCATGTGGGGATTTGCCTCTCGTGGGGCCCAATAATGTAAGTTGTGATAATTTGTTGTCCCCTCTCTGTCAAACTTAGACTCGTCGGTCCACAATATTTAAGTTAAATAGTCGTTTTCTTTCTTGATCCCGATGAAGCATGTATCGACAAAAATCAATTCTTCTTGCGGGATCTCCTTCTTCTAATACTTGAACCGGTGTGTAATGGAAAGGGTCGCCGAATGCAAAACGAACCAAACTTTCCACTGAGTTAAACCAAGCTGCTTTGCTATAACTCGTGTAGACGTCGTCGGGTCTCTGCCGTAGCATTCCAGTATTGCCTCTCGATCTTCGTCGTCAAACAACCGAGGTCTACCAGCATCATGACGTCTCTCATGAACCTGTCCACTTTCCTTGACGCGTTGGTACACAGAAGCAAATACTCGATGACTCGGTATTCGCCGATTCGGAAAACGGTTTTCGTATTCTCGCCTGGCTTCAACGGAATTTCCATCACTTAAACCATAACAAAACAGAATATCAGCGTATTCTTCGTTACGGTAACTCGCCATTATTAAAACTGATAAAATAAGTAAAAGTACGTCCTACCGCGTTAAAGGTTGATATTCTACTAACTAACCTAAGCGTTAGTTCCCTTTCCTTGATCCGTCAGCTGTGTCAATTCATAACACACGCAGAGCTTGCTTCCGAGGAGCGACGACAGATTCCGAATACTTAAACCCGAATAACGGCACAGGGCACAAAAAATAACAAAAAGGGTCGAACCATGAAAGGCTTGGTTTACCTGCTCAGTACAATGAAATGCGCTTAGCGGTCCTTTCTAGCAAAGTAATATTGTTTTGTTAAATGGTTTACTTACTGATATGTTATACTATTTTAGAAACCTAATGAAACGAGGAAGTTTTTGCAGTTATTTGTACATTTTCTTTATTATGATTTTTTTGAAAAAAAAGACTTCTTAATGTGAAAGTTGAAAATAAAAATTTTCATTTAACATTTACATGAAAATAAATACGTTTTCAGTAGTATTTTTATATGTTTTTAAATTTATAAGAATTATTTATTTAAATAATAACCTGAAACCACCAAAAAAAGAATGTTTAATCACCAACTTTTTTTTATCTCAACTATTTTACTCTGTAATCTGGGTTGTTTAAAAAAAAAATTAAATCTTCCATAACTTTTTAACCTTTGAATATAGGGTTTGGTATTATATACTAATTTTGATAGCAAAGGAGCTGTACTATCACCTCCTAAAATACATATTTTACACCTATTTACCTGTCACCCTGTATATACTAATAGTTCGTTTTTGTAGAATAAGCACTTATTTGTAAACCGTTTTGGGAACAGACACATAAAAAGGGAATACTGCATCTCAATCTATTTTCAAATAAGGCAAAGTAACTGCTTAAGGATGTAGGAGTACGTTATAACTAATTGTTCTTATAATAAAGGAAACCTTTGCTAGTCGAGTAAGCAATTTTTCTACATGATTGGTAAAATCTAATTTATGATCAATGGCCAGTCCCAAAAATTTTATGGTGCCTGCTTTGCGTATCAATTCATTATTATAATTTATAAAATTTAGGGAGCATTTGGAAGTTATACATTTTCTCTTATTAACATTGAAAGTCAAGTAATTGTTGTCACACCATTTTTTGATTGATTGTATATCTTTATCAATTATTGTCTTAATTTCATTTATATCTGTGTCTTTCCAAAGTATTGTGGTATCATCAGCAAAAACTACGAATTTACCATGTATGTTTAAGTTTATTAAATCATTAATATACACTATCATTTGAATGTGTTTTAAACCAATCGAGCGAAGTTCCAGTACGACCACATTGGTTTAATTTTTTGAATATCATATGATTTACACGAAATAAAGACTGACGATATTTATTATCTAAGCACATTTTTAGATGAGAGATTCGAGTATGCTAGAAAATTGAAGAATGCCATGTCAAAACTGCGAACCGCTGGTGAGAAATTAGTGAAGTATGAATTAGAGAAAAGGCATGCAATCGAGTTGGAGGATTACGAACGAGCCAGTTTCAAAAAAACTCAAATGGAACAGTTTAGGAACGAAGTATATGAGGAAGTTTGCCTTGAACAACTTATGGAACAACATGGGGTAAAGATTTCATATTATTTATATTCAATATTACACCTTCACCATGCTGCTACGAGCTTAGCATATACGAGGTCTGTAAATTAAGTAATGTGACTGGCAACATAGCGTTCGATCTGGCAACACTGGAGGCGCCGGGCTTAGGACTGGAGACAGGGGACTGTTTTGCGAATAACATAAATTACTGTAATTATTGTCAAATAAAATACGGCAATGGAAACTTTTAAAGTTGCATGATAACTCAATCATTGTATTTATATGATCTGTTTTATCAGCCCGAAATTCCCTACAGTTCAAAAAGAAACATAACCTCGCAATTTGAAAGCACTGACGCTGACATGGAACAGTAGAAAGCTGAAAATACCCCAGCCTTTCTGAAGGAGAGAAAATACTGTGCAAATCAAGGAGGCCATAGAGGCGTCTTACAATAATTGTAGGAACGACTGCATGACGAAACGGCCCTAAATATTGAAATAGTTTAAAATAATTTTCTTGCAAGTTTTGAACTGACTCAAAAGCATCGCCTTGCGTGAAACATACCTTACATTCGTTTCCAGGTTTGTCCGAAAAATGACGAATCTTCAATCGACGACATCGATAGCAACAATCAAAATAAGAATCTTCTCTCTCCCGTCCTTTCCAAAAACCCGTCCGATAGCCGCAGGGTATCTTCACCTAATCAAACATCTCCAGCACATCTACCGCGCCATCATAGTCCCAAAACTGGCTCGCCAAGCACCGGAAGTCCCACCAATATCCAAACGTCTAGATCGGGCTCTTTTAGGAGAAGAAATAAATCCGTGGGAGCTATTGTTAAAAGTACTTATGAAATGTACGAGGAGAAACCCTTGCCAGCTCTTAGACAGTAAGTATTCTCTTCTAAGGCGACATTATTTCTTTTCAACTTCCTGTTTGTAGTAGTATTCTAAATCCTTATCATCTGATAATTTCATGGTGTGTATAGAGATGACTGAAAAAAAATGTTTAATTTTTTTTGTCAAAAAACGGATTTTTTGTACATTCTTTCTTCAATCGGAACTTGATAACAAATATAAGTACAGCTCTGAAATTGTGTGTGATTATTCCTCTTTTATGGAAGAACGAAACAAGTGATTCCTTTTGTTCCTATCACTTTTCCTTTTCGAAAAATCTTTGATTTTCTTGAAGCCTCGTCTCGCAGCAAGTTGAGTTTTTAAGAAAACCACAGATTTTTCTGAACATGAACATGAAGTATTTCTCAGAATTTTCAAATGGAAAACTCCGTATATTTTCGCACTCCTGTTTCAGCTCACAAACAAATGAGTTTCTCAGAGAATGCCAGCTAGAACCCGAATACAAAGTCACCTCAAAATTAACAGAAAGAGAAAAGAAGCAGGCTGCATTACCGATTCTCGTTTTCGGGAATGATCTGGTAGAAAAATTCTACTCGAAGCATTATTGTGATAAAGAAGACGGCTTAAATAGACTCAAAGATGAACTGTTAGCCTATGATAGCTCTAAAATGCATGCACCAAATAAGACTGCTAGAGCGGCTATATTTCTACTACATCGCTCTTTAAGAGATAAAGTTTTTTCTGTGTATAGTTTGGCTAATGAAGTCATCAGATTGTTTTTTGTACAGTTTGTTCCTGGAAGGTAGGTATCTCTTATGCTTATTAATCGAAAATGACATCTGTCACTTCTCGAGTCTCTCTATGGCACTTCGCCAACTGCAATATACCCAACGAACAATTATCACTCCTATTAGAGTTGCAAGAATGATTATACAGTATTCCTTAAACAGCATTGTATACTGTAAGAACATTGGCAAAGCCCTCTTAGAACTGCTATACAAGCGGAATAGGCACACCTAATAGGACACTTCAGTCATTTAAGAGGTTGTATAAGGGTTGCAGGTAACAGTTATACAACAAAAGTGTAAGCGTCTTGCAGCCGCTATAGGAAATTTGCGTCAGTGCAAGATTCAGTTTTTGTCAACTATACAACTATTCTGTTACGTGATTCTACTTTATTGCAACCAAACTATTTCTCATGTATTGTATAGACGAAGAAGAATATATAACTAATACATTACAGTCATCTTGTTTACTTACATATCGGCCATTGTGAATTTCATACACAGGTATATGATAAACTTCTACACTGTGATATAGGGCTATTGAATTACTTGCGCAGCAAATTTTATTGTGATTATCGTGCAAATTAATTACGCAATTTCTACGGGTTTCATATTTGATTCATATTTTGATAATGATCAAAAGTATATCTAGATTTTTAAGATGGAAAACTGAACTTATCTGCGTTAAATCTTCCACAAATCCTATATTTAAACACAATTACACTAATGTTTACCACTTTATATCTGTAATTTCGAACTGAAACATAATTATTTAATATTAAATAGAGGAATAAATGTTTGCCCAATATGGCGGGTGGTTGTGTATAATCATGGCATCGTCCATGTTGTCTTTAGTTTATTAGAATATTTTGGTGTTGCCTGCAGGTGTTATACAACAATTTGACATATATGTCTGAAATGAAATACCGACAGAGTCGAATGATTTACCCAGAAGTTGTACCAGACCTATATCTTCTGTTTGAACAGTTGATAAAACATTTTGAACCAATATGCATGCGTTGTTTGTCTTAAAACATTGGTTATGGCATTTTAACAAAAATATGACAGCAGAAAGTTAGGTTATGGTGAAGTTGTATACCAACATATTTAGCATAGGTACAGCCTTTAACAGTTACTAAACAACAGTTGTATAAGTGCTTCCGTTGGGAGCAATTTGTTGGCTAAAGTAGTAAATTGCACAGCAAAACAACAAAGCTCGGGTTTGTTTTATAAACGTTACCATGGATGCCACAACACAACCATTTTGACTAACGTGCAAATATGCCATATAAAATAGTTGTATAAACGTTTATGCAACACTTAAAAATTTGCCCTATAAGGTGTTGTATAACTATGCTACAAGAATATTTTAAACACCTCACTTTAGAGCAAATATGTTGCAGAAAGTAAATTTGCATTCCACACAACATTAAGCCAGCATTTTGTTGTTCAGGCAACAACAATAGAGAGCTTTTATGGCTGATCGGTTCTTTTACCAAAAGTTTATACCACTACTTTGCTAGTTGGCTGCTATAAATAAATTAAACATAAATGCAGGGGTACCTCAAGGATCAGTATTAGGTCCGATCTTATTCTTAGTCGATATCAATGATTTAAGGAGCTTAAACATAAATGGTAAATTCGTAGTTTTTGCTGAAGATATCACAATAGTTTGGCAAGATAAAGATATGAATGAAATTAAGACAAACATTGATAGTGATATACTGACTCAATCTTGTTAAAGATGTCTACGCGGTAGCAGAATGTGTAATACTCTTTTATTCAGACAAGTTACACATGAAAACATATCTGGATTACATAGCTATACTGTGTGTAACTTTTTTTGCTGATACACTAACACATTTAAATGAATTGAAAAATTGATACACAAAACAGACACCATCGAATTTTCGGTGGAATAGCAAGCTCTCGATATGTGGAGTCCGAGAGAGTTAGAATAAGAAGCAGGATTATCAATAAATTGAATTAGACTTTGATACATCAACCTCTGGGCATAGTTCTTACATTCCAAACGTCTTTTTAGAGTTTCGTCGGCTGAAGTTGCTAGGAGTGTAGATAAGCTTTTACCCGAATTATTAACAAAGTCTGGCGACACCAGCCAGAGAATTAATCAAATGGCTGTGCATACTATACTGACTATGGCTGACTGCAAAAGTGTAAGGTAAATATAATTTGCATCTATGCACGTAGAAGATACTTCTAGTCTCACCTAGTGTCACCACTCACAGAGCCGGCTACAGGCGGTAACCTGGGGGGTGCAAAATTCCCAATTAATGTGGGAGGAGGACGCATATTTTATCCTTTACCTCGAGGCACACAAAACTCTGAAGCCGGCCCTGACCTTTTGCAGTCATTGACGATGTTTTTATAGTCAAAATCACGAAAGATGACTATTACGTCATACCATAAATTGTACTGAAGTAATTAATGGACGTACGTCGATGATGAAATCATGATGTCAGGAACATAATGACAACAAATTTGTATTATGATTTTGCGAGGTTAGGTTATTTCACTGATTATTTTTATTTTCATTTTATTTCATGGTTTTGAGTGATACCTTAATAATAATTTTAGTGGGGAGTTTTTATTTTGAAAAAAACAGTTATGAGGAGAATACCTTAAGACAGGAACACCAAAGACCAAAGTATTATCAGAAAACAACCTAACCTGCTTTAACATAACCTAACTATTCATCTTTCAAGTATGACCGATCACGCAACATGAAAACATCATCTATCTTTGTCGGATACATGCAAATTAGCAATACAGTTTGTTTAGACAATAAAATTCTGTTTGTCTCTGTCTAACATATCTGAAACTTCATTAAAAATATTCACAAATCGTTGCAGTTTGTCTTTACTACAGACTAAAATGATTACGTAATCGTCATCTTTCGTGATTTCGACTATATTGTAGCTATACACCATCCGTAGTCCATTAACGTCCTAACAGAACACAACGTACCCAAAAGCGAGATTGTAGAGGTCCGTATTTTCCTCAATGGTCTTGGAATAATCTAACAAAATAAATGATTATTTTTATACAAAGTGCACATACTTTTCACAATCTGTTGTTCGCTGGTTAATATATAAATAGATTATTATAGGTTCAATTTGAATATCGATCGTATTGTCCAGATCTCGCATCTTTATTTCGATAGTCTCTTGAAAGTCACGGATGCAATCTTTAAAATGGTTTGCCGTCACAGCTTCATAAAAAAATGTTCAGGTCAGAAAATTTGAATGTTCTGTTGTTTGAAGCTACATAGCTTTTTATATTTGCCCAAATCATTTAAAACGGTAATATTTTGGTTTTTAACCAATTCGTTAATAACATTAAGATCATATTTATATTTGTGCTGCCTAACTAGATGGATAAGTTCAGCTTTGACCATATTTTCATGAAACTAATATCTTTTGATAGGAGCCTTTGCTGAATAACTGCCGTTCTTGTGGACGTTGTGGGATTTTTTTCTAGTGTAGTATCCAGCATTATCAAGTACAATGAGGGCATTGTCGTCAAGCTTTATCCGTAGACGACATGCTAACGTATAAACACATGCTATGCATGCACCGAATATAAACAGCAATTGCCAGCGTCGGCGTGCCGGCGATACCACGAGCCTGAGTTCTATCTTGTCGAATCCTGCACTTGTTCGTAGTTTTATGGCCGATTGACCAATAGCTATTGCAACGCTTAGGCGGCTGCCGCTTTGCTGCGCCGCATCTTTGTTGTGCCGGGGTGTAAACGCTATACGAATAGGGTATAGATCAGTGATTCCCAAAGTGGTTTAGGTGCACCCCCAGGGACCCACGGGACACACAACTGGAGTCTATGTTGGCGTCAAACAAAAATGGTGGTTCAAAAGTTGTAACTGGATGTTAACGAAAATCTAACTCGTGTCGATAGTAAAGAACAAAAATATAGTCAGATAATGAAAATAAAATTAAATAAATTACAGTAAATGATTTCACAAAGTTACGAGGAACACTTTTACAACACAATATACCTGAAATTTTCAATACCGACTACTTGGGACAAATTATGGATAATATGGTTAAATGAATGAGATAAGCTATGGTCAAGAAAATAGCATATGAAAGAGTGAACCCAACACCCTGGTTTTCACAGATATTCAAGGAAATTAAAACGGGATCACCACTGCAGAAAATTTTTATTAGCCTAAACTGAAACTTATTTGAAACAATATGCAAAATCCAGGAACGAGTGTGTAGCAGTTCTCAGGAGGAACAAGAAAAATACTATAACAATATCGATAGCAATAAGAATAATTCTAAAATAAGATATAAATAAATATAAATAGTGAATTATCTAAATTTTTATATACTTTGAAGTTGAGTCATTAATTTTCAGATAATGATTGTAGAAGGAAGATAAACCAAAATATGTGTAAAAATAAAAAAAAATTATAAAAAAATGTACCTTGTTTTATAAAGTATCCTCCCGACAAGTATTTCAGTGCGGACCTGTATTTGATCGTGAGGTCTTGGAGCCCCGGCATGCCGTCACCTGATTCACGAGCCCGTTGTACTACATTAACAAAGGCACGAGGGGTTGGTTGCACTCGATTGGGAAACCGATCCGCATAAACATGTGCCATTTTTTATTTCGTTTGAGCCACGCAACAGACACCACTATTCACTGACACTGACTGTATACAAATGAATAAAATAATTGTAAAAACATCGTTCCAAATTCTTTCGTTTTTTTGTTTCCGATGCGATGAACCGATACGGCGGATTATATCCGTTGTCGCCAAACACGAGCACATAATATTATTATTGAGACAGGACGGTACTCAAACTTCCAAAGGGCTATAACTTTGTTACTTTAATTTTACCAGAAAAATGGTAAAGGAAAAAAACATTTCTTTTGATCAGATCTACTCACTGTTAAAATAAATGACTCAACTTCGAAGTCACCCTGTATATATATAACAAAAAGTAGGAAAATAATGGGCAAAATCCGTGGATTCGAGCAGAAAATAGGATAGGTAACCCGAGCGATACGTATTTCTGCTGGTTGGCTTCATCAGTCCCGAAATGAATGTACATATGCAACTACAAAAGTAGATACACATGTCCACACATCCGGATACGGGTGTAACCTGAGGAAACGAAGATGGAGAGGGGAAAAATCGACACACGAAGTCCACCACAAGAGCCAACCTACACATTATAGAATAAAATGGCCACAACCACGCGGCCGGTTATAGGTTGTGGTTAGATGTCTCCATGAAAATTCTAGGTCTTCTGGCCATTATACAGGGTGACTTCGAAGTTGAGTCATTTATTTTAACAGTAAGTAGATCTGATCAAAAGAAATGTTTTTTTCCTTTAACATTTTTCTGGTAAAATTAAATTAACAAAGTTATAGCCCTTTAGAAGTTTGAGTACCACCCTGTCTCAATAATAATATTATGTGCTCGTGTTTGGCAACAACGGATATAATCCGCCTTATCGATTCATCGCATCGGAAACAAAAAAGCGAAAGAATTTGAAACGTGTATCACGATGTCAGTCAATGTTTCAGTCGGTAACGCGTGAGTGAATAGTGGTGTTTGTTGCGTGGCTCAAACGAAATAAAAAATGGCATGTGTTTACGAAAATGCTGAACTTGTGGACATGATTCTTATTTAATCGAGTGCAACCAACCCCTCGTGCCTTTGTTAATGTAGTACAAAGGGCTCGTGAATCAGGTGACTTAAGACCTCACAGGGGAGGGCATGCCGGTGCTCCAAGACCGCACGAACAAATACAGGTCCGCACTGAAATACTTGTCGGGAGGATACTTTATAAAACAAGGTAACATTTTTTTTTCATTTTTACACACATATTTTGGTTTATCTTCCTTCTACAATCATTATCTGAAAATTAATGACTAAACTTCAAAGTCACCCTGTATTTTTTTGTTATATACATTTCTCCGCATTATTATTTTCTCTTTGTAGATCCTTTGGGCTTGAAGTACCACAGCAAGTGGCTATAACCGGCCGCGTGGTTGTGGTTAGATGTCGCCTTGAAAATTCGAGGTCTTCTAGCTATTTTATACTACAATGTGTAGGTTGGCTCTTGTTGTGGACTTCGTGTGTGATTTTTTCCCATCCATCTTTATTTCCTCAGGTTACACCAGTATCCGGATGTATGAGCATGTGTATCTACTTTTGTAGTTGCATATGTGCATTCATTTCGGGCCTGATGAAGCCAACCAGCAGAAATACGTATCGCTCGGGTTACCTATCCTATTTTCTGCTCGAATCCACTTTCCTCCTTTTTGCGGATTTTGCCCATTATTTTCCTATTTTTTTTGTTATATACATTTCTCCGCATTATTATTTTCTCTATATATATATTGTTTACAGCAAATAAAACATATTTTCAACATTACAAATTCTACAAAATAAAGCTCTGAGAATCATTTTAAATAAAAACAAATATGTTAGAGGGACTACAGTGGTTGGATGTAAAAAAATGTATGTTATTTAGTTCTCATTTTCATATTCATACATACGTACTGTTCAAGAACAGATTTGACGTTATTCTGACGATGGAAATACCAGCATGGATCGTAAAACCAAGCTCAGTACTAATGAGGAGCTGAAGGTGAAATTTAAAAAAAGGCTATCAACTATTTTAGCAGCAGGCACAAATACCCGAAAGATATTTTAGCATTTGGGAAATTTCGAGAAGATTTTTCATAACGTTTCCCTCATCGTACGTTGTTACAAATTTATTAACAGAAAAATGAGCAGATTGAATATTGCACACCGGAGATTTGGGTTCATCTCTTATAAAACTGAAGCCAAATATTGATAATTTTCTGTCAATGCGTCAAGTACATTCCCCCCTTTAACATTCTGATTTATTGTACAAGTTTTTTGCATTGTTGATTTGTATTGCGGAAGAAGTTACGTTTTACGTTAATGTATAACTTTATTCCTACTAAATTCGTAATAATGCCATTTTAATAAATAGGATACTTATAAAAAAATATTTTTCTTTTTACTTCTACCACTGTGAAAATTTGCATGATTAGATCTAATTTTGACACATATTGAGCTTTTGGAACATTATAGAAATGTAACAGGGGAGGTCCACCGGAACCAGCAAATTTTTTTAATTAGTCTATGAGAAAAAAGCTTAAGGACCACTGTACTAGATTTTAGTGCAACGCCAATCTCTACGATGTAAACATATGGCTATTTGTTCATCATCTGTAGACTCGTTAGCATAGACATAAAATTATTTTTTTTTCGACTAATCTATTCACTGATTTCGTTTATTGTAGAGATCTTCATATAATTCCAGTGCATTTAAGTAGACCAGTTAGTAGCAGCACTCATCCTAGATTAGCGCTAAGTAGAGCCGAAATGGTTGAGCAGTTGATCATCAATTATGGTATATCTACAGATAAACAGAGGTAAGAAGATACCGTATTTGAAAGGCAACAGATACAAAAAGTACTGTAATCGTAATCAGAAAAGTGCTTTCGTGAACATCATCTTCAATTACAAAAAACACAAATTTTTACACTTGACCCTGCGATCAACATCATAAATTAAATACTAAACGACCTTCTGCCAATAATCTTATACAATTTCCTTGTTGTTTTTTAAAAAGAAGAGGCATTTTTTGAGAAAATAAAATTATACTGTCTAGTCTACAGTCAGTACTAATGTTAATTAGCAATTGCATGTTTGAGGTGTAGGTAGTTAGGATGAAACCGGAGAAACGTCCTATTTGCATGGAGAGGCTAATCCCAAAAAATACGGAGTCGAGCCGAAAGACATTTATTGCAGGAAGTTAAAAAAATTGAATTAAAACCATCTTTCGAAAAATTTGATATATAACTTTTTTAAGATAGTCCAAAGATCAAAAAGATGCATAGAAAAATTTCAAGATCAAAAATTGAGAATCTTTCATAGACCCAAACTTTGCTAAAAAACATAACTTGACCCTGTATACGTGGAAAAATAAAAGAAATATACCGATCGAACTCTGTACGTGTTCTCAAAGAGTTGGGCAAGAACATCCCGAATACTGCAACTCGATATCTGTTTCGTTTCCGAAAATATCGTTTTTTGATTTTTCCATGTTGCAAAGCGTCCACCAGTTTATTTAAAAAACCAAATTACTAAGGTATAATCACTCGAACATGCTGCTGAATGTAATTATGTTTATTTTAGCGGGCTTACATGTAGAACACTGTCTGAATTTGGGTCTAGCGGGTTACACCACCCAGCAGAAGCTGTTAGGAAGGTATCGGAAAGAATACTTGTATTGGTATATAAAGTGAATTCAAGATTAGTGAGGAAACAACTACCGCCTGACGATGATATAACTAGAAGAAATCTGTTGTACAGACAACTGTTTCACGAATTTGATAAGATTGATTTATTGGTAAGTTTGATTCGTTTTGATATAAATTCTGTAAATATTTTATTGGACTTTATATTTATATTAACATACGTACAATTTTGAATTACGGTCAAAAATAATATTAATAAAGGTTTTTCTAATAAGCATGGGTCGATGATAATACGGAATAAAACAACTATATATGAAAAGGGTTCCCTACAGTATTGCGGGAAGTAACCTTCAGACATAAGTCCATAAGATGGGTACTTGTCTTGCTTGATACCAACAAAGTTTTTGGTCTGGACTTGATTCCCGTCTCTGAACTGTGATGTGCTTGCTTCAGTTTTTTCGCATCACTTCCGAATAGGGCACTTTCCCAGAACACTGGAAATTTGCTGATGTCCAACCCCCTCCACCAAGAGATCTAAGGGCGACCCTTAAAACCACAGGCCTGTAGCTCTGCTTTCTGTTATAAGTTATACAGGGTGACTTTGAAGTTGAGTCATTAATTTTCAGATAATGATTGTAGAAGGAAGATAAACCAAAATATGTGTGTAAAAATAAAAATTTACCTTGTTTTATAAAGTATCCTCCCGACAAGTATTTCAGTATGGACCTGTATTTGATCGTGAGGTCTTGGAGCACCGGCATGCCGTCCATATGTGAGGTCTTAAGTCAAATGATTCACGAACCCGTTGTACTACATTAACAAAGGCACGAGGGGTTGGTTGCACTCGATTGGGAAACCGATCCGCATAAACATGTGCCATTTTTTATTTCGTTTGAGCCACGCAACAGACACCACTATCCACTACCGACTGACCCTGACTGTATACAACTGAATGAAATAATTGTAAAAACATCGTTCGAAATTCTTTCGCTTTTTTGTTTCCGATGCGAAGAACCGATAAGGCGAATTATATCCGTTGTCGCCAAACACGAGCACATAATATTATTATTGAGACAGGGCGGTACTCAAACTTCCAAAGGGCTATAACTTTGTTACTTTAATTTTACCAGAAAAATGGTAAAGGAAAAAAAAATTCTTTTAATCAGATCTACTCACTGTTAAAATAAATGACTCAACTTCGAAGTCACCCTGTAAGTAAGGACATGGAGAGGTGCATAAATAAAAGTAACTTGAAATTGGGGTGCAAAACGCAGCACTGTACCTCACAAGCGAACATGTAACCAAGGTAGCCAACTCATGTCAACTCAAACATATTGAAACGTATTCTCTACCCATCATCAACACAGACATCATTTTTATTTCATAAAAAAGAGCTGTGAGTTCATAAAATATTTGAAGTTAAGGAATTTAGTGTAAGATCTCGACTGTTTCAAAAATTGTGCGTATGTTGCCATGTTTAAACAACATAACGGTTTCCCATACAGTACACAGGTTTTTTTGAAATCAAAGGACGTTTTTTCAGATTTTTAAAAACTACTATATGGAGAACTGTGACTTTTTTCATTGTGACAATTCTGTTTTTACGGTAAATGTTACGCTTTTTCCATGTAGTATGGTGTTGTCCTCACTGATCATAATAGAGCACCTCTAAATTTCATATGCTTTGGTAATGGTGAAGGAAATGCATTATACGATTTTTTTCTCTACTTCGAATGATATTGATGCTTCCACGATCATGTGCATATTTGAATCGGCTTTACATAACTGATCATTGGTATCATTGCAAAAAGTCATGTATGCTGACAATTTATCTGCCTATACAATAGCTTAATTTTTTTCATCGACATAAAATCGGTTGCTGATAAAATGCCTTTGTAGGTCTTTTACGAAGTTTCAAAAACCATCAATACTTAAATGAAATTTGTACCCAGTTGTGACATCGCTAAGTCCTTTTATATTGTCTTCTAAAAGCACATGTGAACAAAATGTGCTTGCATTTTCTTATCAATCTTTATAAAAAAAATGGATTCCAGTGGTACAGATTTCAAAACGTAATTAAGTCCTTGAAAATTGAACATTCTACAGCACATCTGTCTGGCTTTGCTATTTAAACTTGACACTGTATTTTTATAGACAACATCCATTCTCATTGTCCACCAAACGAGGCGACAGTTTGCCATCGTCTCAGTCTTAACGATACTATATCAATGGTCATATGTAGAGTTGCTATTTAATGATGGATCAAAATCACCAATAATGAATGATATTTGTAGAGATGAGATATTTCACTTTACCACAACCGCCGTACTTAGGTAAAAGTGTAGTTCATTTATTGCATTTTTTAAAATTCTATGCGAATACAACTCTTTTATGATTACAATTTACAAAATTAATCACGTGGCTTAACAAAAATCATAATTTTTTCACATTGTCAAATATTTTATATTCATTACGTTTCCTTAGCGTAAAAGTAGTGAATCAATGTATCAAAGTAAAAAACAGTAATTAGTTTTTTTATGTAACAATTTTATTATTTGTGAATAAGTATTTATAGTTATAAATTACTTTTGCTCTGAAAAAATAATTTTGAAAAATATTTTGCTATTAACTTAAAACATAGAAAAACATGCTCTTTTTAGTTTATTCATTGAATATAATCTTTAATGTATTTATATACTTATTGAATTGAATTATATTATTAGTTTCTGTGCTATTTATTTTTGAATTTCAATATGAATAAATTTTGACCTCAGACTTCGAATAATACACTTTCCCAGTACGGCAGTGCAAGTCCTCAATTGATTAACAATTTTGACCTGTGTTTCTGACTAAAAATAAAATCATTCATTATTTGGACTATCTTGATGTTGATTCTTCAATATCCACACTAAATGATCTGATCTTATAAGATGCCACCTTTGAAGATTCTAAAAGTAAATTATTGTTCATAATATGAATATTTTTGAGATTGATTTGGCCCAGATCCCATAATAATTTATCCTAATAAACCCTTGGTTTGTTGTTATTGTAGATTTATTACAATTTTTTTTGCTCGGCCAAGTTTTTTTAGGTTCTTTTAATTATCCCGAACAAAAAAGATTTCGATTAACTTTTCTCCAAATCTAACCATTTTCGAGTAATAAGTGGTTTACTGCATGAAAAGCCCTAAAAAATTTTCATATATTCAATACTTAAAAACTAGGTAAAACACTATGATTTTTATCAGGCCAAAATAGGCGAACTTTTGTTTTTCGCAGATCCTACCTAGCTTGCGTTCATATTTTTTTAGCGAAAAAAAGAAATCCTAGAAAAGAACAAACTCTTGCAACAAACTCAGATAGCTAACGATTGCCTGAGTCCCGAACCGAATTTCGGTGATATAAACAAATGCATGAGCACCTCAATGAGATCAGTTGTGAACGATGTTATAACCAATCACCAAAAGTACTATCAGCTGTCAAAGAGTGTCAGCGGAAGTAATATGCACACAAATGGGACGAATGCAAACGGAAGTCCGGGTTCTGCAAGCGGAATTTCCTCGCCAAGTAATAACAGTAACAACTCTCAGAAGGAGGAAGACGAAAAGTAAGTTTGACATGATACACACAATTGAGGGGTTCATGGCATAAACCAATCAAGTCACATGAGGAAAAAAGTCGAGGAAACATAAAAAACATTTTTGATGTAATTTTTTTAGTTACCGAATATTTTCGTATTGGTTGTCAATTGTAGATAATTCTGCTGCATTATTTCTTAAATATATCAATCTGTAAATAAAAATAATACATGAGGGAGAGATTAATGGACTTGACTGGTTTGTGCAAAGTTTTTTTATTGTTTAAGGGTAAAATTAAAATGAAACAAGCTTTGACTTGAAAAATGATATTTTTGGTTAATTAACTGAGTGAAATAAGCTCTCCGCTTATCTTGGATTTCAAAAATATTAAACTCATATAAAGAGACGATTTCACGACATTTAAATAATATATCATCTAGTTTTTCATAGCGCATGCTTCGATATTTTGAAATCGTAAATTTATTGTTCTTCCTTGAAGGATTCTTTACAAATAACTGTTGCAAATGGGCCTTGAAATTTAAAAATATATTCTGCGCTACATAAATGACTTCAAAGTTAAGTAAAAAACAAATGTTTTTCAAATTTTCTTGTCTGTAGTTATGTGAAGAATAAAATAAAGAATAGAAAATAACGTGAAAAAATTAGTATGAGACTTGAGGATAGTGTTCTAAACACAGATTAGAAAACTTTGTGAACTATAAAATTTGTAAAAATTTACTATTGAATGAAGATTTGTTCAAAAAAGGGTATTGGAAATATACGAAAAAAACATGTCGATAAATTACTGAATTTTTATTGCATAAAAATACATTTACGTCTGATGTGCCTCAGTATGCTCTGAGCTAGGACATAATGCGTTGTCTGCATCCCTCGATGTGCCCCTGCATACTTGGAGTAAGAGTATGATAAGTGTGCTGCCGCAAGGACATGATGAAGAGTCGTTCATATCCCTCGATGTGCCCCCACAGCGTAGGATGCCCAAATAAAATTCTCTAACATTTCCCTAGCTACTTTCAAAGTTTGCAACCGTATTGTTATTTTTCCGACCTTTTCTACTGAACCGACACTTTTTTCCTAGTGATCCGTAACTATATAAACGGGGCACCCTGTCTGGGCGAGGGCAGTATGACGAATCTCGCTCGTGTTTGGCTGTGAACCGTACACCAATAAGAAAACCCTCAATACACTTACATTTCAGCAAACTGCTCTAGTCCCTGGAACATGAAGAAATAGCATGAGTATCAAGTAACATTACTAAAACTCTCACTCTCACACTTCGGGCAGGAAAGGCAAATGGAACGATTCTATCGATCTATAAAAACTATTCTCGTAATTTGTTTACATTGTATCGTACTCTTATGTTTTCTAATATCTGGTTAAATAAATTTACATAAAATAGTTCGCTATAATCCATTATGTTCGAGAAATAGACGGAGATATTTTATAGGGTGATTCCTTGTTGAAAGTTTCAATGAACACGGGTCAGGAAATAATTTTCAAGATACAGGGTGATAAATTTAAAAAAATCATTATCTTATAAAATATTCACATGATTCTGTTGACGATTGACCTTATATTTTGACCACTGACATGCAATAAAACGGTTTTTATTTTAATTCTCAAAAAAAAGTGAGATACGAAAAAACTACAAAAGACAAAGAAGTTGTATTTTTAGATATTTAATCTAACAACAATATTGAAATTACAGAAAAGGTACTGGTGAACATTTTTTGCCAATAATATTCGGTTAGGTGCTCACCGGGAAGCCACTAGACCTAATAATTTTAACTTATTCAGTGTTGTATTAGTCTTTCGATACATCAAATAATATTGCCAAATTTCAACAGAATCGATTGAATATTTTTTAAGATATTTATATTTTTTTTCAATTCATCACTTTGTATCTTGAAAACTCTGCTTTTTCGGACCCATATTTACAGGAAGTTTCTCTCATATTTTTCAACAAGGAATCACCCTCTAAAATATCTCGGTCTGTTTTAAGAACACCCTATTATAAAAGCGGGATCGAACGCACGTGGAAAATACCTATTCCACGTCTCCGCAGTCCGTGGAGGTCGTAGTTAACAACGATGAGCCACTGCCACTAAATGTTTAGGTATAGGTATTCAAAATATACGACAAAAATATGAATTGTACAGGGGAAAAAATGAGTCACAAATTTGATGTTTTGTAGTTCAAGCCGGCAACATGTAGTGTAAAACTTTTAACGCAGTACAATCCCATGAGGTATCGGAAACACTCAAAAACAATAACAGTCCATATAGTTATTAAGTTAATTGTACTTATCCAATTAAAAACGCCGTGCAGACAAAAAAATTAAGGTCAGCCGTTGTATAAAAAAAGTATGAACCTCCACTAATCGCCACCGAAACTAGTACCTACTACAATTTACCATACACTAACCTGCGACGAAAGAAATAAACATTAATCATTTTTAAGCAGTTACCATTAATTTTGTTTTGTTTGTTCCATATTCTTTTGAATGAAGCTTTTTTTGGTCAATTGTTTTCTCTTGTCCCAATTAAAAAAATACTAATTCTGTGTTTGACCTATGTAACGAGAGATAGTAGGATATGAACACTTAATACAATCGGTATGATCTCAAAGCTAACACAGAAGTAGACGAGAATACATAACTTACTTAGCTCGCTGACATTCAGTTTCTCCAGAAAGATCGGAAGAAGGCACAATATCGAACGTGATGCACCACTCTCATATCAAATTTTTACACACAATTATTATCACAAAACTACACTCCACTCTTTTAAGTCAAATCATCGTGACACTGCGGAAATCGCCGACAAAGGCTTCCCTGCATTAACAGATGCAGAGCGTTGCACGGCAGGTCTCGACGCACCGGCTTCCACGAACGCCAACCGACAACTGAAGCGCGTCGGCGTTAGCTCGCAGCGTATGCAGTACGCCGGTACCGCATCCCGCATCGTCGTTCTGCGTCGTCACTGGTGGGGATTTAGCCACGCCTTCTTCCAGCTCCCAATCTTTCAGGCGTCTACCAATGCCGTTTGCCCCTGCATACTTGGAGTAAGAGTATGATAAGTGTGCTGCCGCAAGGACATGATGAAGAGTCGTTCATATCCCTCGATGTGCCCCCACATCGTAGGATGCCCAAATAAAATTCTCTAACATTTCCCTAGCTACTTTCAAAGTTTTCACACTTTTTTCCTAGTGATCCGTAACTATATAAACGGAGCACCCTGTCTGGGCGAGGGTAGTATGAAGAGTCTCGCTCGTGTTTGGCTGTGAACCGTACACCAATAAGAAAACCCTAAATACACTTACATTTCAGCAAACTGCTCTAGTCCCTGGAACATGAAGAAATAGCATGAGTATCAAGTAACATTACTAAAACTCTCACTCTCACACTTCGGGCAGGAAAGGCAAATGTTTACATTGTATCGTACTCTTATGTTTTCTAATACCTGGTTAAATAAATTTACATAAAATAGTTCGCTATAATTCATTGTGTTCGAGAAATAGACGGAGATATTTTATAGGGTGATTCCTTGTTGAAAGTTTCTATGAACACGGGTCAGGAAATAAATTTTCAAGATACAGGGTGAGAAATTTAAAAAATCATTATCTTATAAAATATTCACTTGATTCTGTTGACGTTTGACCTTACGCGCAAATGTCAAATCAAATTAATACATAGATTTTGACCACTGACATGCAATAAAACGGTTTTTATTTTTTTTTCTCAAAAAAAAAGTGAGATACGAAAAAAATACAAAAGACAAAGAAGTTGTATTTTTAGATATTTAATCTAACAACAATATTGAAATTACAGAAAAGGTACTGGTGAACATTTTTTGCCAATAATATTCGGTTAGGTGCTCACCGGGAAGCCACTAGACCTAATAATTTTAACTTATTCAGTGTTGTATTAGTCTTTCGATACATCAAATAATATTGTCAAATTTCAACAGAATCGATTGAATATTTTTTAAGATATTTATATTTTTTTTCAATTCATCACTTTGTATCTTGAAAACTCTGCTTTTTCGGACCCATATTTACAGGAAGTTTCTCTCATATTTTTCAACAATGAATCACCCTCTAAAATATCTCGGTCTGTTTTAAGAACACCCTATTATAAAAGCGGGATCGAACGCACGTGGAAAATACCTATTCCACGTCTCCGCAGTCCGTGGAGGTCGTAGTTAACAACGATGAGCCACTGCCACTAAATGTTTAGGTATAGGTATTCAAAATATACGACAAAAATATGAATTGTACAGGGGAAAAAATGAGTCACAAATTTGATGTTTTGTAGTTCAAACCGGCAACATGTAGTGTAAAACTTTTAACGCATGTATCTCATGCGGTATCGGAAACACTCAAAAACAATAACAGTCCATATAGTTATTAAGTTACTTATCCAATTAAAAACGCCGTGCAGGCAAAAAAATTAAGGTCAGCCGTTGTATAAAAAAAGTATGAACCTCCACTAATCGCCACCGAAACTAGTACCTACTACAATTTACCATACACTAACATTAATCATTTTTAAGCAGTTACCATTAATTTTGTTTTGTTTGTTCAATATTCTTTTGAATGAAGCTTTTTTTGGTCAATTGTTTTCTCTTGTCCCAATTAAAAAAATACTAATTCTGTGTTTGAGCTATGTAACGAGAGATAATGGGATATAAACACTTAATACAATCGGTATGAGCTCAAAGCTAACACAGAAGTAGACGAGTATACATAACTTACCTAGCTCGCTGACATTCAGTTTCTCCAGAAAGATCGGAAGAAGGCACAATATCCAACGTGGAAATACAAAGCGATGCACCACTCTCATATCAAATTTTTACACGCAATTATTATCACAAAACTACACTCCACTCTTTTAAGTCAAATCATCATCATGACACTGCGGAAATCGCCGACAAAGGCTTCCCTGCATTAACAGATGCAGATCGTTGCACGGCAGGTCTCGACGCACCGGCTTCCACGAACGCCAACCGACAACTGAAGCGCGTCGGCGTTAGCTCGCAGCGTATGCAGTACGCCGGTACCGCATCCCGCATCGTCGTTCTGCGTCGTCACTGGTGGGGATTTAGCCACGCCTCCTTCCAGCTCCTAATCTTTCAGGCGTCTAGTCGTCTACTAGTGCCGTATGCTCCGCTGTTCGATTTTCGTCCGCCGGCGCGCATGACGTTACGCTGGGAGTGATTCTCATTTGGGTACATATGGATATGGTGGATATTTTCACCTACAGGCCAAACGGCTGGACGGATTTTCACCTATGAAGTGTCATTGATTTATGTTAGCGGTGCGAGTGACACTGGCTACATTAAAATTTTATACAAACCAAAATGGTGGATTTTAATAAAAGATTTCAACCTTGTAATTCCTATTTCACAGGCTATAGTATCCTAAGTTAATAAGTGTGAAAATGTACGCAACTCGAAAAGTAGAAAAATGGAGTTACCTATCTTATTTTTGCAGTAAGCTGGCGGTATAACAATAAATGGAAATGACTTAGTTTAAGCAACAATTTTTCTCCATTTTTTACGATTTTTCTGGTCTTTCAAACTTGTATGCAGCTCTTTGATCTGGAAGAATACCGTGGACCTGAAAATAGTTTATTTAGCTTTTTCAGGGCAGTCAATGTTGCTGCTCTTCAACAGAAATTCGGCTATAAAATGTTGCTCTTCTGTCACTATTCCGTCACCATAGTAAACACCTTGTTCGGCTTCAACATTTGATTCATGAAAGGTGTGGAAGGTTTTGATAATCCACCCTCACTAAGATGGTCTATCCAGGAATAAGTTTTATTTGAGGAACTTTTCAACCTCTTATCCTGCAATTTATGGCAAACAAAGCCGGCCAAATCTTCCAGCCTGTCATACTCCAGCTCATCTATTTCTTCTACTAAAAATTCCTCGTTATAGTCAGCAGTGATGCGGTTAGTGGAAGGTCTGGAGTATCCTCTAACTCTACGCTGCAATACTCTAGGTATGAGTATGGGACTTCGTTTAGCCCCAAATTGTATGACCTTATTCTATACTTAAACCAGGTGATGATAGAGACTTGGGTAAATTTTCCGTACGAATGGCATCATCCTTTAAAGCACGATATGTTTTAGGGGTGCAACCCAAAAGGGTATGTTTCAAGATGTAGCCATTTTTTGCTAAGGTTTTGTTCTTCAGGAAAACTGTGGAACTTCATGTCTTTGCAAGGATTCCATTTAGATTGGTTGTCGGAATTACATCTCACAACAGCGCACCGCATTTTTATCAATTTATCACCCTCACAGGGTATATAAAGTATGTATAACTGATACAACAAGTCCCAAAACCACCAACAAATCGCACGATATACGTGCACTGCAGTAACGTTACGACAATCCTGCCGCTGGTAACCACGGGCCGACAACTCTCAAGGTGACGTTACGAAGCTCCGCCCACATGTGCAACTGCGCAACATCCTATCTTTAGTGTATGTGTATCGTGGAAGGAGACTGCGTTGCCATTGTTGTCTTAAGGTGAATCTACTCATAACTGTTTTTTTCCCAACAAAATCTCCCCAGTAAAATTATTATTTAGGTAGTAACTAAATAATTCTCAATATAAATGCTTCTTAAGACTTTTCAGTTCAAGTTTATAACTGTTTACCACGAAAGGCAAAACTCTTAGCTCTCGAATCTCAGGGTTTGGTGCTATCCTTGTTGAATTAACTTCTACAAGAAAAGGATAATGGAGGATAGTGATCCTCAAACTATAGTTTACTATCAATATAATGTATACCCAATTTATGATTGTTACCAAGTCAGAACTTAGCATATTTAAAGCAGTGTCTATATTTTCATCTGATATGCATATTAATGTATCGTCTGCAAATATCTGACTTTTACAATAATCTAAAATGTCATCAATGTAGAAAATAAATAGTAGTGGACCTTGCAGTACACCAACAAGTATTTTTGAGCTGGATAATATGTAGATTTTGATCCAATTTTGGTTCTCTAAAATTATAGTTTTGCTTTTCAGGCAATGTATCTTCTGTAATCAACTAGAGAGTGTCATTCTATCGTCCAATAACTCGATGAACTCCCACTACTGGAGATCGTGTCTAATGCTGGTTCGTTGTAAGGAATGCAGCCAAGTTGTGGAAGTAGCATCACTGATCGAACATCTTTTGATGGAATGTGAACATCGCGAGTCCTACACGCAATGTTCGCGATGTTCCGAGGCTGTTAAGCTGGATGAATTTCAAGGACATCAGGAACAATGCATTGGTATGTGCTATAATATTATACTAATGTTACACAACTCAAGTATCATAGGGTGTAAATGGCAACACTGGCTGAGTGGTATTGCTACTGTACAATGGCCAACTGAAGTGCTAATTCGTGGAAGATGAAACTGGCAACTTGGCAAAAAGGAAGGAAAAATGCAACTGACAGGGAATTTTTGCAAGGTAATCATGTAACAGATTTAGTTTTTGTAACCCTGATTTGAATTGACAATGACGTTTATCATACCATACTACCTAGTTATGGTATATCAGTCTCTATTTAAGGTAAAACTGAAATGGAACGTACTAACTGCAGCACAGCGGATTTACAGGTAAAGAGTAAATAAATTAGTATCAATAATATTCAAGAGGTCAGTTTCCTGATGTTTCTCAATCCAACTTTGGTACTATATACTGTAATCATTCGTATCTATCGTCATCCAGAACTAGCAAATACTTTGTGTTACTACCATTGAAACAGGAGCTCTCCATTAAAATCACAAAAGGTCCTCTTCCACAAATGAAATATGCAATACCATGCTTTTGGAAAGCATTTTGTTATTCAAACCACTCAGTTCCACGTCAATACTGTTGGCCTCACTCCTACTCCATAAGCTTAACCTCCTATCTCTAGTCTCCATAGCTCATATCTAACAAAAGTGTCAGTATGCTAGGTTGCCGAATAGTCACAGTAAGGGGAGCATAGTAGTGACAACCTCCGACACTTCATTTTGCCATTTTACAAAATCTAACTTCTGCCATGATGTCATTTGCATCTTTCACACTATCGAAGTGCGATATTGCGCGCCAGCAGCCATGGCCTGAATTGCAATTATTTTTCAGAATTGTCAGAAAACTGCAACAAATGCCCCCTTTGCCATGGAAACATAGAATGTGAAGAGCAGTGCTGGAAGACTCATTTGATGGGAGAAAACCCATGTCCAAAGAATACGAGGTTCAAAATGTATCAGCAGAAACAGGTTAAAATCCAAATTTAAAGATACTTCATCTATACGAGCACAAATGTTCTGTTTAAAATGTGATTTCTCTGTTTTTAGACGTGATATTTTGTCCGTTTACACTATTTTCATGAATAAAACTAAAGCTGTTGTGTGTAGAATATGACTTTTGAAATTAATGTTATCTGAAAGCCGGCATTCACGATCGCTCCAAATAACTTGATGTCACGTGACTCCATTCTTCAAGTGCTCTGTTTCTATATCGTGTTCAGTTTTTAGAATAGCTGAGTATTAGATCCGATTACCCAGAGTGGTTATACAAAGAGAAGAGACATACAATGCGAATAAAATTAGAGAGAGATAGAGATGACACGAAAAATACGGCGACTGCAAAACAGCTGATGGCGTCTAAACAGGGCTGTTATTATTTATTCGGTGATAAATGCGGTGTTGCCAGATAAGTAATGCTTTTGACCATTACTTGTAGAGAACGCATTTTTGTTCAAATTTACTTTTGTTAGCATATTTATTCATGGTGGGGATATTGAGCATCTACCCAATAAAGTTATAAATCACACTTTTCGCGAGAGAAGCTATTTTCGAAACATGTTATCACATAGCTATTTTACTTTAAGTTACAAACGAAGTGCGCAGCTTGAAAATCAAAGATTTTCTAACCTCAAATAGCTTATTTGACCGATCGTCGGTCTGTTTGACATGATCGCTAGTTATCTCGACTTTTCGACGTAGCCACCAAAAACCGTGACCAGAGCGGAACTACATTCTGTTTAGTATAAATGTAGCGTTTTATAACTATTTTATGGCAGCTTGGCAGCGCTGCTTCGGTATATATAATATAGAGCCATCTATTAGCGAATTGCCAAAATGACGTCATTATTCGGTCACTTTTGGTCAGAAACGTCATTGACTAAAAAATGACGACTTTATTGACGCCATTTTTATGTCTATGTCTTATTTTGTCGTCTTGTTAGGACAGTCAGTACAGGAAATTAATAATATTTCATGTTCGGATATTTCAAATCGCCAATGTACATCATGCTTTAATCCCGTGAATAACACATTTATTCGAAATTCCTCTGTATAACAATAAACAATGAGAATTTTATCACATAGCTATTTAACTCTCAGGGTTCCACGCAGAATACTACACGACTTTAGTTAGTTTAGTAACAACAGAAGTACGTCAGCTTCAAAGACAAAGATTTCCTAATCTCAAAACGTTTATTTGACCAATCTTCGGTCTATTTGACATAGTCCCCAGTTGTCTTCTTTTTGCTTAGTATAAATGTAGCATTTTATAAATATTTTTTGGCATCTGGGCAACACCGCGTCGGTATATTCAGAGCCACCTACAAGCGAATCGCTAAACCAAGGCCGGTCGGCACATAGATCGCTGTTTTTATTTGTAAACTAGTAATAGTTCAAGAGCTGACCGCTTACGACGCGTACTGATAAGAAATGTTAAAAACTAGTCAAATCTTACGTATCATATCAGTACGCGATGATGTAACAAAAAAATTACGATGGACTTACCTGCTATAATGCAGATTATAAAGGCGTTCTCTTGCTATAACTACTCTTTGTGTATATTGTGCAGAGTGATCTGGATATGTTCGTGCTATAACTTTGGCATGACGGAGCTATCGTGAATGGGTAGCTTCAGCTGCGTGATGTCTGCAATAAGGACACTTTTTATTTTAACAGATTTTATATTCACATGTACTTCACAATTCTGTGCAATTCGATGTTATTTGTTTTGTTGATATCGTTATACAAGATTACAAAATACATATTTTTATGTAAATCGCTAAAAGATACGTAAATGTAAATTAAAATCTTAAAAAACAAGCATTTTTATTTTTACAAACGCTTATTGCATGTCCAAAGTACTAGCTACTTTGTTGTTGCAACTTTTCATTACAGGATTTCTCTTTTTTTTCAGAAACGTCTTCCGTTTCAGTCCCGTCCCTTTCAGTCTCCTCTGTCCCATCAGCTTCTTCACATTGGCCATCTTCATCTTCTCTCGCTTTTTGAAATTTATTTACATCTAAAAATTATTAAATGCATTATGAATGGACTGTGTATGGAAAAATGTAGAAACAAACTCAACATGTGTCCCAAAATAACATTATGTATACCAGCCAAATACAACGTCCTAACATACAGGGTGCGGCAGCATAACTTCCTTTTTTAAAAACTTAATAAAATTTATTGTATGAATCAGAACATTTTTATTTGTGTTCACGATGTAGGGGCATAGCTAAAGTTGAGTTTTACATAGTTTTGAAGATCAAATCAGATGACGTCCCCCACTTTCCATAAACTGAGCAAACCGATTTCTGGCCATTGTCATGACTTGCCAGCATAGTGAGCGGTATGTTGGCAATTTATTTCCTGGATGTTGGTCTTCAAATGTTGATGGGTCCTTGGATGGTTCACATAAACCCGGGATTTCAAAAATACAGAAAAAAATCAGAAGAGGCCAAATCGGGAAAGCGACATCAACTGACTGAATGGTGTGCATTTTAAAAAAAGGAACCATGATGTCTCATCCTGTATAATAAGCAGGAATTTTAACCATAATGTAATCCAAAAATAATGCAAATTGTTTACCATATTTGGAGATATCACCACCGAGCAATCTCAACAAGTGAACAGTACTATGTTTATCCATATAACATCTGAGAGATGTTGCGCCTCTCCAACCACTTATGTGGATAACTAGGGGTGTTTTATCATTCTCCGATTCTTCTTTATAGATCAAAACGCAGCTTCCTAAACCTAAAACAGCATATTTGATATACATTATACTGGTAAAGCTCACTGTGAATTTGAACTGCTTAAACCTTTAGGGGAATTGTAGGACGCGTTTATGGTGTCCTTTGTTTTTCATAGTTTTCTACTGTTCCGTGTCAGCGCTCTATTTTGAGGTTATGTCACAAATATCTATACCCTATTTCACGAGTATCCATCATGCTTTGACGTTTACTGACGTGAACAGCTGATCAGCAAGTGACATTTTTGGGTTAGTCTGCAACGTTGGAAATAATGGATCGGGTACAAATTTAGTAAAACTTGTTTCTAAATAAAATAGCAGTTAGCAAGTACAAAATGAATCTGTAGCGTACAGAAAACCAAAACAAAATTCGGCACTGTCTACCTGGCGTTGACGGATCCGTCAGAATTATATGTCCTGTGCCGATATGGGGAATTTTGAGATATTACTAAATAACCAGCTATCATTCTACCATGATGGATACTCGTGAAATAGGGTATATTTGTATCAAATTTTTCATGCTTCTGATTTATATCAGCCTGGAATTTCCTGCAATTCAAAAAGAAAACATAGCTTCACAATAGAAGAGCGCTGACGTTCACAAGGAACAGTAGAAATCTTATAATACCCCAGCCATTCTGAAGGAGAGAAGCGACTATCAACACCAAGCAGGCCATAAATAGTAGGAACGACTGACGATACGGCCCTCAGAGAGGAAACGATACTTGGACAGAACAGAACAGTGTTGAACGTGATTTGCCAATGGACGAACAATTTCAAAAAATGAGAAAGTATTAACAGAAATCATCAGATCTTATACGTACTCAGATCTTTTACTTGCTTCTGCACCATTTCTGATAACGTTACTATTGGGGGCGATTTCTGAGGATTATCGTTCAGCAATAACGTTATTAAATCATCTTTTGGGATATAAACTTTTCGATCATCTCCTATGAAAGGAAATATACTGTCCAACCCGTCGTTAGCTATCCTGAAAACGTACGAAAATGATGAAATCAGAATAGGCTAGCTGCCGCTTTTTTCAAATAAAAATATGCTTTTTCAAATCCATCTTGTGCCTTTAACAATTGAATACATTTCGTTTTCCTAGGGCAAATACTGCAAAAAATACTAATTTATTCTATGAAATCAAATATGAGTCAAGTAGCCTATTGTTCTGATGAACCAGCCATTTTCGTGACAATTGCACTGAGATGAAGTTGTTATGAGACTATGTATGCGTTACTTTATTTTTGTCTCGTGTTCTCAAAACTATAAGAGTACATCAAATAGATATTTTAGACTAACAGAAATGACCATGTACCTGAATGCACACTTCATGTGCTTATTATCACACCTAACAAACGCTTTGACTCCAGTATTAATGAATTTGATATTTGGCTGATTTGTGACAACCAAGTTTCGAACAGCTTCTGACGTAAGATAGATGTTCTTCTTTTTCCCAACATGGCATCTGGTCAGCAAACATTTCGAGTCAAAGCTATCCGATACTTTGTAGAATGATTTGATGTCGTTCCAAACGTCTTCATCTTCATTGAAGAAAACGAATGGGTCTTCTCTATAAATTTCTTTCCTACGTTTTTTTCTTTGGTTATAAGGAAGGTTATCTTCATTTTCACGTTTCTTGGATTGTGTATCATCTCCACATTCCATATTTGTCGCTGACTTAGAATCTTCCTTTGCATTTACTGCTTTTACTTTTTTCAATACTGCGACGAAAAATGCTCCTGAGTTTTGCTGATGAGGCAGAATTCTTATACTAAAATGGAAAGCCAATACATCTTAGTATACCTACCTATTAAGGCTAATCGATGCGTATAGAATCAATTACAGGGGCTGGGGGCGTATAAATATACTCAGTGACATTAGAAGTGTTACACAGAGAAAAATAATTTCTTAATAAATAATGCGTGTGTGTCGTGTGTCGGATATGATGGGGAGGAGTCTATCCGACGTTCAAGTTGCTTGGAATGAGGTGCCACAAACCAGACATCGATCATCTCATTTTGTCGATGCCTAGCCGTATACAGGGGTGTATTCAACTGGGGAGGTCGCCCAACACATTTTATTTTTTTTCTTATTACTTGTCAATAAAATTTCGTGATAACTGATGTAAATCTACCTCACTGAGTATATAATATAAAAAAAAATACTGAGGTTCCTTTGAATCTATCACTAATGTCATATTCTCAGAGCAACTTAAAATGCTGTGCATTTTGAATAAAAAAAGAACGTCTGTGGTATGCATTTGACTATCACAAATTAACTTTAGAACCTAAGAAAAAGAGAATCATTGTTATAAAAATGAAAAAATGCTGAAAACCGATTTCAGTGACTCTCAGTACTTACCACCTATTCAAATGATACTTTTCTCTATCTTCTGCTTTTGGTGGGAACATCTGAGGTCTAATAGTTGTTTTCCACTTTTCATCTACCTCTTCAAAAGTAGAATAGAATTCCAGATTTCTACTTGCCACTAACCATGTTTCCATACCTATACGAGTAAGCAATTATATACTAAGTGATATATAAATCCGAACACCCAGTTTAAATGGTTTTATTTTAATAAAAGTTGGTGAATGTATTTATCTTACTGTAAATAACAAGTGAAAAAATTTTCAGCCTTATCAGTTGGACTGGTTTTTATACTGCTTTTTTTTTAATTCACTAACGCTCTAAAAATGAATATTTCAGCCGCAGTAAAGAATCAACGTTGGCGGATTTTGGTTCTTGACACCCTTTACGATCGGTTACGATGCCTAGAGTACGGAGACCTGTACGATTTCGTCAACTTAGTGAGTTTGATAGGGGCCGTATAGTGGGACTTCGGGAAGCTGGACTTTCTTTTCGGGCAATTGCAGTTAGAGTGCAGAGAAGTGTAGACACTGTGGTTAGGTGTTGTCAGGCAAGGCTTCGAGAAGGCCGTACGCAAAGAGCAAGGGGCACTGGACGCCGCCGTAAAACAACAGACCGTGAAGATCGCCGCCTAAGATTATTGGCCTTAAGGGACCGTTTCTCCACTACCAGGTCCATTGCAAATTAATGGTTTGCAGAACACGGAAGACCTATTGGCATGCGAAGTGTTTACCGACGAATGAGAAGTTTTGGCTTGTTTTCATTCCGGCCACACTGGGTCCTCCCTTTAACTTGAGAACACCGACGTAATCGTCTTGAGTGGTGCAGACAACGGTCACTCTGGGATCAGGAATGGAACAGTATTGTCTTTAGTGACGAGTCTCGATTTTGTTTAGGCATGCACGATGGTCGTGCCAGGGTTAGAAGGCGACGTGGTGAAAGGAGGCATCCACAGTTTTTTGTTGAAAGACATGTTCATCACACTGTTGGAGTTATGGTTTGGGGTGCTATATCTTATGGTTCCAGGTCACCTTTAATCTTCATCAGAGGTAACATGAACCCGCAGCGTTATATCCACGATGTTCTAGAACCCCATCTTTTACCCTATCTTGACACCCTGGCAGATCCAACTTAGATACACAATAGACTTCTTTCAACATAATGATGTCACATTGTTACCATGGCCACCAAGATCTCCCGACTTATCCCCAATTGAGCACGTGTGGGATATGACGGGTAGGAGATTGCTCAATTTGCAACGTCCTCCTCAGACTCTAGAAGCACTTCGAGAGGAGTTGGTGGTTGCCTGGAATGAGATACCACAGGAGGACATTGACCACCTGATCAGAAACATGCATAGGCGCGTTGGAGAATGCGTAGCACATCAGGGTGCATCCACATATTATTAAAGGTCAAAGGGCTTTAAAGCAGTGCAATCATTTTGAAATTTTTATCATTTACTTATTATGCTTCATTAAGTACTTATACAAAATTTTATTAAAATAAAACCATTTAAACTGGGTGTTCGGATTTATATGTCACTTAGTATAAATTCATTTTATAAAATAGCATTATAGCTCGCAAAAACATACCCGGTGAAAACTTGAGTCCCGGCAAGCTATGTGTAACATCAACCAATTCTACAGCACCATCAAATTCAGCCAAAACTCTATGAATAACAGCTTCATTTTCTATAGGGTTGATGGAGCATGTCGAGTACACTATTTTTCCACCAACTTCTAATAGCTCTATACCTCTTCTCAGTATTCTGGTCTGAATCCTAAATGTAGATAAGGAATAGTATACTGGTCATATTCCTTCCAGGACGTGATAGGGATTCTAGAAAGCAGTATATTTCACCCTATATATGTATAGTTGAAAATCAATAGTTTTTGAGGTTTAACAATTTGCGTTTTCCTAACATTCCAGTTATTAAAACTAAATCACTATATGAGGAATCAGAATTCAATTAATTTTCTGAACTATACTTATGTTAAACTAATATAATGATGAAAATGCAAAAATAGTTGCTTCTATACGATTTTTCGGATGAGTGTATCCGCTACAACGAGTATGTTTAGTAAAGAACAACTTGAAGGATAAGGAAAATGGGCCGACCTCACCAATTGGTCCACAGCATCGGCTGCCAGCCAGCTTTCAAGAACAACATTTAGAGGCAAATTCAATACTACCCACGCTACTGCTCCTTTGTTCTCTCAAGCTGGCTTTGTGCCCCTTCTGGCGGCGTTCAAGTCACAATTAAATTTTTTATTTTCCTGTTGCTGTTACGAAGACATACATAATTTATTATATACAATCAACCCTTGATGGAATACAGACTTGTAGCATATGTTATACTTTTTGGTCATTAAATGGAAGTCATCTTTATTTCTGGTATTATGTAAATGATGGTCGACATTTGATGATGTTAATCTAGTTAGACTTGATGGAAATATGTTATTTTTTACTTTATAAATCAATATCATTACAAGATATTTGATACAATTTTTTTCATTGAGCCATTTTAATTTGCTAAGCATTTGCCTAATTGAAGTATATTTATCTTTATTTAGTATTATTCTCATGCACTTATTTTGTAAAATTTGCAGTCTTTCAAAAATGGAATTATTTGCTAAATATAGAATAGTCGAACAGTACAAGAAATTTGGAAGAATGATGGTATTATAGATATTTTTTCTGCTATATGAACTCAGACATCCAGAAACTCTCGATAAATATCCCACTTTACTACTAATCTTATTTATAACTTTTTCATAATGAATATCAAAAATTAATCGAGTCAACAAAAACCCCCAGGTATTTAAAATTTTCTACGACTTCAATATCTTCACCATCAATATTCAGTTGAACATTTGTACATTGTTTTTTCCGATTAACAAGGCTTTCGTTTTACTTGTATTTAATTTTAGTCTGTTAGATGCTAACCATTTTGAGACAAGTTCCAAGTCTTCATTTATATAAGAGATACCAGACTGCATATTTTTAGTACTTATATAAATCATAGTGTCATCGGCGAAAATCTGAATTTTCCATTTTTTTACTATGGCAGGTAAATCATTTATGTATAAAATAAAAAGAAGTGGTCCCAGGATACTGCCCTGTGGAACACCCAAAAAGGAAAACAAATACCAAACAGCGTGATAAAATATAACATAAAACTGTAATAAGAGAAACATTTGACTATAAAAACCAATACAATATTACAAATAACTGTCAAACAACATTTATGACGCAGTCATATTAAATAAATATCACAGGAAACCAAAAAATAAAAAGCATATGACTAAAGGCCATTTCTGTGTTGTGTTGCATAAAAAAATTGAAGTTTTTGAGTTACTTAAACTTAGTCACTGTCTGTATCAGATTCTTCTTGTTGCATTTTTGTTCTCTCTATACTAAATTATTTTTGTATTTTTTTAAATGTTTTTCACCAAACTCGAAGTCTAAGCAGCAACATTTTTTAGTATTGTATGCAGTTTGATAAGTATCGCGAACAAAGTTGAAGGTAAAATACGATTCCTTTTCTTTGTTTTGATTATCTCCATATATGATAATGTCCACTCTACATCTGCATTACCATGTGGCAAATGTTAAAATTATTAGACATACTTTGAAAATACACTTCACATGTCGTGTTCTTACCACCTACTACCATCTATACGTGTCTCCGTTGAATAAGAATTACCGGCCGGTGGTTAGCACTGTCGATTGGAAAGATACCTGTGTTTAGATTTGGTTACTAACTGTACTTAATTTTTTTTCTGGTAAAAATATCCATCATATGTACCTAAATTGCAAAATTCCCCTACTTTTAACAAAAAATCCAATTCGGCCGATACGCCGCTACCACTTGGCAATTCCGCTACCAGTAGCGGAATTCCGTTACTTCTGGCAACACTGGCTGCAGCTCTAATCTAATCTTTCGTAACCCAACTTGTATAGGAATTATCAATAAAACTTAAAACTAGGGACAAAATAATGCAATGAAACAACAATGAAACAAATGGAACCAACACAGAAAACTCATTGAATACTGAGTAGACATGTTCATATTGTTTGGATCCTGATATGACAAAAGAACCCTTTACAAAAAAGTACGGCTCCGAATGCCTTCAACATTACATATTACAACATTACATACACCTTGGGAAAAAACATTATTATACATTATGATGAGGAAGAGAGATGGAAATATACAAAAGTATGTAGGTGCGTGAAAGACACTCGATTGTAGGATCCTATGTGGCAGCATCGGAGTGTGACGGACAACGGGGTAAAGTAGGAGAGTGATAAAAGAGAGAGATGGCAGAACGGGCGCTGGCGCGTACCGCTTAGACGGATGCGCTCAACAAATGCGGTTTGTTTCTCCCATTCGCAGAGTTGCCGATACCAATATGTCATATTTCTAAGAAATCTAAGTCTACCCAAATTTCGGGAAAAATAGCTGCGGATTCCACATAAGAGTATTCCAAAAATAAAAATAGTTCAAACTATTAAAATTGTATTAATGTTTCATGGTTCAAATCATATTTTTCATGTTTGTATATTGTTGTATAAATGATTTTGTAATCCCTATTCTTGTTGCCAGTAGAGATACAACAGTATTGAGAGAAATCATGGACCGCTAGATAGGGCTACAACTACCATATGACTATCAAATAGTAGTGATAAACAGGGTTTGTTTATAGCACAGTTGCCTGGTGTGGAGAATTTGCGCCATAGGGGCGATTTGACAACTTTGAAGGACAACTATAACGGTTACTATGGTGCCCGGTATTCGGGAATCTGACAATACCTGATGATTGCTAACGTTTATTGCGCCAGATTGTTTGCTGACTTGCGCAGTACAACATGACAATCAACGTGACTGAGCACCTGGTAACCCTGGTTTAAGGTGTTATATTTAAAGAGCTTGGGGCAGTTAGGTATCTAGATCACATTTTTTAATGAATTTCGAGAAATCCGTAATGTTGAGTAAATACTAGATCACGTTTCTTGCTTAGTTTGCTGAAAATTCTACAATAGACGTACATTTTGAGAAACAGAGATTTGGTGACGACAAAATCGTAAAAATATAACGCATTTTCGTAAAATAATTTCTTTGTTGAAAAGACTGTGGCTTGATGACCCATTGGACGAGTATAGTGTCCCGCTCCGCTTTGAATGTTCGAAACACTATACTCCAGCAGCATTCAGCTTCAATGTTATCTTTATGAAGTTCTAACGTCTAGGCCATGCTGATTAAAAGCTTGAATGAATCAACACTTAACTCTAAATTCCCCACAATTCGGGAAGCTCTACTCAAATTGGCAACACAGCGTATCTGCCTATTATTCTCATTCGTGATACAGGTCTGCGGTTAACGGTAGGAAATATGTACAAATAGCGATGAAAGTAGACGAGCCGATGCGCTGTTGCCAAGAAATGATTTCCCATGTATAACAATGGTTTTTCCTAAGGTGTATACTTCCATGATAGCAAATATGTTTACAATTTTTTATCAAAATACAATAAATAGCTTAGTATATTACAGCGATCACTTCAAGAGGTTGGTTAGCGGCTCTGTTAAGATTTTTTAAGCCCACACTATTTGCCGGAAATCCAATTTAAATTAGCGTTTTCATTCATCAGGTTCAAGTATGTATAAGTTCTTTTGGGGATATTTCATTAAATATTTGTTTACGAGTCAGCGAGGGAACATTGCCTATTTGACAATATTCGCATTCTAATTGCAGCCATACTGCTCAAAATAGTTAGGAAAAGAGCACGAATATGAGGAGCAGAGAATCGCCACTGCTTGCATCATCTTTCACAACTCATTTCCCGCTGGTACAGCGAAAAAGTTACGAAGAATTTAAACGATATCGTTCATTTTTAGCCACTCTGTATTATGAATATAATTCAATTAATTGAGATGACGCACTGTGCGTCGAGTCTCGGGGACCACAGAACGCCGTCTTATGGAGTCCTAGATTCTAGCACCCCCCACATTTTTTATGATTATATTTATTTGATTTAAAAATAAACTACGCAAATTACATAATGCAATATAATCGCGTTTCTTAAATAGTTATTTATTATTTACATTCAAATGATCAATTTCGGGCAAATGTTAAAAAAACACAAAAATCAAAAAACGTCTGAAGCCATTGATTTTATATATCATATAGGGTGGAATTTGTTGCAATTTAGGTCCCTTACCTTGTCCTGGAAGGAATATAGTGTCTTGACAGTATTTAACCAAAATTAAAAGTAATAATGAAAGTATATTAACACTATATGTATTGGCAAGTGAACAAAATGTGAAAAATGAGAATCTTCAAACTGAATTTGTTTCATACCCATGTTGATTGAGTCCATTTGCAGGAGTCCATTTCATCCAAATGTCAGGATTTTTTCTCATTGTACCATCTCCAGCACATGGAACGTCACATAATACTCTGTCAAATTTAACCTGAAACAGTTTATTTTAGTAAAATACTAAAGTGAAATATGGACATATTTTGTGCAAATCTGTATGCCTGATACTTGGGAAAACAAAATTCAGGTATTGAATAGATAAAAGACTGCGACAGCAAGGATCTGCTTGAATTCAACTATATAAAGACATCTTTATTGGAACAAGGGTGGAAGACACATATTAAAAACACTCAATGCAGTACCTTTTATCAATGTAATGGTTTTTTCCACCAGCATCCACTTTTACACTATTTGTTATTAGTGTGTTCTATTGGGCATTTCAAGTTTCTCGCTAATATCCTGTGTTTTATACTAGATGCATTATTTGTGCACTAAAAATTGCTTAGAAAAATTTACAGGTACAAGGTATTAAGTTCCCAGTATGGACACTTCGATGTCATGCTTCTACACTTTCCTCAAAGTTACTGCAATGGCTAATGAGAGTATAAAAAGTCGGTGACGTACTGAATTTAAATAAGGTGTTAAAGAACTGACAATTAATCAGCCTGCACTTTTCTTTATAATTGCCCTATACCAATACTGACATAGCAACACTTGAGTGCTAAAATGCATCAGTAGATACCGGTGGAAAACTATAAGTATTCTAGTGATATTATTTTTTTGAAATGTTACCTGTTCAGTAGACCCATCAGCCAAAGTTGAGTATAAATTAGGTAGCACAGCACTATCATGATTAATAATCACTATACAAGGTGAATTCAATCTCTTAGCTTGATGTACGAGCATGTAACAGCGTTTATTATCAACGTCATTTGCAATAACAAATCCCGAAGGGATAGGATCATCATTAGCATGCAGCATTTCTAATAGTTGCGCAGTTTTTGAACCAGGAGCTGCACACATGTCTAGTATTTTATGGTGGGGTTGAACATCCAATAGCAATGGCGGTATCATGCTAACTGCCTCTTGACGTGATATTGTTCCATTCTCAGTTTCAGATATTAGGAAATTATGTAATTTATAATAGGCCTCATTTCTGCGAATATCTTTCCTAGTAAGTTCCATTTGCCAAGCAAGTTTATTTGGGTACCATGGTAAAGGAAATATATTTGGAGGATTTCCAGACTCATCCATTTGTTTCACGCAACTTGTGATCAGTTGGTCCTGTACAATTTCCAGCATCTTCTTAGCAACTGTCTTGGATCCGGTAATTCTGAAGGTGGCTGGTAAATCAGTCTTATGGGTAGCAATGAAACTATCGAATTCCTCTGACTTACAGACACCTTGTTTCTAAAATGATACATCAGCAAAAGTTTAAATGAGTTATCCATGAACTTACATTATAATAAGAGACGAATTTTTCATTTTCGCGTATAATATCGTTGTATGGCTTCCTTTCCTTTCCATCTTGTCCATTCTGTTGATTTTGATTTGCCTAAAATAAAAGCATTCTTTATGAGCTCATTTTGACTTTAGCGTGCTATTCACTCAACGATAGAGATACATTCTTAAATTGCCTCACCTTTCCGTGAAAAGTAGCATTTTTTCGAAATCCAGGTTTGCGACGCCCCATCTTTATTACTTCCTTTAATATTTTTATTTTTGAAATTTTGAAAACACAAGGGTTAGAATTCTTAACCTAAAAATGTGGTCGCGTCACGCACGTCACGCGTAATGTGGGGGGTGGGGGAGGGCTTGACGTTTGACAGAAGAGCTATTCTTCCGTGTGTGGTTCCGTGCTCTACAGCGATTTGAGGATTGGGATTGGAGTAACTGGACAGATACCAGAGGAAAAGAATATCCTTTTCTGCCATTTTCGTACCACACAGCTACGGCCATTAAATCCTTTTGTGGATCGAATTTTTTTTGTATAATCTTTGTGAAAATGCAGAACGTAAGAAAATTGAGGATTTCTCCAAAAACAAAATAGTGATAGCTAGATAATAAAGCTGTCGTGCTGCCAATAATGTCAACATTTAAAAATATATTTTTCAAAAGTGGTTCAGAGGTAGATAACGATAAGATAAAAAAGATTGACAGACAGAAAAATAAAAAGAGTTATTCTAAATACGTTTGGTGGTACGAATAATCGGTCCGAGTGAAGAAAACGTGGCCACTGTTGAAATATGTTCAACTAGGCCTAATAAAGGTATCTACTGCAAAATTTTTCTCGAAATCGTTGCGCAACACTTGAAAAAATGGAAATGAAAATTCTCCGTTGGTACACCGGGCTAGGCATCAATCTTTACAGCTATCTTCATCTTGTCACTTTAACCATAAGCTTACCAGATCCAGCCATGATGAAGTTGGATGAAATCAACCGGTGAATTAAAGGATATGCCTACAGTATATTCAGATAAGAGATAGACCGGACATAAACAAGACCACGTGATCATCGACGCTGTAACATTCGGCAGGGACGTATTAAGAGTCACGCAGTACATATTTTAGATAGTAGATGCTGCTTTGCGTAACTTTGTAGTAAATTAGCACAATTCGATGTGTATACGATTGGTGATGGATATAGGATCATGTGGGGGTGGGGTAAGAAATATATAATGATGTAAATATACATAAGGGTTTCAAAATTTTCGCTTCGATTTCCAGCTTCGGATGCCGCCTGATGTTTGGTGAAATACAGTCGAATATAATCTCAAAATGGCGTTTAAATTAGCCTAAATTAAAAATAATCGTATATCTCTTAAAATTGCTTTTAGAATATTGATTAGTATATTTCTTGATTTCTAGGTAAATATGTAACCAAATTAAAACGTTCAGAACGTAAAAAAATGTGCATGGTTGAACATTGTCAGAAAGTAGATTCTTGAATAGGTTTTGCCAAAATGGGTTCAAAAATGTCAATAATTAATTAAAAAATACAGTAGCTTTATAATTACTTATAACTTACCGAATTTGATGAACGACATCTTTTATTGGAAAGATGAGCTTGATGAACTTTCATCATCGCTACTGCCTGAAGCACCAACGTCAATAATGAATGGCTCGACTTGTTCCTCTAAAATATTGTCCAGTTCCCACATTCTCTTTTCAACTTTATCTTTCACGTGCTTAATACAGTTTTCCCATTTTTGCGCTGTTATTAATTCTAGTGCTTCTTTGAAAAGTCCTTTGAGGTCACAAAATTTAAAAGTTGTATTGTGCTTAGCTATATAATTTTTAACCTCTGCCCATATGAGTTCAATGGGATTGAGCTCGCAATGGTATGGAGGTAAACGGAGCACAGTTTTATTTTGACTTGCTGCCATTTCGTCAATGGCGTATTTTTGATATTCCGCCTTGTGATCCTTGACAATTCTTAATAATTGTACTTTCAGCATTGCTTCTTCAAAGTTGATATTTTTCGAGCGGAGCCAATTTTGAACATCAACTTTCCTTGAAGCCGTTGTTGGGACCTTCTCCATTCTTCTAGAATGATAAGGCGCATTATCCAACACAATTACTGCGTTTTCCTCTAAGTTCGGTAAAATTTTTGAAAACCACTGTTCAAACGATTCGCCATTCATTTCCTCGTAGTAATCTCCAGTTTTCTTAGACTCAAAGCACCACAGACCGTCAACAACAAATCCATCCTCACTGCCAATATGGCAGATAATGAGCCTTTTCCCTTTACCTGGAAATCGAAGTACTAACTGGTGTAGATTTATTTCAATAAGCGAACCTTTTTCAAATGTTTTCATCACATTCAGCGAAAAAACATTGAGACATGAGTATCAGATTGCTATAATTGGGATTATTTAGTCATATTGAAAGAAAGAATATTGAACGTCGTATGATTACTCAGCGCTTCACAATTTAATTTAAAGTTATAAACCTTTAAAAAATGAATGATCAGGAACCTGAAATTCGCGCAAATATTAATATTAACAAATTATAACTTTATAAAGCTTAAAGTATGAATTAAAATGATTAGAAATATTAGGAACGGTACACAATATAAAACTTAGTAACTTTTTTTAAGTTTATAATATTCGACATATTTTAAGATTATATTAAAAAATTATTGAAATATCGAAAACACATAAAAACATGGCTTAAAAAAGTTCTAACAAATGAAAATGACAATAAAACATCCACGCATTTTATCGAAAGTTATAAAAGTTTTGTTACTTGTAATATGTTTTATCTGCCCCCTGGAATTAATGTTTAGAACCTTGTTCCCAAGGTTTGAAAAACATCCGATTGATGTCTATTACTCGTATTTACCTGCTGGATTTTTTAATCCGGTCGACAGTCCATCTAGAAAGGCCCTCCTGGATGAAGTTACAGAATCATCAACCTATACTTTACTTGTAGTGTGTCCTGCGTTTACCCACGTTTCATCAAGGTAATAAATCTTCCTGTTTTGATTTCTATATTTCCCATTTTTTGTTAAATAATCCCTCCTCCATAGCACAATTTCTTCTCTATCCAGTAGTAAACTATTACGACCCCGTTTTTTTCATTTGAAATTTAAATGCTTCAGTAACGCATGGAAAGTTGATCGTTTGAAATTTGGCAACGTTGTATCTCCATTTACCTCCTGCAGTACTTTATCTATAGTAGGTATTTCATTCCTAAAGAAGAATTCATGCACTTTCCTCCTAATCGCATGCTTATCAGCTTCATCCAATGATTTAACAATACTTTTGCGATGTTTACTGGTCATTGGCTCAGAAAAGGTGTGATTTTTTTGTATTGTCTTAACACATTAAACACTGATGCGCGACACACCCCAACTTTGTGAGAAACCTTCACAACAATTTCTTTGATGGTTGATGCCTCGTTCTCCTCGCGCTCGATCTTATATATATTCAAAATGACCTCTTTCATTTCTGCACTCAGGTGTCTTTTTTCATCGACAGTATCTGTACTACTGGGCATTTTGCGCAAGCAGTTGATAACAATAACAATCAATAACAAGGTATAACAATAACAACGACAAACTCAACAACTTAATAAGATAACAAACGAAAACGTCCAAAGAAATATCAAATTGCAATGATGCACATGACATACGTAACACGTCTGAACCTGAATGTGACTCTGCCTTGATACGACTGCTCTGCCGCTCGGCATAGGCATTTAATTGCGAATTGACCAATGAGGGCTCCTGTTTTACGTCGAGACGGCGGCGTTAGCGTGAAAATCACCCGAACCTTTTGTTTACATCCGGTCTATCTCTTATCTGAATATACTGTACTTATATTGAAAACATGGCAGCGAATGTCAATGGTGTTGTCATTCGAATTTTTAGTAAGCGTTCTTTCCGTTTCATCATTGCAAATTGTCCTTTCCGTGTTCCGTCTATGTTTTGTTCTTCTTTTTCCCGTTGTTCCGTCTTCCGTCGTTCCATGCTTCTTCCTAGATCCTCCTGTCCTGTCTTTTCTGTGTCGGATTTTTTGGAAAGTACACGGTACTTTTAAAATGTCGTAAGTATTCTTCAAATATCTAAATAATCCATAATTAAAGATGTGTTTTAGAGTCGCCTATATTTCTATATCCAACATTTTCGCAATGAAACAATCATATTTCATTTCCCAGGTCAAAAGTTTCGAGGGAAACACTCTACGAGTGCACTAATGCAGTCCTGGAGAAGTCTCAGGAAAAGAAAAGGAACTTTTTGGAAACTGTGGAGATCCAAGTTGGTCTGAAGAATTATGATCCCCAGAAGGACAAGCGTTTCAGTGGAACTGTAAAGTACGTAACCTGAAAGAGAACTTTTTGTAGGTTATAATTCACACGTTTCCATACAAATGATCAAATTTTTGCGAAAATACTGCAGAAAGTTCTTGAATCAGGAAGCCAAAATGTTGGCGGACCTGTACCCAGGGTCTTAAAACAACTGGGAAGATAGATCTGGATTCAATCCAGAGCTATCGATCATTTTGTTATTTGGACATTTCTACCATGTGGTAAGTTTAGATGTCGCAAAAACCTCTGTAATACTGTTTTTCTTGGTGCCCTACAAAATGTACAATTGGTTTGTTTTTGTGCAGACTAAAGCACATCCCCAGACCAAAAATGCAGGTGTGTGTTTTGGGAGATCAGCAGCATTGCGATGAAGCAAAGGCGAATGGCGTCCCGTACATGGATGTTGAAGCCCTGAAAAAGCTTAACAAGAACAAGAAGTTGGTGAAAAAACTGGCCAAGAAATATGATGCATTTTTGGCTAGTGAAGCTCTGATCAAACAGATCCCTCGTCTGTTGGGTCCTGGTCTAAATAAGGCAGGTAAATTCCCTGGCCTGCTGTCCCACCAGGAATCGATGACCCAGAAGATTGATGAGGTTAAGGCTACCATCAAGTTCCAGATGAAGAAGGTAGGTTGATCCAACATTTGTTTTTATATGACTATTTTGCAGAAAATTATGGAAATATTGGGGAAATTGAGTAGTCTGAGTAAAAAAATAAGGAAAAGCTTAATGAGTTCATCACCTTGTATTTTTTTTAATGTTGGTTCCTGTAAAGGTTAAAACTTTAAAAGCACATATCGTTAGCTGATTTCCAGTTTTGCTAATTGTTGTCATTTATCCAGAATCAATTGAAAAATTCTTTTTTGAAACCTCAGGTAACTGAGATAAAAAAGGTTGCCAGATTACCCACAATTTTTTTATTGATGCTTAATTTTTTTATAAATGCATCTACTTTTATAAAAAATACGTATTTTAAAAACTTTCATCTCACTTCTTTTTGCATAGAAATTTTGATTTTGCACTTGTCTTTTGTCATTTTGAGGAGTATCTGTAATTATAGGATAACTGCTGATTATGTGGTGAGCTTTCAAAATTCCTCATATTGACAAATGACAATTCTGACGGATCTGTCAACACCAAGTAAACAGCCATATTTGGTTTTGGTTTTTTGTACACTACTTATTCATTCTGTACTTGCTAACAACTCTTTTATTCAGAAAAGTCTATTTGCATACAAAACAAAAACGCTACAAGTTTTACACCCAATTCATCATTGCCAACATTACAGCCTAATACAACATGTCACTTGCTGATCAGTAGAGGTAAAAACATGATGGATACTCACGAAATAGGTTTTGTTAATACTATGTATGTAGAATTAATGAGGAAGACTCTAGAGTGAATATTTATATTATTTTTTTGATATTTTGATTATATTGGCAGCATTGTTAAGCCAGCAAGATCACCATTATCTATGTGATAAATTGTATGGAAAAACAGTGCAATATAAAACGTGTGATATAACTACCTACTTCAACATTTAAATTTGAAGTTGGTTTTAAATCACCCTACAAGCGTTTATTAGCAAATTAGCCAGAAGTTCCACAAGAATTTGAAGTTCAAAAAGCACCTGGGTCCATATTTGTTTCACGGTTTTAAACGTTTCTCTTTTTTTCAGGTCTTGTGCCTTTCTGTGGCTGTTGGACATGTTGGCATGGCTCCTGATGAGCTGGTACAAAACGTGCACTTGTCAATCAACTTTTTGGTGTCTCTGCTGAAGAAACATTGGCAGAACGTGAGGTCATTACACATCAAATCCACTATGGGGCCCCCACAGAGGATATACTAAGTGATTATTTTTATATTGTTACTTACATACTTGTGTATGTATCCTAAATAAAATGACTAAGATATTAAAGATGTGTATATTATATTGAACCAGCAACCCATCCTGCATTTACAGTTAAAATATTTGGAGGAAATCTGTATCACAATAACAGTTTTAACTCGAAAAAGTGTGGCTTGCTTAATTTCAAATTATATAATAAATTATGAGAAAGATTAAAATATTTTCAAAATGTCAATCCAAAAGGTTATCTTAAAAATAAATGTCTGAGCAATCCGGAACTTATTTTACTCAGAACTGCTATTATAGCATTGAAATATTAGGATTTATTTCAAAATGATCGAAAACTTCAACTTTGTGGCTTCATCCAAACTCTGATCACGTTTTTTATTTGCAACATGTTAAGTTATCTTTCCCGGATATCTGGCGTTAAACGTGACGGAAGTTTGCCGAGCACATGGATTTTGGACACCATAAATTGGAATCATTTCGGTTAGTGTGTAAACCATTTTGGAAGTAAAATCTGAATAAACTAATTTTTACTATCCCAAGATTGTCACAAAGTTAACTGACAGCAAATTAAATTCTTTCCTTCCCTTAGTAACAAATAACTAAACAGGTATAACAATAAATACAGTTGCCCAGGATATCTGTGTTGACGAAAAGAATGCGCAAAAATTCGGGTTGTTATTTGGTCGTTGCCACGTCTAATCTTCCAAATTGCTGTTTATAAAGTCGAAATCACGAAAGATGACGATTACGTCATCATTTTAGTCTGTAGTAAAGACAAACGACAGAGATTTGTGGATATTTTTAATGAAGTTTCAGATATGTTAGACAGAGACAAATATGATTTTATTGTCTACACTAACTGTATTGCTAATTTGCATGTATCCGACAAAGATAGACGATGTTTTCATGTTGCATGATCGATCATATTTGAAAGATGAATAGTTAGGTTATGTAGAAGCAGGTTAGGTTGTTTTTGAATAACACTTTGGTCTTTGGTGTTCCTGTCTCAAGGTATTCTACTCATAGCTTCTTTTTTCAAAACAAAAACTCCCCTCTAAAATTATTACGGTATCACTCAAAACCATGAAATAAAATGAAAATAAAAATCAGTGAATTAACCTAACTTCGCAAAATCATGATATAAATTTGTTGTCATTATAGGTATATTCTTTAATCCACCGGTTGAGCTACCGGTGGAACCGGTTAGCCAATTTTGCGTCCTTTAATTTCCGCTGGAACGACCGTTTCTACATCAAACTTGTTTTTATATTGATGGTGGATATGCCACCGGTGCCAACAGCATCCACCGACGTACGGGCTCGGTTGATCCACGATATTCAAACATCTACGATTTTATCAGTTTTTGACAACTACAGTTTAGTGTGAAAAAATGGAAGAAAAGATTGAAGTTATTTTACAGCATAGGTGTCGCGTGAAATTTATTGTTTTTTTTTTCAACACAATTCGAAATAAACGGAGTATCTGAAAGCAAGTGAATTTGTTTTGAATTATGGATATCGACGATCTCAAATCAATACCTCGTAAGTCCGAAAATGTCGATTTTATGATTTTGTTCCTGTATGCATACAAGAATGCTCTCAGAAAATCCATATCGATGGTTCTTATTGGGAAAGCATCGACGATCTCAAATCAATGCCCCTTATTGATTTGAGATCGTCGATATCTGCAAATTTCTTGGTTTTCTGATTTATAGTTCTTATATTGATTCTCGGAGCGCAAATTCTCTCCGCTGGATAACTTCTTCATCCGAATCATTACTCGAATCACTTAACAAACGTTCCACGATAATACCAACTGCTGCGTACATTGCCATAATGTTTTAAATGATACGGTGTTCAAATTAACAAGTATCATTTACGATAAAACAAAGGTTAGGTTTTCTCATATGCCGGCAACCTGAAGGCTAAAAATGCGTCTTTTTATTAACGACCATTCAACGGAACCGGTTGATGACGTCATCACATCAGCTGTCAACCATAAGCTCACCGGATCCATCAGTGATGGAATCAACCGGTGAATTAAAGAATATACCTTACGTTCCTGACATTGTGATTTTATCATCGACGTACGTCCATTGATTACTTCAGTACAATTTATAGTATGACGTAATAGTCATCTTTCGTGACTTTGACTTGTATGTTGGTAGTTACTGGTTTTAAATTATAAACGAATTGTAGATTTGGCCAACACTAACAGGTAACATTTTTAACACTTATTGAAATAAAAAGTGATATTTTCGTGTGTTTTTGTCTTCTATCTTAACAAATTAAGATACAGATTTTTCTAATGTTCTCTAAAACGAATCGACTGATTCCAAAAAATCAAACGTCAAAATAAAGGACTTCGCAATACTTTTTAAACAAGCTATTACTTATCTTTGAAATTTTTAAGGGCATGGCTCTGAGGGACCGAGGGTGAAGTAGTTTTTGTTTAAAAAGTTGTCCCCCCGTAGAACTCGGTTGACATGTCTCGGCGTTTTTTCTTTTAATCAGTGCTTTTCGATAAATCTGTGGTGTGAAGTTTTGGAAATATTAAAGCTTTGTCGGTACTACCTGAAACGGAACTACAAACTGGAAGTAGGTATTTGTCATCTACTACCACGATTTGTCTTTCTCAGGTCTAGCGTCTCGTTAATGCAACAAAAAAATGACACTGAAAAGGAGGTCAATCATCAAAAACAACATTTTATACAATGTACATATTACATTTATTGACGTATGCTAATTTTTGGCATATACATCGGAACACTATTTTATAAATGCACACATCTATTTCTTGCTAATCGGATAAATTTGAGCGTATAAAAAATATTACAAAACTATGAATAAATTGTACAAACTACAAAATTTCGGGTCACAGCTTTCCGTTCCTATCTATACATCCATAATAAATAATACTTTCAAAATATACCTTTTTTCATACAATAAAATTTATCACAATAAATTATGCAAAAAGGAACATTCTCTAACATGATAGGTACAATCAAATTATGTGGAATACATCCTATGAACGCTGGTTTTCCGCTGCAAATAATTTCTGTACAAACTATTACGTTTCATGATTCAAATTTACACTTGATGTTTTATATTTCCTGCACAACCCATACTCAAGTTAGTTTTATCATACAACATGTCTAACATTTAAATATAGATCTAAAAATAACAAAGAAACGTTTTCACGAGTTCAAATCACCGCATTTTCTGACGTTATTTGATAAACGGCCAGAGAAGTTTTTGTGGTTATAGCAATCCGCTTTGAGAACTCGTAAAGCTATATGATTGATGTCTGCTTACGTTAAAAATAGTTTCTAATTCTACCAAACCAAAGTGAAATCTGTTTGGAATGAACCATAAACCTATTTACATTTCCTACGACAATGAACGAACATGTTTTTAACAGGCTAGTCCGCAGGTTTTATTACTATTTTTCAGTATTTGAACAACAAATATGGCAGACCAGTACTATACAGGGTGTTTCAAACTCGACCCTCATCATTGGGACCTAGAAAACTGTAAGACATACGATGACGCTTAAATAGTGGCAAAGTTGCGTTTTTAGGTAATCAACAAAAAGCCGCTCAGAGAGTTTCGAACTTCAAAGTACTTCAGGAGAGAGAGAGAGAGAGAGAGAGAGAGAGAGAGGGGAAAATGAATTTTCCCAAAATAGTTTTAATTTTTTCCTGACTTTATTTATAGTGGGATTTCAAAATAAATTGCACATTAACATTGCCACTTTTCTCCTCTATAGATGGCACATAGTCATTTGTTTCGCACACTAGATTAATTCCAAAATCACTTTTATAACTTCCTGATTTTCTTTAAGATGGGATTTCAAAATAAATTGCATGTTGTTATTGTTACTTATTCTCCTCCAAGTCAAATTTCCTATTCAACATTTCTCCTTTCGACTTCCATCACCAACTTTGTGTTTTCATGTGGACGCTATAGTCGAAATCACGAAAGATGACAATAACGTCATCATTTTAGTCTGTAGTAAAGACAAACGACAGCGATTTGTGAATATATTTAATGAAGTATCTGATATGCTACACAGAGACAAACAGAATTTTATTGTCTAAACAAACTGTATTGCTAATTTGCATGTATCCGACAAAGATAAACGATGTTTTCATGTTGCATGATCGATCATATTTGAAAGACGAATAGTTAGGTTATGTTAAAGCAGGTTATGCTGTTTTCGAATAATACTTTGGTCTTCTTGTCTTAAGGTATTCTACTCATAACTGTTTTTTCAAAACAAAAACTCCCCACTAAAATTATGATTAAGGTATCACTCAAAACCATGAAATAAAATGAAAATAAAAATAATTAGTGAAATAACCTAACTTCGAAAAATCATAATATAAATTTGTTGTCATTTTGTTTCTGACTCGTGATTTTATCATCGACGTACGTCCATTGATTACTTCAGTACAATTTATGGTATGACGTAATAGTCATCTTTCGTGAATTTGACTATATATTGGAACTTCAGTATTGTATTTCGTTAGTTGGCCATCAGTTTGTTGTTTGATAGCAATTATAACGAGCACAAAGTGAATTCCATCTCAAATAAAGTCAGTAAAAAATAAAAATAATTTTGAGATAAATCTAGTTGGCAAAACAAATGACCGATAATTTCAAGGCCTACCTAGGTTATCTTGCTTTTTTTTAAACAACTAAGGCTATGAAAAGGAGATAAACAAATTGCTACTCACAAAATGTGTTCTAGAAGTAAGGTAATATATTTTAAAGGACGATTATGGATTTTTAAAATAAACTTCGTATGTGACGTCTTAAATTTCGATATACAGTTTTTGTGTTTTGCTGCATAAAAATTCTCACGGTGTTTGCGTAAAAAATAAGAAACATTTCTCTACACGGTCAAATTGGCTGTAATGTGGAAATTGATAGAATATAGCAAACCACATAATAAGATTTTATTATTTGGGGATGGGAATTATAAAACTCATTTTTGTTAGGTACTTGTGGCATACCATATTTTTTTTAAAAACTATTTACTTCAAATCCCGGATTAACGCCACTAGAAGAAAGATATGCTATACATAATAAAATGCATCAAACGTATAGTAACTGTCTACCAGATTCCACTGAAATATCTTGATATAAAAAAGACGATTATTTGAAAACTTTATCGTGCATCTCAAATTTCTCCTCTTTTATGTATGACTTATTCTTAAAATTAACTCAAGACTCATCCTTTTAAATATTTCACCTTACTATACAGGGTGTTCGAAAAATAGAAGGATATATTTTACAGGGTGATTCCTATGAAGAAAAGTTTCTATAAACATGGGCCCACAAAAAAAGATACAGGGTGATAAATTTAATATATTTTTTCATTGATATCTTAAAAAATATTTACTCAATTCTGTTGAAATTTGGCAATATTATTTGTTGTATTAATTTAGTCCTGAATAGATTAAAATTATTAGGTTCAGTGGCGCTCCCGGGGGGCACCTTAGTGAATATTATCGGCAAACAAATTCACCCTCTAAAATATCTCCGTCTATTTTTCGAACACCCTGTATACTCATACATGAATGCAGAATGCATTGTAATGGACCGACCTGAAGAAACAAAAACTTATCAATATTATTGTGCGTAATATACACATACGAGTATATTGTGAAAGGAACGTATTTTGCATAACAAAAGATTTTTTTGGAATATGCTCCTTTGTATAATAGATACTGTATTATTTGAACATTTATTTTATGCCAATTTAGTGATGGCGCATATTTGAAATTACAGATTTGTCGGTATTATTATCTCTGTTAATATTCGAGTGATTATACATATATACACATGATTTAATGATACGGGAAATCAAAAAGTACTTACTTTGATAATTTGTTGCCAATCTTGTTAAACGTATTCTACTCAAGTGACGCAGAACTACTGATTTTAAATAGCATGAAAGGTAGATAAATGTTCTCAACGTTCCACAAACCTTACTTTTTACGTGGAGACCTACAAGGCCCATAATTATAATGGAAAAGAATAATGATTATGTGGAAAAGGAAGTAAAAAATGTAAAAGAATCTTCGCTATTTCAAATACCCTGATATAAAGTTAGTATAACTTTTAAATCTGACGTTTAACATTCAACATTGACGTATACACTACATGATATTGAATCACCTTCAGCAGGATCATTTGTAACTTGGGAATCACGAAAGTTGTTATCAAACGCCCCTAACAAAGGGTGTGGTCGCAATTGCATGTAGATCTTATCTCAAATATAGATATAGTCCAAGTTATTTATACGAGTCGCAAGTTACATAATGACCCGGTATTCTGGAAAGCCTGCGTATTGTTATTGCAATTTCCAATATAATACTTTCAAATTACTCTATTTTTTGCGTATAGACAGTGACGGTTTTGTGAGGAGGAGCCGGATCGAATACAGTTTCTCCATTCACTTTGTAGTCCGCGTAATCCATGGACCAGTGCAGCTGGAAACCCAGTCGCTTGAGCGCACATGCAGTGAAATGACTCGTACAGTCCACTGTGACGAACCCGCATCCTTTTTCTTTAGCCAGCTCCCTAAAAACGAAATTGAAAATTAATGTTCGGTGCACTTCCTTGCTGAGGTCAATTTTATGGCTCCTCTTCACAATCGGCGATTACAAAGAGAGAGTAGAGGGCATACTCGGCTGTACTCGCCGATCATCGTCTATGATCGCCTTCGACCCGTGAATTGTCGGTTTTTTTGATCAATTTTTAACTGTTGCATAAACGTTTATACAACTATTTTATACGGCATATTTGCAGGTTAGTCAAAATGGTTGTGTTGTTGCATCCATGGTAACGTTTATAAAACAAACCCGAGCCTTGTTGTTTTGCTGTGCAAATTTACTACTTTAGCCAACAAATTGCTCCCAATGGAAGCACTTATACAACTGTTGTTTAGTAACTGTTAAAGGCTGTACATATGCTAAATATGTTGGTATACAACTTCACCATAACCTAACTTTCTGCTGTCATATTTTTGTTAAAATGCCATAACCAATGTTTTAAGACAAACAACGCATGCATATTGGTTGAAAAGGTTTTATCAACTGTTCAAACAGAAGATATCGATCTGGTACAAATTCTAGGTAAATCATTCGACTCTGTCGGTATTTCATTTCTGACATTTGTCAAATTGTTGTATAACTCCTGCAGGCAACACTAAAATATTCTAATAAACTAAAGACAACATGGACGATGCCATGATTATACACAATCACCTGCCATATTGGGCAAACATTTATTCCTCTATTTGATATTAAATAATTATGTTTCAGTTCGAAATTACAGATATAAAGTGATAAACATTAGTGCAATTGTGTCTAAATATAGGATTTGTGGAAGATTTAACGCAGATAAGTTCAGTTTTCCATCTTAAAAATCTAGACATAGTTTTGATCATTATCAAAATATGAATCAAATACGAAGCCCGTAGAAATTGCGTAACTACTTTGCACGATAATCACAATAAAATTTGCTGCGCAAGTAATTCAATAGCCCTATATCACAGTGTAGAAGTTTATCATATACCTGTGTATGAAATTCACAATGGCCGCTATGTAAGTAAACAAGTATTGTGGTAGTTATATATTCTTCACTTCGTCTATACAATACATATGAAATAGTTTGGTTGCAATAAAATAGAATCACGTAACAGAATAGATGTATAGTTGACAAAAACTGAATTTTGCACTGACGCAAATGTCCTCTAGCGGCTGCAAGAGGCTTAATGTTGGACCAGCGAAAGATTGCAAGCCGAAAGAATGCGGACAAAAAATTGCGAAGTTGTCAGATGTTCTACATAAAATGCGGTCCATACATATTAACATATTTAAGATATAGAATTGTTCCGCTGAATTTGGCAATGTAGCTGGAAAACCCAGGCCGCAGGTAAACATCCGGTCGCTGATTGGTCCAAAACTCTTATCTTATCTGAAACTAGAATAACGTGCCGATGGCACGGTCATTTATAAACCTACTCCCATAGGCGTAGGCAGTTGGCAAATACTTTGAAAATATAATTTACTGTTTAGTGGTGATAATGGAATTCAAGCATGGGAAAGTTATTCACAGCCAGGCAAGGGAAATAATAGCAAACGTGATACGTGCTTGCGATGCAGAAGCGGCTAACAATACTTTCGTTTATCCACTGGTAGCTAGAAATGCAAGGGCGGCATATTATACGGGTGTTAGTGAACGAACTATAAGTAAAATTAGAAAAGAAGATAAAGACAGGCAAAATGCAACCTCCACACAGCCTTTAGCTTCTCCCGGAAAAAAGAGATCACGCCCTTCTGTGATCCAAAAAATTGATGGAGTCGATTTTTCCATTATTCGGAGAATGATAGAAAAATTTTACTGTGATTTTAAAGTGGTACCTACTTGTAGTAAACTTCTAATCAAACTGAAGGAAGAAATGGAATTTCCATTTGGTAAAGAATCGTTGAGGCTGCTTTTAAAAGCAAAAGGATTTTACTGGCGTAAATGCCACAACAAAAGGAAATTACTAATGGAAAGACCCAGTATTTTACATTGGCGATACAAGTATCTTAGGTCTATTAAAAAGTTCCGGGAAGAAGGAAGGCATATTATTTATTTGGACGAAACTTGGGTTGATAATGACCTCACTTTCAAGAAATGCTGGCAAAGCGAAGAAATTATGGGTGTCCTGAGCAATATAAGTTCTACAGGTAATAAAGTTTCTTTCACCTCGATTTTGCTTATTATACATTTTTCTCAATTTTGGAATATTCTTAATAAGTGCTCATTTAATTTGTCTAATTGAATACATAATCCCTTGCAAGTATTTTTTTCTCAAAAATATGTTTTTTATACATAGTGATTCAAAAAGGTGTTGGCAAACTTAAAATAACACTAAAATGAGGCTATTTATTCATTTCCAGGACGACTTATAATTGTTCATGCGGGTTCGCAAGATGGTTTTGTTCCTGGAGCCTGTCTCATTTTCAAGGCTGGCTGTGCCACTGGTGATTATCACGGTCAAATGAACCAAGAAAATTTCACGAAGTGGCTTACTGAAAAACTATTTCCTAACATTCCTCCTAATAGTATTATAATAATGGATAATGCACCTTACCATTCAGCTTTGGAAGACAAGCCTCCAACTAGATCTTCTCTAAAAAGAGACATCATCACGTGGTTGAGCAAAAAAGGTATAGAGCATGATCCTAATGCTAAAAAAATGGAGCTTTATGAAATAGCTTGTCTACATAGGCCACCATCTGATGAGAAAAATTATAAGATAGATAATTTAATAAGAAGTTTCGGACACACCCCACTTCGAACGCCACCCTATATGTGTCAGTTTAATCCCATAGAGATGATTTGGGCACAAGTAAAATTTTTCATTAGAAGCCATAATACAAGCGGCGAATTTACTATAAAAAAACTAGATGAAATTTCTAATAAGGCCATCGCTTCAGTAAGTGCCAGTGACTGGCAAAAGGTTATTGGACATGTTATAAAAATTGAAGATGAATATTGGGAAAAAGACAGTCTCATTCAAGAAATACAGGAAGAAATAATAATCAACATAGGAGGTGAAAGTGATAGCAATGACAGTTCCTCAGACAGTGATCATGACTCTAATCAGGATTGAAACTATACTAGATTGGCTACCTTTTAGAATTTTTAGATATTCATTTATTATACTATTGGTTTGTGGCTTTTAGTATCTCAGTAGAAAGTCTAATTCTATGTGTTGTTTATGGGTTATTTCATCAAGAAATTACTTTTTGTTTTCCTATATTTTTCTATTCAGTCAGATATTTTTGACTTGTTGTATTCTATTTTAGAAGAATGCATAATTTGTTTTGCTGTTCAATCATAATGCGTACATAGGAATATTACTTGTTGCCTAAAAAATATATTTATTTTGTTCTCAATATTCAGTGTTTGTGTATATTTATTTCTTATAATGTATGTTTGGTATCACGTCATTATGAATCGCAAAAAAATATTAATACTACCAGTTGTAATAAAATATAAATTCAATTAATAATTCAAGTCTCTCCGATCTCCGCCTATGACTCCATATAAAATCGTCTAATGGTAAGGTTTTTTCATCGCATTTCCCCCTTTCGTCCCTAGCAATCTTTGGCTGGTCGATCAGTACACTTTTGTTGTATAAATGTTACCTGCAGCCCTTATACAACCTCTTAAATGACTTCATGCAGTTTGGCGGCGACAACTCCGGATGCATGTGTTGGTGCGTTATCGTGGTGAAACAGCACCTTCTTTTTCGTCAAATGTGTCTCCTTGAATTTTTTGTCGAAGCGGTCCAATAATTCTATAGTATTGTCCAGTGATCGTACTTCCTTTTTCTGAAAAATACACGCGGTTCGCATCCCAAAAAGCCGTCGCCAAGACCTTTCCGGCCGATGGGACCGTCTTCGCCTTCTTTGGAGTAGATTCACCTGAAGACATTCATTGTTTTGATTGTTGCTTAGTTTCTGGTGTGTAATGATCAGTTTTTGACAACTACAGTTTTGTGAGAAAAATGGAAGAAGAAAAGATTGAAGTTATTCTACAGCATAGGAGTCGCGTGAAATTTAATGTTTTTTTTTCAACACAATTCGAAATAAACAGAGTATCTGAAAGCAAGTGAATTTGTTTTGAATTATGCGTATCGACGATCTCGTCGATTTTCTCATTTTGTTCTGTTTTTATTCCTGTATGTATACAGGAATTCTCTTAGAAAATTCATATCGATGGTTCTTATTCGGGAAGCATCGATGATCTCAAATCAATGCCTCGTATTGATTTGAGATCGTCGATATCTGAAAATTTCTTGGTTTTCTGATATATAGTTCTTATATTGATTCTCGGAGCGCAAATTCTCTCCGCTGGATAACTTCTTCATCCGAATCATTACTCGAATCACTTAACAAACGTTCCACGATAATACCAACTGCTGCGTACATTGCCATAAAGATATTAAATGATACGGTGTTCAAATTAACAAGTATCCATTTACGATAAAACAAAGGTTAGGTTTTCTCATATGACGGCAACCTGAAGGCTAAAAATGCGTCTTTTTATTAACGACCATTCAACGGAACCGGTTGCTGACGTCATCACATCAGCTGTCAACCATAAGTTCACCGGATCCATCAGTGATGGAATCAACCGGTGAATTAAAGAATATACCTATTAACTTTCCTCAGGAACGCCCTCTCTTGTTAAACACGGGTACTTATTGAATCGGACTCGTAAAAATGGTTGCAGCAACTCACTCCACGTCCATATTGATGCTTGCACTATGATCGTGTCTATTATAAACGATAAACGATTTGCAGAAAAATGCAAGCAAAACACAAGCGTTTAAGCAACGTCGACAGGAGTGTGTTACGAACTTGAACAATCTGGTCAGAGAAAAATATCGACGACCTTGTTTCAATCAAAAGCAAGTCCTTGTTCAGTGTTGACAGTTTAACGTGCAAACACTAAGCTAACGGCAGAAAGAGTAGTTAAGTTAAAGACTTCATGTCCACTGATGTGGAACAAAAATAATTTTTATCACGTTGCGTACAAGAATACAGGCAGGCATATCCTGACTGTAAAAATGAAAGTTTGTCACGAAAATTTAGTGAATGATGTTAGCTCAAGCGTCATGAGGTTTAGGCAACACGTCCAGCTACACAACGTGTGCACATCAAGTAAAAAACAGCTACAGTATATTCAGATAAGAGATAGACCGGACATAAACAAGACCACGTGATCATCGAACGCTGTAACATTCGGCAGGGACGTATTAAGAGTCACGCAGTACATATTTTAGATAGTAGATGCTGCTTTGCGTAACTTTGTAGTAAATTAGCACAATTCGATGTGTATACGATTGGTGATGGATATATGATCATGTGGGGGTGGGGTAAGAAATATATAGTGATGTAAATATACATAAGGGTTTCAAAATTTTCGCTTCGATTTCCAGCTTCGGATGCCGCCTGATGTTTGGTGAAATACAGTCGACTATAATCCAAAATGGCGTTTAAATTAGCCTAAATTAAAAATAATCGTATATCTCTTAAAATTGCTTTTAGAATATTGATTAGTATATTTTTTGATTTCTAGGTAAATATGTAACCAAATTAAAACGTTCAAAACGTAAAAAAATGTGCATGGTTGAACATTGTCAGAAAGTAGATTCTTGAATAGGTTTTGCCAAAATGGGTTCAAAAATGTCAATAATTAATTAAAAAATACAGTAGCTTTATAATTACTTATAACTTACCGAATTTGATGAACGACATCTTTTATTGGAAAGATGAGCTTGATGAGCTTCCATCATCGCTACTGCCTGAAGCACCAACGTCAATAATGAATGGCTCGACTTGTTCCTCTAAAATATTGTCCAGTTCCCACATTCTCTTTTCAACTTTGTCTTTCACGTGCTTAATACAGTTTTCCCATTTTTGCGCTGTTATTAATTCTAGTGCTTCTTTGAAAAGTCCTTTGAGGTCACAAAATTTAAAAGTTGTATTGTGCTTAGCTGTATAATTTTTAACCTCTGCCCATATGAGCTCAATGGGATTGAGCTCGCAATGGTATGGAGGTAAACGGAGCACAGTTTTATTTTGACTTGCTGCCATTTCGTCAATGGCGTATTTTTGATATTCCGCCTTGTGATCCTTGACAATTCTTAATAATTGTACTTTCAGCATTGCTTCTTCAAAGTTGATATTTTTCGAGCGGAGCCAATTTTGAACATCAACTTTCCTTGAAGCCGTTGTTGGGACCTTCTCCATTCTTCGAGAATGATAAGACGCATTATCCAACATAATTACTGCGTTTTCCTCTAAGTTCGGTAAAAGTTTTGAAAACCACTGTTCAAACGATTCGCCATTCATTTCCTCGTGGTAATCTCCAGTTTTCTTAGACTCAAAGCACCACAGACCGTCAACAACAAATCCATCCTCACTGCCAATATGTCAGATAATGAGCCTTTTCCCTTTACCTGGAAATCGAAGTACTAACTGGTGTAGATTTATTTCAATAAGCGAACCTTTTTCAAATGTTTTCATCACATTCAGCGAAAAAACATTGAGACATGAGTATCAGATTGCTATAATTGGGATTATTTAGTCATATTGAAAGAAAGAATATTGAACGTCGTATGATTACTCAGCGCTTCACAATTTAATTTAAAGTTATAAACCTTTAAAAAATGAATGATCAGGAACCTGAAATACGCGCAAATATTAATATTAACAAATTATAACTTTATAAAGCTTAAAGTATGAATTAAAATGATTAGAAATATTAGGAACGGTACACAATATAAAACTTAGTAACTTTTTTAAGTTTATAATATTCGACATATTTTAAGATTATATAAAAAAATTATTGAAATATCGAAAACACATAAAAGCATGGCTTAAAAAAGTTCTAACAAATGAAAATGACAATAAAACATCCACGCATTTTATCGAATGTTATAAAAGTTTTGTTACTTGTAATATGTTTTATCTGCCCCCTGGAATTAATGTTTAGAACCTTGTTCCCAAGGTTTGAAAAACATCCGATTGTTGTCTATTACTCGTATTTACCTGCTGGATTTTTTAATCCGGTGGACAGTCCATCTAGAAAGGCCCTCCTGGATGAAGTTACAGAATCATCAACCCATACTTTACTTGTAGTGTGTCCTGCGTTTACCCACGTTTCATCAAGGTAATAAATCTGCCTGTTTTGATTTCTATATTTCCCAATTTTTGTTAAATAATCCCTCCTCCATAGCACAATTTCTTCTCTATCCAGTAGTAAACTATTACGACCCCGTTTTTTCCATTTGAAATTTAAATGCTTCAGTAACGCATGGAAAGTTGATCGTTTGAAATTTGGCAACGTTGTATCTCCATTTACCTCCTGCAGTACTTTATCTATAGTAGGTATTTCATTCCTAAAGAAGAATTCATGCATTTTCCTCCTAATCGCATGCTTATCAGCTTCATCCAATGATTTAACAATACTTTTGCGATGTTTACTGATCATTGGCTCAGAAAAGGTGTGATTTTTTTGTATTGTCTTAATACATTAAACACTGATGCGCTACACACCCCAACTTTGTGAGAAACCTTCACAACAATTTCTTTAATGGTTGATGCCTCGTTCTCCTCGCGCTCGATCTTATATATATTCAAAATGACCTCTTTCATTTCTGCACTCGGGTGTCTTTTTTTAGAGCGTTTCCTAGGTGGACTACAGGAGTTTACAACTTCATCGGCAGTATCTGTACTACTGGGCATTTTGCGCAAGCAGTTGATAACAATAACAATCAATAACAAGGTATAACAATAACAACGACAAACTCAACAACTTAATAAGATAACAAACGAAAACGTCCAAAGAAATATCAAATTGCAATGATGCACACGACATACGTAACACGTCTGAACCTGAATGTGACTCTGCCTTGATACGACTGCTCTGCCGCTCGGCATAGGCATTTAATTGCGAATTGACTAATGAGGGCTCCTGTTTTACGTCGAGACGGCGGCGTTAGCGTGAAAATCACCCGAACCTTTTGTTTACATCCAGTCTATCTCTTATCTGAATATACTGTAGTTCCAAGTTGACATCTTATAGAAAAAGCTACATAATGTCGCAAAAAACCTACATAATGTAAAAAACGACATTATGTCACTTTTCACGATACAAAGAAGCTTCTGTGTGAGGTCATAGTACCAGAGTTTGCACCAGAGTAGCTGATCAACAGCTTTTGAAGTATCAAAGGCAATGACGTGAGCCTCTACACGAGTGTGACGTAAGCTAAGAGACATAAGCGAGTAGGTGTGAAGTGTAGAACTTTCTCGGCAGAAGCAAAGTTTTCTTTTGCGCTGTTTGCTGATAAAGTATACCACACTTGACTTTAAGTGACATCTTAGGGACCTTAAGAATCCAACAGATTTCGTTCGCATTTCAAAACCGCACCGGAATGGAATTGAATTCGCCACGCTCCGCCCGACAGAAAGGGGAGAAAATTGTCAGGAACATAAAAAGAGAGGAAAATTAATTTTTCCCTCCATGAAAAACGAACGCTCCAGGCATCCGATGTTGTGATAGATCGTAACCTTGACCTTGTACAGGGATCGGCGCATTGTGGCTTGTGGTTTCACGTGCACTGGAAACCGCCTTATGCGCAATGATTGAAGATCAATTTGTTAATGAAGTTGCTGTTAGTACGAGGAATGTCTTTTAAGTTTTGCATATGGAAATAAAACGACACGGTAGGTAGTTTTAAATGACTTTATTGTTTTTCGAAGTATTCTCCACGAAGACTAATACATATCTGCATGCGCTCGAACCAATTTTCAAAGCAGTTATTCCACTCGTTTGCTGGCAGATCCAAAACGGCATTTTTGAATGCGTCAACTGCTTCTTCTGGTGACTGGAACCTTTGACCACTCAGTCTGTTCTTAATTTTCGGGAAAGAATCGTTAGGACTTAGATCGGGACTATATGGAGGAAGGTCCAATAATTCCACGTTTTCTTCCGTTAAATACTGCCTTGTTTTTTGGGCTGTGTGCGAGCTTGCATTGTCTTGGTGGAGGATGATTCTTCTTTTGGGGTTGATTTTTCGAAGCTCGGTGATGACTTTCGGCAAACAAATGGTGGTATACCAATCCGCAGTAACAGTTCTTTGCTCATTAAGAGGAATTGTTGCTTTTGACACAAATGTCGCGACCATCTTTTTCGAAACACTTCGATAACACGGATGACTTTTGTTGGCTTTTCTTCACCTTGGAACACCCAAACAGCCGACTGTCGTTTATTTTCTGGTTCATAACAGTAAATCCACGATTCGTCACCACTAACAATGCTGTACACATTTTTTGAGTTTCCGGAATTGAACCGGTCAAGCGTTTTTTGACACCAATTAACCCTGGCTGCTTTCTGCTCTTCAGTCAACAGGTGGGGTATCCAATGAGAAACTAATTTTGTTAGTCCTAATTCTTCATGTAAAATTTTTTGAATTGAGGTCTTTGAGATCTAAAAGGACGCCTCAATCTCGCGATATGTCACATGTCTATCTTCAATGATGAGTTTGCGCACAGCATCGACGTTTTCCTGGGTGACTGCCGTTTTTGATGCACCCACCCTGAGATCGTCGCTAAGACTCACTCGTCCACGTTTGAATTCTCCATACCAACGGGAAATTGTCGACTGACGTGGCACTTCGTTGCCGAAAACAGACAGTAACTCAGCAAGGCAGTCTTGTTGCGATAATTGTCTCTGAAAGTTGTAATAAATTATAGCGCGAAAATGTTCTCGGTTGAGTTCCATTTTTCTAATGACTTGGTGACACTTAAAAATTCACTGTAGTGAGAACACTGCACGTATTGTTGTGAAACTTTAAATTTAAGAGTGAGGTTAACCCCTAACTGGTGACCATGGGTCTGATAGACCCTGCGCGAAATTCAAATTTCTCCCACTCCCGGATTTAACTAGATTTTAGCTTGTCCGCCTAGGTACCCGTCTAATAACTATTTGCAAGTAAGACGTCGTTGTGTATGCAAATATTTCGCAGGGCCTGTGAGACCCAGCGTCACCATTTACGTGATTTTTGAATAATGGCATCTTCAAGACAAAAAATACATGCAACTGATGAAGATTTCGAAACTATTGCGCAGCGATGGTACGAAGAAGTAAAAAGTGACTTAAGTGATTAGGATGATGATATACAAGATCCCGATTATTACAATGACCACGATTCAACTTCAGAAATAGAAAATAATGAAGGTAACAACGATTCTGCTTCGGGAGAGGAACTTGAACCTGAGATAGATAAAATGAATGTTAGGGCGTGTTATGGAAAAGATGTGTGAGATGTAAAAAATCAGTTTGCTTACCATGTGTGGAAAAATATGTGTTGAATGTGCCAAGGAGTAACATTTTACTTTTTTATTTACCTCAAGTTCGGGTGCTGTAGTTTTCTAGTATATATTTTTCCAAAATGTTTATTTTTTTTTATTTCATACTCTATCAATGTTATTTCATCAATTCCATATATTATAGTGTCTTAAAAAAATTGTTTAAAAAATTTAATAAACTATGCTGTTCGACAAATATGTGGACTTTTATTTAGTTTTCCTAATTTATGGTTGATAAATACAGATAACCTTCAAAATTATTTATAAAACATTGTTATTTGCCTCAAAATATATTAGAGAATTAGACAATATATAAATTTAAACAATATCTAAAATACATACAAGAATACAAAAAAATAATATGGGGGTCTGAGAGACCCAGCGTCACCTCTAACGTTATCCGAATGGCACGTCACCAGTTAAGGGTTAAGATTCAGTACTGACGTTCGATCCGCGCGGCCTACACTATAATCAAATTCAAGCGGATAACCAAATGGAAATGGTATTTACAATTTTGGCTTGGTATTTACCAATCCGTTCAAGCGAGTGTAGTTATCAGTTTGGTTATAAGATCCGTGACGTCACGAATCAGCTGTTATATGTCATAGTTATCACTGCAAAATTGTGGTATTTACCCAACTCAAGAGTAGTTTTA